CTCCCTGATAGTTGATTTGTACTCCTAGGATTCTTCCTTCTTCGTCCTTACATATTAATTTGGGTTCTAATTTCTCCTTCACATAAATTACTACCCCTCTTTTTTTCTTGGAGTCTGAATTGATAAACTCTATTCCCAACTTTTTATATATCAAAATATGTTTGTGTTTTTTGGTGACATGTGTTTCTTGGCAACAAATCACATCAATATTCTTTTTCTTTAAAATCTTTTCAAATTTATTTCTCTTAGACTTTTCGTTAAGACCGTTCACATTCCAGGACAGAAATTTAAGGGTCATTTCTATATTTAACTAGTGTATGCTTTATCTTAATTTCTAATTTAAATTCTAGTACTTCTATTTCCAATGGTTTCCCCGTCTTCCCCCTCCTCCTCCTCCCCTGATTCCACCTCTTCTGCTTCTTCCTCCACCTCTCCCCCCCTCCTCTCCGTCCCTTCGACCTCCCTCTCCCTTCTTCCCCTCCCCCCTTCTATGCTCATCTCTCCTCCTCCAGGTCTTTCTTCTTCTTTTACAGGATCCTTTTCATATCTTCTCAGAAACTTATTCACTTCTTGTGTATCTGTCAATTTAAACCTTTTGTTCTTGTAATAGAAGGAAATCCCTTCTGGGAATTCCCATTTGTACTGTATTGTATTTCTTTTCAAGACACTTGTTATTTGTCTATATCCTTCCCTTTTGCGCAGAATTCTGATCGGGATTTCTTTAAAAATAATAATTGGGCAGCCTCCAATCATTAATTTTCTTTGGTAGCTTGTTCTTAGTATTGTGTTCTTCATTTCAATTGAGTTAAATATAACTAAACAATCACCGGGAAGTTTTCTTGACTTAGTTTGTTTGGATTTCACTCTTATTCTGAACGCACTTTCTATCATGAATGCTACTTGCTCTTCTTTTATCTCCAACCATTTTGCAAGTTCTTTAATCATTTTTTCTCTTATGTTCTCGTTTGCTTCTTCTGCTACGCCTCTAAATTTTAAATTAAGTTGTTTCTGACGCATTTCTGTCATGGCTAGATTGTCCCACATTTGATCTTGCGTTTTATTTAAGTATTTTATTTCTTCCTTTAATTTTTCTGTCTCTTTCTTTTGGTCTTTCAATTCTTTTTGAGTTCTTTTATTTGTTTCTTCAATTATTTTTGACTTAACTGTCAGACCTTGTATCTTACTAGAGAGTTCTCCTACAGCACCTTCTATTTTCCTATCTATCTGTTCCTGTATCTCTCCTAATTTGCTTTCCATGTGTAATTCACTTTGCTTAAATTCCTCCTTAATTTTTAACCATAGAATGTCTAAATCTCTGATTTCCTCTTGTCGGGATGCCTTTCTCTCTCCTGGCGTCCCTCCTACTTTTTTCCTGTTTTTCCCCGACATTTTGTGGTTAATTTCTCAATAATCAACTTTAATTTCAACTCTCTCCCCTAGGGGCGCACAATCTCTCTTTTATCCTCTCTGTATTTTCAACGCTTTTGTCTATCTAATCACATATCACTTTCCTTATATTTCTTTATTTTCCTTAATATCGTGTCCCCTTGATTTCAATCCAGACTTTACGACCAAAAGAGAAGAGGGACCTTTCATTAACCTATTCAATGTTGTCCAATCCCATTAACCTTGTCAATAACCTTGTGTCATTATAAATTTGATTGCATTGGTATGTTAGTATGTTAGTTTCAAAGACAGAAGAGCAGAGAACAAAAATAAAGACAAAAAGCAAAAATGGTGGTCTCTTTTTATAGTCCAAAGAGGGTTGTTCAGTCTCAGTCAAATTCTGTAATATTCAGCCACTTGTCGGCCTAATACAATTCACAAAGGATGTTTCCAGGCGTTCATTGCCGTCTAATGCCTCAGGTCCCAAGTTTTATTAAATCAGTCTTTGTAATCCTGGGGGAGATGTGTACATTTGAATAAGTATTCCGTAAATGATCAGATGACACCCATCTTTCAGGGCCTGAAATTGTTCAATATATAAACTCTGAATTATTCAAATTCAAATAATTAACCTTTCTGAATTATTAGAGTTCAAGTGATTGTTCAGTTCGGAATATGGATAGCCGTCCTAGTTTGAATATAGGTCCTGCCGATGTTGGTAGGTTCAGGTTGAATTTTCCTCAAGACTGGGGGTAGGAGAGATAAGTTGTTAATTATGTTATTATAGTAGAAAGTAGAAAACAAAGGGAGGAAAAAAAGAAAGTGGGGGGAAAAAAGGGGTAAGGTGACAGAATAATTCACTTCTCGAATTTAAAACCAGAAAAGAGGGACCAAAAAGAAGAGAAAACCTCAGAGAAGGCACAATACTTATTTTGCAGGGGAGAATAACATGAGGAAACGTGGGGGGAAAGAAGAGGATAGGAAGAGAGAAAACCGAGAATTTTACAAGCAAAGCATGAATACCCCCTTTGCAAAGAGATCTAAAATTCAAAGGATTCTAATGTTTTAGGGTTTAAAGTTCCAGGTGTTCTTAAAATTCTTAGGTTTTCTATCCAAGCCGTTCTGTATTTGTAGAAAGAATCCCAGAGTAAAGAAAAGTTCTTTTCAAAGTTTTCCTTTTGTCTCTTTGAGCCGTTTTTTAAACTGTCCTTCTAGTTTCTTCTCTTTTTTTCTGCTCCTTCCAGCTGATCTTTTAAACGACTCTGTAAAGTTTCATTTCAAACGGCTCTATAAGATTTCCTTTCTTTTTCTTACTCCCCCCCAAAAAGGCGAAACAAAGTTCCCAGGCAATAGAATGTTTCAGATTCCTTAATCTCGGCAATAAAGTCTGAGGCGTTTACTTTGTATTCACTCAGTCAGGCAAAGGGTATTCCTTCCTCCTCCCTGCGACTTTGCATCCTGCGCCATTTTAATCCTCTGCCGAGGTGAATTCCTGAGTTAAATCGTCAAACATCCGACGTTCTCTTAGTGTATTTTTAAATATTATGGCATCAGAAAAGTCTACTCACACTAAGGGTTCCGTTCTTATGATTTTGGAGGTTCGTCGCATCCTTCAGTGAGAGCCAGAGGCATCGTAACACAGGGTCGATGCTGTCCCTTTTTGCGCTGGCAGTCTCGCCGCCCTCGGGATCTTCCAAAGAAAAAAAACCCCGAAAAAGCAGCGAAACCGCTCCCGCGCGGCTGGGTGTCTTATCCCTCAAGGGTAGTTTAATATAAATTAACCAACAAGCTTACAGTTTCAACAATTAGAAGAGATTTCATATAAAATGTAAAAATACATTCAAAATGTTTGGGTCATAAAAATAGATAATAGATATGTTCTTCTATATAAGGTAGCACTAAGATGGTAACCTATGGATTTTGCCTCATAACCTTAGTCCTAATTTACCGTATTTTTCGCTCTATAAGACGCACCAGACCACAAGACGCACCTAGTTTTTGGAGGAGGAAAACAAGAAAAAAAATATTCTGAATCTCAGAAGCCCGAACAGCAAGAGGGATTGCTGCGCAGCGAAAGCAGCGATCCCTCTTGCTGTTCTGGCTTCTGGGATAGCTGCGCAGCCTGCATTCACTCCATAAGACGCACACACATTTCCCCTTACTTTTTAGGAGGGAAAAAGTGAGTCTTATAGAGCAAAAAATACGGTATATAGAACAACATACCTATAATAACCCAACTCTTTTAATTATCCAAACATTTTGAGTGTGTGTCTATAATGTAAAAGCATCAAGTCCTACCTTTAGTATAATTATATGAATTTTAAAGAGCTGTTGTTGCTTTTATTTGACTTTTCATTGATATTTTTTAACAGGCAAGGGGGGAAATATCTACTCCCACTGTCAGTTTTGGTTTTTTAAAGGATTGCTCCGCACTCTACAAGACTCTTGGAACCAAATTAATGGTTAGTTCCCTCTCTGTTCTAAATATTATTTTTTCTCCATTTCCAAGTGTGCTGAGTGTTCTGGGTTTTCAGCTCGTACCTTTGACATAGTGAAGCGACGACTAGCAGTGCTTATTCTGCAGCCCTTCCCAGGACAACCAGGCTCCCAAAGCAGTCATCATAACAACCTGTACAAATTGTGCTTGTCAGCTGTGGTATACACAGAAATAGTAGAAATAAGCATGTGAAATAGAAGGAAAGCTTTTAATCTGGTAGGGGATTAGTTCTTCCTACCCTATTAGGTTTTCTGGGAATGTTTGAAACCCTGTAAGAAATAATGGCATAGTTGTATTTGATGAGGCATGAATGAGCCAGGCTCCAACAGGAACGGTGCAGAGGAGTGTGTCTTATGGACTTCCTTTAGGAAAAAAATGATTTTGGAAAACGAATACACCATTGAGGCTTTTACATAAACCATAATCCTGCATGTAAGTATCCCTGGAGCTGTTTGGCAACAGTAGGTTTTAATTACTTTGAGCAAAACTTTGTGGATTTGGAGAATCAGCTCCATTATCAAAATTGATTTAGGGCACTTTCCAGCTCTCATTACTCTTTCTTAACTTGCCCTCATGTTTTGCTATTGTAGTGAAATCCAGTGCCAATGGGGCATCTGGTAAATTGAGCAAAGGATGACTAACTGGCGCTCACAAGCCAGTGGTAACCTGCAAAGTCCCAAAATGAGAAACAGATGCACGTTAAAGAAACAAAATTGGTTTTGTGTGTGTTAGCATCTCTCTTTAGGATTTGTGTGCCATATCCTAGCCATTAAACACACAACAGCCTTAATTCCTAGATGATGCTGAATGTATTCTAGTCTGGCTTCCTGTGAAAGAGTCAGGTTGTATTGCAAAAGAACATTTCTAGGCCCCACAGCTGAACCTGGAGACCAGAGTGGCCCTTGAGAATATAGACCAATCTTGACTTGTGCTGATGTCTTCAGAACCTCATCCTAGGTATTGTGATAAATATCACAAGGATCAGATGTTATGATGTGGTATTCATTGAGCTTATGAATACCATCCAGTGGATTTTGATCTCATCCTATTGATATGTGAAAGCCCCAATAAACTATGCACAAGTGTACCGATACATTATCTTTTTCTTTCTTTTTTTACCTTAGATATTGTGTGTTGTCATCTGCTGCATCCCACAGTCAACCAGTTAGTTGATGGCTGTGAGCACACTGGAGCTTTCAAACACTCCTGAGGAAACTTTCAAACACTCTCCTCAAAGAATTATGGGCACTGCTCTGGTCAATGGGGTCACGAAGAGTCGGACACGACTAAACAACAAGTTTACCTCTCACAGACTTACAGTTCCCAGCAACCCTTAATAAACTACAGTGCCCCTTATTCTTTGAGGGGTAAAAGGTGTTTCAAATGTGCTTTAAAGGTAAGAATGAGCATTTTACCTGTATTCTGTGTTGAAATTAGTTTCTGCTGTGCCTTCTCAGGGCTTGTACCCACTATGTAAATGCAAATAAAGTGAGGTAACAGGCATTCCTTGTTCCCTAGGAACCTTGGGATCTATAGTTTTGGACGGGGGGGGGTGTTAAAAGTTTGGTCACCTGGTGTCAGGTGACTGAGAGGTGCATGGCCTGACGGCACGGTCAAAGCAGCCTGCAGGAGGAGAAGGGAGCTCAGGGCGTTCCCAACCCCTGACTTGTAGCACTATAATAAAAGGATTCAGGTCATCTTATGGATGAAATAAATTGCATGAAAGAGCATTAGGCACTCAAAAATAAAGGAATACAAAAGGAGAGAAGTAAAGCACTATTTGTGACAATGACAGTCAAAAGTAACCACCTAGCCAGGTATTGTGGCTTACTCGATGCTTAAGAAACTGCTTGATTCTGGTACTTCCAGACAGGGAACAATTTCATCAAGCTCCCAATGAACTCCCATACATTGTTGCTGAGAGCTGTGTTTGGCAAAGCAAATCACAAATTGTACTGTCATGTTCTTATCAGTTTATGGGCACAACCCCACTGTAAAGTTCTCTTGTACAAGATCCACTAAAAACAAAGAGACCAGGAGTGTCCTAGTGCAGCTCCTATTAATTTCAGAAGTGCTTGAACAAAGAACTACCTGACGGATGACACCCCATGCAATTTCCACAAAGTGAAAATTAGTCAATCTAATTCTAGTTATCTTGATCACAAATTGTTCAGAGCCAGCATGAGAGTTCTTTCTTTGGCATTTACACTTTAATAGTAATGCCTTTTCACATGGAAATATGACCTTCGTAGACAAATTGTTCTTCCTAATTAAGCCACCGGCATGAATTAACCAAGAAAACATTTAAAGGGTGGAAATGAACCTTGGGGAGGAAATGAAAGAACAGGCAAGGCTATGTGTATCAGGGGCTATAATGACAAGGCCGTTAATTAGGATTTAGTAAGTTTTAAGATGAACAAATAAAATATAATGGTACTGGAGACATGATTTCATTGTAACATGAACTTTATAGTTATAGAATGCCCCAACTTAGTCCCATACTCTATAGGCTATTGGCTTTCATTCAGTCCTGAACTGACCCTTACATAGCTGCCAAGTGCCCCAGAAAAAATTGGACATCCCATTTTTTCACGCGAGATCACAGTGACCATTTTGGGTGCCTCAATCTCACACTCTCACACTGTGTTCTCACCCTGGAAAAAATGCCTTTTCAGGGCCATGATCTTGTGCTTTGGGGGGAGGGGTGAGAGCGGGTCATGTGCCACGTGACTCACCAGGGAGTGCAAACACAGAAGATGCATGTCTTGGTTTTGGGTCTGAAAGAGTTGGCTGGTGTGGAATAAAATGCTCTCCCCTTCTTACAGTCATCATATGTGTTTTGAAACATATTAATACTTCAGGAATTTTGGGTGGATCTTGTTCAAAACATTCTGCTGTACATTGTATACGATTTGTATTGGACTTGTTCAAATTACTGTGGCAAACTTAACCCAAACTCCAGAATACACTCTTATCATCTGATGGAGGGTACTGAATTTTTTATTTAAATTTAAACAGTATGTATGGGGTGCATTGAAATCAGAGCTGGGAAAAGGCAAAAAAAAAAACCCATTGCCACCTTCTGAAAGCCTATTTTTGTCATTCAGTTAAATCATCCAACTTTTAAAATACTTTCATTTTTAAATACATTGTTGTGTGATAAACCTCCACTTTCTCATAACTGAAATTTTGTAAATTTGTATTGCATCCGTTTCCATTCAAGAATGTCATTAATAGCACAACTTAGCTCTCAAATATCCCTCCATCTTCACTCTGTCTGAATTTGAACACTTTTTCCTCTTCCTCTTCTTTCCAGGGTGGGAGGCCAAGTTCAGGTGGAACAATTAATCCACACAACTCTGCTAATCCTCTGTAGCTTTTCCAGTTGAAAAAGAACAGAGGTGCCATTTACTGGAAAACCAGTAGCCTCCTCAGTGTTCCCCATCATATGTAATCAAAAATCCTCCCTTGTCATTGAGAGCTATAGAAAGTAACCTCAAGAAATGATTTAAAATGTGTTGCTTTATTGCCATGTAATCTTGAATGAGATTTATTAGCAGGCCTTAAAGCTTACTGTGAATCTTACCCACTTCCCACATATCAGACAACCTCTGGAAACTGAAACATGGACCCCAATGTTCTTTGTTTAAGATAGTTTTTAAGCTCCTGAGTTAATCTCCCAGCAAACTGATAATGTATTACAGGAAGAAAAAGCATGACAACAGTCCAGATAAACAGGCACACTTTGAACAGCAATGATTATCTTTAATTCTAATTAAACTATCCATGCATGGAGAGAGAGATTTATTTATTGCGGCCATTGGCCCATATCGAAAACAATACATCAGAATTTATCCATAAACAATACAATTTAAACAGTTCCAAGTTAAAACACCCTTATAAAACCGATTTTACTTTAGTTTAGTAAACACTGTACACAATAAGCTCCCTCTATGTAAACCGCAATTCCGATCCATCAGATTTTGGGGGGTATACGTCTTAGTTCTGGCACTTATTGATGGTTCTTAAGTTTAGCTAAGCTGTCAGAAACATACAGTGATCCATTTCTCCTCTTTTGAAATAAAACATTAATCAGGTATGTAGCGACTGCAAGGGATCTACTTGTATCTTCGTCGTTTAATAAGTATATTATTTGGGCTTCCTGAGGACTGTCAGCAATTCTCGATAAATATGGGGCCAGAAACTTGGACCGTGAAGCCGAATGTAATGGACAACAGAAGATTATATGATATAACGATTCTATAGATCCGCTTTTACAGTCACAGAGGAGTGAGATCTGTCCGTTGGAGAGTCTGTTACCCAGCACGTTTGATGGGAAAGCATTGAATCTAGCCATTATAAAGGCATACCTGTGCGTCACCACAGATAAGGTAGTTAAGTAAGATGGAAGTTTCGTTGGTGGTGTTAAGCCAAGGTTTATCGGCGAACAGGTGCCACCACCTGTCGCAATATTAAATTGTAAATCCATCTCCTCTAATTTGTAAGTTATAATTCTTTTGGCCGAAATTAAATCCAATTTTAATAGTTCAGATGGAGATAGTCCTAGGGACACAAGTTTCCCATGTATTGTTTTTGCCCAGGGGCTAGGGAAGTCATCTCTCCAGAGGCACTGTATCAAGTGGAGATTTGGAAGTTTATGCCATAAAGCCAGCCAATAACAGAGGATGCATTTCCATAATGTGGTTTCTAGAGATGTAACATTTAGTTCCAGTCGTATAGCAGTATTGCTTACACACCTGGGTAATTTTAACAACCTTCTTAAAAGCTGGTTTTGGATTACCTCCAAATGGGTTAGATTAGCAAAGGACCCCCATAATGGGACTGCATATGCTATTGTTGCAATCACCTTTGCCTTGAAAACTTTTAACACTGATGGAATATGGAAAGCCCCATCTGAAAAGAAAAACGCAATAGCGCATAGGAAAGGGCTTTAGCTCTGTTTAATACATATGCAACATGGACCTTCCAGCCCATGTTGTGTTGGAGAAAGACTCCCAAGTACTGAAATTTAAAGACTTGGTCAATAGCTTTTCCGTCTATTCTCCAATTATAGGTTTTTCGACTCTTGGTGAAAATTAGGACTTTGGACTTAACATGGTTAATTGTAAGAAAATTTGATTTGCAGTAAACATCGAAGATTTTTAATGCCCTCCTAAGGCCGACTCTTGAAAAGGATAGGATCACTGCGTCGTCTGCGTAGAGTAGAAGGGGGCAACGATATTGGGCAAGACGGGGGGCGTGGATCGTTTCTTGAGCCTCTATCAGAGGCGCCCTCATATCACTTATAAATAGATTAAAAAGGGTCGGAGCAAGGATACATCCTTGGCGAACACCTCTATTGATAACTACTGAGTTTGAGAGGTCGCCTGCCGGAGTGATTCTCACCCTAGCGGCCGATCCGTCATGCAATTTAGTTATTAGCCACAAAAGTCTTTTGTCTATTCCCCATCGGGCTAATTTTCCCCAAAGCAATCCTCTGGGGATGCTGTCAAAAGCGGCCTTTAAATCAATAAAGGCCGCACAAAGTTGGCCTCTATTTGGGGAGGAGTATTTCCGGGCAAGGTGGTATAAAATTAAGACCTGATCAACCGCTGACTGATTCGGTCTAAAACCAGCCTGTTCAGGCCCAATCAGGTTGTTCTCTTCGGCCCACTTAGTAAGCTTAGTTAACAAGAACCGTGCATATATTTTCCCAATTAATGACAATAAACTGATATTCCTGTAATTTCCCGGGTCATCTGTCGAGCCTTTTTTATGAATTGGAACAATAATTGCATCCTTCCATATTCTTGGTACCTTCCCACTGTTGTTTACGGCATCAAAGATAGCGGCCAAGATTTTCGCCCACCAGTCTGCATGAAGTTTTATAGCTTCCGCCGGGACTAGATCAGGACCGGGGGCTTTTCCGATTTTAAGATTAGAAATAAGTCCGTGGATTTCTTCCGGGTCAGTGGGTGGCCAAAGAGGGAGCTGCTCATAGACTCCATCGATTGTATTAATATTAAGGTCTGGTAAGGCAAAATAATTCCTTAGAAAGGATTCCCAAATTGGGGCAGGAATAACTGTTAAGGGGTATCTTTTAGATTTTCTGTTAACCAACAGCCAGAATTTTCGGGAATTACGGGTACTTGAGGCAGCTATAAGTGCTTGCCAGCGGTTCAATTGCCATTCCTGTTTGGCCTTTTTCTGCACATATTTGTAAGCTGATTTTGCCTGATAGTACTCCTTGGGAAGCGTAATCGCCCCTGAGGATTTGTAATCATTATAAATAGCACAAAGGTGTTGTTTGGCTTGTTTGCAATTACGGTTAAACCACGGTGCACCTGTCTTGGGGTGGGCCCAATTTGCCTGGTGGGTTGGGACAGAAAAGAATGACGTGAGGTCATTCAACAGATTGGCAAATAGATTAATAGTTTGATCGTGATCATATGAAGTTATGCCAAGGGCTGAATAGGTTTGTATGATCTCCTGCTGAAAAAATTCAGAATATTTTTGAGCCTGCGTTACAGACCACTTTGTACCCTTCACTCGTAATGCCGTATTAATACCCTCTACCGGGTTTTCTGCATTAGTATCTAATTGAGTTAGATGACCGTGCTCGTCCCCGTGCCAGTCTAGGTCAAACGTAGCAGCAAGTGGAAGGTGATCACTATAGTGAATATTGCCAATCTTAAAAAAGAGAGCTTTCGAAATCAGGTCACTCGAGGCTAAAAGGTAATCTAGTACACTGTTTGATTTTATGCCTAGGTGGGTATACTCCCCCGGTATATCAGGAGGGCAGCAGCCATTCAGGGGTTCTAAGTTTAAGCGAATAGCCATCTGGTAAAGAAGTACTCCAGCCTCGTTTACTTTAGAGTCTTTTGAGGCTCTCCCTAAGGCATGTCTCAAATCATAATTGTCAAGGCATGGAGCAGTCCACCATATAGCTTTAGTTAAATCAGCCCAATTTGCTGCTATATGTGCGTTGAAGTCACCACCAATTAAGGATTGGCTATTGGCATATTTGACTCGGCATGATACTAAATGATCTTCTAATATTTCCCATCTATCATGCAGTTCAAGGGACGAACCCCCTGGCGGGAGGTAGACATTAGAGATTAGCAGTGATACTTTTCCCCCCCGACATCAACCCGGATAAAGCATAAGGGGGAGCAGTCAAAACTAGTGAAAATTTGAAATGCAGCTTCAGTGAGATACCTATTACTAGACCACCTTTCGGCCGTCCTCCTTTCTGGGAGGGATAAGCTGGAAGGGATAATAGGTCGAATCCGTTTATGACAATTTCACCCTCCTCCCAAGTTTCTTGCAATAGAATGATATGAAACGAGTTGATATACGACTGGAATTCTGGGTCACATTTTTCCTACGCCAGCCAGCTATGTTCCAACAGAGGATCGATATTGGTGGTTTTCTGGATTGTCCGGCTAACCGTCATTTAAATTCTTGTGGGGGGCTCTTATGCGACCAGGACGCTCCCTTAAAGAAGTCCGTTATTTTCCTTTGCTGAAAGTTGTCGTCCTGGTGTGGTGAGTCTTTTGCTCTGGTGCGCACCGGTTGTGGGAGTCTTTTGCTCTAGTGCGAGCCGGTTGTGGCATGATCGACTCACGAGGGCCAGAATTTTTGGGGGGCAGAAGAGAGTTAGCATCCTGGTGGGTAGGGATAATATTTGGCGTTTTTAGCTGTCGGGCCCAACTAGGCTCTGAAGAGGCTCCTGTCAAGTCCGCTGGAGCCGTCCTCTTTGGGGATCTAGCCGATACACTTGTGATCATTTGATTTATATGTCCTGCTGGGTCTTCAGTCCACTCTGTGGTGACTCTCGACACTGTTGTGTCTTCCTCATGTACTTGTTGGATTTTTGGTGGACAAGAGTGCGCTGGAAAAGCCTGACTTGGAGTGGCCACTGACGTCTCAGATCGTGGATGGTCTTCGATGTATGTTGATTCCAAGTCCGGCATGGAGGAATGAAGGGACAACGATTTATCCAGGGGGGTGTTATCCTGAGTTCCATTCTTGGATCGGTTAATCACGGAGGGAACAGATAAGTCTATTAGAAGCAGGGATGAGTTACCAACGTGAAGGGGAGGAGAAGAGTCTGCCTCCAGCAGTGAAACCTTCCCATCCAATGCAGAAGGCACCTTATATGCTGGGTATTGGGGAATTGCTGTTTCCACCTCCATGGGGCATGGCACCGCTAAATTAGAGTGGGTATTATTCGTAGAAACTCCATTGCAGGTGATACTTAGGAGCTGAAGTTTAAGTAAGTCTAGCCTATTTATAATTTCTTGTTGTTCCATCGCTGGTAACTCTCCAAAGGAGGCGATAAGCTCTCTTTCCTCCTGGGGTGTCAGAGAGTTACTGGCCCAATCGTAGTGTTTAGTTGTAGGAGTGGAGGCATTTTGGGACTGGCCCAGACATGGGGTGTACAGCTCAGCCCTCTTTTGTGGTTCAGGATGGGAGGGTTGTACCGTCTCCTTAATTAATCCCTCCGATAGGAGAGGTCTAATTATGGAATCCATGAAGACTCTCGTTGGAAAAATGCCAAGACTATTCAAAAACACTTTTTGCTTAATAATAAGAGAGGGGATTTTTGCAGAGTGGAAAGCCAGCATCATTCTCTGATATCTGTTCTGTTGGATTAAGGGAAGCACAGCACAAAGATCTATTTGTGATGTCTCGAGTTTTAGAAGCCATCTGAGGTGCTCTTTAGTCCCATGTAGCGTTGCCCAACTTGGGTCCCTTTCCCGGAAGGTTAGGGAAATCTTCCTTGGATGTAGAGTCAGGGATTGGCGATTCAGTGAGGGGTTGAGATTATATTTGCAGTTCTTCATACGATCAGTGTTTGGTGGCGCTTTCTGCCGGCACAATGGAACATCTACTGCCCCATCTTGGGCTGTCTGTACCGGCTGGTCATCCAGTTTTTGCTGAAGGCTATGCAGCTGAGAGGATAGGCCATCAATTCTCTTAAATATACAGTTTAGAGTTCTAATTATTAGATGGAGTTGCTCACAACCTGTGCAGTCCGCAGATTCGGCTACCAACACCTCCTTCGGATAGGGACCATCCCCATTTGTGTTACCATTGGCTTTTCCAATTTGTAGCGTCTCAGGGGCCTCATCTTTTGATGTTGTTTCAAGGGCCGTTAGAGGATCGAAACGATTTTGAATTGCTATTGAGTAGATACATTCCTCGGGGCCTCTCCCACCTTTAGGTAAACCCTTCCTTGATTGCTTAGGCCTCGGAGAGGATAGTGCCTCGTCAGGGTCTCTTGGGCGTTTTCCATGGCCCATAAATCAATTTTGCAGGGGAACCGTTGTGAGCACTGTGCTGGGGAGCTCCTTAAATCCTTTAGTCTTCCTCACAGGAATACTACCACTTCCAGGAGAGTGGTGCCGTAAAATTACTCACAGTAAGGCAACCAGTTCAAGCCTCTTCCTTCCCCTCTTCCTTGTTCCTAGGATTTTTGAAACAACCCGGATCCAGCAGTCAGGCAAACTTCACTTCGCAATATGCAGTAAGCTAATATGCAGTAAGCTAACAGCTAAAAGGAAAGAGCTGGTCGACAGGGCAGAGGATTTATGCCCAGGAAAACTTTTCACTTATCTCTCCCAGTTAGGGAGGCGGCGGCAGCCGTGGCGGCGAGTCCGGGGGGGTCGGAACAACCCAGATAAAACAAAATAACACAAGTAGAGCGACATTAAAAGACAGCCAGCACAGCCAGCAGATCATTAAAACTCTCGGATAAAAACAAAGGAGGATAAAACCGCTTAAAACCACGTAAAACTTTGATGAGGGTAAACGAAATTACTTGGTAACTACCTTCGTCGCCATCTTGCAAGCTAATTCAAACCCCCCCTATGCATGGACATTTTTGTAAATGGTATGCAGCTAAGTTACTTTCATTTAATAAGCTGATCACTAAGCCTTGTAGAAAGTGTTCCAAACTTGGAAGCATTCCCAAACTTCTGCGCATAAATGCATGGGTGGAGCAATGGGATATAATTTTAAATGGAGCCTGGGTAACTAGTGAAGACCCTCTAGAGCTGATGGCTTTATTGCAATTCTGCACTACTATGGTTTAGAGGTGTCCCAGCTACATAACACTCCAGACCTCTGACAGCATCTGAAACTGCCTCTTTGAGAAAGAACTTGTTGGCAATCACCTGTTGGCTGCCTTCCCTAATAAGCTTTGGGAGACTCACATAGAAACATGAATAAATCCATGGGCTGTAACTTAAATACTTTGGTTAATTTTTGCAGTCACAAGGCTTTGATAATCACAGATGAAACACATATGCCCCTCTTAACTTTTCAAAGGGGGTGAAGCATGGCCCCTTGGTGACCTGTGCCTGCCCAGAGGACTGTGGACCATCTAGAACATGGTTAGGCAAACTAAGGCCCAGGGGCGGGATCCGGCCCAATCACCTTCTCAGTCCGGCCCGTGGACGGTCAGCGTGTTTTTACATGAGTAGAATGTGTCCTTTTATTTAACATGCATCTCCTGGTTATTTGTGGGGCATAGGAATCGTTCATTATTATTTTTTCAAAATATCATCCAGCCCCCGCACAAGGTCTGAGAAACGGTGGACCGGCCCACAGCTGGAAAAGGTTGCTGACCCCTGATCTAGAATCTGCTAGCTGCTGAAATCCTTGCCATGAAGGCTGGTCAAATCCAGAAAAGCACTTCTTTAGGAAGAGTAAGAGTGCATACTCAGGATCAGTTGTTAAAATGTGTTAAGTCAGGGGTGGGAGATCTGTATCAATCTAGATATTGATGGGATTCCAACTTCCATCACCCCCACTTACCATGGCCCCTGGCCAGAGATTATAGGAGTTGTTGTCCAACATCATCTGGAGGGCAGTGAGGGCCAAAATCAGAGCACGCAATTTAAATTTCACACTCATTGGTGGATCCCAGAGATTTGAGGAAATACAGACTGACCAAGTCATGGTTTAAGGACTAAATCAACAATCAGGTGACTACTTGGGGCTGCAGTGGTCCAATCAAGTATACATCTCAAATGATCTTGAGCAAGTTTGAAAGAGGGAAAACTTGTAATATTTATCTGATTGCCATTCAAAAAGCACATAGCAAAAAGCAGATGTGTGGCATGCACTAGTTAATTTATTCCCAGGCTGCGGTTTGCTTTATTTTTTTTAAGAAAAGGCTTCCAAAGGCATGAAGTCATTACATCTCTCATCCCTCTTGTTTCAGGCCCCTTAGGCTACCTACCTTTGTGTGCATCTCCCGTATACAGAGCCATGGAAAAAATAATGAAAAAGTACTTCAAAGTTTAATAATAAAGTAGAATTCCATGGCAAAAGAACATGATTTATAAACTGACTCTGCAGCCATTTGCCAGAGGTAGTAATTAAGAATTATCTTGATTTATGCTTCCGAGTAATGTAATTGATTTTACAAAAAATTAAATTCAAAGCTTAGAGTTAGTTGATCTTGATCATTGGAAACATACATCAAAGGGCACCAGCGCCAACCCACCTAGAATTGCTATAGGGAAAAATAAATAGTGTTCAGCTGTGTAGCTGGAACATTTCTCCTGCCCCAAGAGTTCTAAACAACACGGAAAAAGTAGTTCAAAGCAAAAAATTTTATATCCTGTTTTTCAGCATGGTAGAGCTCAGTTAGTGAATCTCCCCTCAACTATTTTCAGTTTCCTGAAAATAAAAGAAAAAGAAAAAGTCCTGGTTTCAGATATGATCTATGTAGGAGGAAAGATATTGTTGAAAGTTGTGCAAAGGTGGTAGTGTGGCTTGAACACTGGTGGAAAAAAGAAAGAAGGAGGAAGACCTTTGGTCCCTCTAGCCCAGCACTCCTGACACTGACGCAGGGAGCTGCTCTCCAGCTTCAGGAAAGTGTCTCTCCTAGCCTAACCTGGAGAGGAGGGCTTGCCCAATTGGTTGCCAAGTCTTTTAGCCATGAGCTGATGCCAGTACCACAAAACGGCACATGGAGCATGGATTTGTGGGACAAAGGCCTGAGGGCTAGGCCATGACACACAGAAACCTTCCTCAATTGACGCCCAAACTATGTTGCTGGATTCCAACTCCCATCTTCTTTGACAGGGGCTGATGGGAATTGGAGGTCTACTACCTGGAGGTCACCAGGTTACAGAAGGCTGGCATACAGTCAGGCCTCCATTTCCGCTTCTCTCGTGCTACGTCGTGCTGCCATCATCACTGCCACTCAGTAAACTAAGGGAAGAAACTGAGCAAGATGGGAAGGGGCCCTGCTGCAGAGTTGGACCATCATTTCATCCTTTGGATCTGATTTGTGGCACACCTTGCCAAAGAAGTTTGGTCATCTTAGATTACACATATACAGAATTTATACATATAATTTGTATCGAACAACACAGTGAGCATGTGTGTGTCAATCCAAACACTATAAAAACAAGTGTCTTGAACATGCCCCAGCTGGTTCAGAACTGAGCAGAAAATCTGTAAATGGAAAAGCCAGCTCTGAACATTCTGTCCTACTTGCCCAACATTGCATCCCGCTGGAAAGGCGACTGAGCGAGAGAACGCAGGAGGCTCCGGTGCTCACAATGGAGCCCAAAGAACGGAAGCGGGTTTAGCTCTTCTCTCCCACTGCTGTTGCCCAGTACTTTCCTTCATGTTTTCCTTTGAAAGTAAATGGCTGCCACTTGCCCTATGGGAAAAAGTAACACGATGCATATGGAGAAAAGAGCAAAGGAGGCAGGGAGAGTTGGGCAAGGCAGGGAAAGGCCGTGGTAATGCAGAGGCCATTTTTCTAGGGAAGTGAAGGCATGGCATGAAGTTGGGTTAGGGATAAGGTAGCAGTGGAGGGCAAAGCTTTCCTTGGTGTCCTTTGAGTTTGAACAGCGGCTGCCAACTTTTCAAGGGCAGTTCTCCATTTGGAAGCTGCCAGATTTGTTAACCTCTTAGTGTCCACACAGATCAGCAGCAGATAATCCTGTGGGTTGCATGATGGGATGTGTCAGATGAAGCTGAGGTTTCCCCCTTAGTATGTAGCATTGCAGGGAGAAATAAAATGATCTGCATGATACCACGAACACCTCCAATGCCCATTTAATCTCCTGTTGATCAGGAAGGCAAAACAAAGGGTTGCTAAGAGAAACTAATTATTACATATGCACCAACCTAAGACTATTTCAATCTCTTGATGTTGAAGATTCATTGCAGAGACAGAATAAATTACAACCGCCAGAGATTGTATTCAGTGATAGTCATACTCAGAATAGACCCTCTGAAATTAATGGACATGATGGATTCAGGGCCATGTCAAGGGGTCTACTCAGAGCAGAGCAGAGCAGAGCTACAGGCCCAGGCTTTTATGTTACAGCTGAAAAACATTACAAAAAAAGAGACGCTCCAGTTCAAGCCAAGCCAGATGAGATGGAAATGGCAACAACATATTTTACTTTCGGTACAAGTGCTCAAAATCACATTGATTTTGTGACTCTGCATTGTGATAGTGCTCAGTAATCCTGGATATTCTAGACATACCTGTTGGGTCCCAGCTGACATTTTGCAGTTCCTTTTCTCTGCCACCTCAAGTAGAGTATTTTGAATGGCAGAAGGAGATTACATGCACCCACAGAAGCTTCTCCTGTAAGTGATATATAATTTCAAGCTTCAGGCAGGGCTGACATGTCGCTGTAGCAAAGGTGAGCAGTCCATCGGTACCTGCCAATCATTGTTTAAAAGTCAAACAAAAATGTTGGCATGTGCAGATAAGTGTGCTAGATGCTTGGGTGGGGTGGCAGCAAAAGCAGAAAAGCATGCTAATAAGGATTCTCTAAAACTGATCATGTGTAAAAGCCCCAGGACTTTACAGAGCATGGCACTGGCGACAGAGTCTTTGAAGCCGATCCCAGGTTGAAAACCACAGGTGTAACAGATTGCTTGGATCCACTTCCACCAACTAGATCAACCTACTGACAAGGAAACCCACCTAACTAGGTGGAATCTACAAACATAAAAACTGTTTTGATTTTTTTTTTTTTCATGGCCACTGGTCCCATCACCTCCTGGCAAATAGAAGGGGAAGAAATGGAGGCAGTGAGAGATTTTACTTCCTTGGGCTAAATGATCATTGCAGTTGCTGACAGCAGCCACGAAATTAAAAGACACCTGCTTCTTGGGAGAAAAGCAATGACAAACCTAGACAGCATCTTAAAAAGCAGAGACATCACCTTGCCGACAAAGGTCCGTAGAGTTAAAGCTATGGTTTTCCCTGTGGTGATGTATGGAAGTGAGAGCTGGACCATAAAGAAGGCTAATTGCCGAAGAATTGATGCTTTTGAATTATGGTGCTGGAGGAGACTCTTGAGAGTCCCATGGACTGCAAGAAGATCTATCCATTCTGAAGGAAATCAGCCCTGAGTGCTCACTGGAAGGACAGATTCTGAAGCTGAGACTCCAAGACTTTGGCCACCTCATGAGATGAAAAGACTCCCTGGAAAAGAACCTGATGTTGGGAGAGTTGGAGGGCACAAGGAGAAGGGGACGACAGAGGACGAGATGGTTGGACAGTGTTCTTGAAGCTACGAACATGAGTTTGACCAAACTGCGGGAGGCAGTGGAAGACAGGAGCGCCTGGTGTCCATGGGGTCACGAAGAGTTGGACACGACTAAACAACTAAACAACAACAACATTATTACAAGCCCTCCCCACCTCCTGCAAAAGCTCACTCAAAATTGAAAGGGAAGTGGTGAGGTATGACTAAACACTGAATCTGCTATTTTTCCAGGTATGAAATGGCTGTGCCAAAATAACTGGTATCAAGAAAAGCTCTATAAAACAAAGTTGTTTCCACAGAATTTACTGTTTTATTTTGACAGTCACATGAAAAAGCAGACACGTCAGGTGTACCAATAGAGCCCTATGCAGCTCAAACCAAGGTGCCCGAAGGGACTGCCTGCCTCTCCACTCACATCACATGGCCTGGCTTCTCCCCCCCTTCTGGGGCAAAGTGGGTGGCAACCACCAAGAGGCCCTTCTCATCTGTGGCCTCTGGCATCCCCTCCTCAGGGAAGCTTGCTCAGTACCTACGTTTTCATACATTTTTACATTCTTAAGCTGATAATGCTTTTACTGTGTCCTTCATTTTACTTCATAATTTGCTTATTGCTGTTTCAATGTTTTGTGTTGCTTTTACTGTGGTGAGCCACCCTAGAAGAGCATATGCCAAGGGTGGTTATCTGGACAGCCTGGACAGCTCAGTTGGTTAGAGCATGGTGCTGATAACACCAAGGTTGTGGGTTCGATCCCTGTATGGGACAGCTGCATATGCCTACACTGCAGGAGGTTGGATTAGATGACCCTCAGGGTCCCTTCCAACGCTACAATTCCCTCAGTTCACGGCCTGATTCTCTCTCTCTCACACACACACACTCCAACAACGATTTTCCCCCCACCACCATTTTTGTGGTGGTGGTGGTGGTGGCAAAATAATAATGTAGACCCAGGGCTGGGGTGGGTGGAATCCAGCACCCTGATAAAGATGCAAATAATCCCCTTGCTGGTCCCAGGCCAGTCATTTGAGGGGGAAACGGCCCCTTTTCTTCAGCTAATCTGCCGGATCAGCCGTGGGCAGGGGGTGTGGTGTGTCTGAGGTTGGGTGGAGAGTGGGTGCACATACCTTTGACCACAGACACTGCTGCCCTGCTGCCCCCAGAAGCTTGGCTCTGGGTGAATGTGGCCCTTTGGCCAAAAAAGGCCAGACAGTTCTGAAGGACAGGACAGATATGAAGAAAATAATCATAATATTTCCATTTATTTCCACAACTGGAAACTCTCCTCACCAGCAACCGAAGTGGAAAGGGAAAAAAACCTCATCTTGGTGAACCAAGGCCCTGCTGCAAGGGCCAAAAGCAGCAGGGCCTGGGAAGAAAGCAGAGCTGACTCACACCAAAGGCAGCAAACTACTTACGGGAGAAACTCCCTCTCAGGTCAATGGGTTTGGTCGCTTCCCATCTCCCAAGTCATAGGAGCCCTCTGCTCTAGCCACCTTCCGGGCAAAACAGGAAAACTCTTTGAGACTTAAGGTCAGCACATTGCTACAGTGGCTGCCAGTTTCGTATTCAGAAGGTCTGCCTGTGTGTGCTACCAGTCCCAGTATAGAGGTGTTAATTTTAGTTTATAAAACCCTGAACCACTTAGGAACAGGTTACCTTCAAGATCATCTTGCCCCCCTATGCCTTAGGCCTGATTTGAACATTCAACAAGTGGGAGTTGCTGGCAGTGCCCATTTCTAAGGCATGAAACTACCAACAACTTTCACTGTGATCATGCCAGCTTAGTAGAACATGGCTCCACTGACAATTAGCCAGGCACTTTTTCTATTTCAGATGCCTGCTGAAACCTTTTGTCAACTGACATATTATTTGTTTTGCTTGTAGCACTGTTATAATGAAGGGGTTTTACACATTGTATTTATGATGATTTTTATGTATTTGTTATATATTTTGTTCACTGCTTAGATATTTTTATGAACAAGTGGCCAATAAACTAGAATACAGTGGTACCTTGATTTGCGAACTTAATCCGTTCTGGAAGTCCGTTCTTAAACCAAAGCGTTCTTAAACCAAGGTGTGCTTTCCCATAGCAGCGGGAAACTCAATTTACAAATGGAACACACTCAACAGGAAGCGAAGCATGTTCTTATTCCAAGGCAAAGTTCACAAACCTACTTCTGGGTTTGCAGCACTCTTAATCCAAGTTAAACTAAGCTGTTCTTAAACCAAGGTACCACTGCATAAATAAATAGTTTTAGAGGATAGCACTACAGCAAAAAACAACAACAACAGTTCTCTTGGTTGTAGCGAGTTGTGAAATAAAAAGTTGTCATCAAGAGAAAGGGGAGACCCAGCAGTGTTAAGCGAGAACCAGCTGTCTCCCTTGTAATACTGCAAAGTCAGCTTAAAACAGATTTATTCAATGAAGTGCCCACACAAGATCAGAATCATCACGGGGTTGTGGGAATAATATTAAAGAGCTAATGTTCTCAGAGCTTGTGGTGTCAAAAATGCTATCGTTCCCCATGAAGTTGTGGCCTTGTTTCTTATTCCAATTTCATCCCACGTTTCATGATTCTTCATCATCTTGCTGATTTCGTTTCTGTTAGGATAACCAAGAAAATGAAATTATATTGAATTCAATGCTACAACTATTTTCCAGAGGAGACAGCCATGCAATTGAACAAATACAACACATTTCCCACTGCCTATATTCCCCGAGGGAGAGAAGAGGGCAGGAGAGCTGAAACAGATGGAAGGAGAGCAAAAGAGCCCTCTGCAGCAGAGCCCTTGGGCAAGAGCAAGCTGCCCCTTCCCCTGGCTGCCTGCCTGGGCAGGGAGGAAAAGGCTAAGGAAAAAAGGCGGTGGCTGAAGGAGGGAATGGCCTGTCCACTTTTGGTTCTGATCCTGCCCACCACCAGCATGTGGCCCCCAAAGGAGCACAGCTCTCTAGAGGGGTGGGGGGAAGGTTTCCCATCCCCCTTCTAAAGCCACAGAGACAGGAGTATTTGGACATGTTACTTTAATTTTTTTTGCATAATTCAATATTAGCAATGCTCACTAAAATCTACATAATTCAAGAGAGGAGAATCAATTATCAGAAAGAACTAACATCAAAGGGCTTTTTAAAAAAGACTAAATAAAGACCTCTCTTTTAAAGCAGGGAACTGCAGGGGAACAGAACACTAATAATAATGACTTCCTGGTTAAGTGACATCACACTTGAAGCTCTTCCATGCTCAATCTAACACTCTCTTCTCCTTCTTCCTGAACTGATGGGTGCATCATTAAATGCACATGCTGTTTAGTGACCCACTCTCCCCACCCCCACCACCCCCCACAGCATGTTCTGCAGGGACATAATGAATAGTTCAGTTGAGATTGCTAATGCATCAATGGGCTTGTCGGGTTAATCCAGCAGTTGCATGGAATTTTCATAATGTGACCTATAAAGCACTGGGGAAAAAGATCAGCAGGGAAGCTTGCAGCTTTTTTGATAACCCCACAAGCTACCTTCACAAGCTTTGGAACTAAAGATTTCATGATCTATAGGCTGACACATCGGAGGCTTTTAAGCTAAACCCTGTGTTCTATCACTAAGAGATCTTCTGTAAAGCCTGAAGGCATGTCCTGTTATTAGATCAAGACTATATTTAACAAGTGTACAGTACAAAATATACAACCTTAAGTAAATGGATGTTCTTTTGGAAGAATACTTCAGATGGATAAATTTCTTTTGGATTAGCTAATATCCCCCCACCTCCACCTGCAACCACCAACGACTGAACAACAAGAAAGCACTCAATGAAATGCTTTTGATAAGATTTCACTCAGTGCTGTTGCCAATTGTTATTTAGCCTTTTCCTTCTGCCTGAGGAGTGATATGATTAACCTTGTTAGAATGGCAGGAAATTGACTGATTAAAAGTGAAAACCTCAATGTCTTCCACTGTGTGATCAATATGCCTAACTTGCTGAGAAAAGCTGGAAACCAGTTACCAAATAGCCTAGTTACCTTAGAAACTTAAAGATATGCTCCTCAGTTAGGAAACTTACTTACCAGTTTGAGCAGGTCAATTAATTTGTGAACATCTTCCCCAGTGGAAAGGTCTACAAAATCTTTGGGCAGCCTGTAGCTGAGATACGGGCTAGGCTGAACAGTAAGGTTGCTGTTTGTACAACGGAATGATGGATAGTCCTAATAAGTGGAGGCAATAAGCAAGAGATATCAATTTGAAATCACCATTGTGTGTACCTAATTAGTGCAGTATATTTCAAATAATTGACCAAAAAAAAAAAAAAAGCCTCAAAAGGATCACATTGGGAAGGATCACTCACTTGATATTTCTACTTTATCAATGGCGTTTTAATACACATTTTAAATTGCATTTTCCAAATGTACATTGTATTAGGAAAAAGCCTCAAAATATTGTAGAAGAGTTAGACATTTTTGAAGGACAAAAACAACTGAATTTCCAGGAGGGCCATTGGAAGAATGGAGTTCACTGAGGTGGCCTGCTGGCAGGTTCTAGTACATAAATGCAGCTGCCTCCACAGCCTCTGTTGCCCTTTGTTTGGTAAGCTGGGTGGTCTTGGCCTAGGGGCCTTCAGTTGCCCCTTTTTGCTATTAGTGGGAATCAGTACTCTTGCTACATAAGCTCTCAAATACTGATAAAATAAAATGGAACTGGAAATATCAACAGTTCAGTTAGAAGACCCGATATTATAAAAGAAGCATCCACTAAGAAACAGAACACTGTTAAATGTACAGTGAGAAAGTTCATGCATAAAGGTGATGCTTGAAGACTGATGTTACATGTAGAGGCTTTTGTTTTGCCTGGAAAGTGCAAAAAAGCTCAGGGTGACGAGCAACTTGGAAAGCAGAGCTGTCACCAGGAAGGCCTCCTTCAGATTAATCTTGCCTTTCATTTCCAGCTCCCTGAAGTCCAGAACACTAGTGTATATATGCAGAAGTTCAAAAAGGAAATTTATGAAAGATACTCCCTCACAACTCCAGCTGCTCAAAATGTAGCAGTGGGAATGAAAGATCAAGGGCCCATTTTATTTGGCTGGAAGTGAACCTACTAAATTGTGAATGAAGAAGTGGCAAAAAAAGATCAGCTTCATTTGCAAGGATTTTTTTTAAAAATATAGGTAGACACACAGATATAACACACTAACAATACTTGGACCTTTAGGTTTTGTATGTGCATGCACCCCATTAATTGACACCCTTACTGCTGAGTAGACATCAGAATACAAATAGATTTCCATTTCTTGGATACCAAGGGAAGTGGGCCATCTCTACATTAACGAATCAGTAGTCCCATCAGCCCCCTTCATGGATCACTGCCTTGTCGTGGCGAAGGGGCTTGAATAACTCAAAGAAGCTATGAACTACGCTGAGCAGGGCACCCAAGATGGACAGGTCATGGTGGAGAGTTTTGACCAAACGTGATCCACCTGGAGCAGGAACTGGCAAGCCACTCCAGTATCCCTGCCAAGAAAACTCCATGGACAAAGACAACAGGCATATAAAGTTATGACGCTGGAAGATGAGCCCCTCAGGTCGGAAGAAGTCCAACATGCTACTGAGGAAGAGCGGAGGACAAGTACAAGTAGATTCAGAGCTGATGAAACGGCTGGGCCAAAGCCGAAAGGTCGCTCAGTTGCGGATATGCCTGGAAGCGAAAGGAAAGTCCAAAGCTGTAAAGAAAAATATTGCATAGGAACCTGGAATGTAAGAACCATGAACCTGGGTAAGTTGGATGTGGTCAAAAATGAGGTGGCAAGAATAAATATTGACATCCTGGGCATCAGTGAACTAAAATGGACGGGAATGGGCGAATTCAGTTCGGATGACCATCATATCTACTACTGCGGGCAAGAATCCCGTAAAAGAAATGGAGTGGCCCTCATAGTCAACAAAAGAGTGGCGAAAGCTGTACTGGGATGCAATCTCAAAAATGATAAAATGGTCTCGATATGAATCCAAGGCAGACCTTTTAATATCACAGTAATCCAAGTTTATGCACCAACAACTGGTGCTGAAGAAACTGAAATTGACCAATTCTATGAAGACTTACAACACCTTATAGAAGTGACACCAAAGAAGGATGTTCTTCTCATTATAGGGCATTGGAATGCTAAAGTAGGGACTCAAGAGATAAAAGGAACAACTGATAAGTTTGGCCTTGGAGATCAAAACGAAGCACGGTTAAACTGAAGAAAGTAGGAAAAACCACTGGGCTGGTAAGATACAATCTAAATCAAATCCCTTATGAATACACAGTAGAAGTGAATAACAGGTTTAAGGATTTAGATTTGGTGGACAGAGTGCCTGAAGAACTATGGGTGGAGGCTCGCAACATTATACAGGAGGCAGCAACGAAAACCATCCCAATGAAAAGGAAATGCAAGAAAGCAAAGTGGCTGTCCAACAAGGCCTTACAAATAGCGGGGGAGAGAAGGCAAGAAAAATGCGAGGGAGATAGTGAAAGATACAGGAAATTGAATGCAGATTTCAAAAAAATAGCAAGGAGACACAAGAAGGCTTTCTTAAACGAGCAATGCAAAGAAATAGAGGAAAACAGCAGAATGGGAAGAACCAGAGATCTGTTCAAGAAAATTGGAGATATGAAAGGAACATTTCGTACAAAGATTACCATAATAAAGGACAAAAGTGGTAAGGACCTAACAGAAGCAGAAGACATCAAGAAGAGGTGGCAAGAATACACAGAGGAATTATAGCAGAAATATATGGATGGCTCGTATACCCCAGGTAGTGTGGTTGCTGACCTTGAGCCAGACATCCTGGGGAGTGAAGTCAAATGGGCCTTAGAAAGCACTGCAAATAACAAGGCCAGTGGAAGTGATGATATTCCAGCTGAACTATTTAAAATTTTAAAAGATGATGCTGTTAAGGTGCTACACTCAATATGCCAGCAAATCTGGAAAACTCAGCAGTGGCCAGAGGATTGGATCAGTCTACATCCCAATCCCAAAGAAGGGCAGTGCCAAAGAATGCTCCAACTACCGCACAATTGCACTCATTTCACACGCTAGCAAGGTTATGCTTAAAATTCTACAAGGAAGGCTCAAGCAGTATGTGGACCGAGAACTCCTATAAGTGCAAGCTGGATTTTGAAGGGGCAGAGGAACCAGAGACCAAATTGCAAACATGCGCTGGATTATGGAGAAAGCTAGAGAGTTCCAGAAAGACATCTACTTCTGCTTCATTGACTATGCCTTTGACTGTGTCAACCACAGCAAACTATGGCAAGTTCTTAAAGAAATGGGAGTGCCTGATCACCTCATCTGTCTCCTGAGAAATCTCTATGTGGGACAAGAAGCTACAGTTAGAACTGGATATGGAACAACTGATTGGTTCAAAATTGGGAAAGGAGTACAACAAGGCTGTATATTGTCTCCCTGCTTATTTAACTTGTATGCAGAATTCATCATGCGAAAGGCTGGGCTGGATGAATCCCTAGCCGGAATTAAGATTGCCGGAAGAAATATCAACAACCTCAGATATGCAGATGACACAACCTTGATGGCAGAAAGTGAGGAGGAATTAAAAAAACCTTTTAATGAGGATGAAAGAGGAGAGTGCAAAATATGGTCTGAAGCTTAACATAAAAAAAAACCCAAGATCATGGCCACTGGTCCCATCACCTCCCGGCAAATAGAAGGGGAAGAAATGGAGGCAGTGAGAGATTTTACTTTCTTGGGCTCCATGATCACTGCAGATGGTGACAGCAACCACGAAATTAAAAGACGCCTGCTTCTTGGGAGAAAAGCAATGACAAACCTAGACAGCATCTTAAAAAGCAGAGACATCACCTTGCCAACAAAGGTCCGTATAGTAAAAGCTCTGGTTTTCCCAGTAGTGATGTATGGAAGTGAGAGCTGGACCATAAAGAAGGCTGATTGCTGAAGAATTGATGCTTTTGAATTATGGTGCTGGAGGAGACTCTTGAGAGTCCCATGGACTGCAAGAAGATCTATCCATTCTGAAGGAAATCAGCCCTGAGTGCTCACTGGAAGGACAGATCCTGAAGCTGAGGCTCCAATACTTTGGCCACCTCATGAGAAGAGAAGACTCCCTGGAAAAGACCCTGATGTTGGGAAAGATGGAGGGCGCAAGGAGAAGGGGATGACAGAGGACGAGATGGTTGGACAATGTTCTCAAAGCTACCAGCATGAGTTTGACCAAACTGCGGGAGGCAGTGGAAGACAGGAGGGCCTGGCGTGCTCTGGTCCATGGGGTCACGAAGAGTCGGACACAACTAAACGACTAAACAACAACAAAAACAGTCCCATCAGCAGATACACCTGGAACTGGTAATGCAGCAAGATGGCCCTGCCAGAGGATGCTTGCGGACAGATGAATCGCTTTGGAAAGCAAACCTATGAACAGAAAACAGACTCTGCCCAGTAGCACTTATTATCTCTGCAGTTCAAAATCAATGGAAAGTCCATGTATTCATTTAAACAAGACACAATATCTTCCACAGGTTTATGAACACAGCATAATGAATCCTTGCATCCAGGTACATATACAGAAGCCAGGAAGACCTGCTTAATTATAGTTCCAGTCACATTCCATGTGTCCCCCCCCCATCTGTTACCTGTTCCATGGCTCCACCTTCACTCTCGTCATCTTTCAAACCATTTCCAGACCTCAGCTCCTCCCACATAAATAGTAGAGAATCTGTTACCTCGCCAAATGGATTAAAATCAATTAACCACACTCTACCCTGCAGAAGAAAAATGGCAGAAGCAAAACATAAATCTATTTATATAGGACAACATAAAAAAAGCCTTTTAAATGGAATGTTGACCCACATGCTTTCGCTAATTTTCATGTGGGGTTCAGTTCATTAACACAATGGCTATCTGATCTGGTGGGGTGGAAGCAAGGCTGGTTGAGGAGGTCAGGAAACCACACATTAACAATTAAAACATATGTGGAGGTTGACTTATGGAGGGTTGACCTATTGGTGTCTATGAGCCATGACAGCTAAATAGCATCTGGATAGCAGGTGCTAATACCAAACAATGAGGGGTGGCTGCTACCTGTGAGGCAGGCTTATTAAGAGAACTTCCATAGGGATGCCTTCCAAATGTTGTGGACTTCAACTCCTATCATGACTGACCATTTAGCATGCTGGCAGAGGCGAATGGGAGCTGCAGGCCACAAAATCCCGAGGGCACTAGCCTGGCTGCCCCTGTTCTTAAAGTATCTGACTGGACGCTGCTGGAGGCGGAATATTGTGGCTTCAGCCTGATCTAGCAAGACAATTCTTGCCTATATCACAAAACGGCAAGCCACTGTCTTTTGCAGTCTTTCCATGCATGCATGTACTAGACGTGAAAGGGTGCTGTCACTTAAATAAATCAGGCAAAGTCCACATTTTGGATCCCTGTTGTACTGGTAAAACAAGATAAAGCTAACCCACAAACTGAAACTAACATGAGGACAAATAAAAGAGGATGTGGCTCTCCTTTATTACATACACAGCCCAACAAGACAACAACCCACCATACAGCCATACAGATTGACATGGCTACCTTGACACAACTCCTCCTGCCCCTCACACATGCAAACAAATCTCACTGCTGTCAGCTGAAAGCAAGCAATCACAGGCCCCAACCTCTCTTACGCCAAAGAAAACAAATACATGAATAGAAAGAAAGCCTACCCATGTGATGCTGACACAAAAACCTCACACTTTCACCATGCAGACTACTGCCTGCTTCTCCCTCCGCTCTCCCCCCCTCGCCTTATACTGTATACAACATTAAAGTCTCACATCAAACATAACTGATCAATAGAAAGGACTTTATGATATGAAAGTAGAGACAATGTTCGTACTATTGTAACCCAAGAAAATCCTTAATAAAAACAATTTAAAGAAAAGATAAAACCAATTTGGTCACAAAAAGAATCAGCGGCTAGCAAATTTTGACCCTTTGGTGTGAAAGGTCTCCGTCTTCAGCTTGATGAAGTGCAAAGTGTTAAAACAGCTGTATGCAGTTTGCCCGTCTAAACCATTTGAGAGGCTTTGGCAGGAAGATTTCTACATCATTTAGAAGGTGGGTAGGCAGGCCACTCTTCCCAGTGTTCATGACTATGCCAAAGTTTTGCCAGCACACATCATTTCAACTTATCTCTGCTGCCACAACAGATTTCTTTCTTTTAAATGAAAACTGGGATGCTCAGGATTCTAAGGGGCGGAAGCCACACAAAATAGCATCAGTCCGTGCACAGTTATGACCGTCTACTCAGGCAGATGGAAGCTCCAGTATCAAAGATCACTTACAGAGATGTTGAATGGACAAGGAAGTTCTACAGTTTCAACCACAATGTTTCTCCAATTCCTATCCGTACCTTCCTTTGGAACATTCCTTTGGTGGCCTTGAACGGTTGTCAATACTTCAGAACAAACAAACAAGGTTCAGCAAGACTGCCCGGCTGAGAGTGCTGAACAGCCCAGACTCACTGGAACAATTTGCTGCCAAGGAGTGTGGTGGAGTCTCCTTCTTTGGAGGTCTTTAAGCAGAGGCTTGACAACCATATGTCAGGAGTGCTCTGATGGTGTTTCCTGCTTGACAGGGGGTTGGACTCGATGACCCTTGTGGTCTCTTCCAACTCTATGATTCTATGAACTCTGGGGTTGAGGCAAATGTCAAAAATGTTTTAAAATGTTTTTAAATAGTTTTTAATTTGTGGCATTTTAAATTACAGTTTTATGGTCTGGTTTTTGCTATGTTGGGGGTGAATTAAATGATTAGTTGGGGCTGGGGATTAGTTTAATTTTCAGTATAACTGTGAATTGTGGTTTTTTTTGTTGTTTTTTTAAATTAGTTTCTATCGTTTTATATAGTTTGTATTTGGTCCCTGGAAAAGACCCTGATGTTGGGAAGGAAGGATAACAACAGGAAGATTTGAAGAAGGAACTATTGGAAACTCAAGGCAGTAGAAACATAAGAGGATTAGTACCCCACTGAACTTGAAGCATGGGAAGCCCCCCCAAAAAATTATAATTTGGCAGAATATTTGGACTATATGATATGTATTTGTATAATTTGGAATACTTAATGTGATTTGATTGGATTGTTAAAATGGAAAATTTAATAAAAAATATTTTTTTAAAAAAGAAGGAAAAGACCCTGATGTTGGGAAAGATTGAGGGCACAAGGAGAAGGGGACGAGGACCAGATGGTTGGACAGTGTTCTCGAAGGTACGAACATGAGTTTGACCAAACTGCGGGAAGCAGTGGAAGACAGGAAGGCCTGGCGTGCTCTGGTCCAGGGGATCACGAAGAGTCGGACGTGACTAAACAACATCAACAAATTTGGTTCTTGAAGGGAGAGGGTCAGGGCTGCCTGGAAGTGGGCCCCAGCCAACAGAATGACTGGGGCAGGTTCCACGTGGGGTGGGATGCACTGGGACACCTGATTTCAGTGATCATGAATAAGAGGAGTTACGCCAGGACCAGACCATGTCATTACCGAGGAGGCAGGTTTAGTCGTTATTGGAGGACTATCCCTGCCTCCGGGTCTGGTCTTGACCAGAAGGATATTGGAATCAGCAAGGGAGACCCACATGACCTGAAGGTGCTGCTGTGCAATGCCACATCAATGATTCACAAGACCACTGCCATACATGACTTTATCGTGGATGGAGGACTTGACATGACATGTGTAACAGAGATTTGGTTGAATGAAGCAGATGGGCCTGTTCTTGCCGCTGCTTGTCCACCAGGTTTCTCTTTTGCACAGGTCATGTGGGTGGGGAGGGGGGTTTGCAGTGATTTTTAGGAAGTCATTAGCTTACACCAGGCATCCTATTGGGAAGACCCAGTTTTTTTGTTTTTTTTTAATAATATTTATTAAAATTTCAAAGGATACAAAAATTACACAAAAACAAAAAGTAAAAATACAGAAAGTAAAAATACAAAAAGTAAAAATACAAAAAAATAGAAAATACAGAAAAAAGAATAAAGAAAAAACAAAACAAGTTCATTTATTTTCAGATCCTTAACTGTCATTGTCTTCTTTATTAGACCTCCTCCTCCTCCCTTCCTTTGTATTCTAATTATTAATTATCCCAGCAAATCCTTTCCTTTCCATGTTTCATAAAATTCTATCATTACATTACCCTCGACTAATTTAATCCTATCTTTCTATAATAAAATAAACCTTAAAGTTTAAAACTTAAGTCTTAACCTTACCAGCTTCTTGTGATCATAATATTCTTTCATAATTCTTTATGCATCTTTACTAAAGCCAGGTAATTTCTTCCAACATTTTTCTATCATTCATCAACTTTATAAAACATTCTAATAATAAAGAAAAAAAAAGAGAAAGATATAGACAAGTCCAATCTTTATCCAACGTCCCTTCCTCCTGGTTCCGGGATTTGTCAGTCCTTATTGGGAAGACCCAGTTTTTTTAGTGCATGTTCTGGAAGTTGGGCAATAGGGGCAGTACAGGATTCCTTTTGGTGTACCAACCTCCACGCTGCACCAAGGATTCCCTGGCCAAGCTGCTTCAGGTCATGGCAGATGTTCTCCTGGAGGGCGAGGGCGGGAGAGTGCTAGAGTCCTGTCTAGTCAAGTTGCATGGGATCAATTCCAATCTGTTACCTCTGAGGATGTGGACAGGCTGCTTGGACGAGTGAAACCAACCACCTGTCTCCTTGATCCTTGCCCATCCTGGCTCATAAAAGCAAGCTGGGAAGTACTGGGTGATGGACTCTGTGGGGTGGTGAATGCATCCCTCTGTGAGGGAGCCTTCCCAGACCCACTGAAAGAGGGGGGGGTTGGGCTGAAAGTTCATCAGTATGCGGATGATACCCAGCTCAACCTCTCATTTAAATCAGAAGCAGTGAAGGCTCTGAAGGTCCTGAGTGAGTGTCTGGAGGAGGTTGGAGAATAGATGACGGCTAACAGATTGAGGTTGAATCCTGACAAGATAGAAGTCCTGTTTTCGGGAGATGGGGTGGGCAGGTGTGGAGGAGTCCCTGGTCCTTAATGGGGTAACTGTACCCTTGAAGGACCAGGTGCACAGCCCAGAAGTCATTTTGGACTCACAGCTGTCAATGGAGGCACATGTCAATTCTGTGTCTACCAGCTCCGTCCAGTACGCAGGCTTACGTGCCCACAGACTGTCTCGCCAGAGTGGTGAATGCTCTAGTTATCTCCTGCTTGGACTACTGCAATGTGCTCTACGTGGGGCCACCTTTGAAGGTGACCCAGAAACCACCACTAATCCAGAATGCTGCAGCTAGACTTGTAACTGGGAGTGGCCACCGAGACCATATAACACCGGTCCTGAAAACCAACATTGGCTCCCAGTACGTTTCCGAGCACAATTCAAAGTTTTGGTGCTGACCTTTAAAACCCTAAATGGCCTCAGCCCAGTATACCTGAAGGGGTGTCTCCACCCCCATCGTTCAGCCCGGACATTGAGATCCAGCTCTGAGGGTCTTCTGGCGGTTCCCTCCCTGCGAGAAGTGAGGTTACAGAGAACCAGGCAGAGGGCCTTCTTGGTAGTGGCGCCCACCCTGTGGAACGCCCTCCCATCAGATGTCAAGGAAATAAACAACTATCTGACTTTTAGAAAACATCTGAAGGCAACCCTGTTTAGGGAAGTTTTTAATGTTTGATGTTTTATTGTGTTTTTTATTTTCTGTTGGGAGCCGCCCAGAGTGGCTGAGGAAGATAAATTATATTTTTATTTTTATCATCATCATCTAGCAATATGAGCCACCAAACACCTTTGCTCTGCAGCAGCAGACTCAGAAGATAATGCTGCTCAATTGCAGGTTTCCACAACCCAGTAATGAATAAAGAAAGTACAAGTAAATATGATCGCTCCAATAAATTCTAGGCAGTTAAGCACATTTTTCTGTCTATTTTTGACATCACAATGTTGTTAATAGCCACACTTTTTTGACTACTATTCAAGATTATTCCTGCTAGAGGAAAACCTTCCACTAGAGATTCATTTCTATAACAACTTTTAAGGTTTAATAATCAATCTGCACAAACATCTTTTTTCAAACATTCACATAGCTGAAATGCTTCTCCAAAAGCTCCATTGTGCCCACAGAGCCCGTTTGTCATGCCCAGGTTCACTGCAGACATTTATAGCCCAAACCTAAATATAGTTGCTTGCAAATCCACTAATCTTGGTGGAACAGGCTCAGCGGTAGATCAGCCATCGGCTGCTCTGAGGAAAGCCAGAGTACCAGAGTTGGATATCTATCAGTGAAAGTGCTTGGTATAAGCTTGAAAGACACATCTATTTTATCACTTTTAAAATGCCATGGCTTTCCACAAAAAAGGGGTTGGTTAAAGGTGCTGAAAGTGGTTTCACCATCAATCCCTCTTGCCAGGGAGCTTCGAGCAATATAGCTCTGTGAGGGGAATAGGGCTCTCCTAATAACTCTTAGCACCCATAAGAAACTACAGTTCCCAAGATTCTTTGGGGGAAGCCATGACTGTTAAAGTGGCATAATACAGCTTTCAATATATGTGGCCAGAACTGCATATACAGCCCTCTTACACTTGACCCATTTGATTCTGTTTAAAAAGTGACAGGCATTAACTGCCGCCGTGCATTGGTTCAAACCTGCATGTTTCTCTGTTTTTGATACTTCTTTCAATCGTTTTATCAATTGGTACTTCAACAAAATTAAATTAGAAATTCATGGAGGATAAGGCCTTGCTTGTGGCTTCTCATAGACCTCTGGTTGGTTAGTGTGAGAACAGGATTCTGGAGCGCATGGGCCTTTGGCTGGATCCAGCAAGGAGCCTTCTTAACTAATGAAGAACAACTGTGGTGTTTTATGAACAATTCTCAAGACACTTCCGTTTCAAGACGCCCCCCAAACACTGTTCCCTTACCACCTACCCAGAAAAGCTGTAAAGAGAAAGGAGATGATGAAAACTGGAGGGAGGGAGGGAAAAGGAGTATACAATGTACTTGACCAGGCATCTTCAAACTCTGGGCTGCGGGCCGGGTCTGGCCCACCAGGCTCATTATTCCGGCCTGCCGCCCGCTTGGTCATTCCCCACGCACTGAGCTAAATCGGCACGGTGTTTCCTTGAGAAGAAGCCGTGGCGCCTCGCCACAAAGGGACTGACTTCCGCAATGCTGCTGCGGCTTCACATTGGTAGCAGGAAACTCCTGCTGCCAATCCAAAGCCACGGACGCCTCTGGACGGGGGGCGACGCTGCCATCATCACAAGAACCCAGCCGGCTAAGCCGTGCCAAGCAGCAAATATGGCTCCCCAGCGCAAGGAATTTCTCCTTGATCCAGCATGTCTCCAAAAAGGCTCCCCTGGTAACGCACAAGCAGATAAGGGTGACTTATTTGGAAGATGCTGGATTTTCAGTGCCCTCCTTTTCCTTTCCTTTCCGCACCAGGATTCTTGGGGAAGGAAGGAGGAGGAGGAGAAGGATCAAGTCTGGGCAAACTGAACTGAGCTCAAGCCATCTGCAAAGTGGATCTGACCTGACACGGATCAACAGCCCAGGCTGGGAAGATGGGCGGGCAGGGGTGGGTGCTGTGCAGCGCCAGCAAGAGACTGAGCTCTCGGGGAGCTGAAATGGACACGATCCCATTCTGTTTCACCTCCGGCTGCCTTAAAGACTTCCCCACCCACTAACACCTAATTGTCCAGCCTGCTTGTGGACGCTGCGAAGGGGGCCAGGCAAGGGCGGAAAGCAACAAGCAGAGGGAAGGGGTCAGTAGACTTGCTCAGTGAGGAGTGGGCCCACCTCCAATTGCCTTGCTGCCTTGCCTAGGACCCCCAATCGCCAGAAAAGCAGGTCAGGAAGCGGGGGGGTGAGGTGGGGGAGATTCAAGGGAGAACGGGCGGGGCGGGGGAATCCTTTTGCAGTCAGCTGCATTCCCATGCTATAGGACAGGTGGCCATGCCCTGGAAAGGAAGTGAGGGGGAGGCGTGCGCGGGCAAGGCAGTGATGGTCAGATCCAGCCAATCCAAGGAGGTGCTGCCTCTCTGCAAGCTCGCCTTGTTCCTCTGCACATGCCGATGGTGCAAATATATTCTGCATGGGCAAGAATGCTGTCTTTGTCGACTGTGCCTTCCAGAGGAGGGGTGGCCCTGCATTTGCCCCCGCAGTGAGTCATGAGGATGGGCAACACGCAGACAGGCTGCACCATGGGGATCGGGGGTAGGGAAAAGTGCGCGGGCAGGCTAGCGCATGGGGATTTGGGGTTGGAGGACAGGCGTGCAAGCTGGGGGTCGTGGATGGGGGTTAGGGAGACGTGTACCAGCTGGGTTGTGGGGATGGGGGCATGGAAGGCCTGCATGTAGACTGGGCCACGGGGGTGAGGGAGATCCATGTGTAGATTGGGTGGTAGGGACGAGGATTAGCGATATTGACCATCTCATTAGCCAAAAGCAGGCCCATACTTCCCATTGAAATACTTATAAGTTTATGTTGATTAAAATCGTTCTTCATTTTAAATATTGTATTGTTTTTCCTGTTTTTTTGTGCACTACAAATAAAATGTGCAGTGTGCATAGGAATTCATTCATATTTTTTTCAAATTATAGTCCAGCCCACAACAGTGTCTGAGGGACAGTGAACCGGCCCCGTTTAAAAAGTTTGGGGACCCCTGTCCTGGACAAACACAGAGACACAAACAGAAACAAGCACGCACACACTTTAGAACAGGCATAGGCAAACTCGGCCCTCCAGTTGTTTTGGTACTACAACTCCCATCATCCCTGACCACTGGTCCTGTTAGCTAGGGATGATGGGAGTTCATAGAATCATAGAATCATAGAGTTGGAAGAGACCACAAGGGCCATCGAGTCCAACCCCCTGACAAGCAGGAAACACCATCAGAGCACTCCTGACATATGGCTGTCAAGCCTCTGCTTAAAGACCTCCAAAGAAGGAGACTCCACCACACTCCTTGGCAGCAAATTCCACTGTCGAACAGCTCTTACTGTCAGGAAGTTCTTCCTAATGTTTAGGTGGAATCTTCTTTCTTGTAGTTTGGATCCATTGCTCCGTGTCCGCTTCTCTGGAGCAGCAGAAAACAACCTTTCTCCCTCCTCTATGTGACATCCTTTTATATATTTGAACATGGCTATCATATCACCCCTTAACCTCCTCTTCTCCAGGCTAAACATGCCCAGCTCCCTTAGCCGTTCCTCATAAGGCATCGTTTCCAGGCCTTTGACCATTTTGGTTGCCCTCCTCTGGACACGTTCCAGTTTGTCAGTGTCCTTCTTGAACTGTGGTGCCCAGAACTGGACACAGTACTCCAGGTGAGGTCTGACCAGGGCAGAATACAGTGGCACTATTACTTCCCTTGATCTAGATGCTATACTCCTATTGATGCAGCCCAGAATTGCATTGGCTTTTTAGCTGCCGCGTCACACTGTTGGCTCATGTCAAGTTTGTGGTCAACCAAGACTCCTAGATCCTTTTCACATGTACTGCTCTCAAGCCAGGTGTCCCCCATCTTGTATTTGTGCCTCTCAATTTTTTTGCCCAAGTGCAATACTTTACATTTCTCCCTGTTAAAATTCATCTTGTTTGTTTTGGCCCAGTTCTCTAATCTGTCAAGGTCGTTTTGAAGTGTGATCCTGTCCTCTGGGGTGTTAGCCACCCCTCCCAGTTTGGTGTCATCTGCAAATTTGATCAGGATGCCCTTGAGTCCATCATCCAAGTCGTTGATAAAGATGTTGAATAAGACCGGGCCCAAGACAGAACCCTGTGGCACCCCACTAGTCACTCTTCTCCAGGATGAAGAGGAACCATTGATGAGCACCCTTTGGGTTCGGTCAGTCAGCCAGTTACAAATCCACTGAGTGGTAGCATAGTCAAGACTGCATTTTACCAGCTTCTTTACAAGAATATCATGGGGCACCTTGTCAAATGCCTTGCTGAAATCAAGGTAGGCTACATCCACTGCGTTCCCTTCATCTACCAGGCTTGTAATTCTGTCAAAAACGAGATCAGGTTAGTCTGACATGACTTATTTTTCAGAAATCCATGCTGACTATTGGTGATCACAGCATTCCTTTCTAGGTGCTCACAGACAGTTTGCTTAATGATCTGCTCCAGAATCTTCCCTGGTATTGATGTCAGACTGACTGGGCGGTAATTATTTGGGTCCTCTCTTTTCCCCTTTTTGAAAATAGGGGCCACATTTGCCCTCCTCCAGTCTGCCGGGACTTCGCCTGTTCTCCAGGAATTCTCAAAGATGACTGTCAGTGGTTCTGAGATCACATCTGCCAGTTCTTTTAATACTCTTGGATGCAGTTCATCTGGCCCTGGAGACTTGAATACATCTAAACTAGCCAAGTATTCTTGTACTATCTCCTTAGTTATTCTGGGCTGTGTTTCCTCTGCTGAATCATTTGCTCCAAATTCTTCAGGTCGGGCATTCTGCTCTCAAGCCAGGTGTCACCCATCTTGTATTTGTGCCTCTCATTTTTTTTGCCCAAGTGCAATACTTTACATTTCTCCCTGTTAAAATTCATCTTGTTTGTTTTGGCCCAGTTCTCTAATCTGTCAAGGTCATTTTGAAGTGTGATCCTGTCCTCTGGGGTGTTAGCCACCCCTCCCAGTTTGGTGTCATCTGTAGTCCCAAAACATCTGGAGGGCCGAGTTTGCCTATGCCTGCTTTAGAGAGCCAGGCTTACCAAAACATTTATCTAGCTCAGCATCCTGTTTCCCTCCAGTAGCCAACCAGATTTTCACATGAAGCACAAACATGACATGAGGACCATAGGCCTCTCCTGCTGCTGTCCCCTGCAGAGCCATGATCCTGGAAGCAGCTCAGCGATCATGACTAGTAGCCATTAATAGTCTGGAGATGCAGTTGACAATATTTTATTTTTAAAAAGGCCCCCAAAGCCATACCATGTGTTTTGCACATTAGGCTGTTTCATATATCATGCTTATCCTTCTATTTTGCCATTGGATCCAGTAAGGTCCTAACCTACTGCTCAGAACACTTAATTACTGGGCAGCTTCCAGCATTGTGAAACCGCAAGTGTGACTCTCAGAAGACAGGCTCTCTGAGCAAATGACAATTCTCACACTCCCAAGGTATATCCATGTAACAGATACAGATACTATTTTGTTTTACATAAATACATCACACATTACTTAATGCCATATTGATTTTAAGCATGAGAAAGAAGCCACTGCCCACTTCCATAGAAGATGGACTTGCCCTGCCATTACAGACATATACAACATGTAGAATTTGACCACATTTAATTATATAGCAAGTCAGCATTATAGATCCCATGCTGATAGAAAACTGGTCCACCAAAATCCATGGTTAATGTGAAATGTGAACTTTTTAGCCGCTGCAGCAAAGGCTCCAGCATCGTCCCACGAGTAAAGAACCACTGCTAGCAGTCCCCTGTGGTGCTTTGAGACAGAGGCAGGTGCCAGTGGTGTAGATCCTGTAAGAGGGATTGGACCCATCACCTATACCAGACTGGAGCTGGCATATCAAAAAATAAAGAAAAATTTGCCTGCCCCATCTTCCGTTCTGGCAGGTATGAGCCAGGAGGGCTTTCAATGCCGTAGTAGATTTGCTTGGAACAGTTGAAGTGCAGGATAGAATGGCTGACTATGATTATGCAGACCTGCCAATATTGTCTCCATCCCCAAATAGGGCACCAGCAAATCTTAACAAGGTATTACAGAGAAGGATGAAGTAGAGCTTGTGTTTTAGAATTTAACAAACAGCCATTCATTCCCTTGCAGCAACACAAACTGCAATTTCTACATTCATATGTTGAAAACCCACATTTCCAGGCGGTAATGGTATTAAAGACTGCAAAATCACTCCAATTCAGTGGTGACTGGAACCAGGTTTCTGCTTAAGATAAATACCCAAAATTCTACAATATTGATTGTTTCAAGAAAAAATGAAAAATCCCACTGGGAACTCACAGAACCAGTGTGCCTGAAGCACACTTGGATATGTACCATTCATGCTTATTGATGGGTACCCTGCATAAGATCATGGCAACTGTTTTATTACTGTACACTATCACTTTTTTTTTTTTGAAAAGCAGAATAAAATACTGCTTTGCCAAGGAGACCATAGTCAAAAACTTACACAGAATAAAAATAATCATAGAATCACAGAGTTGGAAGAGACCACAAGGGCCATCGAGTCCAACCCCCTGCCAAGCAGGAAACACCATCAGAGCACTCCTGACATATGGTTGTCAAGCCTCTGCTTAAAGACCTCAAAAGAAGGAGACTCCACCACACTCCTTGGCAGCAAATTCCACTGTCAAACAGCTCTTACTGAACAGCTCTTAAAGCATTACAAACCAAAGAGTTGACTTACCATGCTGTCCCTGTAGATGTCAAACACAACTAGAAAGATTAAAGAAGGAAAAAGAAAAGGGGAGGGGAGGGGAGGGAAAGAGAAGAGAAGAGAGGAGAAGAGAAGAGAAGAGGCAAGATTAATAGGTTTACTAAGCAAAACCTGAAAACCACTTCAAATTTTTTGCTTTTAGGCCTTCTTAGAACTGAAGGTGCTCTTATTATGTTACACTGAAACAAACATGGGTTCTTCCGGTGCTGTGAAAGGGTAAGTGAGATGTGTTGGGCCAAGCAGGAGGAGGGCACACTCCGCCTCTTCCCATGAACTTCATCCTTCCCAGAAAACTAGGACAACTGAGAGCACAATCCAAACCCCCAATCCAGCACGCGTGGGAATGGGGAGCTTGTACGAGGCAGACCTCTCTTGTCATCCAGCCCCAAATGGTCTCCACCTGCCGAGTGACATCACTCCACTGCCATGAAACGCCTGGCTCCTGCCCTTGATGAGCTCCTCTCTAGCAGCAGTCCCTGGAAAGCCCCCAAACAGGGCCTTCTGTAGGAGGGACCGAGGCTGCCCAGGTCTGCATGAGTGATGGGCCTGTAGATATTGTGGCAGCTACTCTGCTGGATTGCTTTGCCAGGGTCCCTTGTCGCCTGGGGCTTCTCCTGCTACTGCAGTGGCAAAGTAGAGAGCCCTGCTGAGTGATGCAAGATGGAGCCGCAAGACTTTTTAAGAAGTTCAGACCCTCCTCAGTGGTCTACACAAACGACTGTGAGCTTACTCACATTTTACACTAATAAAAACAACTTGCATTCTGCAAGCATAAGAACTGCCCTGCTGGATCAAACCAAGATCCATCTCGTCTAGCAATTCTCACTGTGGCACCAGATGCCTTGGAATGTCCTAAGCAGGGCTTGCGAGTATCAGCCATTCCCAATTTCTCCCCAGCAGCTGCTGCTCACAAATACTCTGCTACTTCACATAGAGGTTGTTGACAGAGAGAAAATAGCTCTGCCTATCTTGCTCCACCCCTATAAGCCTGGAAAAAGCTGCTACCACAAGCGAGAGGTGCGGCTGCCTGTCAACGTACATTGGCAAACTGTGGAGAACCCCATGACGCCTTTGCGAAATGCAGATTTATCTGGCCATGTACATGTAATGGTGTGTGAGGTTTTATTCTTCCTCCTGTTTAGCTTTAAGCCACAGGAGGCTAAAACCTGGCTAGGAGGTCTCATTTGGCCTCCCAATTATTTTTTTCTGCTCACCCCAAGACCCCTCCAATTTTGGCAGTGGCAGCACAAAATGGGGGTTGGGGGAATAAGTATTCACAATGCTGGGATGGATTTAAATATTTATATCTACTCTTGCGCCCTGATGGGGATACAGATTGACACTCACACTGATTTGCACAGAAGAGCCGTGGAGCGAGGGGGCTGCATGCCTGCATGTGCGCATGAGAATGCACGGAGAAGAGTGTGGCCGTACCTACTACCAAAAAGGTCAACTACCTCTTCTAAACTGCTGGATTAAGCCAGTTTACTGGTGTTGTTTTATTCAAAGTAGCATGAATTGCTAGTTTATTATGTTTATTTACTTATTAATAAGGTAATTTGCAAGTATTCTTATGTTTTTTGAATTTCTGTACTTAGCTGCTGCTCATTTGAGAGCTGCTCTGAGGAAATGATGCATACCAATAATTGGGTAGATAAGGCTGTCATGGCTGATCGGTTCATGAAAGAGATAGGTCTGCCATCAGCGATGAAATTTCTGCTTGAACTCATCTAACTAGGCTAGTGGTCATCACCATGTGGCATGACTTTTTGTTTAGATCCATGGTGTGACTGTATTTGAATTATTAAGTAAGCATAGACAGTTCTAGTCACTCCATGGCAAAACCAAATATTACAGAACTGAAAAGGGTACAGAAACAGGCAAGCAAAGTGATCAAGAAGCAGGAACACGTTCCCTATAAGGAAGAGCAGAAGGGTGTTGGGCTTTTTAATTATGAAGAGAGAGAGAGACAAATGACCAAAGGGGGACATGACAGGGGTTGAAAAAACCTGAAAAGACTTTGTGTGAGTGGAGAGAAAAGTATTTTTCAATCTCTTATTAACACTCGAGGGGGAAAGAATCAGCAATTAAGTTGATTGGCAGGAGATTCAGTACTTTCCACTTAACTAGCGCATAAATTAAATGATGATATTCACTACCAAAAGATGTGATGAAAGACACTGGTTTAAGGGGTCTTCAGACATTGCATTCCAGGTCAAGGTAAATGAGAGAAGGCAGTGGGAGGGGAACATTCACTTCATTCCTCACCATCATGGAAGGCGAGTTTCATGGAGGCTCCCTAGGCAGTTTAAAAGCCTGGTTTTCCAGGGTTCAAAAAATGTTTGGGGAGCTTTGACAACCTTCAGGTCTTTGGCTTCTAGAAGTGGGAAAGCAGTTGGAATGCCAACATGGGGCAGAGCTAGTGCACTCATCCCCAGGACCAACCCTCCTCGCCTGCCTTAAGTGTTTGCTTTGATCAAGAACATAACACCTGAAAAAGGATTCAGATGAGTCTGGAAAGTTTTAGGCAGATTTATGGGTGATAAGATTCTTATTAGTTACGGAGGTTTAAGGGAAATAACTCAAATGGGACTTCCCAGTAGCGTCTGCATAACTCTTAAGGCTGCAACACTACGCGGACTTAACTGAGAGTAAAACCCATTGAAATCAGTGGGAGTTAAATGGGCTTAGGCTGTGAGTGCTCAAACACACTGTGCTCAGCTGGATTTGGGAAGGCGTAAATTTCTCTGTAGTAGTAGCCCATGTGAACTTATGATCATCTGGTTACTGACACATTTGCTACATAAGTAAAGGGCTTCCTTTCATTCTTTGTCAAAGCAGGGTAGCTCAGCACAGGAAACTGCTTCAGGGCATTGGCCATTCTTGACCCTCCAAGTATTTCCTCTGAAGCATTATCAAGGAATTTTGTTCCCAAAACAGGGAGTCGTGTAGTCAATTTTTTTGGATATCTGAAAAAGTCTAAGTGACTGAAGTCAGACCACGCTCTCTTGCGTAGCCCATGAAATTACAACTCTTTGTAAACTGTTGTGCTTGCCTAGTCCAATAACTCTGGATGTTTTAAAGGTCAGTCAAGGCAGCCAGAGGTTCTCTTAGAACCTCCTGTTTAGACATATTGGAATGCAATTCTCATCATCTCCCACAGCTTTAGTGATTGAAAGTAAAGATTATTACTTGTTGCAAACACTACTATGTAGAACAGCCTCCCTCAACTTAACCAACCAACAAACCACGCTGGATTGAGTGTGGTTTATTTTCCCTGTATTTTTATAGTATGGTTGCTTAAAAAGGATTTATGTATTTTACAGATACCTATGACATGTGTAGGGACGCGGGTGGCGCTGTGGGTTAAACCACAGAGCCTAGGACTTGCCGATCAGAAGGTCGGCGGTTCGAATCCCCGCAACAGGGTGAGCTCCTGTTGTTCAGTCCCTGCTCCTGCCAACCTAGCAGTTCAAAAGCACGAAGTGCAAGTAGATAAATAGGTACCGCTCCGGCGGGAAGGTAAACGGCATTTCCGTGCACTGCTCTGGTTTCTCCAGAAGCTGTTTAGTCATGATGGCCACATGACCTGGAAAAACTGTCTGTGGAAGCGGACAAACCCCGGCTCCCTCAGCCTTTAAAGTGAGATGAGCACTGCAACCCCAGAGTCGTTCGCAACTGGACCTAACGGTCAGGAGTCCCTTTACCTTTATGACATGTGTGCTGCCTTGAGAGGCTTGTTTTGCACCAATGTATGGTTAAAATTAGCATTTCTGTACACACATTCTCTTACATAACAGGGTTCCGCTTGTATAGTTTTCTAAATTCAAAAATCAATTCCAAATTAAGTGATTAAAATATCACTACTTTTCTTTAGTGAAGAGTATCAATTTTTCAACCTTAGTTTGGATTTAATGAAATAGCATTCATTACAGCTGAAGAACAAATGAGACAACTCCATTCAAGAAAGACGGAAACACTTCTGTCCTTAAACAACTTTACCTCATATAAACTGAATAAAATAATCTAGGGCTATAAATTTCACTCTGACGGGGGCCACCAGGTGGCGCATTGGAAGATGGCCGACAATAACATCTCTCTGACCCACACGAGGTAATTAAGAGGCTGCTATGGGAAGTATGCAGTCTTCCCGACCCCCCAAGGAGATGGGGGGACAGTCTTGCCAGCGGTGGCCATAATGCACCCCCGGAATCGAGAGAAGGGGGTGCCGGTCACTTGGCACAGCCCTCGGTGAAGTCGGCTCTTCCCGGACGCCGTCTCCAATCTGCGCGTGCTGGTTTGCTTTAGCTCGGAAACATAATTGGAAATATATAATTGGAAAGAAGCTGAAGCACATACATCAAGCAAAGTTCGAGAGATAAGGCTGCTGATTAATGGATCTCTGGGATCAGAGCGGCGGGAGAGGACAAATAAATCAAGCGATGAAGCACCATTAAGAGATCGGTATGTTTGGAGAAGGGGGGTGGAGGAAAAAAACTTTTCTTTTCTTTATCCTATGTGAGCATTAATAATAACCCTCCACCCCAAAGAAAGAAGAAAGAAGAACCGCCGTATTTTATTTATCATAAGCAGGAATTCAAAAACTGTGTGGGATGAATTAATGATGAATGAAGAGAGGATTGGTAAATATCGGAGAATGGAAAATTCTATGACACAGTTTAAAATGGCGTCTCGCAAGACAGGCTTGTTTAAGAAAGACGGGGGGAGGAGAACCAGGACTCATTGGAATGTGAATGATGATTGAACTTGAATTTAACCTGGCAGAGCCCTCTATGAGATATTTTACAAGCCTGGGGAAACTAAAGGGCAGACCGAAGATAAATCTTTGAAGGAGGGGAACGGCGGCTGTCCCGAGATATGACTTGTGGAGTGTGTAAAACCCACACAGACGATGTTTGCTCTAACCTGCTTGTGAAGATTATCAGAGATCGCAAACAAAGGAATATATGACAACAATAAGAAGATGAAGAAAGTAATAAAGAGACTATCTGGATAGAACTGGATAGAACTGTTTAATTAAAGCAGTAATAGAAGTGATGTTCGGATCCTCGTTCGGAGCTTGATGTATGGGTACCCCCAACAAAATTGAAAAATTTGGCTGTATAATTTGGAACTAATGTGAATTGAAATAATGTGATATGATTGGCCTGTTAATAAAAATCATGTTGTTTTTTTTAAAAAATTCACTCTGACAAACTGCATGAGCACATGGGAGAAGAACCTGTACAATGTGAAACAAGCAAAGTCTACAGAGCTTCTTGGGAAACTTCTCACATGGCAAAAGAAGCAAACCAAATTTGAATAAAAAGCAACTGCAGGTGGAACTTTAAAAGATACCTCTGGGTGCACGTAGAATTCTGCTTCCACCCCACAGGTGTTCCTAGCTTTAAATAAAACTTTTAAGCTGCAAAAAAGCACCAGTTCCTTTCTAATGTTAGCTCAAAGAATACTTACAGTCTTCATCAAAAAACTTATACTGGATGTGTTTCTTGAAAAACTCTTGTGTAAGTCTACAGATCTCTTCTTTTTGTTTTGAGATGTGCTCGTAGTACTGAGTGTAGTCTCGCTGAGAGATACCTGTCAGGAGAATTACATCAGTCATCCATAGCTAATGTATGATTCAACTAGAAAGCAAAGCTGTCTGAAATACGCTTGCTGTGATGTTTCTTCTGGGACACTACCTGTGAAAGCCCACCCAGCAGAAATCTCCACAGTTCAAATGCACTGAACTAAACAACAGGTTTGTTGTGTTCATTGGTGGTGCTAATGCAGAATTATTTGTGCCCCACGTTTTCTCCAAGGAGCTCATTTCAAGCCTAACAACAGCTGCATGGGCTTGGTTAGGATGCAGAGACACGGATGGGACCAAGGACTTGCATAACTAAGCCCAACAAGCCAGTCACAGTACTGCCCTGGAGGGAGTGGCTAGCTGTCTGGCCCAGTTGTTTCCCCCTTAAAGGTAAAGATAAAGGTACCCCTGTCCATAAGGGCCAGTCTTGACAGACTCTAGGGTTGTGCGCTCATCTCACTCTAGAGGCCGGGAGCCAGCGCTGTCCGCAGAGACTTCCGGGTCACGTGGCGAGCGTGACGAAGCTGCTCTGGTGAACCGGCACCAGAGCAGCACACGGAAACGCCGTTTACCTTCCCGCTATAAAGCGGTACCTATTTATCTACTTGCACTTAAGCGGTACCTATTTATCTACTTGCACTTAAGGGTGCACTGCTAGGTGGGCAGGAGCTGGGACCGAACGACGGGAGCTCACCCCGCCGCGGGGATTCGAACCGCCGACCATGCGATCTGCAAGTCCTAGGCGCTGAGGTTTTACCCACAGCGCCACCCGCGTCCCCCTTACTTTCGCCAGTTGCCAAGGAAAGGGGAACCTGTACTCCCCGCAAACCAAGAGTTGTTGTTGGACTGTGGCTCCTATAATTACTGACCACTGCCCATGCTAGCAGGGGCCCATGGGAACTGGTGGTCCAACATTTGGAGGGCCACAGGCTCCCCATCCCTGATGTACACAATCTCTCTTTACTTGAGAAATATTGGGGTGCTGCACTTGCTCTAAACCAGTCCAGGAAATCATTTAAATGAAATGAAGAGCTACACCTGTTGCAGAGAGACAACATTCAGTTCTTTGGGACAGCAGCTGCATGAGTCACCTGGAAATTACTGTTATTTATCCTAGACAGCCTGAACTGCAAAGCTGAACTAGAGTCAGTCTACCAGAATGTCTCAAAGTGGACAGCTCAGTCAGTAGAGCAGGAGACTCTTAATCTCAGGGTTGTGGGTTCAAGACTCCTGCACAGCAGGGGGTCGACCAGATGGTGCTTGTGGTCCCTTTCCAACTCTACAATTCTATGAACACTCTTGACAAGGTAGTACTCTCTGTCTTTTACTCACTAATAATAGACACAAAAACATACATAACTCATATTCATATGGCTCAGATAATGCAGGACTAAAACAACTGTCACCATCTTCTACTAGCATCATATACCATTATTTGATATTACGGAAAGTGATGTACAGTGATACCTTGGAAGTCGAACATAATCAGTTCCAGAAGTCCATTCGACTTCCAAAATGTTTGGAAACCAAGGCACGGCTTCCGATTGGCTGCAGGAGCCAATTGGAAGCTGCGGAAGCTGCGTTGGACATTCGGGTTCCAAAGAACGTTTGCAAACCAGAACACTCACTTCTGGGTTTGTGGCGTTTGGGAGCCAAAATGTTAAGACTCGTAAGGCATTCATCAACCAAGGTACAACTGTATCTTTGTATCTTTGCTTGTTTCATTGTAATACTTTGTTGTGAACTACCTGCAATACAACGTCTATTGAAAAGCAGCTCATGTATCAAGTGACTCTCACTATGATCAATTAGGAGCAGCAACAACCAACAAAACAGGAATTGTAGCCAGATCAAACCATATATTCTTGCATAAAAAAGGAATGACACCCACTGTGAAAACACGTAAATGTGAGTCTTAAAAACGGCAGAGAAGAGCCATAACTCACAACCTCACCTATAAGCTTGTTTTCCTTCACAAAGCATCTGAATTCTGCCCCAGGAATCAATTCACACCATTTTCGGAGTACAAGCTATAGCAGAAAAACAAAATCATGAAAAAATCTTGATAACTATCAATTAGCAAAAACACACACTCTCAACATCAGCAGTAATTAAGAAATTTATAGTCACTGGAAGAAAGAAGACTGTCTTTGTATGCACAATTATCTCTGCAAACAAGCCAAGTCGTTGAAATGCTGCTCAAGTGAGATTTTTGTCACATTTCTTTATCTGTGAGAATCACTTAACTAATATGCAAATCTTTCTTTGGCCTCCATTAAGAAGGTAAGATTTGCCGTGCAGGACCAGCCAAAGGTCCATCTAATTCAGCATTCAGTGTTCAATAACAGCCAGCCAGATAATGCCAAAGGTTCACAAACAAGGCCCAAAGGTTACACCCCAATAGTTCCCAGCAGCTGCTTTTCTGATGAATACCAAGGCCAACATAAACGAGCATTTCTGCAAGAGGCGTTTTTGCACTCCCTCCTTGCCCCCCTCTAGGAACAAACATCTGCCAAAAAAACCCCCCACAAACCCTTTATAAAAAGTTCAAACTCTGCCAAAGCAACAAGAGTCAATTACTTAAACAGAGAGAAATCATTTGAGGTAAACACCAAGAAATTTGCACTGTCCTCAGTGTTAATCTGATTAATAGAACCCTAGGTATATTGCTTTCTTTTAAACAAAGAGGGAAATGCTAACATGGAGGTAAAGCTTTTGCTCATGTTTGCATAACTAAAACATGGTTTAGGGCTATGTGGATAAACTCTCTCAGCAGAGTTTAGTGTCATTTTTACTAAGTATTTCAGGCTTAGTATTACATTTGATGCAGGAATCCTGGTTCAAAACAAACTCTGGTAAGTTTCAAAGCAACTATTAAGCTGTCTTATTAAGCTCTCTGTGTAAGAACACACACAACAGTCTAGAAAAATAGTTTTCGCTTACCTCATATTGCAAATTGGGGTCAGGAGAATCATCATTACAATGGATAAATCTGGAAAAGGAAAGCAGGTGCACTAATTTGCTTTGAGACTAAGAACCGTAAACATTTGACATGAAAACTTTGCCAATGGCATTGTGGAGTATGTTAAAAATCAATAAGTAAAATCAAGATATGGAAAACAGCATTAGACTCTTCTCCTATCATCAACTCATTAAAAAAGGGGGGGGGGATTAGTTATGTGTTGCAAGCAGAAAGGTTAGCACTCAAGGAGATGCGCCTCCAGGAGCAAACCTTACTTGGGAGTGCGCAGAACACAGTTCCTTCTTCTATCCTTTCCCTACCAAGGCAGCCTGCTAATCTGAGGGGTGTGAAGACTGGGGCTGCTGAAGATATCACAGGCGCCACCTGACTGTGTTAGATGCTACAGGCATTATTCTCCATCTACAGAAGACTTATTTATTAAGGTCAAAATGGTTTCTAATCAGTTTTAGAGTCAAGCTTTTACTTACTTATTTGTATTTATTACACATACTTTGCTTTTCCCCACGGAGGTGGCCAGAGTGCATGGCCTGTTCTCAAATAGCCTCTTATTGAGGCAACTTACAGAGCTAAATCCATCGTGCTTTTAGCAGCATTATTTATATGTTTGTTTGTTTTATTGTTTATTATACATTCCTCACAGAGGAGCCCAGGGTGGCATCAGGTACTTCCAGCCAAAAAATACAGAGTGGAATCCCCCTGAAAGACCTAAATGTTGTATTGAAGGGTATGGAGGAATTGTTGCATGGAAGAAATAAACACTATTAATAACCACACACACAAACTGGAACATGCTCAATTTAATTATATGCAGCTTTACATATACTGGAAAAGTCTGCCATTGTTTACAAGCCCAGAACATCCCTTTGTTCACACAAAAGAGATTACACTGTGCGATTCTGTTAAACAATCCAAACACACAGGAGTTGTGGCTTTTAACAAGAGAGCCTGTTTCAAGGCATAATTTTATCAGGCAGGTGCTTGAAAAGCTGAGGAATCAAGGAATCAAGACATCCAATAGAAAGCTACATTGATTTTACCAAGTCAGTTCCTATAGATGCCCAGCCCTTGTTCCCAGACAGTGCCCACTCATATTTCACAAGCGGCAGCATCCCTCTAGTATTTTATGCCAAGCTGGGTACCTCAGAAGTTTGAAATAACTTAGAACTGTTTAACAAAGAGCAGTCGCATAACAGAAGCAGAGGTGTGTCGACAGGGATACTGAAAATTCACACAGGAAAGAAATACAGATCACTGCGAGAGTCAACAAATACCCATCCATTAAACACAGGAACTTTTCAAACATCTCTGTGTTCCAGAGGAATAGGAAGTTGTGCTTTTAAAGTAACTGAAGTAACTCCAGGTCAAGTTATCTTGAGCCAGTCTTTACATTGCTCCTTCTATCTTTTTGAACAATCCTATTTTCTATTTCTTGTGGGTTCTCTACTTTCTTAATTATTCTTGAGAAAGCCGGTAATCTACTTAGGTCTCAATTCTGTTCCTACATCTGGCAAGTAGCAATCATCTCAGTGGGAACATAGGAAGTTCCGTGACTGCCAACAATTATGCATTTTCTTTATATCTTTATGTTAATTGTAAATACTTCATTAAATCTGGTCACTCTTAAAATAAATTACATGAGAAAAAATTAGGGTGGAATCCAACATTGTGTGATTAGACTTCCACCCATGCATATTAGAAGTCTGTTCTGCTGACAACCCTTAAATGCCAGCTTTAAGTACTGCATGACTATACCAATATCGTTATTTGCAAACAAGAGTGACATTTTGTGAACAGCACAGACTGATGATATACACAGAATACCAGCTTAGTGCAGAACATGGATTGGGGACTTGGGATAGCTAACATGCAGAAAATAAACCAACTCCATCTCAAACTCTTGTTTTCATTGACGATATAACACTATGTTTGAAAAATATCAGCTTAATCATCACGTCTCTGTTCTGCAAATATAATCATAGAATCTTAGAGTTGGAAGGGATCCTGAGGGCCTCCTAGTCCCCACCCCCCGTAATGCAGGAACTTCAACTAAAGCAGGGGTCGGAAAGGCTTACCGGGCATGGGCCGGATCACTCCCACGGAGATCCTCCATGGGCTGGACCGGTGCAGTGCAACGCCAGAAATCGCGTCCTGCGCAGAAGTGATTTCCGGAGCCGCGGAAGAGAGTCCCTGCACTGCGCAGCACTCGGGACTCACCGAGTGGGCGGCTCGGTTCAGGGGCAGTTCATGGGCTAGTTAAGCAACCCCCATGGGCCTTAGGTTGCCAACCTCTGAACTAAAGCATCCAAGACAGATTGTCAGCCAACCTTTGCTCCAAAACCTCCACTGAAGAAGGCAAATACATTTGGGTTCTCAAGTGGCCTCCCATCCAAACACCGGGTACCAGGCTGAGATCAGCACAGTATCATCAAGGCTGCTGCATTATATGCTTTCAGACACCCTTGGGATAGCAAAAAGATTTGTAGCCCCCCCCCCCCCAAATGCAAAGATGACAGAACTAAATTTGAACTGCCCACCACAAGCTGTTCTCCAAGGAAAACAAAGTTTGTCAAATCTGCTGAAATCCTGAGAACATTAGGACAAACGACAGTCTGTTTCAGCTAAACCTTGCCCCCTTTTGGATGTTTAGCAGATGTGCAGTCCATCCATATCCAGCTTTAGTACCGTATTTTTCGCCCTATTGGACGCACCAGCCCATAGGACGCACCTAGTTTTCAGGGGGGGAAATCAAGGAAAAAAATATGACCCCCCCCCCCGCAGCTCTGGGAGCAGCAGACAGGCTGCACGCAGCCTGTGCGCTACTCCAAGACCTTCTCCCTGCTTTTGCGGGAGGTGGCGGAAATCCCCCACCTCCCGCAAAAGCCCACAGGAGCCATGCGCGACACCTACGGGCTTTTCGACCAGGAGGGAAAAGGGACTGAAATGGCCAGTCAGTCCCTTCTCCCTCCTCGGGGAAAAGCCCCCAAGAGCGGCGCGCTCTTCAAAGGGTGCGCGGCTCCTGCGGGCTTTTCTACGAGGTGGGGGAATTCCCCCACCTCCTAGAAAAGCCAGCAGAAGCCGCGGAGCCCCTTTAAAGAGCGCGCGGCTTTTGCGGGAGGTGGGGGAATTCCCCCATCTCCCGCAAAAGTCCACAGGAGGGTTGGAGAGTAGCGGGAAGGCGTGCGACGCCTTCCCGTTGCCCCCCATCCTCTGGGGGAAGCGCTGCTTTCCCCCCCGCCAGCCTCCAACCCGGGTCGGAGAGTAGCGGGAAGGCGTCGCTCGCCTTCCCGCTGCCCCCCATCCTCTGGAGCTGGCCATGGGGGAAGCGCTGCTTTCCCCACCGCTAGCCTCAAAGCCGGGTTGGAGAGTAGGGGTAAGGCGTGGTGGGCCTTCCCGCTGCCCCCCATCCTCTGGGGCTGGCCATGGGGGAAGCGCTGTTCCCCCCCCCCGCCAGCCTCAAAGAGCAGACTCTCCTGGCTTCAGCGGAAGCAACGCAAAGCCTCCAGAGCGCAGGCTTCGGAGGCTTCGTGTTGCTATCGCTGAAGCCAAGGAGCCTGCATTCGCCCCATAAGACGCACACACATTTCCCCTTCATTTTTGGAGGGGGATAAGTGCGTCTTATAGGGTGAAAAATACGGTATGTCTGCTGGGCACCCCAAAACCCCTCCAGGCAAAACAGGCTGCAGAGAAACCTACCGGGAAAGAATTTTTCTCTTCACAGCTGAATGCAAGTTCCCTCAGTTATCCAAGATTCTAATTCTGAGAACAGTTCTGGATTGTTTGAACCAATGTCTTTGTCAAAACAAACTCTGAGCCTCTCAGTACGAAAGTTTTGTTTGTTTGTTACCTGGGAAACATTTAAAACGGTTTGAGGATGGTCAACTATCAGAGCTTTTTTCTGAGCAGAGGATAGCCAGAGGTTGAAAACAATGTTAGTTTATCTCACGCAATTATGAAGACAGTATTGAGCAGGCTGCTCACCTCTCCCAGGTGAAACAAAACCCTCATCTGGTGAAGAGCAGGCTGTGGACCCCGAGAGACTGGCGTGTCACACCTGAACCCCAAACCAGCATCTCAGACCAACTACTTTAAGCTCTTGCGTTCCCCCGTGAATCCTTGTCTGTGGGATCAACTGAGGCCTAAATACAGGGCCTGGGAGCTGAAGGCCAAGCTCTTCACAGAAGACAGGGATCTGGTGGGAAAGGAGCGCATTGCCCAGCAAAAGCTGTTTACGCACACCATGTGGCAAGAAGTCAACAGTTCAGAGTTTGCGTGGAGATGAACACCTGCAGCAGCAGAGGTGATGCAAGGAAACAAATTATACAGAACGTGACAACCGGTAACATTAGCAGGGGGCCATGGACACGACCATGAAGAGCTCACAGAACGTACTGTCGTAGCTTCACTTCCTCATGCACCAGTTCCAGCACACACTCATTAGGTCTGCCTGTTCCATCAACGAAGCCTCACCCTGGGCCCATCAAAAGGTCTTGCTTCCATCTAAGGTCAGAAGGGCTGGCCATACCCTTCACCTGAAATGTCCAGAGTACACAGTGAGACACTGTTGTTTAGCAATGATGCCCTGTTGTTGCTGGAGCCTCGTGGGCACATTTATTGTCATGGAGCCTGGATGGCAAAGTTATTGTACCAAGACTTTGTGGAATATGCACTTGTAGTTACTGCATTATCAAATAAAGCCAAGCTGTATCCTTTCCCCTTTTGTGGTCTGGATTTCAGTTCCAGATAGCAAGGTCTGTATAACCTTTACAATTACATGTGTCTGTGTATAGAGGAGAATTCAAGGCATCTCGTCAGAGCATGGCTTCACTGTTTTGTTCTCCACTTGGAGTTGAGCTTCTAAGTAAGATAAAGGCTCAACTGATACTTGCCACGGATACTTTAGCTGAGATTCCTGCATTGCAGGGGGTTGAACTAGATGATCCTTGGGGTCCCTTCCAATCTACAATTCTATGATTTTGTTACACCAGTGTGGGATCTGTGTATCTAGGAGACTCAGGAATATACACCCTTAAGACCAGACAATATAGCTCAGTAACAATGGCAAAAGATTCTATTTCTAGTCCAGTAATTCTCAGAAAATGGTAACTTGTTTTTTAATAAGCCCTTGCCATTTATTATGCAGGGTAGGAATATAAAATAATCATCATATATTTTCCATTAGTATTATGTTTCTTTGGAGCAGTTATAGAACTTTCTCCATGTCACTAAACAACAACTAAGTGCTGCTTAAAAAGGAAAAAAAATAAAAATAAAATAAATCTATAAGCCGATTCAAATTAACAGGATATATAAATGTACCCAATTTCCACTTGTTCAGCATTTTCCTTCCGAACAACAGTAACATTTCTCATTTTCTCTTGTCAGGGGTGTTGAAGCTTAATCAATATCTTAATTAATGAAGACAGGTCTTGTGGTTCAGCAGGGCTGTTAACTTAAGATCCTGACTAGGTATGTTCATGCATATTTGGAAATGTCATGAAAAAAGATCCTACATTCTGTCCCTTAATAGTTCCCTTTATGGAGGACTATGACTGGCATGACCCTGACGCAGAGAATAGCATTCAGGGCTGTGTATAAGGCTGTTCCACTGTCATAGCCAACTTCTGCTTGTGCAGCAGAACTTTTCCCTCCCCTCCCCGGACCCTCAACTCCTCAACAACGCACCTTCAAAACTGCTCCAGAGGGTTGCAGGGAGCAGATCTGGGGGGCAGGCAGAGAGAAATGGGAAGTCCTACAGAGCATGTGCAACTTGGTTCACGCAGCACTGGATTCAACCTTCAGCTAAGAACTTGTGAGGAGAATCAGAACTTACAGGGTTAAACAGTTCTGTGTGATGTCTCACATTCTGAGGCGTGGTTATGTTCACATATGGGAATTTTTCTTTGTGTGTGAGTTACTTTCATTTTTGGCTGAGAGGCGAGAAGGATGCCTGCTCTCTCGCCGGGACTGATTTATGATGTTACTCATTAAAGGCTGTTAGAGATTAGCAAGAAGCCTGCAAACAGTCTGATTTATTATCCACACACAAGGCAACACTTTCTGCCGCTACGGAACTCTGCTAAGAGCTGTGAAGAGAGCTCAAGTTTTTCCTATTGGCACAGGCGTCCCTCAGCACAGGGGAAGTGTGCCGGACGCCATCTTATCTCAGCAGAACTATGTGTAGCAGATTTCAGAAAAAAATCTAAAAGTCGAGAACTGTGCTAACTCCCCTAATCTGAAGATCTGGAGCACTTACCGTGCACTCCCACTCCCAACGTGATTGGCTGTCTAAACTTCCAAGATGCAAATCATAAGTCAGAGTTTAAGGGCCAATGGCCGAAGCCCAAATCCTGAAGTGTTCTGTGACTGGATATCATGTATCGAATCAGAACAGGGGCTCAGAATCCTTAGTCACGACTCATGCTCGGGCAAACACTGAATACTTAACAGTAACCAAGACAGCATTAGGAAAAGAAAGGCATTGTGCACAGAGCTTTTCATCTCTTGCAGCATTTAACAAACCTATCTTCCTTGAAGTTATGATTAAATTCCAGTATTGAGACAATGCAGAAGATAGATTAATGAACAATAAACTCAGAAAAAGCAAAGTTGCAGTAGGATAAACAGAAGAATAGTCTGACAAAGCATCTCTGCTCATGGACAAGAACAAATTGAAGATCTAAAGATCCAAGATTTCAGAACTGGGAACAGTTGAGGTGGGGGTGTCTGAAAACTCAGCAACACCACACCACACACTGATACTGTACCTACTCTTTTTAAAACTTACGGTTGAGTGAAATCTCGAGTAATGAAGTCTGAACTCTTGAAAAGTAGGAAGATGTCACTGAGACATTTGCATTTCAGTGAACTATTCAATGCTATCCAGTAAGCATCCTAAAAATTAAAAAACAAACTTTATTTTAAGCACATTTTAACCAAACCTTGCACAGTGGCATCAAAGCTAGTCTGGGTAGAATACTGAATTCTGATGTGGGAAATCTAGATTCAGATCCTTCTTTGGCGCCAAGGAATGCTAGCATGCCTTGGATAAGAGACCATTTTTTAGCCCAGAGTACTTCACTGTGTTTGTGAAGATTAAAACATGATTGCTCCATGTGCTCCACCCTAAGCTTCTTCGGTAAAGGATAGGATTCAAATGCGATACATAAACGTAAGCAGAAAATGCTGCGTGAGAGACAATTTTATTACATCCTTTGGCCATCCTCCCTTTCCCAAGCTGCTCTTAAGCACTGCTATACTATCTCCACTAGCTCTTTTCAGTGTAATTATTTTTTTCACTTCCCAAATAGCTCAAAGAAATAGTTATCCTTTATTTTTTTAAAAAATATCATTAAATCATCTGATTTAGGATTTAATTCATGTTCTCACCCTTGGAGCACTCCAGTTAAGCTTAGGAAAGACACTGCCTCCCAGTGAGCCAATTGCTTCTTCAACTTTAAGTGCAAACTCAGGGAATTCTGGTGCCTAGACAAACAACAACAAAATGAGAAGCTTGTGAAAAACAAAATGTGTCCTGGGTTGAACAGATTTAGAGATGTTTGTGGGCTCTCTTGCATTTTTTATTTTCTTTCTCTTCATCAAATGGAATAAATTGTTTTGGGAATATGAAGATATTCATAGACGGTGATAAACGACTACCATTGAAGTTGTCATGTTAAAGCCAGTATTTACAAATGTCATCCACTGTTTAGTTTCAGAGCACAGGTTTGATAAACAATAAGATTTCATAACTTTCCCCTTCCCTTCAGTTTTCATTGATCTAGATTCCCTCCTGCTTGTTGATTTTGAAATCATCTTCAACCCAGACACTTCAGCATTTATTTATTATTATGCAGAATGTAGACAGTAATAGTAATAACTGAAATCAAACTATTCATATGAGGCAATGAAAGATAATGGTAACTGTAATAATGCAAAAGTGCTGTAAATTTTATTTACCCCACATTGTCTGTTGGCTATGTTCGGAGACACAAAATGGAGGGAACTACCAGGGGATAGGAGCGGGGGGAAAGACCAACAAATTTCTCTTGACTTTCTGTGCATCCAAACCCACTTCCACTGGCTCTGGAGCAGGGCGGAAAGGCAGTCCCCACTTCCTCACTACTCATCACTGAGGCCCCAATCCTTCCGTATTTTTGCAATCTAATGCTCCATTGAATCTAATGTGCACCTCAATTTTCAAAACTTTGAAACAAAAAAAGTATTTGATGGTGAATGTAAATACGGCATTAAATCTAACGCACACTCTAATTTTCACAACATAATTTGGCCAAAAAAGGTGTGCATTACCATTGAGTAAATACTGTACAGTACTTCTCCAGATCTGGCCCTGCTGTTATGCTTGTCAAGATGGCTGTAAGAGCAAGTGGGATGAAGGTGTTGAGCAAGGAGCTCAGACAGAACAAGAAAAGAAAAACTGGAAAGTTTCCTTCCAAAATTTCAGTGAGCTGAAAGTCACCTGCCACATGGCACATGGAGATGCTTAAGAATGCAGTATTGATAACTGTATGTCCTAGTTCTCTCATGGGATTCATACTTTTATCGGATGAAATTGCCTCAGGAACAACGTGTGTGTATGAGGCCTTATCCATTTTGTAGAAAATACTGCTTGTTCATAGCTAAAGCAAAAGAAAAAAGGAAAAAGGGGGGGGTGACTGGAAAAGACACAAGATAGTAACTAGAAGAAATTCATGGAGGTAAAGACTATCAATGGCTACTAGTCTGGTTCTACCTACACAGTCAGAGGCAGCAATGTTTCTGAATCCCAGTTGCTGGAAACTACAGGAGGGGAGAGTTGCTCTTGCGCCCAGATCCTGCCTGCAGGTTTCCCCCAGTCGTCTGGTTGGCCCCTGTGAGAACAGGATGCTGGACTGGGTGGGCCACTGGCCTGATCAGCAGGCTCTTCTTATGTTCTTATTTGGTCTGATTGTTAATGCAGAACTTGACCCAAAGCAGTTATTTCTCAAAAATATATTTTCAACCACTTTATGTAAGCAAAGTTATCATTATGTTTTAAATACAATGCTATTTAATTTGAGTAATAAGGTTGTACACACTTTATTTTTACATTTTTATTTTGTTTTAAATGGACTACCATGTCAAGCCATTGCCTTTTCTGGGCACAAGTAGAGTTTAGTTCAATTTCTAACCTAATGAAAAGAGTTCTTATGCAACTCTGGTCAGATAAAAGTTAGTACTAATGGCAAATACAATTAACCCTTCAGTATACATATTTTCCCAGCAGCTCAGCTGTATCTGATTAGACAATCCCTGAATTAGTACAATATGCAGATTCATATCCTGCCTTTTTTCAGCAACGAAACCCAAGGCTGTGGTTTCCAAGTCATCACTCATCTAGGCACTAAAATCAGCACCAGAACTGCTTAAATTCAGGAAGGTGGTGGCCTCAAATGCCTTCAGACCATTCACTGGGACAAAAAAAATTAAAGAAAAAAAGGGCCTTACCGTAAGTGTTGTAGTATTTTCATCATCAGACCACTGAAGAAAGAAAAGAGTTTGAAATAAATAAATACATAAATCTGGCATGTTTTTGTATTAGGTCCATTCAGATCATCGGGGGGCAGAAGGGACCTTGGAGTCATTCAGTCTCACCTCCCTGTTCACTGCATTATGTGCAATGTAGGGCACCACTACCGCATCTCTGATAGGCTGTTGTCCAGGGAGAAGACACTCCCTCTCCTGAGCCAGTCTATTCCACTGTTGAACAACCTTTACTCCCAAGGTTTAGCTGAGGTTTCCATCCCCTGACCTCAAGAAGCAGTTTGGGGTCACATGTGACCTCCAGACAGGAATATTTGGCTAAAATTGAGATGGTGGTAGGAAATCTACCTCATCAAAGCTCTCTATTTGGAGGATTCCCTTTTCTCTTGCTGCTGTAGATCTCACCTCTGTGAGCTTTGGTGACACTGAATGAATGATAACGACAACTAGTGGAGGTGCCTGAGCAGCTCATGGCACAGACTCTGAAAAGTATGTTTGCAGCGATCCCAAAGCCATAGGAGCAAACTCCTAGGGGTTGAGGGGTCTTTGCGCCTCCAATAAAATATTTGAGCCCCCCGAAGTTGATGGGAATTGCCGTTCAAATGGTGCCCATGCACCACATCATGTGATGGATTATGCAGGGCAGGGCTTACTTGCCCACCACCCCAATATTTTATTCAAGTTGGCAGCGCTGCGTAAAACTATCCTACAGTGGATGGGAAAGGCAGGTTTCAACATGAAGATAGAAATAAGAATTCCATTTGCACTGCACAGCAAGTAAAAGCACATAAAAAGGGACTGGGTGTGTAGTGGGTGGGGCAGCAGGCTAGAGAATAAGATATTGCTTTGTTTTCCAATTCAATAGCCAACTTTTAAAAAGTACAAGGGAAAACTTATAAGCTGGTAACGGTACCTGTGGGTGACACAGAAATATCAGTATACAGAGCTTGAGTATATCACAGTTTGTACAAACCTGTATTTCCTCTGCCTCTTCCCCATCATCATCTTCTTGGGAACATGTTGGCGGATCTTCCCTAGAATAGAAGCAGGAAAACTGAAACCTATTAATTTCAAGTCACAAGGGTACAGAACTTGAAATAGCCTAACAAGTTGATAAGGTTTTACTTCTGCAGAATGCACTAATTTAAGGTGACTGGACTTTAGAAATGCAAAAATGTAAGCCCCGAGCCATATGCCACATAAACTAAACACAGAAGCTCCAAAATCAAGTAGCCATTTCCCCAACCAACAAGTCATTTTAATTTATGCCATGGCTTCTCACATTTGGCCACCAGTAACTTTTGATACAACAATCCAGACTTTATCTTTGGTTCGTATATGTGAAAAGAGTCAATTTGCTCCATTGCTTGTATGGATAGAAAGGGCTGCAAATCGACTACGCAGAATTAGACAAGCTAACAGGAAAGATCCAAGATCGGCGGGATCAGAGGTTTACCGAAGACTGGACTAAATTTATGGAGTATTTGAAAAGTATTTGTGACAATCAGATTACGTTTATAGGATTATAAGAAGTTCTGTGAGGAGTAATTTAAGAAATATTGTAAAAATGGAAAGGGAGAAATGACTGGTTAGAAAATGTAAAGGCAATATTAAGTTAAGAACTGCATGAGAAATAATTAAGACGGAGGATTATCAGAGGTGCTGAAGGAAGTCCAAACAAGGATATGTGTCTAATAACTTGTGTGGTATATCTTTAAAATTTTATATGCTAAAAATTAATAAAAAATATTTTTTTAAAAAAAGAAAGGGCTGCAAATCAGGAACACTTTATAAGAGAACGAAGACACTTTTTAGATAACCACTACCACCACCCTTAAAAGTTGTCCCATAATGCACTCACTCCTTTGACTTTTCAGATTTAGATAGGATACTTTCAGTCACAGACCTTGCAGGCAACAAAAAAGGTCAAGCATCCCTCAGACCCAATACTCACACCAATAACTTGTTAAAACTTTGGACACAATAAATGTATTGAGGTCACATCTATGGTTTCTAATTGCATGCTGTAGCCACACTTGCAGCCAGAGCTAAAGACTACTATGAGAGCCATTATTCTACCTTTGTTTTAACACTAGATTAAACATATGAATCAATTTACTCTGACTTTAAAGCCATGCCCACCACACAAGACAGGGGAGAGAAAAATGACTGAGGCAATTTCTTTGAAGTATCAGTGAAACGCCAGAGCAATAATTTATAATTATCTTTAAAATACAAATAATTTCTTACCTTCCTGAAACCACCAAGGTTCCGTCATCCAGCAAATAATCTTTTACATTCTGAGGCAGTGGCAGTATGATACTGAATTGATTAAAAAAAACTAATTTAGGACAACATGAAAAACTGAAGACATAAAATATACAAGTTATCTATGTTCCATATAGATGTTGTCACTAAAGTGATTTAATAATATTAACCATATCATCTTAATAAACACATTTTTTAAAAGGAAGAAAATCTCTTTTTCATCCAAGAATAAAAAATAAAAGGCAGAGAAGTGAGGGAGGGGAAAATGTACAAAGACTTTATTAAAGAAGCAAAACTCATATAAACTCATTACAATAGTATTTTGTCTTTAAACTTGAAGAACACTGTCTCAAATATTTTAGTTTTATGTCACTACATACTAGAGTTCCCAGTCCCATGAGCCACTGAACATGGTAACTCCAAACAGGCTGGCAATACAGTCATTTGCTATTTGCGGTCAAGGAGATTCACCAATATATTTGTTGTCCCAGTGAACAGCTTTTACTTTCTGCAATACATTTGCATGGACAAACAACGTGATATGGGAGATCACAAGCTAAGGCCAGCAATTTCCACAGTCACTAATGAGTGGCAGTCCACCCATCCACCCCCTTTCAAATCTGTACTGTGAATGTGGAATGAGCAAATATTCATAGGAAATGCATTAACAGAAAACAAAACAAAACAACCCTAATTAATAGGTCCTTATTTGTGTGGGAGCCTTGGGGTGGGGCCATCACTTCTACCTATGTGGAGGCTGACATTAAGAAATGCATATTGTGTTCTAAATATTGGTCACGGATATCTTGATTTGAAGATGGGGAAGTTGAATACCCTTTCTTCATTCCTAGGCATTCAAGAAAGCCCTTGCCTCAAAGGATTCTCGCTCACCTGCGGATGGTCTGACTCTTGAAATGAGGATACCAGCATGAGAACTGACAGTTCAGCACTTGCTCCTTCTTCATCCCTTTGCCTGGACGCTCCTTTGTTGAGTGCAAGGCTGGTTTGAGATCTAAAAGAAAGGAAAGAAGGTACCATAATTCCCAAAGCTGCAGCAAAGCACCCTCACAAAGCCACGAAATCATCCTCTCGCCATCTGCACGTCCTCCTCCACCCAATTTAAAAAGTTAATCACCATTTTCATAATGAGAGCTATTGAAAGTGTTATTTGTTTAATTCTGCTTGGCGGCCAAAAGCCAGTGATAAAACACAGCCCTGCCCTCAGGCCTAGAGTCTAAGAGGCATAACAAGAAAGGAAAACGAACTGCGAGGAAGGAGAAATGAAATCTGAGAAACTAATTCTTAGTGACATAATTCTTCCAGTGAAGAGCTGGAGCAGAAGTACTACCAGGAGCGAAGCAGCGGAGAGCGACCCGCACCTTGAGGGGCCAATGAGGGCGACCCGAAGCGCGCTTCCCCAGGGGCACTGACGTCATTCGCATCTTAAAATATTTATAAACAAATGAAACACGAAGCGCTATGTCCCTACTCATTTATTGGTAGTTTCTACCGTTCCGATCGCTTTGCCTCCTTTCTGGTAGCCGAACCCACCTGCCGCCGGGCTTCCTCCTTAAGCCCCTCTGCTTTTCTCATCTGCGGCCCCTTCCGCCTCCTCCAGAGCCTCGCTCCATCTTCCTGACCTCCGGACAGGCTGACAAGCCAATCAACAGGCGGGGCGGGACTCGAAACCTTACTCCGATTGGGCCACTGCCATACAAGCGTCTCGGTGGCTCAATGAAAGGCAGCTTGGCTGGCACCGCCCGCCTCCTTGCCTTCAGCCCAGGAGGCCAGGCAGGCGAGAGAGAGAACCAATCGTCACAAAGCTGGTCAACAAAGCCGACTCTGGTTGGACTTTGGCAAATATTATCGCTGATCCAATCAATGTCAGGTATTGGAAGTGGCCGGCGGTGGAGGCGGGAAGGAACTGCGTTCCCGGGTTACTAATAGAGATATACCGAGTGTAGATTCGCGATAGTTCTCGCTTTCAGGCTGGAAAGAGCTGCCTGCATTTAGAAAGCAGCAGAGACATTCAGAATTGAAGCGAGCGGCGGCTCTTCGACAGCAGCGGGGCTGAGAGAGGGGCAGACGCCGGCCCGCGGGGGCGGGGGGGGGGGGCAAGGTCGCCTCGGGCAGCTGCAGGATCCCCGGGGCAGCGCCACTGCCGGGAGCCTGGCTGCTCCTCCTGCGAAGAGCCTCCCCAATCCTGCCCCACGGCTGGTCTCCTCCCAGCCTTGCCAAGGACGGGGCTCCGCACCTGCCTGGTGTGATTCAGAGTGGACCTTTGATTCCCACTTCACCCATTGAGTAAGGTTATAATATAATCATAATAAATTATTACTTATAGCCTGCCCATCTGGCCAGGCCTCCCCAGCCACTCTGGGCAGCTCCTAACAGAATATTAAAAACACACGAAAACATCAGACATTAAAAACTTCCCTAAACAGGGCTGCCTTCAAATGTCTTCTAAAAGTCAGATAGTTCTTTATTTCCTTGACATCTGATGGGAGAGTTCCACAGGGTGGGCACCACCACTGAGAAGGTCCTCTGGCTGGTTCCCTGTAACCTCACTTCTCGCAGGGAGGGAACTGCCAGAAGGTCCTCGGAGCTGGACCTCAGTGTCCGGGCGGAACAATGTGGGTGGAGACACTCCTTCAGGTATACAGAGCCAAGGCTGTTTAGGGCTTTAAAGGTCAGCGCCAACACTTTGGCTTCATATAGGTGTTAAAAAGCATGGGGTAGAGGATAGAACCCTGAGGCACCCCAAAAGTGAGAGCCCAGGGGTCTGAAGACTCATCCCCCAGCACCACTATGTGGACACAGCCCAGGAGGAAGGAACTGAACCACTGTGTAACAGTGCTCCCAACTTCTCTAGACAGTCAAGAAGGATGTCATGGTTGATGGTATCAAAGGCTGCTGAGAGATCCAGCAGAACTAGGAAACAGCTTTCACCCTTGTCCCTAGCCCACTGGAGATCATAGCCCAGCACGACCAAGGCAGTTTCAGTCCCATGATGAGGCCTGAATCCCGACTGGAAGGGATCCAAATGGTCCGCATCCTCCAGGCATGCCTGGAGTTGTTCAGCAACCACCGGCTCAATCACCTTGCCCAAGAATGGAAGATTTAAGACTGGGTGATAGTTCAATTTTTTTTTTTAAGAAGCGGTTTAATAACCACCTCTTTCAGCAGGTCTGGGAAGGCTCCCTCACAGAGGGAAGCATTCACCACCCCACAGATACCGTCATCCAGCCCTTCCTGGCTCTCTTTTGTAAGCCAGGATGGGCAACGATCAAGGAGACAGGTGGTTGGTTTTACTTGTCCAAGGAGCCTGTCCATGTCCTTGGAGGTAACAGATTGAAATTGACCCTAGACTAGACAGGACTCTAGACATGGCCCTGCTCCCATGGTGGAGTCTACTTCTTTCTGAATCCAACTGACTTTATCTGAAAAAAAAAACCTGCAAAATTGTTGCAGATCTTGGGGTCCTTACCAGGCCCCAATGGCAAAGGTGGTTCCATTAAATTGCGAGCCACCTGAAAGAGTCTCCTGCTGCTGTTTTCTGCAGATGCAATAGAGGCGGTGAAGGAGGTCGTCTTTGCTGTTGCTATCACCACTTGGTAGGCTTGACGTTGAGCTCAAACCTGTGTCCGGTCCAATTCAGAATGAGTTTTCCACCACCAGTGCTCTAGCCGTCTCAGCAATTGTTTCATCACCCTCAGCTCTGGGGAAAACCACAGGGCTGTCTGGGCTCCATGCAATCAGAGAGGGCGCTTCGGAGCCAGACAGTCGATAACCCTGGTTAATTCCACATTCCAGCAGGCCACCAGGGAATCAGCTGAAAGGCCACCAACATAATGGTTGATTTGACCCTTCACCCCCCATTGTTCTTGATGTAGATCTTCACTCCATTCTTCTTCCCTGGTGGGGGAAGACACCATTTTGTGGTTCACCTCAGGTGCTAAAATATCCTTAGCCAGCTGTGGATGTGAGGCAGGTACAGACCCAGTTGTAAGATTTAGGACAGACTAAAGGAAGCACTTTCCCCCCACGGCACATAGTCATCTAGTGTTATGAATTAGAAGACATCCTAACTTCTGGATCAAGCTAGTTAACAGGATTTAATTAAGGCGTAGAGTGTTAAAGCTATGCTAGACCCATATGTGAATTTGAGCTGTGTATTGTACACTTCTAACCCTCAGGAATCAGCTTGTGTCAAAAGCTATTTAAGCCAACATTAGTCTCCTGCGTGAGCCAGTAGCCTCTGGGTATTGATCAACAGCAAATCTCATTTGCAAATGAGTGGGCCCCCTCTCTCCCTCAACTGATAGTTTAAAAGACAAGTCCAGTGTTATAGGTTAGGGCTTTTAAGGATTGGAGTTAGGAGTTATGCATGGAGATACTGCAATGGCCTGAATATACGTTGCACCCGCAAATAAGATGCACCTTTAAAATTCAAGGGAAAAATACAATACCCAGATATAAGCTGCTCCCTTGGCCAGCGCTGACTTTTTTCGGGGTGCCCTAATCACCCTGATGCTCAAACCAACTAGTGGGTTGGGGGTGGCACTGGCACTCGGTATCCCGCTCCCCCAGCCGGCACCAACACTCGGTTCCGAGGGCACTGTGTGCCCGCCTCCCAGCACTACCGGCGCCCGGCACCCTGCTCCCCAGGCGAGCGCGGGTGTTGGACCCCTGCCACAGCCTCCCCAAAGCTGCCGCAATGAAGGGGGAGCGGCTTATTGACACAGACGCAGTGTCTTAAATGGGCTTGTTTGTTTTTGAAAAAACTGAACAAAGAGCAAGCCACGTTTTCCAAGCACTACGCAAGACCCGAATGAGGAAGAGCAAGAAGGGGGGGAAGGACGGGTTGACCAGGCAGTCAAAGCCGAACTGAAATCCTGCGCTTCCCATGGTTATCTCCAGAGGGCGCTCTCTTCCAAAGTGAACCCGAAGCTGCTTCACCGTCCACATCTCGGGGCCCTCCCAGCACAAGGCCAAAGAGCAGCGCCGGAGGCTCCGAGTGCGCCTGCGTAGCCTTTACCCTCCTTTGGACCCCTGCCTCGCGGCGCCGTAGAAGCGCGGAGCTCATTGGTGGAGCCGCCAGGCGCGCCCGGCCGACGTGCCGCCCCCCCGGCGCCGCGCGCCAGCCAGTCAGAAGCGCGGGATCGGAGGAGGCGCTTCCCCCGCCCGGCGGGCTCTGAGGTGAGCGCGAGGAGAGCGCCAGGCGCGCGCAGGCCGACCCCTTTTCCGCCTGCTGGGGTGGGCTAGATGACCCTCGAGGGCTCCTTCCCGCCCTACGGACCGCGGAGTTGAATCGCCCCGCCCCCCTCAGTTTTGGGACCCCTCGCTGCTCCTCGGGAGGAACACCGCAGTCTGCGGGCCAAAAACTGGCGCACGGTCGGGCCAGCCGGGTCCCCGCGAGCCTCCTTCCGGGGCCTTTGGCCAGGATCCCCCCCAGGCGGGCCTGTCGCTGTTCCCTTTCCGTGGCCTCCTCCTGAGGCGCCGGGAGAGAGCGGGTCTGGCCTGGCCCGAGGGCCGCCAGCCCCGCAGATCAGCTCTGAGCGAGCGCTGCCTGTGGGTCTGGATGCGTCCCGTGTTCACCACCCAGGAGGACTGACTAGGCCTCCTTTGGAATGGGCACCGCAGGAGGGAAGACTCGCTTCCCCCGGAAAATAAATGCCGCAAATGCCCTCAGTGGCTTGCAGGGGAACCTCATCTAAATCTGTATTGAGAAGGAGCTATTTGCGCTTCTGGTTGGCACCCATCTGTCTCGAGAGACATTGGAAGAGGGCACCATCGGGGGCAAAGTCAAACCGCTGAAGAGTTAACCGTGCCGGCTGTGGCTGTAGAGACCAGTACCGAAGAGACATGCTTTGTTGCAGCTGGGGCAGATGAAGGCATTCACTTGTGCTGCTGCAGATGCACCACAACATTTCCCCCCTCTGCACTCATAGGAATTACCTGGCTACAATACCATCAAATAAATGCAATTTTTGACAAACATAAAAAAAAAAACGGATTTGAAAACAAAATTTCAGCACTAGAGAAGGAACTGTTACATTATAAGAATACATTATAAAAAACGTATAGGTTAATTCTAGTTTGGAATGTTAAGGACGGAGAAATAAAAAAGTAATGATAAAGTGGGCATAAGATTTAGGACACCCCATAGAATTAGAAAAATGGGAAGAGTTGTGGAAAAGAAACCTAAAATTTACAGCATGTTACTTAATCAAAGAAAACTTTATGAAAATGCAGTTTAGATGGTATTTAACCCCTACAAAATTGGCTAAAATAAGTAAAAGTTACAATAATGTTGGAGATGCAAATCTCATGAAGGAACTTGTCCCTACGTGTGGTGGATGTGCCCAGAAATAAAAAAATTCTGGGACACAGTCTACGAGGAGATGAACAAAATATTAAAATTTACATTTAAGAAAAATCCAGATGCATTCCTACTAGGTATTCCAGCATGACACTCCAAATGAAAGAAGAACTGTAGCGAGAGTACTACAGTAATGGCAAAGTATTGGAAGAGCGAGCGCATTCCATCTAGAGAGGAATGGCAATTAAAACTCTGCGAGTATTTGGAACTTGCAAAATGACGGAATCAATAAGTCATCAGAAAACATTAAAAAAGGGTGGGAATGCTTCAACAATTATTTATCAAAACAAGGCGCCATATCTAAGATTTGGTTGTGTATGGAATAACTCCGTAAACCCCCCTGTAATTTCTGTAACAATAGGGATATATTGTTTCCTCATACCAAGATGACGAGGAAACATTAAACACAGGAAAGATTTTAGTAAGAAAAAATGAACCGTTTTGAGGTGGATGGAAGTCCATAACAAGTAAATACATAAAGAGATTCAGTGCATATGAAAGATATTTATGAGAAATACTAATACGGGATTGAATCGTATTAAATAGTATCTAACAAAAGATACACCGTGTTATTTTTGTGGGTGGGTGTGGGTATGTGTGTTTGTTTTTGTGTTTTGTTTTGTTTTAATTTTTTTAAGAATGTGGGCTCTTGTCATTGTTTTAGTGTTGTCTTTTTCTTTTTTTGTTTCCTTTTTTCTTTTCTTGAATATAGAGATGGAAGGGTATTTTTTGGATATTATTTGATTTTGTTATTTGATTCATATAGAAGTTATCAATTGTATGTGTTTGTTATTTATGTATTATTTGTATATTTGTATATTTTGAAATAAATTTATATTATGTGGGGGGATTAAAAAAAGCAGAACTAAGATTGCAGCTTTATATATATTTTATAACAAATTTTATTAATTTATCAGTTTATACATCTCAAAATAAACATTTTACATAATACCATGTAACAAATGACTTCCCTCCTTCCCATTTCATAGTTCATTTTACTTATCTATCATTCCTGCATATTTTACTATAGCCAATCTAGTCGTTTCTCCATTTTACATCCTTCAGATATTTACCATACTGTTGACTTTATCTAAATGCTACCAGCATTTTAAATTGTACACTATTATTTTCTAAATATTCAGCAAAAATGTTCCACTCTGGAGCAAATTCTTCTTGCTCTCTTATCTATAGGTTACTGCTGCTGCATCCGCAAATTCTATCATCTTAAGTTGACAATCTTCCTTACAAGGGATCTTTCTCACTTTCCATTTTGGGGCTAGCAAAATTCGAGCCGCCATGGTTGCGTACATAAATATTTTTTTTCTGACAACTGAGAACTTCCGACTGAAGTATTCCCAACAAAAAGACCTCAGTTTTTTTTCGGGGAATGTCATTTTAAACATTTTTTTTAACTCATTGTAGATAATTTCCCAATAGCCTTTAGCCTTTTTACATGTCCACCACATGTGAAAAAATGTTCCTTTTGTTTCTCTGAATTTCCAACACAGATCTGATCCAACTTTGTACATATTGACCAACCTAAGGTAAAGGTAAAGGGCCCCCTGACCATTAGGTCTAGTCGTGACCAACTCTGGGGTTGCGGCGCTCATCTCGCTTTATTGGCCGAGGGAGCCAGCGTACAGCTTCTGGGTCATGTGGCCAGCATGACTAAGCTGCTTCTGGCAAACCAGAGCAGCGCACAGAAACACTGTTTACCTTCCCGCCGGAGCGGTACCTATTTATCTACTTGCACTTTGATGTGCTTTTGAACTGCTAGGTTGGCAACCTACTCAGCGTTAAATACTATCTATGCATCATTTTCATATACCGTAATTCTCTTTCAAAGCATAACATGCAGTACATTTCAAATCACTTCCAGATTTCTCCCAGAGGTTTAGGTCTATGTTATGCCCTATATCAGGGGTCAGCAACCTTCTTCAGCCATGAGCCGGTCCACCGTCCCTCAAACCATGTGGTGGGCCAGAATATTTTTTTGGGGGGGGGGGGAATGAACGAATTCCTATGCCCCACAAATAACCCAGAGATGCATTTTAAGTAAAAGCACACATTCTACTCATGTAAAAATATGCTGATTCCTGGACCGTCCGCAGGATGGATTTAGAAGGCCATTGGGCCCTTCGGCCTTAGGTTGCCTACTCCTGCCCTATATCCATTGCCCAGTGTGTCGTTGAAGCTTTGACTAACTTGTCTTTCATTTCCCATTCTAATAATAAGTTATACATTTTTGACAATAATTTATCCTTATTCCATAATCATTCTCTTTCATACTCTGAGCTTTGATCTGGAAACCCTCTGTTGTAAACAAAAATTGCCCTTTTCCCTTATGGGGTGTCCAAGAGCCCATATAGAGTCCTTACGTAGGTTCCCTATTGGTAGGAGAAAATAACAGGCCAACCAGAGAATACTGAGAAGCAAAGCAGCTAGTAAGCTTGATCTTTATTGATCTGTTGCAACAGGGTGCTCCGCTCACCCGCAGGAAAGGAGGAGGAACCCAGAACAATGGCGCACAAGCCCTTATAAAGACTTTTGAAACTGCCACCCTGTAGATCAAGAACCACCCCCAGAAACATCATACAGACATCACAGAAGGGGTGTAATCTAAGACCACCCCTCAGCTACATCATACCTACATCACAGAAAAGGCGGTCTAAAACAGAAATTTGAATGTTGTTTTCCTCCTGTCATTGTTTATCTCCTGTCTGGCAGGTTTTACTTGATTGGATTGCCTGGAGAGCCTGGCCAGTCTTTTGTGATGATAAATACTTAGTTCCTGGGCCATGTCACAGGCTCACACCCTATTCATATCTTAAATGTGTCCTTAAAACAGGATTTGTGAGGAAAGAGACAATGGGGAGGTTTCCCACTTTGACCTTGCAGAGAAATCATTTGCTCAGTTTGGGAATCAAAATGGTTTCAGGTCGGTCTTCCTGTGCTGATCTATGTACGTGCTTGGTTGGTACACTTATGAACATTACCATATATCTAAGACCTCAAAACTCCTATCACACCCATTTTTTAAAAAATCTAATTTAAACATATCATATATTTGATGATATTATAACCAATCCGTAATTTGGCTCCTTACTTCTTCCATTGGTTTCAATCAAGGTTCACTCCCTGTAAATTCCAACAGATCTCTGTATGTAGCCCATTGTCTGTTTATGTTAATTCCCTTAATTGTGATTGCTTCAGTGGGGGAATACTATTATTGCAGCTTTAATACCTGTTTAATAACTGCATTCAGAATTTCCCTGATGCTTTGGGGCTGTAAAAATATGCAGGAATTCACTTTGTTTGTTCTAGGTCATTACACTGTAGGCTACAGTACAAAGGGGCACTCTGTGTCTTGCATTTTAAAGTTGCAACTAATTTTGTGAGGGGCTTCTAAAATTTCAGTACTGTATAAAGCAACCCCACTTGTTTTCAGAGAGGTTTCACTCATATTAATTTAATTCTTTACTTTCTTTTATCTTTGTCTCACAATTTTTCATAAAATTCACTTAATTTTGGTGCTTAAATTGATACTCCAGTACCAGTTGGCATATATTATTATGGTTGTTGCAATCAGAAATCATATTTAAAAATTATGTCATGGTGCAATACTATGTTCTCATGCTTGAATCTCTTCAGCTATGTTGGTTGTTTATATTCTTTCAACTACTGTATATGATACTTTTGACAGTATCAAAGTCATCTTGCTAATTTGTACCCATTAATGATCATAATATAAGTAACAAAGTAGTCTGGTACTTCAAAAGTATAGAATTAACCCTCAGTTGGGGGTGGGGCAATCTGTAAATAACAGCATTGCATTGCCCAGGTAGGTTTTTAAAATACCAGTTTTTCCAATGCTAGATTATAAATTTATTAAACTCTCTTAATATCTTCTCTTTGGTAATGTGAACAATTTAATTTTATTTGTTGCTGCTTTAGTTTTTTTGCTTTAATTTGCTATACTAGTTTATATGCTTTATATTATTATTATTATTATTATTATTATTATTATTATTAATAAAACCTTTTTGTTTCTCATTACACTGTGATCTGCCCTGGCAGCATCAGGCAGCATGCACATCATACGTTTAAAGCACATGACTGCTTCCAAATAATCCTGGGGACTGTAATTTACCCCTGACAGAGCCATGATTTCCAACACACACTTAATAAACTATAGTGCCCAGGATTCTTTGGGGACAAGTATGTTATGCACACAATGGTATGCACACAACCTTAAAGGTAAAGGTACCCCTGCCCATAGGGGCCAGTCGTGTCCGCCTCTAGGGTTGTGCGCCCATCTCACTCTAGAGGCCGGGAGCCAGCGCTGTCCGAGGACACTTCCGGGTCACGTGGCCAGCGTGACAAGCTGCATCTGGCGAGCCAGCGCAGCACACAGAAACGCCATTAGTAAGCGGCCACTATTTATCTACTTGCACTTTGACGTGCTTTCGAACTGCTAGGTTGGCAGGCGCTGGGACCGAGCAACGGGAGCGCACCCCGCCGCGGGGATTCAAACCGCCGACCTGATGATCGGCAAGTCCTAGGCGCTGAGGTTTTACCCACAGCACCACCCGCGTCCCGAAGCACAACCTTAATTTATGTCAAATTAGATAAATTAGGTAAATCATAGGACATTTAGTATTGGAAGAGAGAGCTACAATTAAAAGAATCTTAAATTTAAACAATTAATTGGTTAAATCTGCGTAGTTACGGTATATTAAATTTAGAATATATGTCCTGCTACTTTAGGGAGCACATTTTAAAACAAGCAATTAAAAGGTTTTTAAAGTATTACTCAGTTGCTAGAATAAATATTGCAATCCTCATTTTTAATCTTAATTGTGACCTGGATTGTCTTCTCATCTGGTTTGGATACTGAGGCAACGTCCTGTTGATCTTATCTTCCATTGAGATGAAGGCAGACTCTTTCACCAATGAATAACCAGTCTCTAGTTAGCCAGTATGTTACTTGTCTGATCTGGAGTCTACATTTTGTGTTTATATTTGCTGCAGGGTTGACTTGTTAATTTAGAATGAAAAGAATGAATGGTCTGACTTGATCCTGAGGGCAAATATTGACTCTGGTTTGTAGTTAGGTGGACTTTGTGCTTGAGGTGACAGACCAACATCACTGAAAATGGAAAAGGAAGCATCTGCTGAAGCTCGGAAAACCACCCAAGAATCTATAGTTAAAGAAGAGGTATGCAGTGTTTGTTTGCTTTTTGGCATGTTATTTTGAAGTAACTTAGTTATTGTGATCAAATACTGGGCTTAGTACTGCATAATAGCGTATGCAAATGCTATGTATCCTACTGTGATAATGGGAAAGCAGCCCCTTTATATGACTTAGCAAGACCATTTCCCATCATCCAGAGATCTTGCCATTCCAGCCTTTTGTCAGGATAGCTGTTTTGCTTTGGGAGGTTATTCTGTCTAGGTACCAAAAGTTTGGAAGCTGTTATGAGATGAATTAGAAATAAGAAAGCATATGCATCAAAGTCCTTATAGTGTGTGTCTGCACTGCAGCTATAAACATAACCACATTTAATCAATCAATTCATATTTTTAATTTTCTTTTATACTTCTATTCCGTTATTCACCAAATGGTTCAAGGGTGGGTTACAAACATAGGGAACAAGTTGTACTGAACACAGCCCAGCTTGCTTTTGAGCAAACATGCATCACACTGTCCCATTGAAATTAATGGCAATCTAATGCTCTTCAACATGACCTTAATTGCTCTGAAGACGTTTGTGTTATATTAAGTGAGTTGTGCGTTGGTAATCAAATTTCTGTTGATTCTTAAGAATCAAGAGCAGGGTTCATGGAGTTCCTCATGTAACATCCACCTGACTTCTTGATGTGTCTAGTAAGATGGGACTGCCTCAGTGTGCAGAAATCCGGTGTCCATTAGAGGGACTTGTTAATAATCTGTAATATTTTTCATGCTTAGCTTCCTCTTAATTGATCTTCTTGACCTCTTGCTTGCCTGGTGCATTTTTGCCACTTCAGTCCCGCTACATTTGATGGCCCATGTAATGTCCAGTTTACCTACCTCTTTCCACCTATCAATCACATGCCCGTGGGTTGCTGTGAGTAGTTGGGGTAATGATTTAAGCTTGTGTCACAACAGTGTAGGGGGTCACAATAAATCTCTCTCTAGTCCTTCATATCTTTTGTGTAACGTTGTGTAACATTTCAAACAATTGCTCAGTCATTACATGTCTGGTGTGAGTGTGTCAAGTGTGACCAGGGCAGAAGAGGAATTTTATGTTTTTTCTCCCTTAGTGATTAAGTTGTTGTTATTTACTACATTCTAGGCAACAGTTCTCTGGAGAGTCCACAGATCTAAACCATTTTAAAATAAACTTAATTTCCACAAAACCTGATTTCTGAGTTCAGCATAGCCTCCTGTTACTTATGAAATCAGCTCAATAGCTCTTTTCTCATGGTGTTGCTTATATGCCTTTCATTTGTACCTCTGAATGTACCTATAACCACAGTTATTGATACTTAACCATACAGTCATAGGTATGTTTACCTGGAATTTAGTCCTAGTACATTCAGTGGGACTTACTCCCAGGTAAGTGTGCATAGGATTGTAGCCCTGAGCTCCTACTCACTTGCCTTTTCCTGTTGCCTCTCTTTTTGATTCCTGCTGTTCCTTCTTATTGTTGTCTTCTTTTCTATTTTTTTCCTTCCTAACTGCAGTGTCTCATTCTAAAGTCATGAAGGATTGCTGTGGCTCAGTGGCTTCCTTCCATTCACTGGCCACACCTGCTCTGTCAATAGATAAAGCATTAGTGTGATGTCCTTGGGGTCCTACAATAAAGCCCTGGCTTCTATGGGTCACTGGGTAAGCCAAAGTAACTAGGTGTCTAGTAACTCAGGTTCACACTCACCATAAAATTATCCAAAATACACTTCTGTCAACACCCACTGAAGTGCAGAATAGTAGGACTTTCCTAAGTATGTTCATCTGTGCAGATGAAAGCAAGAACATGAGGTGGAATTCAACCAGACCACAATTCATCAAGTATTTGAACCAACTATTGTATTTATCTAGAAAAGTCATTCGGTGGAAGGGGTAGCCAACTTGATGGCCGCCTGATATTGTTGGACTACAACTCCTATCAGCCCTACCCAGCATGGCCAGTGTTGAGGGGTGATGGGAACTGTAGTTCATCATCTACAGGCCATCATGCTGGTGAACTCTACAATAAATAGGAAATAATGTTTCTGCCTAATGCAGAAACTCCCTGCTCCACTATCAGCCTTTGTTCCAGGTCCTTTTCACCTGACTCCTCCAACTGTCATTCTTAACTAACACTCCTTATTTGCCACTCACCTTGATTCAACCCACCATTCTGTCTCACTCTTCACTTCTCTTCTCCCACACATTCTTCTAATAGGACTAGTACTAAAATTCTTCTCTCCAACAAGAATGTAAGAACCACCTTGCTGGATCAGACTGAAATCCAGCTCATCCAGCACTGTTTGCCAACAACTAGAGATAACAAGTGAAAGCTCACAAAGGTGGTGGCCATTTGTTCATTGAGTGTGGTGTGCAATAAGCAAAAAACAAAATTAAAATAATTTGGGCATCTTGAAGGGACTGCTGCTGTTTAGGTCACACAGATCCGGTGTTTCAGTCTCATCACAGTGTGATGAGAGCAGAGTACTCTTGAATTTGGTTTCATACCATTCCGCCTTTGTTGGGCAACCTTTGCTTTGAGAGAAAATGCAAGTCCATTTCACCATTTCATAGTGTAGTGGTGGGTGACCTGTGGCCCTCCAGATGTTGTTGGAATCCAACTACCATCAGCCTCAGCTAGCACAGCCAGTGGTCAGGAATGGTGGGTGCTGTAACGCAGCAGAATCTGCAAGGTCAGAGGTTTCCTATCCCTGCCATAGTAAGCAATTCTGTATTTGGTTCACTTGAGGATTTCCCCCTTGCCTTTGATTGAAATTCTAGTACTCTCTGTAGAAAATGACCATGTTGTAAAAAGAACAGTGCCAAATTATTCCATATATTGTTGATTCAGGCCGTTTTTAAAAATGCCCTCAATAGTTAATGTTCGTAAAGATTGCTTCCTGTTCAGGGCATATGATCCTTTTCCAAGAGCACATGAGAAAATTATAGGGGGCTCCCTTTACTTTGAACTTGCACACATCTCTGTGTTCACAGCAAATAGTTCTTCATTCATTGAATGTAATGCAAATACTTTGGTAATGCCTACCATTTTGGAAATGGCAAAACAGCAAAACTATTGTCTTCCTTCATCTATGAGTAAAATCCTGCCATTACTGAACTGAAAGATAATGCTGATGATGACTTCAGTTTTCCATATTAGCTGTAACCACAGTGGAGGCAGTTTTCATAGTTGTTCCAAATCATCATCTTTGTGGTGAAAATAAAGGGGTCATAGGAGATAGGTCGATAAAGATGGTCAACCCAGTTTGCAGCAGTTTTGGAAAAGCTTGAATCCTGCTTGCTAATTTTCCATGGGCATCTGATTGGCCACTGTGAGAACAGGCTGCTAGATTTAGATGGGCCATTAGCCGGACCCAGCAGGCTTTTCTTAAGTTTTTAAAATGTTTTAAGTGATTTTTTTCCCCTCAAGACGATTGCAGAAAGAAAATGGGTGAAGCTTGAGCAGACAACTTACATTGACCCTGAAGGTCAAACAAGGTAATCATTTTTACCTATTAGCTGTTTTCTAAACCATGGGGGTTTTAAATAGTGTTCTAAGGAATAGGTAAAGGGACCCCTGACTATTAGGTCCAGTCGTGGCCGACTCTGGGGTTGCGGCGCTCCTCTCGCTTTATTGGCCGAGGTAGCCGGCGTACAGCTTCCGGGTCATGTGGCCGGCATGACTAAGCCGCTTCTGGCGAACCAGAGCAGCGCACGGAAACAGCGTTTACCTTCCTGCCAGAGCGGTTCCTATTTATCTACTTGCACTTTGACGTGCTTTTGAACTGCTAGGTTGGCAGGAGCAGGGACTGAGCTAGTGTTCTAGGGAGCTCTTTAATAGTGTTCTAGGGAATTCTAGGGAGTTCACATAGGGTTCTTGATTGAGGACACCAGTGGTGATGGACAAATCCCATCAAATTGCAAGACAAATTGCCTATTCCTCTCTATCTGCCCTTGCAGCACATCTCCACAGGAGAGAGTTGGATGTGTGCATAGTTTATGCTGGGCATTTGTGAGTCACAGTAGGCTGGGCCAGCACTCTGCATGAAGTAGGGTGCCCAGATGCAAAAGGGCATGTGGAAGGGGGAATTTCAGCAGGTATAGCTTGCATGACATGCCACACCTACTGAAATTTCCTATTTTACACAACTATTAAAGGTGCAGGTGCCCCCCCCTTCATGATAGGGTAATCATGAGCTGGCTCCTCAGACAACACCCCAGAATTCTCTGCAGATATTCATGGCCTAATAAACCATGCTTTGTTAGCCAGCAAAACTTCATCTGAACAGCCCTGCTTCTTTTACTGTAATTCAGTTTTTTTCAATTGTCTCAATTTCTTACTCATATTTATGTTTCATTGGAACACAGAAAAGCCACAGATTATGGAGTTGGCCTTAAAAGTAATCTACTTGAGAATCTTGTCTTTCATTAAAAAGAAAGAAGAAAGTTTCTCATCTATTTGCATAAGTTTTCCTGAAAGTTTTTAGCAATGCCTAATGTATATTGAAAGTTCCTAGCTGAGAGTTGGGAGGGCCCTCTTTGTGAGACAAGGATTAAGATCTACTTTTGAGACAGGGATTTGTCTTTTCTTTGCTCTTTTTATTTTTATTTAGATTTGTTTTTTATTGTATGATGACAAAGTTTCATTAAAAATTATGGGGGGGGGGAGGGAGAGAAAGTTAGAGCCGAGGTCGCTCAATATTTCTAGTGCTCAGAGGTCAGGACTTATGATCTGGAGCTTCTTCCTGTGACTAGTGAAAGCAGAATGAACTATGCAACACTGGGAAGAAATGCTGCATCGATTGGGCAAAAAAGAGGTCACATTTGTTTGCATAATTTATTCCAGCTGCAGAATTCTGCATTTGTTAGAGTCACTTGGTGCATACCTTTGATTATTATTTTTTAACATTTTAACATTTTTTTAGCATATACTCAGCCTTGATTATGCTTTGAGAGATTTTTGTCATGAAGGAAAAAATTTCTCTGTGACATCAGCAAGAACTCCGTTCTTGAAGTGCCTTAGGACGTAGAGTGAGGTATTATAACAGTAATAATGATTAACATCTCATTTTGGGAACCAACATGTTTACATTGACATCTATCTTCTTCCCATCTCCTCCTTTCTATTGAATAGAGTATGGGAATCTGTGAAGCGTACTACCAGAAAAGAGGGGGTTTCTGCTGATGGTGAGCAAGTCTTTACATTGACAAACACAAAACACCTCTTACTTCACTGGCTGCTGAGAGTCTCCTAATGTTAGATAAGCTGGGGACATACATGAGAGAACACCAATATATATGGAAATATTGATTGTAGAGATTATTGGTCCTTCACCAATTTCAGGCAAGTATTTTATCATCGTTGAAATTTATAATAATTATAATGATGGCTTCCATTTTCATTCAGTAGCTAGTAATTCATAATAGTGGCTGTATGTGTGAACAGGCCCCCAGGCATGCCCTCAAAGCTAAGTGACCTGCCAGTCTTCCCTTCCCCACCTTTTATCATCAGAGCGTGGAAAGGAAGATGCAAAACAGTGTGGTCTAGTACCCGCTTGGATACTTGTGGATAGTAAGCCACAGCAGCACTGTTAAGATGGTTTGAAAAAGGAGCCATATGAATTTCCTAAACTAATGTTTGTTTCCAGTTGTGTTCTGGAGAATCCTGGTGTTCATTAAAAGCTTCTTCAGAGCTATAATCAGGAATGGCAGACTGGCTTCTCTGATAAACAGCTTGCCACCTATTCCAATCTTCCCCTATGATTGGCAGCTGCAGTGGAGTGTTGGATGGTTATCTTCTCCATTCACCTATGTGGATGGTATGACCCAACAGGTCAAACCAAGCACCTTATGTGAACTGAGGATATGCCCTAAATCATCTTCCAGAATCCTCTGCAACATTCAGGGCTTCCAAGTAGATACTGAAATTGTTCCCTCAAGGGAGAAAGTGTGAAAACCATTACTCTGAAACTGATAACATGGACACAACCATCAAGTACACTGCATGAGATACCTTGAGTGAGTTACTGATCTTTGTCGGTTTCAGTGCAGCCATGTTTTTGCAAGTTCCTTCTCTGTATTGGCAGGTGTTGCTGTTATTCCAGTGTTGCAAAGAACTCTTCACTATGACTGTGTTGTCCTAGTGAAGCAATTTAGGCCTCCCATGGGAAACTACTGCTTGGAATTCCCTGCAGGTAGGTGGTTCACCTCAGCTTCCTTGTTAATTTTAAGGTATTTAAAATTGTGAGAGAGGCACTAGCTGTTTCTTGGGATGCTTATATGTTTGGAAATAGGCCACAAGTCCTGTGTTGCAAACCCCTTAGGATAAATTCTTTCAGTGGTATTGCACCCTGGACATATCTGCACATTACTATTTCTGATTTTATCAGAATTAATGCCTTGTAACTAGGAATGGAGGAGAACTTTATTTGGTGTGCCCTTTTAAGTGAGCAGGCCTATTTTACACCTTCCTGACTAAGACACAGATTAGAACACAATTATCCTTTTGATCTTGCACTTCTCTGAACTTTGCAATACATTTTTTTTGTTGGGGGGGAAAATCAATGTGTAAAAATGAGTATTTTAGGATAAAGTGCATTCAGAAAGGCATTGAGGAAAAAGACATTTAAATATGTTCTTATATACAAGTTTTTTTAAAAAAAGAAAATCAGAGATGAATGTGGAAAGTGGATGGAAGACACTTACAAATGAACCCATGTCAAATTGATAGGGACAGAAATGGGCTGTGCATGTAACAAGAGCCAGACTAGGAAGTAATTGCTTAAAACAGTTGAGAGCAGCAAGGAATGTTGAGAGGGAAGGTCAACTTTCACTTGCCTTCCCTTCACACTTCTTTTTGGCAAACAGGCCAAGTATTGTGTAAGATACATGCATTTGTCCTACAGATCTAGTCTGGTATGGAGCCTCAGGATTCTAAACATGCCCCCGTAGTCTGTACTCTTCACAACTTGTGTGCCCCATCCTGTGAAGAATCTTGCTGGTATCATGAGATTGGCTTTTTAATGCATATGTATAATGCATTTAGGGACGCGGGTGGCGCTGTGGGTTAAACCACAGAGCCTAGGACTTGCCGATCCAAAGGTCGGCAGTTTGAATCCCCGCGACGGTGTGAGCTCCCGTTGTTTGGTCCCAGCTCCTGCCAACGTAGCAGTTCAAAAGCAGGTCAAAGTGCAAGTAGGTGAATAGGTACCACTCCGGCGGGAAGGTAAACAGCGTTTCCGTGCGCTGCTTTGGTTCACCAGAAGCGGCTTAGTCATGCTGGCCACATGACCCGGAAGTTGTACGCCGGCTCCCTCGGCCAATAAAGTGAGATGAGCGCCGCAACCTCAGAGTCGGTCATGACTGGAGCTAATGGTCAGGGGTCCCTTTACCTTTACCTGTAATGCATTTTAATAATTAGAGTAGTGATAGGGAGAACCTGTGGGCCTCTACATGTTGTATGCCAGCTCTCATCATCCCTGATCGTCAGTCACTTTGGCTGGGGCATATGGGAGTTGTAACAAAATTTCGAGGGCGCCAGATTCCCCATCCATGAATTAGAACATTTATCTTGCCACTAAGTCTTGTGCTTTCTTCCTAGCCATGCCAATGTCGTCACTCCCCCCCCCCCCCAAAAAAGTCCATTTACCATTGCTGATCTTAGTTACAATTCAACCTTTACATCACAGGTCTAATTGATAGCAATGAAACCCCAGAAAGTGCTGCTTTACGTGAGCTGGAGGAAGAAACAGGATACAAAGGGGAGATCCTTGAATGCTCTCCAGGTAACTTCTGTATTTTGTCTTGACTGTTTGGATGGAAAATGTTGATGCATGTCCTTTTATGGAACACTTTGGAATGCTCAAAGAGCTTGCAGTTATCAAACATAACTGCCATACCATAAATGCTGTCTAATTATTTTCTAATAAATGCATGCTGGAACATTTCACCAGTGCAAAGAGGAATGCCCTAGTAAACTCTGGGCATATCTATGAAGGTGCTGATGTAACTGGTCAGAACACTTGCAACATTTGGGGGCTTTTCAGCTGAGAAAAAGGGAGAAGGGCAGGACATGAGGAACATTATGTGGGGAAAGTGGATAGGGAGAAAGTTTATTCCCCCCTCCTCTCATACCAGAGCCCAGGATCATTCAATAAAGCTAAGTGGTTAGAAGCTCAGGACAGATGAAATGAAGTACTTTCCCCAAACTGAGCCCATCTAGGAGAAGGAAAACTGATCCTAAACCTCTGCTGCCTTGCAGGATATTTTGGGGAGAAGAAAGGGCTAAGGTGTAAATCCTACACAAATTTGGAGCAGAGTCCCTAAGATGGTTGGATGGCGCCTTGTCTGCCTCCTCCCGCAGCCAAGCTGGTGCCAAATGTATTGCTCCGCTTTCCTTTGAACCACATCAGTGAGGCTGAGATGGGAGTCTTGTTATCTGGGCAGCCCAGGGCCTCCAGACACACTACCCAGGCTTGCTCCCCAGAGAGGTCACTTGAGTGCTGCTAATGTAGCGGTTTGCCTACCCCCAGAGGCACACACATTGTCTCTCAAGACAGATGGATCCCACCAACAACTGGTTGCTGTAAAATGCTTGGCTATCTAGTTTCTGAATTCCACGTATTTCTCTGGCTTGCTGGAACTAGAGGATCTGAGCGTATGCACAGTGGTCCCTAGTCTTCGGCGGCACATTAGAGTTGTTTATCTAGTTCTTAATTAGGAGCAGATTCTGTGATATTCCTTCTGTGTCTTTGAGAACAAATGTGTATTAGCATGTCAGACGAATAACTGAAGAATGATGCTTTCTGTAGCTTTGTGCTTGGATCCTGGATTGACTAACTGTGCATCACACATTGCAACAGTCACCATTAATGGAGATATTCCTGCCAATCTGAAGCCCAAACAAAAACCAGGTGAGTCCACCACTTGATATAATCTTCTCTTATTCTTGTATCAAAACATTTTCAGTGCCCTATTTGAAACACCCTGTATTTATACACATATATTAAAGTGAAATTTCTGTTCATGTTGGTGTCTTTCTGCAAGGAGCCAAACATAAATCCTCAATATAAGAGTTGTCAATGTTATACCTAATAGCCAGAAAGCAGGAGTCATTGTGTGCTTTATGGGAAATACTGTAGTAGCATTTCTGTGGACTGTCCTATTTACAGGATGCAAGTGAGGCTTGCACAGTGTGACTACTGCTCCACTTTAAGAGCATATATAGTATAATTAACGCATTTTTAAAAAAGGATCTCCAGGCTCTGCAGACTGAAGTTGTGCCCTTCAGAGTTCCTCCACTGCTTGGCACAAATACAGTGGTACCTCGGGTTAAGAACTTATTTCGTTCTGGAGGTCCGTTCTTAACCTGAAACTGTTCTTAACCTGAGGTACCACTTTAGCTAATGGGGCCTCCCGCTGCCGCCGCGTCACCACCATGCGATTTCTGTTCTCATTCTGAAGCAAAGTTCTTAACCCAAGGTACTATTTCAGGGATAGCAGAGTCTGTAACCTGAAGCGTCTGTAACCCGAGGTACCACTGTACAGAAATACAGATAAGATAAGAAACAAAGTAGCATGGTAGCTCTTGAACTGTCTGGGAGCTGCATAAGCCTAAATTCAAGAAGGTGCAGTAGATATTAAGAGTTTGCCTCCCCCTTAGTCTCACCCCCCCCCTTTTAGCTGCATGGGAAGAAGGGTTCAGTATGTGGGGATCCAGGGCAGGGGGCTTCCTTGGTCTGAGGGAAGCAGCCACAGTTTATCTGGTAGGAAGCTGTGGAGATTGAAGAGAGGAGCCTTCGGGGGCAGAAGTGGAGGCATCTTGGGTGTTCTGAGCCAGGGGAATGTTAATATAAGTAAATGTGGTGGCAGGCATTGTGGCAAGGCTGTTTAGGAAGAGGCGAAACTGAAGGGTTGAGCTGTGTGGGGTTGCTAGAGACAGAAAAGTGCCCAAGTGTCCTGGAGCATTTAGGGAGACAATTCAGATGAGTGGATTTAGGCTTAAGAAGCAGAGCAGCCCTGGAGCCACACCAAGAAGCCTGGCTCATGATGTCCTGCATGCTGAGTACCACCTCCCACCCTCCATGTGTGCAGCACAAACATCGGCACGGAGGGAGCCTTAGCACGTTTGCACTGTATATGCAGGCGCCAGGGACTGTGCCATGCAACAGCAGGACTACTGGATCCAACCCTGATCCTGTACTGCTCCATTCAGGAGCATTAGCAGCTATATAGGACTATGTTTCAATAATATTGTGGATAAATTGTTCAGCAAGGAAGTCTGATATCAGAGTGAAAAACAGAAGTATCTAGAGTCACAAACCTTAATTCCCATTGTGTTTATGCTTTGTTTTGTATATGCAGAGGAAGGAGGTACGTTGTCTGCTTAAGTTCACTATGGCTGGCATCACAGATAAGTATGCTAGATACTTCTGAATATTCCAGTGTAGTTTTGGCTCAATAAAGCCCTTTTGTCTTTTAAGTTCAATAGCTATCTCTTTCTGGGTCACCCTAATTTTTTCAGTAACACATTGAGTAGTATAGAATTTTAAAAATGTAGACTTCACTGGTGTATTAAAAGAAGTTAATCCCATTTAGCATGATCTGCAGGAAAGGGATCCAAAATCAATTTCCTTAAAAAGAAAAGTTGGGAACAATGGGTTGGATCCAAAAAACTGAGTGGAAAGAAAGCAAGACACTAGCACTGTTCTCCAAATGGGTTGACACAGCCTGAGTAATCGACCCAAACTTTTGCACCGCTGCTCTTCTTGTCTGTGATGTCACACTGAGCTTTGGAGACACCTAGGAGAGTTGATGGGATTGTACAGACAAGCCCTTGCCTCTTTTTCACTCTGCGGTGGCAGGGGAGGACATGGGCTTGACTGTTACACAAAGCTCAGTGTATAGATTTTTGGCTTTGTAGAGTATGGAGGAATCTCCCAGACTTTACACTGCCTTAGGAAAGGCTTGAAAAGCACCGAGATCTTTTCCAGAGAAATTACCCACTGTCTCCTAGTGTGGACAAAGAGGTGATCTTGCTATTACCACTTCTGAGGTGACAGATATATATTTGCGTAATTCCACTTGTGTAAGAGTTCATTACACACTGCTATAAGTTCTCATGCTTCCATTTGTGCAATTTTTTTGGATTTACCTTCACTTTTATTGCATAACCCTGAAGGTAGAGGTGCAAAATAGCCCTTTTGTTGTTAAGTTGCTTTGAGACTTTTTTATGAAGTGACTAAGAAATAATAGTAATAATGATGATGATGTTATTGTTATTCTGTAAGTGGGAGACACAGTCCATGAGCAGAAGGACTTTTATTTGGATCCAGTCCCATACTTCATGCAACTACGTTTTGAACTAGGGAAGAGATGAGGAAACCTGTGACCCTCCAATTATTATTGGACTACAGTGCATACCAGCCCACATGGCCAATGGTCAGGGATGATGGGAGATGTAGTCTGATAACACCTAGAGGGCCACAGGTCCACCCCTCAGAACTAAAGTTTCCATTATTTCTAGGATAGTGTTTTCGCAGGTAAAAATCAACAGACCTCAACTGCAATGTTGTGATCTCCTTTTAACCGAGGAGTCAGAAACTGGTGACGCCTCTGACTAATCTAGTCCTCCAAATCCTAGATCATGTGTACCGTAAAATAACTGCCTTCAATATTGGCAACAGAACACCTCTTTCTGATTCCTGGTGACCCAAACACTTGCCATTGTCTACCTCTGCCCACCATTACTCAACACTAAGGGGAGTAAGCAGTTTTTTGCAGAAACAGCTGGCCTTGGGTGGAGGAGCGAAGTACTGTGAATAGGAGGCATAGTCATGTCAGCATAACATGAATGGGGCTGGTTGTAGCTCACTGGCTTTCCTTATAAGTTTCAGTATATGTGAAACTCATCTTATTTTCAGCTCTAGACTAAAAGGGGAGTCACCTTGTGGAATAGAGTAGAAATTATGTAATGCGTAATTTTCTTTCTTTCCCCTCCCTCAGAATTTGTAGAAGTTGTTACACTACCAAAGAATGATTTATTGCAGAGAATTGAGGGTAAGTACCATCACTGAAGAAAAGATTCATGAAAATTGAAATGGTGGCAGAGTTTGCAAAATCAGGGCCTTCTAAAAGGATTTTCTGAGAATGAAGCATATTTTTCTTGAATGCCAGGGAAGATTCCCAATAGGAGACCTATTTCATTACCTGGCATCAGTCTTCTGAGCAGGGATGCTTAGCTACACCTACATATTACCCTCCAAAATATCACAGCAAACCGTTATTTCATTCATACATCCTTGAAAACTTGTGAAGTAGAAGGTTGAGGCAGGATTTCATGTCCCTGTGGAACTGCACCTATTAGCTGCATCACTGGCAAGAAGAACAGACCTGCTTGTGAGCATAGCAAAACTGAAGGGGGGAAAGAAGCAAGACGGACAGGAACAAATAAAATACATAAAATATACAATATGTGGGGGGGGGGGCAAAAGGAGAAGAGTGGAGGAGGTAACTGAAAACCCTGAGAGGTAAAAAAAGACTGTGTGTGTGAGTGGTTTAGTCATTGGCCGTATTTTTTAAAAAGAGGCCTGAGTTTAAAAAGGAATTTTAAGCATTAGCTCAAGTGTTTTGCAAAGGGCTGTTCTCTCCTGTGTTTCCCTCTGCTGTTTTTCCTCCAAACCACTATAGTTCCTTTAAAAAAGAAACAACCTCAAGGATTTTAGAGCCAAACTGCATCATCAATAGAATGATATGGCTGAACTCTTGAGGCTGGGGGTGGGATGTCTGGCTGCTCTGCCAGCTTTAAAACAAAACAGCAAAGTCTTCCTGCGTCTGGAAGAGGGGTGGGAAACCTTTTGGCTTGAGAGCCACATTTCTTTTTGGGCACCTCACAAAAGAGGGTGATGAAATGACTGTGAATGTTACCATTGTACTGCAGGCTGGATTCTACACACGCTCTTCTCTGACCTCCAGCCAGGCAAGCAAGAGTTGGTACTGGAGGTCAAGGATTTTCCAAATTCATGATGGAGGGGATGCATCCCAAAGGCCAGCTAGGGAGGCCTGGAGGTCAGCATTTGATTCTCACTGCAGGCCTGAGATTCCTCGTCCCTGATATGGAAAATCAGGGGAAAGGCATGGTGGATTTTTTAAAATCTATGGTGCAATCAGACTTGGTTTTCCTTCTTCTGCAGCATTAAGAGGTACAGCCCAAGAGCTGTATTACGCTGCACTGCCTTATAACAGTGGGGGGGGGGAGTGTGCACTCTCCTCTGTATCGCTGTTCTAGTGGTCATCTTACTCAGTTTTATATGACTTTAAGACCAAACATCTTGGTAAAATTTAAGTACAATTGTACCTTGGAAGTCGATCGGAATTTGTTCCGGAAGTCTGATCAACTTCCAAAACGTTTGGAAAGCAAAGCACGGCTCCTGCAGCCAATCGGAATCTGCGGAAGCCCCGTCGGACTTTAGGCTTCCAAAAATAGTTTGCAGACCGACTTCCGGGGTGGCGCCATCGGCAATGGCGGACTCCCTCTGAACTGGAGGGACTAGCTCCGCGGGAAACGGGTCTTCTCCGCTACGGCGAAGCGGGGACCCTTTCAAAAATCACAGGCGGATGAAGCCTGTGACCATGGGACTCGGCGGGCACCTTTAGCGCCCCCCCCAACTCGCAAAGGAACCCACTAACGGGCTCCGAAGTGAAGAGGGGGAAGTGGCGCGGTGCTGTGAGTCAACTGCTATTTCCGTGGAGCGAAGCCGCATAGCCCTTGCCGGAGAGCGCTGCCCTTTTCCTGGGACAATTTGGACTCTAAAATAAGCACCCGTGAGTACTTAGACTTTGAACAACTGGACATTAGATGGGGACTTGCGAGCAGAAAGGAATTGGATTTTAAAAATCTATTTCAATTTGGTACGGAACAGGAAGGTCTAAACAGGAAGTCAGCCTTCCGTTCTTCTGTAGATAGAATAAAGCAAAGACAACGTAAACTAGAGCTCAGAAAATCGCTTTTAAAGGATTGGATTTCATCATTTAAAATTGTGGAACCCCCCTTCGACAGCAGGAGAAGAAGGGGGATCTTTTTCGGACTGTTTAAAGTGAGTTTAAAGTAAAGCAACTTTCCTCCGTCCTGATCCTGGAGCGGGGTGTCAGGACTGACGTTTGAAGTTCATTGACCAGAGACAAACGTTTTTGACAGATAGCTAAAAGAAGAGAAACATAGTGATTCCACTGTTTCCCTTCGCATTTCAAAGGAACAAATATTGACAAGGTATCTCAAAAAGGAAAACTTTGTTGCAAGATCAAATAGAAGTTTTCCCCCTAGAGGGAGACTGTGAAACTGTAACCAACTCCAGGGAGCCGGCAGCTGTTTACAGACTACAATCGTGGGAATAGGCATTTGACCTTGCAGGACAATGTATTCAGAAGCTTTGTTGTGTGCTTTCTACAAAACAAATGCCCTACTGGAACAGTTACATGAGAAGGTGAATTTGATGACGACTTTGACTAGAAATTTCGAACACGCAGTGGGAAATTTTGAACAGACAGTGGGAAAATATGTGGAGCCCACCCAGGAATTAAATCAGGAGTGTGTCCTGACAGAACAGGCCCAACAGGAATATGAGCTTTCGGATTTGACAAATGAACTTGGAAAAGCCAGATTTGGAAAGAAAAAGTTTGGTTTGGCTTGGAAATGGGGGGCTGGATTGACCCCCCTATGCAGGGATGTTTGGACTTTTCAAATCTGGCAATGGGCCGTGAGATGTTTGGGATTGTGGGGGCTCTTAATTTTGGAGGGTCTTTGAAACATGCTTTTAAATACCATATGGAATTTAGTGCTGAATATGGAAAAGGGGCTGATCTGTCGAGAAGGGTTAAAAATATTGCCAAGCTGGAGTTACCACGAGCAGGAGACAAGGGAAAATACAGTTACAAATATGAAGAAGAGCTGCGAAAGGGACATGGAAGAGACTTGAGGGCCTTGGATATAAGGTTGCCAGGTTAATGGGCCAGATCGATGGGATAATAAGGACTGACTAAACCCGGAACCAGGAGGAAGGGACGTTGGATGAAGATTGGATCTGTTTGTATTTCTTTTTTCTACCATTAGAACTGTTTTATAAAATTGATGAATGTCAGAAAAATGTTGGAATGAAATTACTGGCTTTAGTAAAGATGGTTAAAGAATTATGAAAGAATATTATGGTTATGAGAAGTTGGTAAGGATAAGATTTAAGTTATAAGCTTTAAGGTTTATTTCTTATAGAAAGATAAGATCAAAACTGTTTAGGGTAATGTAATGACAGAATATTATGAAATATGGAAAGGATTTGCTGGGATAATTAATAACTAGGATACAAAGAAAGGGAGGAGGAGGAGGTCAAAGAAAGAAGGTAATGACAGTTGAGGATTCGAGAATAATGAATTTGTTTTTAAATGTTCTTAAATTGTATTTTTGTTTTTTCTTCTGTTTTTTTCTTTTTTTTTGAATTTGTATTTGTATGGTTGGAAGGGGTTTGTTTGGTTTTTTCCCCTTCCTTTTCTACTTTGTTAACTATTTTTATTTTGTATTCTCTTCTGCTTTTATTTTATGTTGTAACACTTTGAAAATTTCAATAAATATTTTATTTAAAAAAAAAAAATAGTTTGCAGACCGGAACAGTCACTTCCAGGTTTGTGGCGTTTGGGAACCAAAATGTTGGAGACTCTAGTACGACTGTGGTCATATTCTCCTGACAATTTAAGATCACACAATTCAGAGAGAGATGATTATTTGTTGTTGTTGTTGATTGAACTTGACGAGAACCACCCAGAAAACTTTGTTGATTGGGCAGTTGGTTGGACAGCATGGCCTTGGTTACCAAATCCTGGCTCTGAGTGCAGGGTGGCACACAGTTGTTGTCGTTATGTCCTGAATGCTCCGTGTGCAGTCTGCCAGGGGGTGTGGGAAGCAGTGGCCAAGGCTGCTCCACTCACTTTCTGGCAGACCACCCATGAGAAGAGCATATGATTATTTTTGCAGATTTGCTTTTTCGCAACTACCACATTGCAGAAGGTGCACGTAAAACCAAGTTGAACTCAGATACAGTAGTTTCAACAATGTTAAGTGCATACAATGCAAAGTTTTGTGGCCTGAAAGCAGAGTGTAAAAAAATTAGCTCAGTCAGTACAGCCTAAGATGTGATCTCAGGGTCTTGGGTTTGAAGCCCCACATGGGGCAGAAGATTCTGGCATTGTAGGAACCCTCATGGTTCCGTCCAACTCTACGATTCTATTCTTTTATTCTAACAATACACGTTTCCTCAACATATGTGTGACTTGTGTTCTTTGGAACATTGGAATTAAACCAGTCTTGCTTATACTACTTTAACAAAATATTTATCTATTTTTTCCAGAGCTGGTGTCAGAGGAGCACATGATAGTCGATGCAAAAGTATATGCTTATGCCTTGGCACTGAGGCACGCAACAGACCAACCATTCCAAGTGCCATTTATGAAATTCTAAGACTGCTTAGTTGTTTGGAAGGATGTTTCTGTATTGAGCTAAGGCAGCATTTCTTTCCTGTGACAGTCAACAAGCTGAATGAAACAGTAAGCTTTTTCTAAAAAAAGAGAGGACAGTTTATAGCAGTCTAACTGGCCTGTTTGCTGAAAAGAAAGAAACAATTTCACTTAATTCAGTTTCTGTATCCAATTAACTGGAGATTTCCTGAGAAAAATAAATCTCTTACTGCCTTCTGACAGGGTATTGTTCTTCTTCTATTGTCTTAGAAATTCTGAGCCCTGAAATTAGTGTGAGCAGAAAGACTAGCTTTGTGAGGGGCTGGAATCTGGCTTATTTGTAAATCAGGTATTACTTGTTTTTTCTCCCTAAGCCAATGGCCTTAGATGGAAATAGGAAAACAATGTACAGTGGTACCTCAGGGTTAAGAACTTAATTCGTTCCGGAAGTCCGTTCTTAACCTGAAACTGTTCTTAACCTGAGGTACCACTTTAGCTAATGGGGCCTCCTGCTGCCGCCGCGCTGCCGGAGCACGATTTCTGTTCTCATCCTGAAGCAAAGTTCTTAACCTGAAGCATTATTTCTGGGTTAGCGGAGTCTGTAACCTGAAGCGTATGTAACCCGAGGTACCACTGTAAACGCTTTCCTGAAGCAGCTGCATGCATTTGATAATTAGCTTCAAATTGCAGGGTTTCATCAAAGGTGTCCTAACGAGTGGTTACAGAACAAGGAGAACTTCCGTTTCAAAGCTACTAGCCTAGATTTCATGTCCAGTAATTCTAAGGTATGGATAAGAAAAGTCACACGCTTCCATATCTGATAGATGAAGGCTGCACATTTCTGATCTATATTATCACCGGAGGAAGTAATATTGCTTGCCTATTTGTACTAAACATAAATACCATATTGGCCTGAATATAAGCATCAATTTCCCCCCCAAATTCTGACTGAAAAGTTAAAAGTGCGGCTTAAATTCGCAACTTTACAAAAATGGGCTTTTACGATATTGCTGCTGAAACAGACATATGGTAAAATGGAATTTGAGTGTGAGTGCCTGTGGAATTTTAAGGGAGCGGCTTATATCCAGGTATTGTCTTTTTTTCTCCCCCCGCCCCCTGAATTTTAAAGGTGGAGCTTATATTCAGGCCAATAGTTTACTGACTAAACTAACATTTTGTCTAGTCAGTAATTTAATATGTATGTCTAGTATAAAATTTTTAGCAACATATTTGGTATTAAACCAAGCAGAGAATCATTATGAATAGCTTTAGTTAACTTTTTACATTAGCAGAATATATTTGTAAGAGAGTCTTTTATTGTATCGGATATTTTAAAAAAGGTAAAAAAGGTAAAGGACCCCTGGTCCAGTCAAAGACAACTATGGGGTTGTGGTGTTCATCTCACTTTCAGGCGAGGGAACCGGCACTTGTCCACAGACAGCTTTCTGGGTCATGTGGCCAGCAGGACTAAACCACTACTGGCGCACAGAGGACCATGACGAGTGCCAGAGCACACAGAAACACCGTTTACCTTCCCACTGCAGCGGTACCTATTTATCTACTTGCACTTTGACGTGCTTTTGAACTGCTAGGTTGGCAGGAGCTGGGACAGAGGAACGGGAGCTCACTCTGTCGCAGGGATTTGAACTGCTGACCTGGTCAGCAAGCCCTAGGCTCAGTGGTTTAGACCACAACGCCACCCACAGATATTAATATTCATAATGCAGCTTTTGAAAATGAATTTATATATTTTTAAGAGCTGCTCTTTTCAAAGTGCTTGTTACACGAGACCAACGCTGCAATCCTAACTACTCATAATTAAGTCCCATTTAATTCAGCGGTGCTTACTCCTAAGTAAGTGGGACTAAGATTGCATCCTGTGAAACTAAAACTCCCTATTTCAAATCCAAATTCTTCCATGAACACTTTCACTCTCCTGTTGGAAAAGAATGCTGTCCTAACCTCTTGAGGATGCTGCAAGGGTTTTTACATAGGCATTGAATATTCTCAAGCACTATAAAAAGTTGAGTACTGTGTGATATCAACAACCCAGTCATAGCTACATTTAAGCAGTGTGTGTCTTAAGTATATGGTGTGAATGGGAAAGTCCACTTATTCAAGAGAATACAGTACAAGCTTTTGAACCTTATTTGGGGACTAGATAAACATCTTGCTTTGGCAGCTTTAACCCAATAGCTTGCCTGATCGGCAGCTGCAACATTTAGTAATTAGATCTGGACTGAAATTACACTCTGTCTACTTCTACATTCTGTACTCATACTAGAATCCAAGTAACAGCCGGACTCCACTCATTTAATAGAAACATTAAACTCATCCCATCAGTCTATGGTACTTCTCTTAAATTATCAGGAACACACACTATGGTATGTGCATGAAGATAGCATCCTCCTCCAAGACAGGGATGCAGCTGTCTATAAAGATTGTCCCAGTCCATCTTGCCTTCTGTCTTTTGCCCAATGTATCAGGGAAAGCTGTCTCACAACTTGGGATTAACAATGTACATGGACTGTATGACAAGATCATATGGTCTACCACGTATCTGAGGAGATCTATGTTACAGTCACTTCAGAAGTTAGGCAGGTGCTTACCAGGGAGATGATGTCTATTGTGGTAGCAGCTTGGTTTCGGAATACTGTCCACAGAGATGTCTTTGTGGCACTATCCCAAGAGTCAAGCTTTTGAGTCAGTGCGGGCATTTTCTCGCATTGACTGTTGCTTGTAATAGTCTAGAGTTTTTAGCTTGTTTTTTAATTTTTTGTTGGGGTGGATTTTTTTTAATACAGGAAGACATATGGTATAAATGTTTTAAATAAATGCAGAGTGGCAAGGGGCATTGTGAGTGAGGATACAGGAGACCGTGAGGAGAATCAAAGCTTATAGGGTTAAACAGCTCAGAGTCTACGTCCTGCCCACTGGGGTGGTCTCCATCCGGGGATCTGTTCTTTGTGTTCAGTCTGCTTTCGGTTTTGTCCGAGACTGGAGACAAGATGTTGTCTCCCGAAGGTGTTGATTTATTGTTGCTGCTGTACATAAATAAAGCTTCTTAGATTAGAGGAGAAGCCGCATACAGACTGTTTTCTGCATGCTCACACACAAGAGCACACGCTGTGTTTACTCTGCTACAAGTCCAGAAAAGCTGAATGGCAGTGGAAGTGAACCAGACTTATTCCTCATTACTTCACAGGTTATGGGTGCTAGCCTTCCAGGTTATGGGGGTTTTCAGCCACGCCTGTGCTGTGTCTGTGTGAGAAGAGCTGCAAAGTCCAGCTAGAGATCCTGCCATTCTGTGTGCTTAAGGCAAGGCATTGGAACTCGCTGGTGAAGGAGGACCTCGCTGTGGAGATCGTCTCTTCAAGTACCGGCTGCCAGTAGCGTGAGTAGGCTAAGCCCCGGAGAAGATGGCAGAGGCTCAGGAGACCTTCAGTGTCCCATTTGAGAGGCTCAATGGGCACAACAGGGAGGATTAGTCCTGAAGAGTCAGGGCCTGGCTTACAGGCAAGGGGCTCTGGGAATGTATGCAGAACGACCCAGTTCCTGCACTGGCAGGTGTAGCTACAGCTGCAGCTGCAAGAGTAACAGCCGCTGCTGCGTTGAGGAGACACCAGAGAACTATGGGCCTTCTGGTGCTCAGTTTGGTCTCTTCCCAATTGCCCCATGTTGATGGGCTAGGGACCAGCCAAGAGATCTGGCAGGCTCTGGAGAGAGTGCACGTATGCACTACAGCAGGAGCCAAGATTCATGTGACAAGGAGTCTTTTTGAGATGAAACTACGTCCTGGAGAACCTGTTAGAGACCACATTACGCATATGCTGGCTGTGTTCAGTAGGCTGCGGCAGCTCAATGTGGCCCTTTCGGAAGAAGAGTTTATATTCTTCTGAGTTCTTTGGACAAAAGCTATGAGCATTTGTGTTTGACCCTGGAAGCCATGCCAGTGGAGCAGCTGACGCTAGAGTTTATCTCAGGGAGGCTGTGTGATGAGGAGCAACGCCGGGAGAAGATGGAGGGCGAGCAGGCTCAGGCTGTCCTGCATCCAGGAGTGGGGGTGCAGGGAGAAGTGAAGAAACAGTGAAAGCTTTTTTGTCTCGTTTTCGTTGTGGCTCGGATTCCCATCTGGTCAGACAGTGCCCAGTGGAGCCACAGGAAGCCTCCAAGGCTGTTTCCCAGGGCAACCAGATTAGAGGCGCTGCCAAGCATGGGAAGGCTCAGAGAGGCTCCAAGAGAACCGACAGAGACACGTCGTCACAACACCACCTGGCTGCTTCTATGACAACAGTGAAAAACTGCGACCAAGGCCACGTGCAGAGCTAGATGATTGACAGTGGTGCCAGTCACCATCTAATGCCCTCTGCTGGTCTTTTGAGGAACTGCAGGGCTGTGACGACAGGAAAAAGTGTGACTCTTGCAGATGGTTCCAAACGTCAATTGTGTCTGGCTCCGTTTATGCTTTTTTGCAGGCGGAGATTGAGCCAAAGATACAGTGCTGTTTGCTATCTGCTTCTTCTCTTGTCAATGATGGTTTCAAAGTGTGTTTTGAGGATAATGTTCTATTTCCAGAGGTGGGCGACAACTGGTCAGTGTTGAATGCAAAAACAGGCTGTTTGTTCTGGAAACGCCTATTGCAGGTAAAGGTCCCACTGAGCCAGAACAAGCGCAGTGTGCTAATGTTCCTGTCCACTATGGGTGCCATCATGTGTGGCACCGAAGAATGTCACACGTCAACTGGGGGTATGTGAAGATCCCAGGTTGCACTGAGGGGTGCAAGATGAAGGCATGTGCCAAATACCTAGATTGCAGGGCCTGCAAGGAAGCTAAGGTTCAAACATGCACTTATCCTAGGTCTGACAGGGTAACCACAAAACCTTTTGAGCTAGTTCATGCAGACCTTTGCGGCCCTATGCAAGTTGCCAGTCTGGGTGGGGCCAAATTTGTGTTATCTCTGGTAGACGATTTCCTCCGAAATGGGTGGGTGTTCACTCTACAGCACAAAGGAGAGGCTGCTGCCTTGGTGAAAGACTGGATCCCTGCAGTTGAACTACAGTTCTCACTGAGGGTCCGGAGCTTTCAATCAGATCATCACCAGGTTGGTGCTGCAGAACTTCTTCCACCAGAAAGGGATACGCCACAGTTGATAGTCGCGCATTCTCCTCAGGAGAATGGGGTGGCAGAATGTCGGAACTGTACGCTGCAGGAGGCAACAGAAGCCATTCTGGCAACAGAAGCCAGCGCTTTTGGGCGGAAGCGTGGAAAGTCGCGAGCTTCACTTTGAACCGCTCGTACAGTTCTGTAGTAGGGGACACGCCCTATTTTCTGCTTCACGGTAAGAAGCCCAAGGTGCATTTCTTCCATGTGTTTGGATGCAAGGCTTGGGTCCTTGTGCCAAAAGCCAAACGCATAAAGGGTTGCCCTAGGTCCCAAAGAATGATCTTTTGTGGGTATGAGCCAGGGACCAAGGGGTGGAGGTTTGCTTATCCAGAAGGCAATCAGTCTAGGATTCTAGTCAGCAGGCGTGCTGAGTTCTGTGAGCAAAGTGGGTGGACACGCATCCATTCTGACATTCTTTCAGAGAGTCTGCTTGACTCTGCTGAGGAGGAAGAGACAGAAACTGATCCTGCTGTTGAGGATCAGGTCCCTGACCAAGGGCAGGAACAGGAAAGGGCATATCCTAAAGCTGTTAAGCTAGAGCAAAGGAGTGCACCTTCATTGCCCACAGGTTCAGCTGAGTCCAGAAGGCGCAGTAAGTCAGAAAGGCAGTCCTCTGAAGGCAAGGACACACTAGCTGGCCCTAGTGGGTCAGAGGGGGCAACTGAAGTAGTGCTCAGACTGTCAGCTCGCGCTACAAAGGGAAAACCACTCGAAAGGTTTGATGTCACTAGCTTGTGGGTTGGTTTGGCTCAATGTGGACCAGCTTTGAGGAGGTTCAGAAATTGCCTGAAGCAGAAGCCAGGAAATGGCAAGAGGCAATGAATAAACAGTTGAGCTCAATGGAGTCTCTAGGTGTGTTCTCTATCACGACGCTGCAAGCAGGCAAGCAGGCCGTGAGCAGCCATTGGGTTTACCGTCTTAAACCCACAGCAACTGGAGACTTCCGGGTTAGCGCCATCGGCGAATGGCGGAGTTCCTCCGACCGGAGGAACTGGCTCCGTGGAAACTGGGTCTTCCCACCGCGGCAAAGGTGGGGACCCGCTAGAAATCCCAGGCGGAGGAAGCCTGGGAACGTGGGGTTCGGCAGGGCACCAGGAGCACCTCCCCTACTCACGGGGAACCCCATATCGGGGTTCTGGAGTGAAGTGGGGTGAGCGGCGCGGTGCTGCGAACTGATTGCTACTTTCACGGAGTGAAGCCGCACAGCCATTGCCGGAGAGCGCTGACTTTTTCCTGTGGACAATTGGATTTAAAACAAGTACCCGTGAGTAGAAACGGAAAATTGGATTAAGAAATACCCTAATTTGGCACCGAAGCGGGAAGGTTCAAACAGGAAGTCCGCCTTCCGCTTTTTGTATATAGACTGAAGCAAAAACCTTGTAAGCTAAAGTCCAGAAAGTCGTTAAAAAAGTCTAAATTTCCTTCATTCATAACCACTAAAACCCCCTTGGAAGCAGGAGAAAAGGGGGGGAATCTCTGTTTAAGCCTGCAGGAGAGGGAGTGAAGAAAGATAAGTTTCCACCGTCTCAAACCTGGGAACGGGGGGTCAGAGACAGAAATTGTTGGAGACGTTCACTGACTGTGAATGGAATACTTTGACAGATAGCTAAAGAAGAGAAATAAACTGATTCCAATGTTGCCTTTTGCATTCTAAAGAAACAAAATATCTGAAAAATAAAAGTAATTTTCCTTTGTTGGACTTGCCTTAAAAAGATGGATACAGGAGCTTGTTAAATTGTTGCTGCAGTCTACTTGAGGACTCCACAGCTGTGAGATTAAGATCGTGGGATCAGTCCTTTTGACCTCGAATAAAAATGAGCTGGGAGGAAGTTTTGGTGCTTGCTTTATGCAAGACAAGTGCTTTGTTGGAACAGATGCATGAGAAGATGGATCTGATGAATGAGAAAAAGGAATTGATGACTGTTGTGGTCAATAACTGTGGACAAACAGGGAATATTGATACAGAAACCATTCAGGGACCAACCCAGGAACCTGTATTGATGGGGCATGTGCAGAAGATAATGGAGGAGGTTGCAGTTGCACCTCAAATAATACAAATGGAGAGATCCGAGGCCCTGCAGGAGCATAAGCCATTGTTTTTGAAGATTGAAGTTGGAGTGGGCCAGGGGGAGTCTGGAGCTGAGGAGGTTTTTAACTTCGGAGGGACTTTGAAATATGCTCCTAAATATTTTTTGGATTACATTGATGACTGTGGGGAGTGGGACTGTGGGGAATGGGCTGGTTTGATGAAGGGAGATGGAGAGAATCTTGGGCTGGAACCTCCCAGAGACCTACTCCTCAATGAGAAAGGAAAGAAATTAAGAAAGAGACCAACAAAAGACAAGGAAAAGTGCAGGCATAAACAAGAAGAAGATCTGCAGAAGGGACATGGAAGAGACAAGAGCCTCGGATATAAGATTACCGGGTTGATGGACTAGATGGAACGGACAGTAAGGACTGACATGACCCGAGACCAGAAAGAAGAGACGCTGGATGAAGACTGGAAGAAAATTTATAAAGAAAAATTTTTATTTAGGGAATTAGCCTAAAATTAATGAATATTAGGGAAAATGTTGGAATGAAACTGTATGGCTTTAGTAGAAATGATATAAGGAGTTATGTATAATTGAGTATTAAGTTTCAAGCTCTAAGGTATTTTATGGTAAGATAAGGTTAAATAAATTAAGGCAATTTGAATAACAGAATGTGGGGAAAGATGGAAAGGATTTGTTGAGTTAATTAATAGGTTAAATTGTTAAGATAAATTATTCAATAAAAATTGAGAAAGATGGAAAGAATTTGCTGAAATAAGTAATTAAACTAGAATACAAAAAGGGAGGTGTGAGGAGGTCAATGAAACAAGCAAATGGAAGTTAAAGATATGTAACATGGGATTTGTGTCTTTTTGTGTGTGTGTGTGTGTGTGTGTTTATCTTTTTGCTGTATTGTTGTATTGGTTTTTATGCTTTGTTTTTTTCTTCTTTTTTATGTATTGTAGTGTTGTTTCTTATTTTTTCTTTTTTTTCTGTAATCCTGAAACTTTTAATAAATATTATTTTTTTAAAAAAAAAAATTAAACCCACAGCAACTGGAGAACCACAGTACAGTGGTACCTCAGGTTAAGTACTTAATTCGTTCTGGAGGTCCGTACTTAACCTGAAACTGTTCTTAACCTGAAGCACCACTTTAGCTAATGGGGCCTCCCACTGCTGCCGTGCTGCCAGAGCACGATTTCTGTTCTCATCCTGAAGCAAAGTTCTTAACCTGAAGCACTATTTCTGGGTTATCGGAGTCTGTAACCTGAAGCGTATGTAACCTGAAGCGTATGTAACCCGAGGTACCACTGTACAAGGCTAGGCTAGTAGCCAGAGGTTTCACGCAGCGGAAGGGGCTGTATTACACTGAAGTGTATGCTCCTACTTCCAGAAGTGAAACTCTGCATATGCTCTTAGCCATTGCTGCACAGAGAGGTCATCAGGTGCATCACTTTGATGTGGATGTAGCCTATTTGAACTCAGACCTAAAGGAGGATCTGTACATGATCCCTCCATGGTTTGAGGGCAATAGGCCAGATGCAGTGTGGAAGCTCCACAAATCCATTTACAGCCTGAAACAATCGACCAGGAACTGCAATGTGTCTGAATGAAGCCTTGCAGGGCATGGGTTTCAAGAGGAGTCTTGCTGACAGCTGCCTGTACCTGAAAGGGTCAGGAGAGTCACAGGAGCTAGTATCGGTGTTTGTAGATGACATAATCTACGTGGCCAGGACAAAGAAACGGGTTCAAGGTTTTGCCAAAGAGTTTGGGAAACGTTTCCAGCTCAAAAACCTAGGTCCAGTGAAAATTTACCTAGGCGTCCAGGTTGATAGAACCAAGGACGAAAGCTTCTCTCAGTCAGAAAGGCAAGATTGAGCAGTTGCTTGAGAAGTTCAAAATGTCTGAATGTGCAGGGGTCAGAACACCCATGGAGACAAGCTACGTGAAAGACAGTAAGCTTGGGGAACATGCTGAGTTCGAAAACACTGAGATCTTTCAGTCAGCTCTGGGTAGTCTGTTGTATCTCTCCCAGTGGAGCAGACCTGACAGCATTTGCTGTGAATCTGCTCAGCAGGGAGGCTACAAAGCCAAATGTGAGTGCCTGGAATGGTATCAAGAGGGTGCTGCGATACCTGCAGGATACCAAAGATTTCTGCCTCAAGCTGTCAGCTGAGGGTGAAGCACAGCTCACCTACTGGGCGAATCTGGAAGACAGGAAGCCTGTGTCTGGAATGGTAATAAAGTTTCGGAAATCTCTAGTTGGGTGGAAGTCCCGAAAGCAAAGTCTCATTGTGCTTTCCGCTACTGAAGCGGAGTTCAGTGAGTTGTCAGAACTCTGCAGGGAACTAGAGTTTTACACTTGTTTGGTCCAAGAAATCTGTGGGGATTGTTGTTTGCCCATCACTGGGAAGACAATCAACTCTATCTGAAGTTGGCAGAGTCTGGACAGTTCAAGTCCAGAACCAAACATTTAAACATACATTTCCAAGATGTTGTCTCCCGAAGGTGCTGATTTATTGTTGCTGCTGTCCATAAATAAAGCTTCTTAGATTAGAGGAGAAGCCGCGTACAGACTGTTTTCTGCATGCTCACACACAAGAGCACACACTGTGTTTACTCTGCTGCAAGTCCAGAAAAGCTGAATGGCAGTAGAAGCGTACAGGACTCATTCCTCATTACTTCACAGAGACTCCCATGCCATAGATACTGCACTGTTACAAACCAGGATAGTAGAACTCTGCTGTTAAAAACTTTTATGGACTAAACAGAAGGTGAGAGGGCTGTGGCAACACCAAATGTAATTTTACACACCTTGAGAGTAGCAAAATCAATTCTTGGCTTGGGGGCACACCAACTAGTTTAACAAAATAAAAATCATGGTAAAGCAATTTGCACATAGTAAGAACAAGTACCAGAGCCCATAAATCTCTAGTGTAGAAGGGGAAGAAGGCTGTCCTCAACAAGCTAATCTCTCTTAGCCACAGTTTTTATAAATCCCAAATGAGAGGTAACACTGGCCCACCTTACAGGCTCTAGTAAAAGTATTTTCATCCAGCCAATGTTAAGTCCCTTGAGTTTAAAGGGAAAGTTGAAAGTCTAGTAAGTAAAGCATCTTACACAACAAATAAAGCAACATTTTAATTAAATAAGTTTATTGTCTAATGTTTACACTGCTTACACTGCTGCCAAGAAGCACAATGATTTCTTTTTCAGCATGACTTGCTAATTTCCTCTGCTTTAAGACCTAGGGCTTTGGAAGAAGAAGGGGAGAAGTTTCAACAGTATAGATTCCCCCTGCTTCAAAGAACACATGGGTCTATAATAAGGCAAAGCAGCACTTAGAAGGCTGCTACTGGCTGCTGGGAATCTTGGATAAGGACTTCCAACCTTACTCCTCCCATGTGCCTTCGCAGATCCCAAATCTGCAAGTGAGATGGTTAAAATTCTCACCCCCCTGGCTTCAAAGCATGGTGCTTGCAAGGGAACATGGCAAAGGCATCAGACACTGACCACACACCAGGAGAGTTGGGGTATGCAACAGGTCACATTTCTTTAAGTTGTATATCAAAAGGAATTCATGTAAATATATATTTCAGGGGGGAAATTGCATGTACTTTTTAAAATAAGCTCAGGGATTCTCACATGTGGCCACTTGGAACTCTATTGTTGTGGTTCTGTTTTGCCAGTGTGTGCAGGTACATTCAAGCCTCGTGATGGAGTGTCCAAAGTGTTCTCTACTAGCAAAATGGGCATCTTTTGACTATTTCCACAGGAAGGCAGATGCACTATTTTCCAGCATCACAGGCAACAATGGAGATTTTTTTTTGTATTTTTAACCCATGTAAACTCTTTATTCTTAAGGCAGCTGGAATAGAAGCTGCACACAGGCATTGTGCAATACCTATTATGAGAAATATGGCAAGGAGCACTTGGAAGGGGGGTGAGGGCGGGACTGGCATCACTGGAATAAAAGATTGCATGTCATCAAAATACAGGAGTACCTTTCTTACACGTCACATGGTATCTCAACATTTAGAAAAATAAAGCACCCACCCCTCCAACCTCTGCCTGTTCTTTGACAAATATCTCAAAATATTGATAAATAATGGTGACAGCAAGTAGAATGCCGGTGCCTGAGCCAATGGCACCAAGGAAGTCCGCTAAGACAGAGAGGGCCCCGATGCACAAGCCTCCAAATGCAGCTGCTGTGGGGATGTACCTGTGGGAGGAAATCACTTTTAATGTGGGCCTAGCAGGCTGAACTCATTCTTCTGCACAGGTAAGTCATTATGGCTTCAATCCTAACCCCCATTAAGTTAAACTAGACTCATGAAAATGAAAACACACCTCTTGATTCACCAGAGAGGCTGAAAAAGCTGTAGACTAGATAATAACAGCCTGAGTTTGAATCATTTCTACCCACAAAGCCCAATATTTCTTTATGATTGTGACTGCAGCAACAAGGGGCCAGGTAGAGAGGCAGCAGGATTGAGCTGGAGTGCATCTGTGTTCTGCCCCCAACATACAGTCCAAGCTTAAACATGCTTACTCAGAAGCAAGACCTGTTGGGTTCCATGATCTTACTCCTTAGTGGGTAAACTGGAAATTCACAGCAACTCTTACCTGTTTAATTCATGAACCATGGATGTATCCCTGTGGCCTCTCATCACCATCTGCTGTTCTTTCAGTTGCTTGGCAACCTGCAGAAACACATGTGTATCAGGTGGCTGCAGTGTTCTGATAATTAGAAACTAGCCTTGCGCGAAGAACAGCAGCAAAGGTTTAGAGAACAGTCATGAAAAATACCTACATCTTTTGCAGATGATCCTGACACTTCAATCCACGTCTTGGAGAAAAATGCACAGGAACCCAACATAAATATGATATAAACAATTACATGGGCAGGATCCTCAAATATAGCACCCATGGATTCTGGAGGCGAGAGGTAATAGCAGAGGCCTCCAACAGGGTAGGCACGTGCTGGACCACCACCAGTGACGTCCTGGAGAGGAAACAGTAAACACACCAGCAGCATTAGTGCCCTTTGCAGATCAAAAGCTAACATACTGCTACTTGTAAAGGCAGCATTCTAGGAATGGGTGAATACTTACCGCCCACTGCCCAAGTAAGTTTACCAAGAAGTTGCCACTGAACCGCACAGATAGCATTTGAGAAATAACATAGAGGTTGGAAACTAAGGCAGACTGAAGAATGATGGGAATGTTGGAGGTGTAAAAGAGTTTGATAGGATAGCTACTGTATTGTCCACGATATCGAGCAGACTTGATTGGGAGATCAACACGAAATCCCTTGGGGAGGAAAAAAGAAAAGTTAATCACTAAGCTATAAGAAAATCAGAAATGCATTCACTAAGAAGTCACAGAAATTGTTAAGTGGCTTGGAACTTTGGACTGGACTATTTGCATTTCTGTTACAATTAACCAGAACTGGCCATCTGTGATCCTGAGTCCAAGGATTTATCAGGTCATGCCTGCACATTGAAGTCTAGATGCCAGAAGCAAAGGTTTTGCCTAGTTTTTTCAAATCAATATACAATTCCTCTGCTCTGCAATTAACTGTCATGAGCAGAACTTCTCTGTGGCCACTCTTTCACCCTCCATACTCCTTGTCTGAGTCCTCCATCCCTTCCCCATCCAGACCACTCCACATTTCAAATCTCCGCTGTCTTTTCTTAAGCTCTCTTGCTTCTCTAGATGCACAATTGTGCCTCTCCTTTCTTTCTGCCCGTTTGCACTGTCACAATTGAGAATCCTCCCAGCTCAGCCGCTACATACAAGGACTCTTCTGCCTGCCCCATGCCTCTTTCCCCATGCTCAGTCTCAATCAGAACCAGCTTTTGAACAAAGGAAACTTCTCAAAAGTTGTTTGTGGCATGGCACCAGACCCCACTTCTGTTTTAAATCAAGTCCCACTAGGTATGCCCAAGCACCCAGTATACTGACAACAGCTCTTCAGATCCTGACCCTCCTCTCCCTCTGCATTCTCCTAGCAAACAGTGGAACTTCAAATGAAATGGATCGGCAGTAGGTTCAGACACACAAAGAGGAAGTACTCATTCACACAAAGCATATTTAACTTCTACGGAACTGACTTCCACAGGATGCCTGATACCCAGTGGCTCAGATGGCTTTAAAGGGAGATTAGAAAGATTAATGAAAGCTAGACACCAGAGAACACACAATGAAGGAAGAGTGTCATCTTCACACTCTGTGTAGCCAGATGTTACTGGGGTGCATGGAAGCAACATGGACTAGATGGAACCCTGTGGTTTGCTCCAGCAGGGGGTTCCTCACATTTTCAGAATCTAGCAACAAAGCTAACCATCACACAATTCTGTTATTTACAACACCAACACATTTTATAACTATACAAGGAGTTCAGAGCAGCCTCCCATCCAACAGGGCCAAACCTGCTTAGCTTCAGCACTTAGGAGTGGGTCATGAACCTTCAAAGCTTCATCTGGGTCAAATCAAGCTGCACTCTATTTTAGAGACAGTTACAAAGCAAAGCTACAGTATCCAAAAGAAAATAGTCACCAGTTTTAACTACTGTAACGCCACTCCAAATGAAAGTGTTGGTGCTGACCTTTTAAAGCCCTAAACGGCCTCGGCGCAGTATACCTGAAGGAGTGTCTCCACCCCCATCGTTCCGCCTGGACACTGAGGTCCAGCACCGAGGGCCTTCTGATGGTTCCCTCACTGCAAGAAGTGAGGTTACAGGGAACCAGGCAGAGGGCCTTCTTGGTAGTGGTGCCCGCCCTGTGGAACGCCCTCCTATCAGATGCCAAGGAAATAAAGAACTATCTGACTTTTAGAAGACATCTGAAGGTAGCCCTGTTTAGGGAAGTTTTTTAAGGTTTAATGCAGGTATAGGCAAACTCGGCCCTCCAGATGTTTTAAGACAACAACTCCCATCATCCCTAGCTAACAGGACCAGTGGTCAGGGATGATGGGAACTGTAGTTTCAATACATCTGGAGGGCCGAGTTTGCCTATGCCTGGTTTAATGTTTTACTATGTTTTTATATATGCTGGAAGCTGCCCAGAGTGGCTGGGGCAAACCAGTCAGATAGGTGGGGTAGAAATGATGAATTAATATTATTATTATTACTATTACTATTATTATGGGCTTACTATGAGTTTTAACTCCTAAAAGACAGAGAAAAGAAGCTACTTGTGGGGATGTGTTTGTGTGTGTATGCTTTGGATCTCTATAATGTTTTTGTTTAATATGTTTCATAAGGCTTATTGCCTGAGGAAAGAGCAGGAATTGGAATACTAGAAAAGTGGGAGAGAGATGGGAGGAGAAGCAACAGTGGGCTAGCCTGCAATGCCACAGAGCAGTGTGAGAGCACAGCCTCGCACAAACACCCAGGCAGTGTTGCAGCCTCCTAGGGGCCTTGGCTGCTGAAAAGGATTGCAGCATTTGTTTATTTTATGCCAGATAAATTTATTACAGTGGTACCTCGGGTTACATACGCTTCAGGTTACAGACGCTTCAGGTTACAGACTCCACTAACCCAGAAATATTACCTCACATTAAGAACTTTGCTTCAGGATGAGAACAGAAATCGTGCTCCGGGGGCGCAGCAGCAGCAGGAGGCCCCATTAGCTAAAGTGGTGCTTCAGGTTAAGAACAGTTTCAGGTTAAACGGTAAAATCGGCTATGATTAAATGGGCACAGGACGTAGGACATAACATTATGTTTGCTGACTGGGAACAGTTATGGACCACTGGTATGAAATTTACGGCATGTAATGCCTTAAGAGAGAATATTATGAAAATGATATACAGGTGGTACATAACCCCAGTCAAGCTTGCGAAAATTTATCACTTGCCCGATAACAAATGTTGGAAATGTAAAGAAATTGAAGGTACATTTTTTCACCTTTGGTGGACGTGCCCAAAGATTAAGGCTTTCTGGGAAATGATATATAATGAATTAAAAAAAGGTATTTAAGTATACCTTCCTTAAGAAACCAGAGGCCTTTCTCCTGGGCATAGTCGGCCAAATGGTGTTAAAAAAGGATAGAACTTTCTTTATGTATGCAACAACAGCAGCAAGAATACTCATCGCAAAGTATTGAAAGACACAAGAACTTCCCACGCTGGAGGAATGGCAGATGAAACTTATGGACTATATGGAACTGGCGGAAATGACTGGCAGAATATGTGACCAGGGAGAAGAGTCGATGGAGGAAGATTGGAAGAAATTCAAAGACTATCTTCAGAAACATTGCAAAATTAAGGAATGTTAGAGTGATGTTGGATTGAAAATAAATGGTTTCCAGCTATACAGGTTAAAGTTAAGGATAGATGGGAAAAATTTAAAGGTATATGACATTAAGAATAAGGATTATGTTTAAAAAAGTTGAAGCTATATATTTTAATATTTTATTAAATTAAAGATTGGGTTTAAAAAAGTGGAAAAGAAACTGCTGGACAAATAATGTAGATTGGAATACAAAAGAGGGAGGTATGAGGAAGTCTAGAAAATAAGTAATATAAAATTGGGAACGGAAAAGAGAGTTTGTTTTTAATTGTTATGTTTTGTTTTTTTATTGTTAAATTTTGTATTGTTTTTTTGTCTGTGATGTTTTTCTTTCTTCTTTGTTTAAAATCTTAATAAAAAATTATTAAAAAAAAAAAAAAAGAACAGTTTCAGGTTAAGAACGGACCTCCGGAACAAATTAAGTACTTAACCCGAGGTACCACTGTATTTTCTCAAACTAATTTACAATAAAATTTATCCTAACAAAAGTTGTTTGCAAACTTGAAATGTGGCCTTCCTCCTGACACAAATGCTACAGTGAACGTTCTGGTGCCTGGTGAGCTATTCACAGATCCTTTAGGGCTGTTTAGGATGCTTAGACCACGGATCCTTCTGTGAGGGAAAAATAATAGTTCTGTAGTAAGATGTACACAGCAGACTTCACCTACCTGAAAATATATAACTACAGCAAACACAAATACTGTAGCAATCAGATTCATAAGATTAGGCAAGTTCTGGCGGTAGAAAGCCTCTCGTAAAGCACGGACTTTGTCGGTTCGTGTAGCCAAAAGGTGGAACAACGCAATGACGGCACCTTCAAATTCAGTTCCTGTGTGTACCAAAAATAATAAACAGTAACCCCTGTGAGATATAGACAGTACAAGCCTGGTGATAAATTTCACCAGGTGATAAACAAGATTATTTTTAATAAAAGATGGAAATGGAATTAACACAGAAAAAACTGCAAGGAATGAAATCTTACAAGGAACAGAATGCTAAAAAGGACTGCATATAAATAAAATAAATTGTGTTGAACTTCTGCAGGTATTACAAAAACCTCAAACATGACAACACATTTCTGTTTTTTAATGCAGAACATCATGCTTTTGTTTTATAGAATTTGGGTGTTGTAATCCAAAAAGTTACAACAACTCAGTGACTAGATTTGGACAACTGTATCTTGACTTACTTAGCTGAGGTATGAACAAGATGTCTGGCCATGCATGCAGCCTTTTGGCTCCTCACTTTGGCAAAGCAAAAAATCCCCAGGAAGTTTCCCATTAATTCTAGCTTCCTGTTTCCTCTGAGCCAGGAAGCTGTGATTAAGAGCTCCAAGTAAAGGTAAGGTATTAAGCAAACTTCAAATGATAGTGTAATATTCTAGCCTATTCCAAATCTATTCCCCATAATTTCTAATTCAATCAAAATGGGAAACATGACTAATGGAAGACTTCCTAGTTTGTTTTTGTGACCAAAAAGCTTGTTGAGAGCTCAGATTAATAGGCAAATTAACAATGTCTGAATTGTGATGGTGTAAAGTCATAATTTACAAAATATTTGCCCCAAAAGAATTATTAGGGTGATGCATTTAAAAATAATAATATTTATTACATTTCTATAAAGCCCTTCATCTGAGGATCACAGGGAAGTTTGCAATATATATATGGCCCCCTGTTTAAAAGACCATAGATTGTTTAATTAGCTGAAGGCCTGAGAGAAGAGGTATGTTTTTGCCTGGCGCCTAAAGAGATGTTCCATAGATGGGCAGCCACTGCAGAGGCGGCCCGTTCCCATGTTGCCACCCTCTGGACCTCTCAAGGAGGAGGCATACGAAGAAGGGACCCAGATAATGATTACAGGGTTTGGGTCAGTTCATATGGGGAGAAACAGTCCTTGAGATATTGCAGTCCTCAGCCATTTATGGCTTTATAGGTCAAAACCAGCACTTTGAATTAGGCCCAGAAACTAACTGGCAGCAACTGCAGTCGGGCCAGGATCAGTGTAATATGCCGAACCTCTCTTGTACCTGTGAGCAACCTGGCTGCCAAATTCCACACCAGCTGACATTTCTAAACTGTCCTCACAGGCAGCACCACATATAACACTGTGCAGTAATCTAACCAAGAGGTTACCAGAGTACAGAAAACAGAAGTTAGGCTATCCCTGTCCAGATAGGGGCGTAGCTGGGCCACCAACCAAAGCTGACGGAAGGCACCCCGGGCCACTGAGGCCACCTGAGCCTCAAGTGACTGCAGAGAACCCAAGAGCGCCCCCAACCTGTGTACCTGCTCCTTCAGAGGGAGTGCAACCCCATCAAGAGAGCAGGCAGCCTTGCTTCCATCCAGTTTAGGGAACCACCCACTAACAAGGCCTCCATTAATTATGTCTCTTCTGCATAATTCACTTTTCTGGTGTTGCCTTCTTCCAGTCAACCTCCAACAGGGGCAAATAACTCTGCTGCATCTAGGCACTGGGTGCAATTTGCTCATTTATGTGACTGCCTAAATAGGAGGCACGCTCAGAACAGTGACTCAGGGCTTCTCTGAGCTCAGATAACTTTCTTTTGCACACGCCAGAAGTAAACCTCTTGGTATGCAAGAATGGAATATCCCCCCCTTCCATTAACAAAAATAGTGTCCCTCAGCTATCAGTTGTCTGGAAAACAGAAGTGTTAGAGAGAAAATGCAGATAAGCAGAAGATGAAATAGTGTGGCACAGTAGCAGAAGCAAATCCAAGGAAATAAAAAATTCAGAAATCAGAAGGGAGAAACTCGCTCAGAGAGAGGGAACAGTTACAGAATCTGGGTTGCAATCCTGCATTGAATTAATTGTTTATGATTCCCACTGAGGTCAGCGGGACTTACCTAGGCACAAGTGATGATAGGATTGCCCCTTTGGATTTAAAAGTTATGCTAGATGCTAACCTCTCATCACAAAAAGGGCACTGCTTCTCTACAGGTAGGCCGCGACTGCAGCTGAAGCTGGAGAGGCTAAAACAAATAAAGTTAACATTTCTGTACTGCAGATTTCCAGGCAGACTTTTGGCACAGCAACCAAGATACCCCAACTACGGGATTATTCTTTCATCAGAAAACAGCAACTGTGCCACAGTATTTCCATTCAGCATATATTACATAAATGAACAGATCATAAATCACAAAAGGAATTTTGTTCCAGACTCTGGGAAGCTCCAGAAGTTTCACTGTGGTGGGAGGCCTCACCACACATGCACAGCAACCTTCTGCTCTGACACGATGTGATGACATGGCTAGCACAATGAGACAGCCTTCTGGACAGCGAGTCTGCCAGAGTCTGTTAAGAAACCCGGAACAATTTTGCCTCCTGCTCTGCAAAAAATAATAATCAAAAACCTGCTGCCTCCTTATCCTTTTGCAGCAAAAAATAAAGCATGCACAGTGACCTAAGACAGCGCTTCCCAATTAGCTAAGTGCTGGGGACCTCACTTTTCAAAAGCCAAGCCATGGACCCCCTACTTTTAAAAATGTTGGTATCTCTGTGGTAGTTTTATTATGCGCATGGTGCCACCATATCCTCCAACATGTCCCAGAGCAAAACTGGGTCACGCATCTTCTGGGCTCCTGCATGTGTCAGGCAACCTGTGCGAGAACACAGCACCCCAATACCGGGTGTCCTGGGCAGCTGGGGGTATGTGCCACAGACCTCCTGGGTGTGTTACATGGACCCTGGGGTCCGCAGGCCACCAACTGGGAGCCAGTGATCTGGGACATTTCGCTGTTTGTGGTTATGAAGAGATTATTCTAATATCAGATCTTATAAAAGTTCATTTGGTGCAAAGGTTGTGCCTTCACTATGCCATGTCTTCCCCATCAGCAGATCTCATCCACTCCGACATACATCCATGGTCACTCACTATATGAACCTAAAGAAAGCGGCTGACAAGCATGCATTTGGCCAAAAGGTCAGATTTTCAAAGTGTACTATACCTCTGCCAGTGTTAATAGTTGTAGGACTGAAAGCCTTCCAGACAATGGTTTCACAGATGTTGGTAGCAATAAAGAGGGAAATCCCAGAGCCCAAGCCATAACCTTTCTGCAAGAGCTCATCTAGTAGCAGCACTATCAAGCCAGCAACAAACAACTGTGGGTGAAAAACACCAAAAGATCCACAAAAGTGGTTTAATATCTGATTTGCGTTGTTCAAAAGTGGGCCACATTTGCTATCAGAGTTGCAGTTCCTCCTTCTGTCATTCCAGTTGAGTAAAGGAAGTAACAAAAACCTCTGGAATCATCACTAAAATGTTTGCTGCAATTCTTAGCATAGATGCTTGAAAGAAAATCTCACCAACAAGAATAGTACCAAAATTAGAGGAGCTACTAAGCACTGTCAAAACAAAGAATGGTGTATTATCCAAAATAAAGATAGTTAATTGACTCCTGGTTGTTCATTGGGAAGTGCAAGTAGGTTTTTTTTTTTAAAAAAAAGATCTTATATCTGAAAATATTTGACATTTTGTTTTTACATATGCCTTGGTCAAATCCCCTTAATAGCACAAAGAAAATAATTATAGAATATTATCTAGCTGGTACAGCACCTTGGTGAGTGATCTGAGAGAAGGTACAAAATAAATTAGAACTTTTAAGGAAGTTTTGTTTCCCTTTATTAGTATACTGATTGAGGGACATATAGTTGATTTGAATTTATTTTTAATAATGAAAAAATATTTTTTTATTTAACAAAATGTATATACCACTTCATTGTAATAAAACCTGTAAGCGGTTTACAAGAAATATTAAAATTAACAATAAGAACCAGTTACAAAGAATTATTAACTATACTTAGAGTATTCAGAAGGCGTACCTGAATTATAATCAGGAGACAAATTCCAGCCCCCATTTCTGCAGGATCTCCATACATCCCAGTCATGACATACACAATTGCTTGCCCAATAGTAATTATCATTCCAAACACTGAAACAACAACAAAAGAGGCAGGTATTCCCTGCTTGTATGACCTAACAGACATAAGTAAAGTTTGATTTGATTTTGATTTAAACTGTCTATTCTGCTTTTCCAACAATAAATGTTGAATGCAAAGCGGCTCAAAATAATCACAAAAGCACTGAAATCAACAAACATTACAATCACTATACTATCAGACACAATCACATATAAATAAAGCAAACAACAACAAATTCATCAGAATGGTTACTACAATTCAATAGAGCATTAGCTAAGAAAAAATGAAGTTTCCATTATGGCAAAGTTATTAATACTCACACTTCTGAGCGCCATTAAAAAGGGCTCTGTCTTTTGGTGTGTCACCAACTTCAATGATCTTGGCTCCAGCCAGTAACTGCATAATTAAACCAGATGTCACAATGGGAGAGATACCTAGCTCCATCAACGTGCCTGCAAAGGAGAAGATACTCTTAACAATAGTGTAAACTAATACAAAGACTTCTTACAATTCCTTAAATACTCCAAAGTCTCAGTTCACTGCATATTTCCCCACTAGCATTGTCTTTCAAATATAATTGGTCACATACCTAACCATAGTGCTGGGCTTTAAACACTGCATCCAGAATGCTTGCAGTATTAAACAGTATTAAGGGTGGAAGAGTATTTCCACAAACAACATTAGCTGCTCTTAAAGGCACAAGAGAGCACATTAATTTAGTACAAATTAGAAATACAGTGGTGCCCCGCAAGACGAATGCCTCGCAAGACGGAAAACCCGCTAGTCGAAAGGGTTTTCCATTTTTGAGTTGCTTCGCAGGACGAATTTCCCTATGGGCTTGCTTCGCAAGACGAAAATGTCTTGCGAGTCTTGAGATTTTTTTTCGCTCCCCCCCCCCTTTTCTAAGCCGCTAAGCCGCTAATAGCCTTTTAGCAGCTAATCCGCTAAGCCGATAAGCCTTTAATAGCCACTAAACCGCTAATAGCGCTAATCCGCTAATAGGGTTGCTTCGCAAGATGAAAAAACCGCTAGACGAAGACACTCGCGGAACGGATTAATTTCGTCTTGCGAGGCACCACTGTAAATACCTTCCCTCCAGGTCTCCTAGACAATATCAAGATTCAACTGTACAGTGTCTTTAGCATGGCTCGTATTATCTGGAATGGGCTGGATAATCTCTTTCTCTCCATGGCCTCATTTTGAGAATTCCTTGCTCTGCACTACATAGTTAAAATCAGAAATCTTACACAAGAAATGGGAGTCAGATGTGGCACTTTCAGAAATATAAATCACATACACACACCCAGTTGACAGGTTCAGCAGGTGGCTTCATTGGCTACTGGATTTGCAAGAGCCCACTTGGAGAAACAGAGAAAAGAGAATGCCCCCCCCCCCCCAAAAAAGTGGTCTTCCAAGTAAAACTAGCTGCTGACCCTGTCTCCAAGAGACCTGCACTGATGGTATATATACATACATACATACGTACACACTGTGCTTTTTCCTGGGGGGACACAGGGGTACGCATACCCCTAAACATTTTGTAAATCTAAGTTTGGCCTCATTGAGGGGCAGTATTTCAAAATGAGTAGGAAAATGAGAGTACCCCTAAACATTTTTTTAGAAAAAAGCACTCTGTGTGTGCACGCGCTATAGCAAGTGGTCTTCCAAGTAAAATTAGTTGCTGACCATGTATCCAAGAGATCTGCAGTGATAGGGAGAAAAACATTTTGCAAAATATAGGTAAAAATTATTCACATACCAAAATACAGTAATTTTGAAACCCATCAAGTACTTTCCAAACTCTAACAAAACTTACTATTTAGCTTCTCAGTACCAAAGACCAATGCAAATTGTAATTTCAAGATAAAAAGAGTGCTTGTCAATTGCACATTCTCATTGATGTGACCCCAACTACCATACTTCTCCATCTATAAGACGCCCCCTTGTATAAGGGACCCCCCCATTATGGAGGACTAAATTTTAAGAAAATGAGGGGAGATGGCCCAAAGTTGTTGAGCCTCTCCCCCCACGCAGCTGCAGACAGGAAACACTCCCTAGATCGTTTCCCATGGGAAGCGGCAGCGGGGGAAGTTGCGCTCCCTCCAGCCATCCGGTTTGCAGGAGTGCAACCTCCCGATGCCGCCACGTGTGGGAAACGATCCAGGGAGCGCTTCCCATGTGCAGCGGCATCGGGTGAATTTGCGCTCCTGCCAAAGAGCTGGCTGGTGGCGCACCGCTTCTCCCCCCCCACCATGCCACTATCCGTGTATTGGATGACCCTGGCTTTTTGGCGTGATTTTTGAGTCACAAAACCTCATCCAATACATGGAAAAATACGGTATATGCACCATGAGCCATCTCCAGATGGTAAACCAAAGCCAGAGAAAAGACAGCAGGAGAGATGATTAGAACCCTGACCTCTGTTTGATGCGAGAATGACTCTCATCCAGTAGAAAGGATCTGCGGAGTCGGAGGACATTATTCCAAACAATGGTATCTGCAAGATTCATAGCAACATTACACTTAAAATATATAAATGAGGGAATCCCCTCCCCCCACACCACCACCCATCATCCATTTGTTGAGCACAGACAAATATAATACTGCAATAATCAGCAGTTTACTTCAAGACTCTCTCAAGCATATGGCTGCTGGTTAAAGCTTGAAAACAATGTAAACCTATACATGTCTACTCAGGTGAGCTTAATAGGACTTACTCCCAAGTAAGAGGATACAGGATTGTGACCTGAAACAGCCCCAACAGAAAGAATGTTAAAAGCCCCAGGTTATTTTCAAGCCAATATGATAATTCTTTGTGTGAATAATTCCCTGAGCTTTTTTCTTTTCTTTTAAAATGTGAATTGTTGGTTGTTTCTAAGAGGGTGCTTTACTTCTGGGACTTTTTTTCTGCATGGCAATAACCCTTACTGTCGCCAGCCATGTGTGCCAGTTATTACCACATTGATACTTACCTGGCAGCATACTAGAAAAATGAAGAGGGTGATAGCTGTCCATAAAACCTTTTCTCTGAACTGAATCTGCAGAACACAATGAAAAAGAAAGAAAAGGGGAAAAAGAGAAGTCTGGCAGGCCAATAGTATAATGGGAAGGCCAATAGTATAACGAACATACAATAAAGCCGCTTTAACTGGCAATTTAAGGCAGACTTGTATTTAGACACTGGCATGCAAGTAACCAGGGTAGTCCCTCCATATGTCTGTCCAGCACAGAAGGACACAGCTCTCCATCTGTCCTCTGCCAGCCCCCAAGAGGTCAGTCCATATGTTCTGTGGCTTAGTAACCTCCATGGGCTTGATTACAAGGCTATACTATCAGGGGTATACAGTATTCACATTTCGCCAGTCCAGAAGGTATGTACAAGCTCTGACATGGGAGCTAACTTGCATATCTCCAATACTGAGGAGAGACAATGTCTGTCCTTCCAAAGTGGCAAAGGAACAGGAAGCACAAACAGTTTGCACGTCCTGTTGTACAACAACAATACATCTGACCCTTAAGTTCTTACTTAAGGGGCAAAGTAAAATGCTTATTCCACTGGACTCATTGGGCTGCAATCTAGGTAGGCATATCTACTCAGAAGTCATGCCCATTAAGTTCAATGGGGCTTACTCTCAGCTAAGTATGTATAGGGTTGCAGACTTGGGCTGTAATCAAAACCCCCAAGTCAGCTATGATGAGGCTTGAGCCAGGGGGCATCCACAGTCCTGCAACTCATGCCAATGAAAGTGGAATGTGAGGAGAACAGGAATAAATGCCCGACCTGAAGAATTTGGAGCAAATGATTCAGCAGAGGAAACACAGCCCAGAATAACTAAGGAGATAGTACAAGAATACTTGGCTAGTTTAGATGTATTCAAGTCTCCAGGGCCAGATGAATTGCATCCAAGAGTATTAAAAGAACTGGCAGATGTGATCTCAGAACCACTGGCAGTCATCTTTGAGAATTCCTGGAGAACAGGTGAAGTCCCGGCAGACTGGAGGAGGGCAAATGTTGTCCCTATTTTCAAAAAGGGGAAAAGAGAGGACCCAAATAATTACCGCCCAGTCAGTCTGACATCAATACCAGGGAAGATTCTGGAGCAGATCATTAAGCAAACAGTCTGCGAGCACCTAGAAAGGAATGCTGTGATCACCAATAGTCAGCATGGATTTCTGAAAAATAAGTCATGTCAGACTAACCTGATCTCGTTTTTTGACAGAATTACAAGCCTGGTAGATGAAGGGAACACAGTGGATGTAGCCTACCTTGATTTCAGCAAGGCATTTGACAAGGTGCCCCATGATATTCTTGTAAAGAAGCTGGTAAAATGCGGTCTTCACTATGCTACCCCTCAGTGGATCTGTAACTGGCTGACTGACCGAACCCAAACGGTGGTCATCAATGCTTCCTCTTCATCCTGGAGAAGAGTGACTAGTGGGGTGCTACAGGGTTCTGTCTTGGGCCCGGTCTTATTCAACATCTTTATCAACGACTTGGATGATGGACTCAAGGGCATCCTGATCAAATTTGCAAATGACACCAAACTGGAAGGGGTGGTTAAAACCCCAGAGGACAGGATCACACTTCAAAACGACCTTGACAGATTAGAGAACTGGGCCAAAACAAACAAGATGAATTTTAACAGGGAGAAATGTAAAGTATTGCACTTGGGCAAAAAAATGAGAGGCACAAATACAAGATGGGGACACCTGGCTTGAGAGCAGTACATGTGAAAAGGATCTAGGAGTCTTGGTTGACCACAAACTTGACATGAGCCAACAGTGTGACGCGGCAGCTAAAAAGCCAATGCAATTCTGGGCTGCATCAATAGGAGTATAGCATCTAGATCAAGGGAAGTAATAGTGCCACTGTATTCTGCTCTGGTCAGACCTCACCTGGAGTACTGTGTCCAGTTCTGGGCACCACAGTTCAAGAAGGACACTGACAAACTGGAACGTGTCCAGAGGAGGGCAACCAAAATGGTCAAAGGCCTGGAAACGATGCCTTATGCGGAACGGCTAAGGGAGCTGGGCATGTTTAGCCTGGAGAAGAGGAGGTTAAGGGGTGATATGATAGCCATGTTCAAATATATAAAAGGCTGTCACATAGAGGAGGGAGAAAGGTTGTTTTCTGCTGCTCCAGAGAAGCGGACACGGAGCAATGGATCCAAACTACAAGAAAGAAGATTCCACCTAAACATTAGGAAGAACTTCCTGACAGTAAGAGCTGTTCGACAGTGGAATTTGCTGCCAAGGAGTGTGGTGGAGTCTCCTTCTTTGGAGGTCTTTAAACAGAGGCTTGACAACCATATGTCAGGAGTGCTCTGATGGTGTTTCCTGCTTGGCAGGGGGTTGGACTCGATGGCCCTTGTGGTCTCTTCCAACTCTATGATTCTATGATAAATGCTTCTTTGACATACCAGGTCCCAAAATGGCACAGTGAAGAGGCTCAGAAGAAGCCCGTTGTAGTCACGGGACAACAGCAAGCCCAGCTCAGGATCCTGTAGCTTGTGCCCACAGAGTGGCTTCTCTCCCCACCCTGGCTAGAGCAGGGGCATTGCATCTCTGTTTGGGAGCAGTGCTCCCTAGCTGGCAGAGCTGAGTAGGGTTTGGAAGAGGGACACCTCAACCTCATCCCAACCACCTCCAGTATGGAGGTCTGTGGGTTGGGACTGCTCTGTTGGTTGTGACCAATGTTTGCTAGATTGTGCTCCGTGTAACTAGACCAAAGTAAGCATAGGGCTACATCAATGGAACATGTCAGCACCTAAACAATCACTTCAGCGTAGAGGGATTTTTACATATTTAGATTTTTGAAGAACACAACTTGCATCCCCAAACTAAAGGCCTATATACAGTATTCCGAAGAGCCAGAAAAACCTAAATAGGTAGTACATAGCCTAAAGAAACTACATGATCTCAAGCATGTTTACTCAAAGAAACCCCACTGTGTTAATTCAAAATGCATTTGATCAACATTGCACAAATAAGAGGCACCATGATGTGCACTTACTTTTCTTTCTGGCTTCTGGATTTCCGGAAGAACAGCACAGAATGGCTTAATAACTTCTAGAAATTTGACTGTTAAAGAAGAGAAATATTAAAACAGCAAAATGTAGGTTTTGACCAGTCCAAGAAAACATTTCAATTTATCATACTAGTGTATGTTCCCGACTGCAAATATATGCCCTGGTTTGATGGGGGGACGGGATGGGATAGAATCCCTATTTTCATCAGCTCTATCTTATATATTAGTGAAATAGAACTTTGGCCACAAACTAGGTTACACACTTTTTAAAAAGTGAAAACTCAAATCCTTTGTATGCTAATTTGTGAGTGCATTTAACTGAATTCAATATAACTTACTTCCAAACAAACACACACACACACACACACACACACACACACACACGAACAGGCTGCTGGTCACAGTGGGAGAATTAAGCATATACTTAACTTTCCCCCATTGAACTCAAAAGGACTTAAGAGTGACCTAATCTTTCTCATCTCTCAAAGTTGGGATGAGGGAGGTAAGGATCCATCCGTCTTCTGAGCTGGATCCAGTTTCCCACCCCTGATCTAAGCAAAGGTGAGCAGTTTTTGCCAGCCTGATGCCCTGTAGTTGTTTTGTACTACCATCAGCTGATGGGAGTTGTAGTTCAAAACATCTGATTGAGAAAGTAGTCCATTGTCTACCCTGGATGGGGCTGCCCTTTCCTAGGAGCAGGTTCACAGCAGGGTGTGTGTGTGTGTGTGCGCTTCTGGATCCATCTTTGTCACCGGCCTCTGTGGCTAGAAGCATTTTTTACTAGCATTGACTGGTAGGATCATTCCTGGACCAGGAAAGATCAGCCACAGCAATTCATGCACTGGTTACATCAAGACTGGATTACTGCAAGGCGCTTTATGTGGGGCTTGCCTTGCGCTTGATCTGGAAGCTGCAGTCAGTGCAGAATATTGCAGCACTACTGCTGACAGGAGTGAGACCCCATCAGCATGGAACACCTGTAACTCAGAGATCTCCACTAGTTGCCAGTTTGCTACCAGGCCAAGTTCAAGGTGTTACTGTTAGCATATAAAGCCCTGAACAACTTGGCATCACTTTACCGGAGAAATCACCTGACCCAAAATATGCCCACTTCATCACTTCAATCTGCAGAACTTGTACTGTTACTGCTGCCACATAATAGTATTTGTTCTGCATTTATAAGAAACAATCTTTTAGTGTGGCAGCACCAAAACTTTGACACTCCCTGTCTCTTAACATCAGGCAAATGACTTCATTGTACTCTTTTCAGTGCCTGCTAAAACATTTTTGTTTAGATAAGCCTACCTAGATATGTAGGACGTTGTTGTGTTTTAACCTGTTATTAGTTTATCACTGATTTTAATTTTTTGTAATATTTTAGTCATTTTCAGCTGTTTTTACCAATGATTTTATTTAATTCTTTTTGTAAACTGCTTAGAGGTTGTTCAGAATCAAGCCTTGTATAAATTTTAAGAAATAAATAATATGAAATAATTGAAACATCACAATCTGTAAGATTAACATCACAATTTGCAAGATGGTTCAAAATGATTTGTGAGCTAAAACATTTCTTTTCCACTTGAGATGCATATGAAGAAGATAATTTATTAAATTTGTAGACCACCCTATAGCCATAGATCTCAGGGTGTTTCACAATGTATTGTATATGACATGCATCTTCAAATATCTAAAGGGCTGTCACATGGAAGATGGAGCAAGCTTGTTTTCTCTTGCTCCAGACTCGAGTCTAGAATCCAAAACAATAGATTCAAGTTACAAGAAGAGATTCTGACTAAACATCAAGAAGAATTTTCTGGCAGCAAGAGCTGTTGGTCGGTAGAGAAGACTTTCAGAAGTGGTGGTTGACTCTTCTTCCTTGGAGATTTCTAAGCAGAGGCTAAAGGTCCCCCTGTCCAGCATGATTTAGCTGACATTCCTGCATAGATGCCCCCTGGGGTCCCTTCCAACTCCACGATGCTCCGCTGTTGCCTCGCTCATTCTTGCCCCGTTAAAGCAAATCCTGCCGTTTCCCCTTTGGCCCCTTTTGCATTTCCGCTTCGGAGCCCTGCGGGGGGGGGGGGCCTGCCGGGCCCAGAAGGGGCTCCTCTCGCCCCGCCGCTGCCCCCCCTCGCCCGCCCCCCCCAGGCAGCCCAGCAGGACCAGAAGCCGCCGGCCAGGACGCCCCCCTCCGGCCCCCGGCCCGCTCCCTCCCGGCCCGCCGACTCACTTCCCATGCTGGCGGAGGCGGCGCCCGGAGGAGGAGGAGGAGGAGGCGGACCCCCCGCACCCGCCTCGCCGCCGCTCACGTGACCAGTGACGCCTTTTTCCGGCGCGACCGAAACTCCGGCCACGTAGAGCCACGCAAAGGGGGGAGTCGCGCCACCTTGTTTGCATTCGCTTCTTTAATTGGAGGGGCGCTTTAATTTAATTTAATTTAAATTTATTTATATTTGTGTAATAAAAATGACGTGCGCTTTATTTATTTACTATTAAATTTGAGGGGCGCTTTTATTTGTTTAATTTGACGGGCTTTTTATTTTTCATTCATTTATTTATCCGCTCCAAACCGGTGCCAAACTGCTGCAGTTGTTTTCAGCCTTTTGCTGCGAAAACTGCGCGTTTTGAAGTGTCCCACCGACTGGGAAATTCTAAATTAAACCTGGGGTCAAACTATCATCCCAAGGCCTAACAATGTCTAATTCACTCCAAAGTGTGGCAACAATTTTGCCGCGAAAACACGACGTTTTACAGCAGGGGTCAGCAAACTTTTTCATCAGCGGGCCGGTCCACTGGCCCTCAGACCTTGTGGGGGACCGGACTATATTTTGAAAAATATAAATACCCGGCAAGCCAGTCCCGCTGCTGCCTCCGGACCTGAAGGAGGACGCACTCTGCACGCCCACCGGCCTTGTGGACGAGCAGCCAATCCGAAGCCGCGCCAGCGTTGCGGAAGTCAGTCCCCACATGGCGAGGCATCCGCAGCAAGTGCGGGCGGCAGGGTCCGCGGGCCGGATTTACAAGCCTGGGGGGCTGCATCCAGCCCCCGTGCCTTAGTTTGCCAACCCCTGTTTTACAGCACCCCACCACAGAATAGCATTGAGCAAATTCTACTTGTGGCAGTGGCCCAAAGGGCCACAATAAATGTGATAATGTGTACCCCTGTAAATCCTTGAGTGCTTCCAATAGAGATGTTGTGGTTGCCTGTTCCTTTATGAAACTGATGATTTTGCAAGTTGCCCCCCAACCCCCAAAATTGGGGCAGACATACAGCTAACATGTGAATCACAAAGATACAGCTCAAAGCTAGAACATAAGTTGCTACATGGTGCAAATGGCTACACGTAATATAGGTTCCCAACATGCACACTAATACAATGTAATAGAACCCGGTGGGAATCAGCATAATCAGCAGAAATTACCAGTGTCTGTTGTGCCTGTGTGTTAAACATGAAATGAGGTAATGATGTATGTTTGGTGGAAATTGAAATGCTTTGTTTGAAATTTTATAAATGCCACTGCCTGGACCACTGGGCAGGGTTGCAGATTTGTGGAATGATCCGACTGTAACCTTTTGTAAGCTTTGCAATAAACGTTGGACTCCTAACTCCTCACATTTCTGAGTTTTATTGGCGTAAACTCAGGGGATAAGCTATTTTCTGGCTTACAACATACTCAAACCTGGGGTCACAGCTATCACCCCAAAACCAACACTTTTGCAGCCTTTTGCAGCCCCCCATCAACTGAGCAATTGCTACTCAAACCTGGGGTCATAGCTGTCACCCCAAAACCCAATGCTGTCCAATTCACTCCAAACTGGTGCCTGAACAAATTGCAGAAGCATAACGTGGTGAGTAAAAGAAAACAGAAGAGTCTGGGGAATGTGTGAGCTTCATATGCACAAATTCCATTCCATGGGGCGGGGGGGGGGGGGGAGAGAGGTGGAAGGAGAGGGGGGTGGGGAGAGGGGGGTGCATGTTATTTTCCCTTTTTTTCAAAATTGGTGTATGTGAGGTTTTTGTGTCAGCCTCACTTGGGCAGGTTCTTTCTGTTCCTTTGCTGGTTTATGTTGGCAGTGAGAGAAGAGCGGGCAGGGAATGGTTGATTGCCTTTGATAAACTGCAGTAAGATTTGTTTGTGTGTGTGGAAACGGGGTGATGGATTGTCGGGTCAAGTTAGCCATATTGATCTATATGCTGTTGGTGGTGAATGGATGAATCATAGAATCATAGAATCATAGAATCATAGAGTTGGAAGAGACCACAAGGGCCATCGAGTCCAACCCCCTGCCAAGCAGGAAACACCATCAGAGCACTCCTGACATATGGTTGTCAAGCCTCTGCTTAAAGACCTCCAAAGAAGGAGACTCCACCACACTCCTTGGCAGCAAATTCCACTGTCAAACAGCTCTTACTGTCAGGAAGTTCTTCCTAATGTTTAGGTGGAATCTTCTTTCTTGTAGTTTGGATCCATTGCTCCGTGTCCGCTTCTCTGGAGCAGCAGAAAACAACCTTTCTCCCTCCTCTATGTGACAGCCTTTTATATATTTGAACATGGCTATCATATCACCCCTTAACCTCCTCTTCTCCAGGCTAAACATGCCCAGCTCCCTTAGCCGTTCCTCATAAGGCATCGTTTCCAGGCCTTTGACCATTTTGGTTGCCCTCCTCTGGACACGTTCCAGTTTGTCAGTGTCCTTCTTGAACTGTGGTGCCCAGAACTGGACACAGTACTCCAGGTGAGGTCTGACCAGAGCAGAATACAGTGGCACTATTACTTCCCTTGATCTAGATGCTATACTCCTATTGATGCAGCCCAGAATTGCATTGGCTTTTTAGCTGCCGCGTCACACTGTTGGCTCATGTCAAGTTTGTGGTCAACCAAGACTCCTAGATCCTTTTCACATGTACTGCTCTCAAGCCAGGTGTCCCCCATCTTGTATTTGTGCCTCTCATTTTTTTTGCCCAAGTGCAATACTTTACATTTCTCCCTGTTAAAATTCATCTTGTTTGTTTTGGCCCAGTTCTATCAAGCTATTTGTCTCAAACATTTGACAGACAAGGCCAGCTTTAGCCATCGTTCAATAGGAACATGATTTTACGCCCCCAAATTTGCAACACGGGAGACGGGAGAATTGGGGAGGTAACTCTGTTTAGGAAACCATAAAACTACAGAATTGCTACCTTCCTGAAGACTCAATCTCCCATCTGTGCATGTGGATGGAGGGTAAGCTCTCGCCCACAGTTGCAGGGGAGAAAGAGTACATTGCTTTCATATTTTGTTTCAGGTGCACAAATATCTAAAAAGCGCACACTGCAACCACTCTTGCTTTCTCACCAATATGCTATTGGGCCAACTGCTGAGCACATAAGAATCTGCTGTAATTTCTGTAGCAACATATATGAGAGATGGGGAGGAAGAAAATGCTCATTTGGGAGGGAAATTTTCTTGCCCAAAGTGTGTTGATATATGTACCTGCCTGGCTCCACACTAGGCAGGAAGGGGGAGGGGTGTGCCAGAGGACAAGGGATCCTGCCTGCTGGGCTGCACAAGTAACCAGCCATATAAGCCTTTTATTTGAGTAATAAAAACCTTTGAGACTTCCAAGTGACCCAGAAGTTTCATTTTTATTACAATGGAACATATTAAATTTATATTGTCATCCCCCCCATTCTCCTAGAAAGCAGCAATATAGCAAAATTTCAATAAAAGTATTCAAAGATTGGTATTAAGTTCTTAGTGAGCCCTGTGATAATATTGCCCCATACTTTGGCATTGCCTTGTTTTACTATAAAGTAAAATAGTTGCAAGCCTGAATACAATTAGAGCAGTGGTGCTGGGGAAAGTTTTAACACTTACTTTCGCACTCTAAATTATCCCCCAGAAACTGATCTTAGCTGCACTATAGAAAAATACAGGGACTTGAACATGATCAAATCTCCCAGTGTTCTGATAAAGGTAGGCAGGCTAACTTAGAAGTACATTGCAGTAAAACATTACAAAATGACATTTCTTCAGTCACTACTCTTGACATATGAACCAACTGGGAAAACTTCACAACCCACTTAAGGCCTGGATTGCAGATATGAAGAATACAATGGAAAATGCAAGGCACAGGGAATAATTTTGTGTTGTCCCTTTGAGGATGGCACTTCAGGGTAGAAAAAGGGCATTGCCAGCCCCCTCAGGCCAGTGCTCCAGCCCAATGAGCTTCCTTGCAGTTGGAACTGCTGGAAGCTAAGCCCAAGAGGGGCTGTTGCTCCTTGCCCTGCAAACGGGCTGCTACCCACATGTACACCAACTGCAGCAAGACTAAAGATGTAAAATTTCCAGAAATTTTGAAGCCGGAGGGGAGAGGCGGAAAAAACCTGTTTTCCCCCCAATTCTTCTGGGTTTTTCCCAGGCCTTCCCATCTCTACTTGAGGATAGCCGGGGCAAAGCATAAGGCAAATTTTTTGCATGCCAGGCCCAGAAGTAACACAGATGTATTGGTAAAACCATCCCTGGGTTGTATCACTTTTGACTTTAGCTAGGGGATTGCATGACTGAATAAATACTCCCAATAAAACAAATTCACAACACGCAGAACCATAGATGTCAGTGGCGCTATTTTTCTAGATCTCACCATGCATGCCTCTCTTGTTCTCTTATTATGGCAATGGCGCCCACCTGAGAGGTGATGGAATTGAGTTCTGGCAAATTCCAGCTGAAAAAAAGCCCTGGATGTCAGGATTAAGATTATGATAGTTTTTCATATGCAGGGATCCCATCCACTCAGTTGAGTTACTGTCTCAGTTGAGTTACTTACTGTCCAGTCCTGGGCACCACAGTTCAAGAAGGACACTGACAAACTGGAACGTGTCCAGAGGAGGGCAACCAAAATGGTCAAAGGCCTGGAAATGATGCCTTTTGAGGAACGGCTAAGGGAGCTGGGCATGTTTAGCCTGGAGAAGAGGAGGTTAAGGGGTGATATGATAGCCATGTTCAAATATATAAAAGGATGTCACATAGAGGAGGGAGAAAGGTTGTTTTCTGCTGCTCCAGAGAAGCGGACACGGAGCAATGGATCCAAACTGCAAGAAAGAAGATTCCACCTAAACATTAGGAAGAACTTCCTGACAGTAAGAGCTGTTTGACAGTGGAATTTGCTGCCAAGGAGTGTGGTGGAGTCTCCTTCTTTGGAGGTCTTTAAGCAGAGGCTTGACAACCATATGTCAGGAGTGCTCTGATGGTGTTTCCTGCTTGGCAGGGGGTTGGACTCGATGGCCCTTGTAGTCTCTTCCAACTCTATGATTCTATGAGTTATTTTCCCACCTACTGCCTGAAGTGATACAGCTGAGGAACATTTTTTTCCCATCACATCTGTTTTTATAATTTAGACCTACAAGGCCCACTCATTAAAAAAACCACACCCATCAAGCTTTAATAATTTCTTTTTAAACTACAGTTACAATAATCTACCATGATTTAAGCCAAGGGTAGCTATCCTTTTTCAGACAGAGAGCTGCACTCAGCTGTGGTCAACCTTCTGTGCATGACATGTCTGAGTTGGTGTGCTTGAATTTTTTTGAGGGTTTTGCTCATGAAAAATACAAAATCTTGCCACTTTTGCAATCAACAAATAATGCACAAAAGTGGGAAGTCATTATGGATATCATAAGAGTCTCAGATTTTAGGAGCTGCATGAAGATGTTTAATTTGAAAATTATTTTATTTTATTTTTAAAAGATTTCTTACCTAGACATGAGCAAATTGCAATAGGAAAGATCCAAATACAGATCATAGAATCACAGAATCTTGAATACATCTAAACTAGCCAAGTATTCCTGTACTATCTCCTTAGTTATTCTGGGCTGTGTTTCCTCTGCTGAATCATTTGCTCCAAATTCTTCAGGTCGGGCATTGTTTTCTTTATCGGAGAAGACTGAGGCAAAGAAGGCATTGAGGAGTTCAGCCCTTTCTGTGTCCCCTGTTTGCATTTCACCATCTTCTCCTCTGAGTGACCCCACTGTTTCTTTGTTCTTCCTTTTGCTACGATCATACCCATAAAAGCTTTTTTTGTTGCTTTTAACCTCTCTAGCAAGCCTGAGCTCATTCTGTGCTTTAGCTTTTCTGACTTTGTGTCTACACGTGCTGGCTATTTGTTTGAATTCCTCTTTGGTGGTTTCCCCCCTTTTCCATTTTTTGTACACATCCTTTTTTAATCTTAACTCGGTTAAAAGTTCTTTAGATAGTCACCCTGGCTTCTTCAGGCACCTTCCATGTTTCCGTCTCATTGGTATTGCCTGAAGTTGTGCTTTTACTATCTCCCTCTTAACAAACTCCCAGCCATCATGAACTCCCTTTCCTTTTAGTATTACTGTCCATGGGGTCTCACCCAGCACTTCCCTAAGTTTTATGAAGTCGGCTTTCTTAAAGTCAAGAAATTGAGTCCTAGTATGCTTGGCTGCTCCTTTCCACTGTATAGTAAACTTCAGAAGAGCATGATCACTCGCGCCTAATGATCCTTCCACTTCTACCCCACTAACCAGGTCATCAACATTGGTTAGGACCAGATCTAAAATGGCTGTTCCTCTTGTTGCTTCTCCCACTTTCTGGACAATGAAGTTGTCTGCAAGGCCAGTGAGGAATCTGTTTGACCTTATGCTCTTGGCTGAGTTTGACATCCAACAAATATCCGGGTAATTGAAGTCCCCCATTACTACTATCTCCCTTCCTTTTGCATGCTTGACCGTCTGTTCCAGGAAGGCATCATCTATGTCCTCCGTTTGGCTTGGGGATCTATAGTAAACTCCCACAATGAGGTCACTGTTATTCTTCTCTCCCTTAATTTTGACCCAAATGCTCTCACTTTGGCTTTGAGGTTCTAAATCTTGGATCTCTTCACAGGTATACACATCCCTGACATATAACGCCACTCCTCCTCCTTTCTTGTCTGGTCTGTTTCTCTGAAATAGATTGTACAGTGGTACCTCCCAAGACGAATGCCTCGCAAGACAAAAAACTCGCTAGACGAAAGGGTTTTTTGTTTTTTGAGCTGCTTCGCAAGACTATTTTCCCTATGGGCTTGCTTTGCAAGACGGAAACGTCTTGCAAGTTTGTTTCCTTTTTCTTAACACTGTTAATACAGTTGCGACTTGACTTCGAGGAGCAACTCATAGAACGCGGTGTGGTAGCCTTTTTTGAGGTTTTTAAATACTTTGGTGATTTTTGGAGCTTTTCCAAAACTTTCCCGACACCGTGCTTCGCAAGACAAAAAAAATCGCAAGACGACAAAACTCGTGGAACAATTAATTTCGTCTTGTGAGGCACCACTGTATCCCTCCATTATTACATTCCAATTGTGGGACTTATCCCACCAGGTTTCAGTGATGCCTATTATGTCATATTTAGTTTGCTGTACCAAGAGCTCAAGCTCATCTTGTTTATTTCCCATGCTTTGCGCATTAGTGTACAGACATTGAAGTCCATTAATCATTCCCCTGTGTCTCTTATTTAAGGATTTTTTCCTCCCACCACTAGGTCTGCGTGCTGTTTGCTCCATTTGGTCTATGACATTTGGATGATCATCTTCATCAAGATAGATGCACTTACGCTCCATCCAAGGGTGCAGATTTAAATACATGCTTAAGTATACGCTGAAATGAACTTTAGCTGGCTTGTACCCAATATACAATTGTAAACAACATGCCTCATGATCACATTCAGGTTTGTAACATTCTCATTCACTAAGACCTTGTTTTAACCTTCAAGAATTAACACAGTTCATAGGTCTCAAGCAAATGTTTTGGTGAGAAGGTCTTCCTGCTGTTTTTGGTGTAACATTCCAATGCCCACTGCAGGTGCTGGTAACGCAGGTCTACTTACAAGATGGAGCTGCAATTAAGTTGGAAAGGCAGCATTACAAACTACTTATTATCTGTCCAAATTAAACAGTTATTAAATTAATAAACTGGGCTGCAATCTTGCACACAGGCTACCTGACTCAAATGGAGCAACCAAAGGCGCACTCCATTGTCTCTTGAGACAGACGGATGCCAAAAGCAACAACAACTCCCTAGTAGATGTACTTGGACTAGGAGTCCAAGCCAAACTATGTGCACGACTGCAGTCTTCACCATTATTCTGCAAACAATATTATTGTGAAAGATAAACCTGGACTACATAACCGGTATGCACCCTTTTTTATTTTCTCTTCTATGGCTCTGTCTTGGCTTCAGCATACATCTCAGGAAGCCAACATTATAAGACCCCCTTAGAACGGCACACCTAGCTCCTCAAGCCAGCCACAGGCAAAACAGACAAGTGGGATGCTCCTATGTGGTTTAGAACCAAAGCTCCTTTAAAAGATCAGAAATTGATCAAAAGTCTCCCACATTTTGCAAGAATATGTATTGGGTGTGTTTTACAGGCCTGTAATTGTCTCACTGTGTTCATTGGGTTTTGTTCCTAAAAAAGTAGAGAGAGGATTTCAGTTTTAATTCCACTGAAATCCAAGTTGTTGTTGTTTATTCAACTTATATACTGCCATATATCAAAAGCTCCCAGGGTGGTGTGCAACATTAAAAAGTTCTAGCATTGCCTATAGGTACTGCTAGAATACAATGTTATCAATCAGTAGAAATCCATTACTATTATAACATTTATGTTCTGCCTATCATGGAACTCAAACTGATATGCATAACTCCAGCTTCGAAGTTCTTGTATACAAAGCCATGAACAATTCAGGACCAGGTTGCCTTAAGGTAAGGTTACCAATTTTTTTTCAAAGAATCCGGAGACACTTTTTCCTCCCCCTCAATGGTGGCAGTGGCAGTGGCGCAGCAAGGTCGGGGCTCCCCTCTTTTTTCTCCTTCCTCTTTCTCTCTCTTCCTTCTCCTTCTCCTCTCCTCCTTCTCCCTGCATCAACTCCAGGGCTTTCCTGGCTCTGGAGCGCCGCTGGGCAGTCGGCTGGGTGGCCAGGCGCTCTCGCTCCCGGCTTGATTTAGGTCGTGGGGGAGGGGGTCAGCGGTTCCCCCAGTTGACGCGCCAGGCATCCCCGGTTCCCCCTTGGCAGTAGCGTCGGCAGCGGCAGTCTCAGCAGCCCAGAGCCAGCCTGGTAGCACAGTTGACTCTGGCTGGCTTCAGGAGCTGCTCGCTGCCGTGGCGCCCGCCATTTTGCCTCACCAAAAGTCCCCAGATGATGTGTTGTGTGCTGTTGAACCAATCACGCAACATTCATTCCCTACTAATAAATCTACAACACTTAAAATATAAATCCGGGGACATTAAATGAAATCCGGAGACATTCCAGGGACGGACTTTGTCCGGGGACAGATTTGTAAATCCGGGGAATGTCCCCGGGAAACGGGGACATCTGGTAACCATACCTTAAGGAGCACCTTACCCTGCCTGCTTCAGCCTGGCCATGGAGACCAGCTGGGGAGCCCTATTAGTGGACCCCCATGGTCTAAGCAAATACAAACCTGCTTAGTCTTCAGTCCATTGTGGTAGCAAGAATGGCAAAAACTGATTTGAGGCATTTAAGGCTCAGCTAATGGGTAACTTACCCCAATGTCACAGAATACTGGAATCTTACCTTACAGGCCAGTTGCTTCTCAAATCTTGGTGACACAAACGCCCAGGGCCCCATATTCTGTGGCTCCTCTTGACTCCATATAAATTCTGAGTAAAAAATAAGAGGCAACAATAGGTATTGGTTTGTCCTATGAATTCTGGCTAATCCATAGGCTCTCCTCTGCTTATATATCAGGGGAGAGGAACCAGTGTGGCATCATGGTTTTAGAGTGCTGGACCTGGGAGAGCAGAGTTTGAATTCCCACTCAGCCATGAAGCTTCCTGGGTGACCTTGGGCCAGTCGCCATCTCTTAGCCTAACCTACCTCACAGGGCTGCTGTGAGATGAAATGGGGAGGAAGAGAACCATGTGCAACCATTTGTGGTTCTGGGAAGATAAAGGTTATATGTAAATATAATAAATAAATAAAACCCTTTTAGGCCTGGTGGGCCAGATCTTTATCTCCCGCTCCCCTGAGGACCAACGTCGACAAGTTGGCAGGACCACCCACATCTCAATCATCTGATGTCATATTGATAATAGTTGATTGACAGGTGGGTTGTCTTGCCAAACTGCCATAATTGGCCCTCAATTGTGTGTGTGTTTGGGGGTGTGACATACTGTCCAAGCAGGATTTGGACACCACATGGAAACTGGATGGCACAACCAAGCTGAGCAGGATTGAACTCCCCCTGCATCAGCTTCTACCTTCCCCACACCTGACGTTACACAAGTGGGTGTGGCTTTGGGAAAACAGCCTGGTGGGCCAGATGGGAAGGTCTTTATATGTTCAGTCAATGTTGGCCACACTCTTATTATTAAGCTTTAGAGCCCCTGTTCTCAAAGGACTGCAGCACATTAGTCTAAAGCAGCTAAGTGAACAGGTTTTGGCCAAGTCCTTTTGAAGAGTCACGAGCCCACCAACCTTTTGCATTAGTAAATTTTTTCATCTGTTGCTGAAGAGCTTCTATCGGAAAAGGACACAGTTCTTCTAATCTGATAATTGCTGTATTTTGCTTCTTTTCTTCAAGCATCTCCCGGTGTTTTGACAGAGAATAGTAATGTTTTCCAGAACAGAGAATTACTCTGCTCACACTGCACAGAAGAAAGGTTGGAATAATTTAAAGGATCCAAAGACAATGAATTTAATACATTAAGAAGATTTAAGTGCTCAGGAAACACAATTCCTAAAAAGACTATGCATCTATTCCATTCACACACCCAGATGTTGATGTCTGATTAACTTAAAAGAGAGCCAGTGTAGTGGTTAAAGCAGAGATGGGCAACCTGTTTTCTTTAGAGAGCTGTAAACTCTCAGGAGTAATATTTCAGGAACTGCATGTCAGTAATGGTTGGAACAAGAACAGAGACTAGGCTGAGCCAAAGATAAACGCGTTCTGGATTAACTACTCTGGAATAAAGACTGCCCTACTCCAATTTTCACCATGGCTACCTCAGATTAGAATTCCCAGCCGTATGCAGGTCTAATCAGAAGTACGGTAAGCTCCACTGAGTTTGATGAGGTTTTACTCAAATAAGTACCGTAAGAATGGGATTTAAAATAATATAAAATAATAAAAAGACCAATACACCTATGGTTCTGAAAAGCAAGTGAAAGTAATTCCTACTTTATTTTAGTATACTACAATATTGTTTTTAGATACTAGATTTCTCACCCACCCTTCACTATAAGGTCCCAGGGCAGGTTACATGTCATGTTAAGAATACAGTATTAAAATTAGTTAAAACAATTTGCAATCAGAATAATAGAGTGGGTGCTTAAAATATATACTTCAAGCAGGGGAAAGAGAAGCATTTACAGACACAGAATATGGGAGAAGCCTGCCAATTTGTCTCAGACAGCTGGGAGTGGGGCTTCTTTTCTTAAGGAAAAGGAAAACATTTTTTAAAAGTCAGTTTATTTTCACAAGATATCCAGCTATTCAGAAGCTACATAGAAAGAGGGGAGAAACACTTTAAATTCTGAAAAATAAGGAGATGATGGAAGAGAAGAATGAGGAAGTTTCAGACCTTGAGTGCAGCATAAAAAATGTTAAGGCTGCATAAAACAGGCTGCTCACTAGTGGGCTATGCATGGACCCAGCTTCAAACTCCTGGTCATCCATACTACTCACTGGGTGACTTTGGGCACTCCCCCCACAGAGGTGTTTGGGTTTTTTTTAGGTTTAAAACATTGCTCTTGTTCTGCCTTGAAAGAAGGGCAGGATATAAATCTAGGAAATAATACGAAGATAATGATTCTGCTTTTACACTATAGGCACGTACAACCGAAACCTATGACTTTACAGGGAACAAGACATCCCAGGGGCCTGAGCACAAAGGGAGCAGGAGACTCAGCACAGGCAAACAGGGACTAGGTGTGTATTGCCACTTGTACATGCACCCTACATCCCTACCTGTCTCCAGTTATCAGTACATGTGTTAATCCAATCTATCCCATAGGACCATGTCAGATATACACAATCCTGCCAGCACAATATGGCAATGGCAGGCCCCTGTCAATCTTCCAGATGGTAATCCAGTCACCCACAAAGCAAAAGGCTGAATATCCAGCACCCCACTCCTGTCTTTTATGGACATACCGGTAATCAAAAGCAACTAGTTAAATCAGAGAAACATGTTTTACTCAAGCCATTGGATCCTGACAGCATTAAACAGGGCTTACTTCCAGGTAAGCAGGTATAGGATTGCAGCCTTAATCTTCATTCTAAATCTATGAGTCTCAGTCATGCTTAAATTTTTCACTTCCTCATGCGCTATCGTGCTATTTTACTGCCTGCTACTATTTGGAATGCTGAATACTAAATACAAGACCGCAGTTCCAGTTACTTTTTAGGATCCACCGTCGAATCACCAATAACTGGTCTGAACGTTGTTCCTGAGGCCATTTCTACTAAGCTTGACGCAGCAGCCTATAGAAAGGAAAGGGGGGGCTGAATGTATGCATATCAAGTACATTTGAAGAGCTAGATATTTCACTCAGCAACTGTAAAGTGTCTAAGCATGACAAATTTCAGAACCATTAGATTTATACAGTGGTTTTTTTCTAAAAGAAATGTTTAGGGGTACTCTTTTTCCCTTCTCATATTGAAATACTGCCCCTCAATGAGGCCAAACTTAAGAGTCACAAAATGTTGAGGGGTCTTCATAGCCTCGCATCCCCCCCAGAAAAAAGCACTGGATTTATATGACTAGCTGGGGACAACTTAGGAACAAGTATGGAAATACTAGCTAATAAAACTGTTTGGTCATTAAGATGTCTAAGATTCTTGATAAACATCCATGAATAGTCAAAAGTGCAAGACAAGTATATCCCACTGAAGTGATAGATCTTTCACTTAAAAATTTTGAGGAATGTGTTAGAAGTTAGATGAAATGTAAAATATTAAACACATAGAAAGGTCATTTAAATAACAGATTATGTTCAATAATGTAGGTATGTTTGTGTGTGTGCACGTGCACACACACACACAATTACACAAACACAAACACATATAGAGTCAAATAAAAAAAATGACCCTTCCAAACATCTTATGCCTAATACAGCATAGGATGAATCCAGAGCAACACAGATTTACTTCCCTGGTTTTTTTCCAATGGCATTTTGGTAATACAGTGGTACCTCAGGCTACAGACGCTTCAGGTTACAGACTCCGCTAACCCATAAATAGTACCTCGGGTTAAAGAACTTTGCTTGAGGATGAGAACAGACATCGTGCGGCGGCAGCAGGAGGCCCCATTAGCTAAAGTGGTACCTCAGGTTAAGAACAGTTTCAGGTTACGAACGGGCCTCCGGAACGAATTAAGTTCTTAACCCGAGGTACCACTGTATACATACAAAGAGGTCACATGTGTAGGTCCAGTAACATGGTTAGCTCCCACACCCAGGTTGGCAACATTCAGGTGGGAATTAACCACACCGCTGCCCCCGTCCAGAGGTCCATTCACCCATATGTTATTGGAACTACAAAGGAAGTTACAGGACCTACATGAAAAAACTGTAATTTTGACAGTATGTGGCTGTGCTAACAAGTGATGTTTTAGAATAATTAGGAGTAGCAAGCAAAGCAAGTAATCTTTCTACGCACAGGCAACCTGAGCAGAGTTTTTGGAGAAGCAACAATCAAAGGTTTCCGGAAGTTTCGAACCATCTGTCTACGGAGTAAGTGGAAATACTGTGCTGGGGTTGTTGGGTGCACAACACACATGTTGACATGGTCACCATCCACACCCTCCTCTGAGCTATCACACATCTGTGAAACAAATGAACAAAAAATGCAAAACAAATTAAAAAAAACAAGTACAGCTGCTGTTTTTAAAGTTGCAAAACAACGAGCACAGGGACAGAGCAATGGAGAAATTTCTGAAACAACAATAGGATATCAGCTTTGCCCAAGGCATGATGGATAACAGCAACAACCAGTATCTGAATAATAATAATAATAATAATAATAATAATAATAATTTTTATTTATACCCCACCCTTCCCAGCCAAGGCCAGGCTCAGGGCGGCTTACAAGCAATAATAAAAACAAGCTGAATGATTACAACTTAAAAACAAAATTAAAATACAACATTAAAATATTGAGACATTAAAATATTAAAATGTAGCCTCATCGCAGGAGGAGAAGGAAAAGAAAAAAGAAAGAGAGGGAGGGAATCAAATTGGCTCCAAGCCAAAGGCCAGGCAGAACAACTCTGTCTTACAGGCGGTGCGGAAAGAAATCAGATCCTGCAGGGCCCTGGTCTCATGAGGCAGAGCGTTCCACCAGGCCGGAGCCAGAATTGAAAAGGCCCTGGCTCTGGTTGAAGCTAATCTAACTTCCTTAGGGCCCGGGACCACTAGGGTGTTGCTATTTATGGACCTTGAGGCTCTCCGTGGGGCATACCGGGAGAGGTGGTCTCGTAGGTCTGAGGCCGTGAAGGGCTTTAAAGGTCAAAAGCAGCACCTTAAATCTGACCCTGTACTCCACCAGGAGCCAGTGCAGCTGGAAAAGCACTGGGTGAATATGCTCCCATGGCAGAGACCCTGTGAGGAGCCTCGCTGCAGCATTCTGCACCTGCTGGAGTTTCTGGGACAGCTTCAAGGGCAGCCCCGCGTAGAGCGAATTACAGTAGTCAAGCCTGGAGATGACTGTCGCATGGATCAATGTGGCCAGGTTGGGGCGGGAAAGGTAAGGGGTAAGTGTCCATGCACACAAAAGCTTATATCCAGAACAAACTTAGTTGGTCTCTAAGGTGCTACTGGACAATTTTTTATTTATAGCAACAACCAGGGGAAAGAAAGACACATCTTACAAGAACAGGAAGAAACACCACAGACAGAATAATTGCTGCACACAGGAAGAACAAGGATATAGTTTGAGTTCCTCACTTGTAGTTTTATAAATTGCAATGGCAATTTGTGTCTGCAAACTTCTCTACAATTGACTGGTGCGTAGCAGGACAGATTCTCTAGAACAATCTTTCACAATATAGCCATGTAAAAAGTACTTCTCTCATCCTGGCCAAGTCTGAACATAGCTGAGCTGGAAATTACCTGATGTGGTATAAGACAGTGCTGGAAGTGTCAGCCTCACCTTTCCCAGAATATGAACAGTAACAGCTATCCAGCCCAAGACCCGGTTTCCCGCAGCAGCCCACTAGCAAGATCCCTTCCCTGCTCTCATTTCCTAGTAGCTTACATTAAGAAGTAAGGTGCCTCTGATCATGGAGCTAATATACAACCATCATGGGTGAGGAGAGGGAGTGTTATTGGCTTGTGCTTGTTCTTGTTTGCATCATGTATTTTTTTGTTTTATGTTGTATTTTTATGTTGTGAACTGCCCTGCGATCTACAGATGAAGGGGGGCATACAAATTTAGTAAATAACAACAATCATAGCCATTGACAGCCTTATCCTCCATGAAACTAGAGATGCCAAAAACTGAACCCGGAACCTTATGCATGTAAAGCATGGGAAGCATGAGCTTGTAGAACATGTCATGTTTGGCTACCTGCAAGAAACGTTCAATTCGGCAAGAAGAATGCTCCGGTCCAGCACCGTCATACCCATGTGGGAGAAGAACGACTATTCCACTCTGTAGAAGCCACTTTGCTTCCCCTGGAGTGGAGAAAGGAAGACTGATTCATTTTAGATGCCAGGATTATACATTATCACAGTCCACACAAGAAGATCCTCATCACTCAGAATGGGTCACTTTCTATGTTGTGATCTTACCCATCCTTCAGCTAATATAGTATCTAATTGCTCTTCTTGCTGCGGGAAAGACCATTTGTGATAAACTTCAATTGATACAGAAGTCAGATTTTATGAACATTCACTTATACTTTCCTCTTATTGTTTACATAGCAACCCAAGAACAAAGTGTGCTGCTTCAGAAAGATTTCTGAAACACTACAATATTGCAATTCCAAAGGTTTCACACATCTTCCTCTTGGACGTAAGAAACACATTAAGCTGCAAGCTGAAAGTCACCTCTACTGTGGCTGAGCTCACACATCTGTACATGACACCGGAGGGCTATAGCATTATCTGCGTGTGTGAAATGACCACAAAGCCTATACACAGCAGAAACTGCTTTCTTATCGCTCGATACCACTGCACACCCAATGCTTTTCCATGAAAACAGCTCATACACTCAGCTGCCAATCACTGAGTGATCAGCCAATGGCACAATCCTATGTATGTCTACTCAGAAATAAGTCTGATCCATGAGACTTACTCCCTAGTAGAGTATTTAGAATTGTGAATGGCCCAAATGAAACTATTAATTAAATAGAATTTAAGCCTTGTCTTTTAGAAGCTCACTTAAGGTGGCTAGCAAAGCATTAAAATAAAAATGAAACCTAATTAAATGTGGAGCAACATAAAAAATAAAGTCTGAAGTGATGAGATATTAGGGGGAAGCACGTGTGAGTAAGCAAGAATAATAAAAACAGATCTAAATGCATTTCTGTTTGGCACTGGCATTGGAATCTCACCTCCAGAGATAAATGTATCAAATATTATCTGAGCTCCATTAAAGAAATCACCAAACTGAGCCTCCCAAATGGGCAACAATTTGGGGCTCTCAATGCTCATTCCATACTCAAAGCCAAGCACAGCTTCTTCTGAGAGGGGGCTGTTGCTCACCTAGCAGAGAAAGAATGTGAGAACTCGTAAGCTAAATAGTGGTTCGTCAAGAAATATGCATGCCACACACAAAAAAGCATTTTCTTTTTTAATCATAACTACTGCAGGAGGCTACCAGTTATTTTTTAAAAGAGGGTTAATGCAGGGGTGGACATAGGAAGTAGCAACATACACATTTACCCAGAAGTAAGTCCCATTGACCTCAAGGACACTGACTTCTGATGACACTGCGAGAAACTCAGCAAGCTAGCACGCTTAAAACTGGGGATCTTTGTTTTCATCTGTTCAAAAACTTAGCTATGAAGCAGCTTTTCAGAAGTATAAACAGCAGATTACAGTAGGATCATGATATCAATGAAATGCTGCTCGGTTAAAAATGCAACTTTTACCTCAAGGAAACCTTTCTGATCTGGCGACATGTGATTCAAAGGGATGTAGGTTTCACCCGTCTCTTGGCAAACCAGCATTGTGTGTCTCTGGCTAAATGTCCCTCGGCCAACATCCTGTCCGCTCAGGCGAATATTAAAACCTTTGTATAAAGCAAAGTATGGAGTAAAAGTACAGCTACCCAACCTGGAGTGGTCAGTGTCCTCCCGACAGGGCAGGGCTGTGTGGATACTGCAGCAGAGCCGCTGTGGTCTTCCCCCTGGTGCGTCCATGCCACCCCGACTTTGCTGCCCCCTTGCACTGCCTTGGTGAGCTGCAGCAATGCCGGTGTCACGAGGGAAGCTCAAGCCCCCCCCCCCACCCCGGGGCCCAGGCACCACAGTAACCAACAGAACAACAGATACCAAGTATCCTGCAGGAATTCTCTTTAAACCAATGCTGGCTTTTATTCAGATCTCAAAACCAAATTGTTTCCCCTTCTTGATGAAACATCCCTTTATCCATTTATTCTAGCACTTGTATCTAAGTATTCCTTTTGGATGCATTCTACTGATTACTTTTGAGGGCAGTTTTTGTACACGATACTTATTTTAAAAACTCATATCCCTCTTGCTTCCCAAGGAACACAAGGTAGCTAAGAAGTCACAATAGAAAAACTATTATATTTCAAAACATAAAATACCTTGACAGAGCAGAGAACCAAAAGCTAACGTTTCAGCTGTGGCCCAGTCCAACTTTACTCCTTCTTCCATCTTCAGCATTCTTGACTGTACAAAACAAAAATATTCAAATATTACAGCCTTGTTACCTCAACTTCTGGAAGGTCTACCTAGCTTCTGTCTGGTTTCTGGATCACACATCATCAAGAGATTCAGTTGCATTATCTACTTCACATGTTTATCTGCTTTGGCTACTTTGTGTATGCAAAAGAAGCAACTTTCTGTACAATAGTTATATTTCTTGTCAGGGGTTCAGGGACAGAGGCACAGGATAGGCAGGAGATGGAGAGCGATGGGGATGAATCCCAGGACAGCGAGGAAGAGGATGACAATGACTCAAGAGATTCCATGAGTCTTTCCAGCGAATCAGAGGATTCCCAGAAGGGGGCACCGGTGGTCAAGGCCAGGGGAGCCCGGAGCAGGGGGCCAGCGGGGGATCCCAAAGTGGCAGCTGGGCGTCAGGACCAGCCTCCCCGCCAGAGTGCAGCGAAGGGGGTGGAGGTTCCAGTGTATCGGGGAAGCAACTCCGGCAGCAGAGAAGGGAGGGAGGTCGGAGCAAGCCACCCTCCCGGAAGGGGAGGGAGTAGTGAAGGGAGTAGTGTAGCTGTCAAAAGGAAGGTTAGAGGTTGGGCGCGCGCGCAAGTTCAAATGTGAAGGCGCGCGGAAGTACAGGGAGCCCGGAGGAGGGGCCAGGTCCCAAAGCCCGCAGGAGGGGGGAAGAGCAAGCTGGGGATTCCGCGTCAGGGGAATCCAGGAGGGGCGAAACCCCAGCGGGCAGGAAGACCCTGAGGAAAAGGAAAGAGAGAAAGAGGTGGAGCAGAGCAAGCCTCTTAAACTGGTGCAGGGGGGGACTGACTCAGAGGGGACTTCAACGGTCTAAGCGTAACAGACGTGGGGCTGCGCGCCTCGGATGTGAAGCTAACAATGAGCTCCAATAAACACTTTTGTATATAAGAAGAGATTGGCATTGGTCTTTTGTGAGCTGAGACCTGAGGCAGCCTTGACATTTCTATTATCTGGTAACAGTTCAATCTTTTGTTTAGCTAATCAGTAATCCCTTCCTATAAGCAAATGTTACAGGAAACTATTTAGTTGTTAGTATGTCACAAAAAGGAGCTTTTTGCAATATGCAAATGCATGTAATTATAAAAAACTAATTAGTCGGCTTCCCTAAAGCCATCAAGCGTTGTTTGTGCACAAGGAAAGAGCTGAACCAGCTTGCAGGCATGTGCTTTCAGTTAGTTTAACTTCATATTTTATTTTATTTTTTGCACCTGGGCGTGTGTCTTCAGAATATGGCTGTGCAGCTGCATTTCCGCTGGCACCTCCACAGACTTGACCCCAACAAACTGAAGGAGTGGAATTGGCATGCCGGTATCCCATGTGGTGATCCTTGGCGAGGGCTCCACCATGTTACTCCAATGAGCCTGAAGATTGGTGGGTGGAGGGCTGTACAAAGTCATGTTGGCAAGATGTTCGTTCAGTTTAGAGTAATAGGAAGTCCTTATTTCAGACACTTCTTCCTGTGTCATTAGTCCCTGGGCTACCAGACGCTCTGCATAAGTGTCTGGAATACTCTTACGTGACCTGTGAGGGGAAACATAGTATTGAAATGTATGGCATTGCCTATTATTTGGATTACTGTCATGTCCTCTACATTCTGCTGCCCTTTTAAAATGGTTCAGAAACTCCAGTTAGTACAGAATGTGGCTACCTGCTTATTAATGGAAGCATGGGGTAAATGTCAGTCACTCCTGTAAACCTGAGGGAGTGCGCTCTCCCTCTCCCTCTGCCTCTCCCTGTGTGCCTCTTGTGCATCTCTTCATACACTGAAAACAGCAAATGGGCAAAAAGCAACCCAAAAGGAGTGACTTGCTGCAGAAAACCAGTAATGACTCCCAATCCAGTCTGGGACGCGACAGCTGCTTTTTCTCCAAAATAAAAGTGACCAGGTAGAGCATGCTTATTTAAACAGTTGTACTTTACACATTTCTGAAGGAATTTTATTTAAATATTTTAAAAATATTTTTGAAAGGCCCACATATAGATTTCATCAGGCCTGCTGAGTCCCTTTCCACCTATTAACTGTTTGGAGGGGAGCTGTTGAGAAGTAAAGTGGATTTAGAGTTTTTCACAGTGTGCAAATGTAGCTTCTACCTCTGCAAGAAGGACTGCTACAAGAAGATCAAAGCAGAGGAGAAAATGTCTCTGAGATGTAGACCTTCATGTTACTTAAAAAGGTAAAGGCAAAGGACCCCTGACGGTTAAGTCCAGTCGCGAATGACTCCGGGGTTGCGGCGCTCATCTCGCTTTACCATTCAAATGGTGCATGTGCACTGCGTCATGTGATCAATGATGTGGGGCAGGGATGACATGGGCCCCACCAATATTTTATTCAAGTTGGCACCCCTGATTAAGGGCATCTGATTGTGTGTAGGCCTTGCCCAATGCCTTACTAGAATGTGGCTGAAATAGCTTTCCATTGGGGGAATGCAGCCTTCAGCCCCAAAAAGGTTCCTGGACCCTGCACTAAGCCGTACCTGATAATTTTGTACATGGTGGGGTTAGTGAAGAATGGCTCATCCAGTTCATTGTGACCCCACTGTCGGTAGCATAGCAAATCCACAATCACGTCCTTACGAAAATGGCGCTGGTATTCAACAGCTAATCTAGTGGCTCGGATTACTTCTTCAGGGTCATCTCCATTTACATGGATAACTGCACAACCAACGATCTTGCCTAAGAATGAGAGAAAGAATATTTCAGACTCATACAACATATGACCAACTTAAGGTAAATGCAGCTCACCAGAAATGTGTGACAGTTCATGAGAGGCAGGACGCACCTCCTGTTTTTGTTGCCTATGAATGCGAAAGCAGAAGGGATTCTCAAGCACCTGGCTGGTCACAAACCATGTCTGGTGCACTGTGGCCACCAGCCAGGATTATAATTAAATTAAATCACTTTATATATATCAGTCCATTTATATTTTTGCAGTTTCACATTCACCAGTGATGCCCCCCGTAAGCATTCTCAGATACAGGTCCAGTCTCTCCAACTCCTCTCACTTCTGGAAAAGAACTCAGAAGTGATAAGAGTAAGTAGACGCTACTGTCCCTGCAATACCGTCCCAGAAAGGGCCATCTTGGTAGTGGCACCACCCTGTGGAACACCCTCCTGCCAGATGTCAAAGAAATAACCAATTATACAACCTTCCATAGACACCTGAAGGCAGCCCCATATCAGGAAGTTTCATGTGTGTTTTTATATTCTGTTGGAAACCACTCAAGAGGCAACCTAGTCCAATGGGCAGGGCATAAGTAAATTATTGTTATTGTTGCTGTTGTTGTTAACTTTCAAAACTGGTCACAGACAGTGGCAAAGTGTGGGGCTGGGGGGGCCATGGCATCAGGAACATTTTTTTGAGGGGGTGCGACCAGGCACTCCATCAGAGCCTGGCTCTGGTGCGCAAGGAAGCTGCGAAGAAAGCTTTGTTGTGTGACGGCCCAAACCTGCAAGCCGCAGCTCCACTTCTGGGTCAAGCCTGACCTGGGGGCAGAGAGAGGAGAGTCAGTGGCAAATTTGCCACCCCTCTCCTCGGCTGGGTGGTGATGCGCAAGGATGCTGCCAAGGCAGCTTTCTCACACCCAAGCGCAGCTCCACTCCACGGGCATGACCCAGGGGCACAGAGTGTGCCCCATGCAGCCGCCCCACATGGTAGTATCATACACTCCGTTGCTGGTCACAGACACTCACCTTCTCAGTCCTTAGAACATATAACCATTCTGCCTCCACAGAATCCCATGATACATACCAATATCACTGCAATACAGAGATGACCTCCCTCGCTCTGCTGGAGTGGTGTAGCCCAACTGATTGTTAACAATGAGATGAATGCTTCCTCCTATTCTAAAATGTGGTAGGCCGGAAAGTGTAAAAGTTTCAGGAACAATGCCTTGGCCAGAGAAAGATGCATCACCGTGAACCTATATTACAAAAAGAAATTGAGAAGTTATGTGTCAGGACTGGTCGTTGTCCTCTTCAGATCACCACACAAACGCTTCTTGTTCTTTTATAACTTTTTATTGTGTATTAACAAAATAATCTTATAAACAGTTCTTAACTATTATTCCTCAGAGTCACTTATTTCAGATACCTTCTGAGCTCTGCTTCTCCGTGACCAGCCACCCTAAAAATGGCGAAGGCGCCCTTCCCTTCGCTTTCCTGCTCTTTTTCCTAACCTCCTGGCTAGAGCTGGCCTGTATCTCCCCTCCTCCGAATCTGAGCTAGAACTGAACCCTTGCCTTTCCTGTGAACAGCCGGTCCCTCCCTGTTGTTCCTCTTGCTCTCTTCTGTTAGATTCACTGCTCTCCTTCCCCCCTTGGCGAATGCTTTCTCCCTCTGATAAACTGGAAACTTCTAACTCTTCCCTGACATCACCCCCTCCCCTAAGCCCCCCTTCCTCCTCTGTTTCTGAAGGACCGAACCCTATGAACTCTTCTTCCTCGCTATCTGTCTCTTCAAAAATTTCTTGAAGATGCCAGTTATGGGGTTTTGGCTTGTGGGGATATTTTCTATGAAATTCTCTCTGCAATTCTGGAACGTTTATTTTTTCTGCTGGTTCCCATGAGTTCTCAGACTCATCTAACCTTTTCCATGCAACCAAATACTGTAATATCCTCCTACTTATTCTCGAGTCTAATATCTCTTCCACTTCGGTCTCCTCTTCCCCCATCATGGTGGGAAAAGGAGGTGGTCCCCTTGAAATTTGATACTTATGCGCTGGTACAAACACTGACAATAAAGATCTATGAAATACAGGGTGTATTCTCATATTTTCAGGTAAATGAAGCTTGAAAGCAACTGGGTTAATTTGAGCCTTTACTTGGAAAGGTCCCAATCTCCTTGGTTCTAGCTTTTTACACCTCCCTCGTATTGGTAGTCCCTTGGTAGACAGCCATACCCAGCTCCCTACTTGGATTTCTTCCCCAACTCGCCGGTGCCTGTCTGCAGCTCTCTTGTAAGCCTCTTTAGCTTCTTCCAAATCCTCTTTCAATATCTCATGAATGCACCTCAACTCCTCTATCATTTGTTCTGCTGCTGGTACTGCTAACTGCTCCTCTTGACCTGGGAATGCCCTTGGGTGCAAGTCATAGTTTGCCACAAACGGGGCTCTGCCCGTAGACACATGCATTGCATTATTATATGCAAACTCTGCTAGACTCAACTTCTCTAACCACCCGCTCTGCTGATAACCAGCATAACACCTCAGATATTGTTGTAGTGTTGCATTCGTTCTTTCAGCTTCCCCATTGGTTTGCGGGTGTCTCGCCGACGTGAAGCTTAGCTCCACATCTAGTAACTGCATTAACCTCCTCCAAAATTGTGATGTAAATTGGGCCCCTCTATCTGAAACGATTTGTGATGGCATACCATGCAACCTAAAAATATTATCTAAAAACATCTTTGCAGTTTCCTGCGCGGTCGGAATTTTGGCACATGGTATGAAATGCGCCATCTTGGTTAGCATGTCAACCACCACAAATATCACTGTATGCCTATGCGATGATGGTAGATCCGTTATAAAATCCATAGACACCACATCCCAAGGCCTTCCCGGTGTGGGCATAGGTTGTAACAAGCCTGCAGGAGCTGCTCTGGGTGCCTTGGCTCGTTGACATACTTCACAACCTCTTACATATTGCGTTACCTCCTCCCTCAACTTTGGCCACCAGAACTGCCGTGTGATCTGATACAGGGTCTTTTCTCTACCAAAATGTCCTGCAGTCGGGTTATCATGATGTTGCCTCAACACTTTACCTCTTAATTCACCTGCAGGTACATACAGCACCCCTCTCCTGTACAACAATCCACCTTTTGCCTTGAAACCTTCCTCTTCCCCTCTACCTTTTCTCAGTTCCTCCATTTTCTTTTGTGCAAACTCATCTGTTACTGTCAATCGCTGGAATTCCCTGCCGTCCACTACTACGGCTGCACACCCCCACTGATCCGATCTCAGCATTTCTCGCAACTTGGGAGGTGCTTCTCCTTCCATATACTCAGGTTTGCGCGATAGCGCATCTGCACGAACGTTTTGATGCCCAGGTATGTACTCAATCCTAAAATTAAACCCAGCAAAAAATTCCGCCCACCTAATTTGCCTTTGGTTTAGCTGTCTAGCAGTTCTCCAATACTCTAAATTCTTATGATCTGTTTGTACCACCACCTGATGTGACGCCCCTTCCAAAAAATGTCTCCACACTTTAAAGGCAGCATGCACAGCTAAAAGTTCCTTATCAAATATGGTGTAGTTTTGTTCTGATTGATTTAATTTTCTAGAGTAGAATGCACAGGGTCTCCAGTCCCCTTCCTTGTCCTGTTGCAGCAGAATGGCCCCAATAGCCCTATCAGAGGCATCAGTTTCTACCTTCATACGTTTACTTGGATCTAGATGCATAAGATATTTTTCTGAAGCAAACACCGCCTTTAATTTATCAAAGGCCTTCTGTGCTTCCTCAGACCATCTGAATGTCCCCTTGCCTCTTAGACAATCAGTCAGTGGTGTTGTGATTTTGGAGTAATTACCTATGAATTTACGGTAGAAATTAGCAAATCCTAAAAACCTCTGTAGATCTTTCTTAGTTTTAGGTGCCTCCCACTCCACCACTGCCTGAACTTTACTGGGGTCCATGTGCACCCCTTTGTGGGAAATGCAATATCCCAGGAACTCCACCTTTTGTGTGTGGAACTTACACTTCTCTAACTTCACATATAACCTGTTGGTCCTCAATCTCTCTAACACCTGCGTGACATGTTTTACATGTTCTTCCATACTTTCACTATATATTAAGAGGTCATCTAAATAAGAGACACAGAACTGATCCAGTATACCTGCCAAGATGTGATTGATGAAGGTTTGAAATACCCCTGAGCCATTTTGCAAGCCAAAAGGCATTACCAAGAATTCAAATGCACCGTACTTAGTACAAAAACTGGTTTTCCACTCATCCCCTTCTCTGACCTTTATCAGATTATATGCTCCTCGTAGATCAAGCTTGGTAAAGACTTTGGCTGACCTTACTCTCTCTAAGAGGTCATCTATACGTGGGAGTGGGCACACGCGAGGCTTCATTTGGCTATTAAGGATTCTGAAGTCACATACTAATCTCGGTGCCCCTTCCTCCCCTTTCTTTTTAACAAAAAAGACGGGAGCACCCCCCGAGGCCGTGGACTCTCTAATAAAACCTCTCTGCAAATTCTTTTGCAGGAACTCCCTCAATGCTGCAGATTCTACTTCTGACATGGCATATATCTTGCTTGGTGGCAACTGTGCCCCAGGGACTAGATCTATCTTGCAATCATAGGGCCTATGTGGTGGAAGTTTATCCGCTTCTTTTTCACAAAAAACATCCCGATAAGCAATATATTGTGACGGAATCTCACTTTCATTCCCCATCAACTTCCCTTCCACCTCTGTTCCCATTACTTCCACCGAGATTTTCCCCTTTTGCCCCAAACAATGTGTCATACAATAGATCGAACCAAAAACCAAAGACCTTTGATGCCAGGCAATCACTGGATTGTGACGATTGAGCCAACTCATGCCCAGGACTATCGGGTGCCCAGCTAGTTTGGTCACATGAAATGCCCTGGTCTCTGAGTGATGACTCATATCCATTCTCATTGGTGGAGTCTCGTAAGTCACTTCTCCTGACAGTAGCGGTCTGCCGTCGATTGTTTTCACTCGTAGTGGGAAATTCAAAGGTAACAAAGCAATTTTGTGTTCCTGTACCAATTTCTGGTCTATGAAATCTGCTGACTCTCCTGAGTCTAACAGCGCCTCTACCTGGACCCTATGTCCATTGGGTAGCTGTAGTTGCACCTTCACTGTTAGTCCTGGGACAGGTGGTCCCGCGTGAGAGCCTTCTATTGCTCCTCCACCCGGCTGCAAGCTCCCATTTCCAGCCAGGGACATTCGTTTCCCTGATGCAGTTCCTTCGGGCAATTGTCTTCTCCCATGTCTGCTCCAGATAGAGACTCCCATCCTTTACGATTGCGACATTGTCGTGCTAGATGCCCTGGTTTTCCACAGACAAAGCAACGCCTCGTGTCTCTTCCTCTCCCTGCATTTCCTCTTACCATGGAAGAGGTAGTAACTGGGAGGGGTCTGGCTGCCCCTAATTCCATGGGCTCTGGCCGCTCTCGTCCTGGCACGTTGCCCATTCTGCTTTCTGTACTTTCAATATTGTTTTCCCGCCATCGCGGTCTCCATTGTTCCTTCTTTTCACTAGCCCTCCGTTCTATGCGTAGGCTCAATTGCAGGCACGTTCGGACCAGAGAGTCCAAGGAACTAGGTTCTGGCATTTGGGCCAATTGCTCTAAAATCTCATTATTCAGTCCTTCCCTAAAAAGGGCTGCAACTGTTGGGGAATTCAGATCCCATTTTAATTTCTGCACCAGCAAACTAAAGTTGGACCAATAAACTCCCACAGTGTCTTTTCCTTGTCTCATTCTCAACAGCTGCCTAGCTGTGGTTATTTCATGCGCAGGGTCTAAGAAAATCGTGTCTAGATACTGCAGAAACATTTGTAGATTTCCTAGGGCGGCATCCCTTTGAGATATTAGGGGTATAACACAGTCCTTAGCCCTCCCTTCCAAGAAATTAATCACATAAGCAACCTTCTCTTGCTCAGATTGAAATTCTTTATCCTTTATCTCAATTATGTAAGAAATTTCTGTCTTGAAAGCCATGTATTCAGAGCTTTCTCCCTTGAAGCTACGTGGACGTACAGTAAATGTTTTACTCACTCTGTCTCCCCGCGTCGCTTGCAACATGGTTCTATGTTCTCCCAATGCTGCCGATAGTACGTCGACTTGACTTTTCAACTGTAAGTTCTGTTGCCATAAGTCCTGTAATGTTAGCTGGAGCGCTGGGGTTTCTCCTTGCCCAACTGGCGCCACAGCTCCCTCCATTTTGGCTTCTCCTTCTTTACTTATAGTGAAGAGGCGCAGAGCAGAAGGTATTCTGTCAGGACTGGTTGTTGTCCTCTTCAGATCACCACACAAACGCTTCTTGTTCTTTTATAACTTTTTATTGCGTATTAACAAAACATTCTTATAAACGGTTCTTAACTATTATTCCTCAGAGTCACTTATTTCAGATACCTTCTGAGCTCTGCTTCTCCATGACCAGCCACCCTCAAAATGGCGAAGGCGCCTTTCCCTTCGTTTTCCCGCTCTTTTTCCTACCCTCCTGGCTAGAGCTGGCCTGTATCTCCCCTCCTCCCAATCTGAGCTAGAACTGAACCCTTGCCTTTCCTGTGAACAGCCGGTCCCTTCCTGTTGTTCCTCTTGCTCCCTTCTATTAGATTCACTGCTCTCCCTCCCCCCTTGGGGAATGCTTTCTCCCTCTGAGAAACTGGAAACTTCTAACTCCTCCCTGACATTATGTCAGAAACCACTGACAGTTCTTTGAGGGGACTTATTTGTTCAGGGGAGGGATTAAAATGTTTCAGCTATAATCTTTAGTTCGGAAGTTTAGCGTAGCTTTCCAAAAGTGGCAGAGGATGGGGTGAGGTGGCAGCACTTACTTGACCTCCCAGCAAAGCACTGCTGCTATTTACTGGGAGAGTGGGAGGGGCAGGGCGGTAGGGTGGTTGGCACTGTGCAAATGCACCAGCCCCTTCCATGCTGGCTCCCAGGAAGCAGCAGCAACTCATCTGCCAGGAAATCAAGGAAGCACCACATTCCAAACCCCTGCGCAGAGTGCCACTACTTTCAATCTGGAACTTGCTAGAGAAGGCACAGGCCTTCCATATTTTTTGAACTTGAATTCTAAGTAAAATGTTGTCACTGATTTAATTAAACCAATAGCATGCTCTTAACCTCTCTTCCAGGCACTGATCAGTCTGTGCCCTGCTCAGCTTTGACAATACAACAGATCTATATGTCTGCAGGCTATTTCCTGTGACCAGAGAATTAGTCCTATCTATATCATTACATCACATCAAGTTGTCTGAAATGTTAAGATACCCCCTCCAGAACCCTGCTCACTGGCTGTCAAAATACCTGCAGGCAGATGACTTTGTCTCCAGGCTGTGCAGAACTGTCCAGAGAGTAGTCCCCATCGAGCAGAGACTGCTGCCTCCCCCTTGCTTTGCCAACTGCCACAGGGTTAATGGCTTCTAGATGGGAAGGGTTTGGCAACAGGATGACATGAATAGGTCGGTGAGACCCGAAATCAAGATCCACTGAAGCAGTCAGGTGAGATAGGACATCTCCAATTGCTGGTGAGTCGTCTGGAAATTCACTCAAGCCTCGCATTTTACGGAACATCAGCTTCACAGGAGGAGATGAATATGAAGTTTCAAACACATTTGCAGAGTATGTTGATGAACAAAAGCAGTCATCTATTACAGGGGTTCCCAAACTTTTGGAGCAATGACCCGGGTCTTCCCCCTGCTAGATTCAGGTCTCAAAATAATAATCTCAGCCCTCCTTCTACTGCAGCCCACCCTGCCAACTTGAATAAAATATGGGGAGGAGGTAAGCCCCATGCAGCACAACTGATCACAAGAGGAGGCCAGGCCCCCTCAAATATTTTATTGGGGGCAAAGGGACCTTGGTCCCCATGAGTTGGCTCCAATGGACCTAATACTGTTTATGCCCTCACTTTCTTCAAGGAACTCTGAGCTTCATACATGGGTTGTCCCATTTACACTTCATAACAATCCCTTTGAAGGTTAGCCTAAGAGAGTGAGACCATCCCAAAAGCACAGCTGAATGGGGGTTTGAATCCAAGATTCCCTAGAAGCCACTCGCTCCATTGTTCTATCCATATTGGCTCTGCATATGCTGCATTCACATGCAGTCTCTTTCAGGATTAGGCCTTCAGGTACCAAACGCATATCAGAGCACATGTTGTGCGCAGTCGCACAGGTCCCAGATTCCACACCAGGTGTCTACAATTTAAAATATCTGCTACCATGATGGGAAAGGCCTTTGCTTATCAGAAGATGCAACACTGGACTGGGGGGACAAATAGTTTGACCTCCGTACAAAACCATGGCTATGTAGAAGCATTTGAAGTTGCCATTGTGAGGCAGCCATTATGTTTCAGCTAGAGTTTAGGGGCCTGTGTCACAAAGACAATTGTGAATACTGTATTTGCTACTAGTTCTATTTAACATTCAGTTGGAACACAGAGTAACTAAACTGTTTTACAGTTTTGGTGAAAATCCTCTGAACTTGCAACATATGTAAAGCAGTCTGAATGGTGAAAGTATCAAGTATGTTTTTGACAAGGAATGTCAAGGAGAGTACATGGCAGAAATATTTCTCACAGATGTTTCATCTTGTGGGTTATTTGGAATTGTCACCTCAAATTCCTTTTGGAGGAAGGGAGGTAGATACATTTAACAAATTAAAGTAAATGAAGCTTTTTGGTCAAGGTTTCAGCATTTCCACATGACTTTTCCACATCAAGTTAAATAATGCATCGTTTTGTGTTAAGATATTTGTTACTGTTACATTTGGGTTGTCAAAAGAAATTCGAAACATGTCTAAGAGGGCGACCCCAAAGAATCTAGTATCATTGCAGCTTTTGCCACCAATTTTATGGAAATGTGTATTTTCAAATCAAAATTAGTCACACCTAAGAAAAAAACCCACTCACCTCAGGTGGAAACTGAAGAAGGCCGGTGAGGAGATTAAGTCTGCCTCGATGAGGCATTCCAAGTACGATGTCTGTCACCCCACTGTATGAGCACATCTTTAACAATTCATGAAAGAAACCCATCATGCTCTCTGCTCCTTCACCACCATATCTTTTCACTGTGGCAAACTTTGTAGCCAAAAAATGATCAAATTCCTGGAAAATGTGAATGGTGATTATATATTTACATATTTAGAAGAATGTATCTTTGATAGGGATTCAGGCTTGGTATAGATATAACATCTGCGATCTTCTCACTACGATTTGGTGAGATTGCTAAGAAGCATTACATCTGCCATCACTGCTAACCATGATTAATGCAAACCAGGATTGCCTTGCTAACCAACTACGGCTTGCAAATGCATTTTGAAACACGGGTCAAATTGTGAAGGCAATCCTCGTTAGACAGAGAGGCGCTGAGGGAGGTGGAAAGTTTGTGCAAACCCATGGGGTGCAAACCCACAGTTTGTGCAAACCCTGTGGGTGCAAACCCACAGTAATCAAATGTGTAATCCACTAACTGTAGATAAGAGGTTATAGAATGTTACCTTTCCACCAGGTCATAGCTATAAAAATATACATCAAGAAAACTGAACAAAATTGTTTATTTGCTTCCTTCATGAATACTCAAATGGCCTATTTCAGTTTGGTTAGACAAATTTGGTTTAAAACACAGTCTGTTACAGAAAGTTGGGGCATCACAAAACAATATATTGTATTTGCAGTAAGGATCCCACAGATCAGTACTGTCAGCATATTCAAAAATCACTATGGGGAAATAAGCATTTTGACAGAACTACTTGTCAAACAAGTCTTTGTTGTCAGCCCTGAGTGCTCACTGAAAGGACAGATCCTGAAGCTGAGGCTCCAATACGTTGGCCACCTCATAAGAAGAGAAGACTCCCTGGAAAACATCCTGATGTTGGGAAAGATTGATGGCACAAGGAGAAGGGGATGACAGAGGACGAGATGGTGGGACAGTGTTCTCGAAGCTACCAGCGTGAGTTTGACCAAACTGCGGGAAGCAGTGGAAGACAGGAGTGCCTGGCATGCTCTGGTCCATGGGATCACAAAAAGTCAGACACGACTAAACGGCTAAACAACAACAAATGTTATACATATATACACTGGTCTAGCAGTAGTTAATTACACTAGTAAATCTACTAAAAACTCACACTCAAAATTTAGCACTAGGAGTTTTTTATGCAATGTCATCCATTGCCTCCTGGAATTTGGGCCTACTCAGCAACATTGATAAGCCCAACATGCAGTGGGGCAACATGACTCCACCTTCTTTTTCAAAAAATACACACCAGGGGCTTGTATAGCTTATCATTTGCACTCTTGTGATAAGACTAGGATCAAAATGCACTACAGGCAGCAACCATTTTACGTGCGTCTGAACCTGAAAGTTACCTGAAAATATCAAAACACGTCAGAAAAAGGGGCAGAATAGGGTGTTTGCAGGCTTTTTAAATGGGTGCTCGATTATACGCAATTTACGGGGCTTTGGAATGTAACCTGTATTTTCTCTGTTCCATAGATGTAAGCCTTTCCATTTCTCTGCCCGAAAAGCCCATTTGCGCAAATCAAACGGGAAAAATTTCCCCTTGCAGTTAAGATTTCAAAATCAATGCAACTACTAACTTAAAAGTACTTTAGTTTCTGTTAGGAATCACAAAATGCTGCAGAACAAGGCTATCAAAACTCATAATAATATATAAATATTAAATAATAAAAATTATTATTATTATTATTATTATTTAAAAACTACTATGCCTGTAATGCAAATAATGAAATAAATCATTTGCCAGAAAAATCCTCAAATTATCAGTTCTGTTAAAATATTATGGTACTGTATTCTAATCCACCAGTTGAGCACTTTATTCATATTGAGAAATGAATCAAGAATCCTTTAATTAAGGTGCTACTTTTTACCCCTAGAAATAATTTCATTCTCATTCTTTTTCTTACACTATATGCACACACATACTTATACAATGCACCTGAGATTCTAGCATGAGCTTGGACAAATACTTTTTCTCTTCAGTAGTGAATGCTTCTTGTTTCAGCTCCTCAAACCGTTTAGCAATCCATTCTCTTTCTTGCAAGCTTGACAGCTGACTGGTCTCTATAGACATATGTTCACAGTATATGTGGCCCAGGTAAGACAATATATCCTCTAGGGATGCCTCCTCCTTTCTCATGTTCAAAAGTCCTGGAATAAAATATTGTCTGATAGATTATATTGATACATTAATAACACTGAGCATCAAGCTCTAAGATGCTCTTCTGCCAAGTGGTCCTTCAATAAGACAACTTCTCTTTTTCTTCCCTTTAGAAAATAACTCATAGGTGTTCATTCTGAAGTTACTGCTGCAGTGTAACAGATCCACAATTCTCAAATATTATACAGGAGACTTGCAACTTACACACATTTAACTTGTGCACGCTTGGTAAAAATTGTTTTTAAAATGATAAAAGAGGTAGGCATCCATGGAAAAAGGCTTTGGCAATCCCACCACTGCACCCAATTTGTGTTGGCTATATGCAATTTTGACTTTATGCACTATTCCCAGAAGGTAATCCCTGTGTAAGCTGCGGGTCTACTGTATTAACAAAACCACCCAATGTACTATTTCCTTGACTGCTACCTAACCAACCACTTACCACGGGGGGGGGGGGGGTGTACTTCACCGTTCCGGCATGAAAGTCGTTTTTCTTTCCTACCTGAAGTATTGAAAGGTCCTTGAAGAACTTCAGTCAAAACTTGGATTTCAGGTACCATATCCATCACAGCTTGGCCAGTAAATAGAGGGTTGATTTTGGCAGCTTTGTGGCCATGTTCATAGTATGCTGTCACCAAGCGAGCCAGTCCATGGTCTACTAAAAACAAGAGAACAGAGACTATTTTTTAGCAGTGTGCAAAGATACCAATTATTATAATTGGTTGAAAAATTAAGTTGGAAAGCCAATTTTAGCCAAACTACTGGCTAAAAATGTGAGTGTATTTTGTTTTGAAAGCTTCGAAGAAAAATTCCTGTCTCCCTGCACTGAGCTCTGTGGATTCTCTAATGCACCCATGGAATTCCATCTGAGCAGTCTCTCTCATGCACTTCAATAAGCGCTATGTGCATTCAAAAGGATGCATGCCTTGAGCTGTCAGGAAAGCTCTACTACGTGTACTCTCCTACCTACACATAAGGAAGCTCTGTGAGCCTATGGAAATGCTTAGATGTACAACAAGCCACTGACTGCAGGTCCCTGTCAGCAATGTAGCTCACTTTTGGGCAATCACTGTTAGCTAGTTTAAGGTTAACCAAGCAGCCACATTTGTATGTTTCTGGGAAGAATCCAAAGGAGTCTCCCCTTATAGAGCTCATTACCAGTAGCAGACCTTGGTGGTAATTAAGTATTGAATAACAGTTGGCAGATTGTCCTTTTCTAGGAGAGGTCCTGGCTGATGAATCAGCCACAGCCTAAGAATCCAGGAGCAACACAGGGTCCAGCAGCACCTGATCCCTCTGGAGGCCATGCCCCAGCTTTGTATTTAATCATAGCCTGCTAAGAGGTTAATAACCTGTAGTTCAATGATTGCAGCAGAGCAACCGTTTTCTCCATGATGAGCATGAAAACAGAGCACTACTTTTGGGTTTCTTGGGTTTTTCCAGGCTATTAACCTTTATGGATTTCATAGGAGTCAACTCCGAGGAGCTGAGGTCCCTTCAGCCCCCAAAGTATTTGAGGGAGCCAGCCGTGTCATGTGATCAATTATGCAGGGTGGGAATTATGTGCCCCCCCCAATATTTTATTCAAGTTGGTACTCCTGATGGGATTATTTACAAGGCTGGTATGACCTCATGCAGAACCAGGGAAGCATGAACTCCCAAATCAGGCTCCCTACTATTAACATCTCTGTCTTGTCGTCCAGTTTATGAATTCTCATTCAGTCCCAGACTTCTACTAAACATCTGTTCAGAACTTCCATCACTTCATCTGGCTTTGTTGAAAGGAGAAAAAGAGCTGCTACCATGAGCACTTCACCCCAAATCACCAGATGATGTTCCATTGTGGTTTTTCATAGATCTGAAAAAGCCTGGTAGACTAGACTAAACCCGTTGTTTGCCCACAATGTTTAATTATTGCCAATAACATTCCATAAGAGTAAAAAATGCCATGAGTTTCAAAGTTTTGTTTTCAAGTTAATCTGTGTTCTATATAGCACCCTGGTTCTCACACTGTGGGGTGAGATACAAGATCATGGAAGGGTTTGAAACTTAGCAAATATTAGATTAATTGAATTTCTCCTCCTCAGAGGACTCATCATTGATCTTATAGTGCAAGTGGCTGCCCATCCACTGCTTTGTTCTAAAGCTGTTTCCTCTGCATAGTTTTTGGAAGTTTGGAGATGTCTTGTCTTATCTTACTTCTATTTTTTAAAAGAAGTAAGTAACAAAGAACACTTGGTATGCATTGAGAAAAATAACACCAAAAGCTTGCTTATAAAGTCTCTCCCCCCCCCCCGCTGTATCAGTAATAATGTTGAAGAATCCCCCACCCCACAATCCAAGGATATCATTTTGGTTCTGTTCCTATTCGAAAGCCTGGGCAGAATTAGTATCCCTTCACTGATCGGTTTGTGCATCTTCATGCACAAGATACATACAGTGGTACCTCGGGTTACATACGCTTCAGGTTACAGACTCCGCTAACCCAGACATATTACTTCGGGTTAAGAACTTTGCTTCAGGATGAGAACAGAAATCGCAAGGCGGAGGTGCAGCGGCAGCGGGAGGCCCCATTAGCTAAAGTGGTGCTTCAGGTTAAGGGCAGTTTCAGGTTAAGAACGGACCTCCAGAACAAATTAAGTACTTAACCTGAGGTACTACTGTGCATGCTCCCCTGCGGAACAACTGGTCAGGGGAGGGTGGAAAGAGGCAGCTACAGAATACAAGTGGAGCAGAGCTTAAGAAAAGACAGTGTGCTGTGTAGGGAGCGGGTGTGGGAACTGGCAAGAGAGGAAAAGGTCTTGTTACATCATAGCAGGAATGCTGGAAAAATTCCAAGACCAGCTTTGCACACAGTCCTACCCATACTTACTGGAAAGTGTGGAAAAACTATTGTAATCAATTGGATTTGCTTCCATGTAACCCTTTTAAAGATCCGTGTGTTATTACCGCATTCCTATACTCACTCACCTGGAGGGTAAACTCTATTTTATTTACATATCTTTACTTGTAAAATTATATGCAGGCCACCTTTTGGTGTACGCAGCTTACACAGCATAACTGCTGCAAACTCAGTGGGGTTTACTAATGAGCAGACATGCATAGACACGCACTTTGGGGACAGAGGAAAGAGGGGGTCGTCCCGAAACCATGAAAAAAGATGCTTTTGACTAAAAGGCAGGCATATCAAGTGTGGCACAAGCCGCCTGATGACAAACCACTTTCAACAGTCTGCTCCTGTACAGATCTACTCCGTACTGAGAGCAAGTCCCCGTGTGCCCAGAGGACCTTGCTCTCAGGTGAGGGCATTTGAAGGCTGCCCTGCCGCGCGCTCCCCCCGGGACCCCTCGCGGAGTGGATCGGGATGGGCTCAGGATGCCTGCAGGCAAAGCTCTTCTTCTTCTCCAGCCCCCCCCCCCAATAGCAACGCACGGTCTCCCCGCCTCCCCCCGCCCGCCCGCCGACCTGCTCTGCTGCGGGAATCGCGCGGCTCCGTGCCGTCGGCGGCTCCGCTCTCCGCCTTGCGGCTCGGCTTGTAGCCGTAGACCCCCCTCTCGGAGCGGTACCAGCGCCGCCGCAGCAGTAGCAGAGGCGCCGGCGCCCGCCGAGACCCCATTCGCGCTCCCAGCGCCACCAGCGGCGCACGAGCCGCCGCCGCCGCCGCCACCGCCATCGCCGCCAGGCCCGCTTGCTCGGTCCGCAGCCCAGACAAGCAAGGGGGCGGCCCCGGCCCACGCCCCCGGCCCCGGTTGGTGGAGCTGCGGCGGGAGGAGCAGGCGGGACCGCCCCGGCGCCCGCCTTGGGAAGAGCCGCCTTCCCCTTTTAGCTGCGGATCGCTGCCAGGACTCTCCTTTGACAGGCCCGTGTCCTGACAAGAGATGGCAGCCCTCGAGAGAGAGAGAGGCGCCTTGGAGAGAGGGGCGGCGGCGAAGGGGGCGTCTTCGGTGCTTCTCAAAGGCTGTGCCCCTCTGGTGTGGCTGGAGAGGATGGCGAGTGTGGAGGGATGCTTCAAGGACTATTGAAGAAATGTTTAAATCTTTCAGGATAGTATAGTATAATATAGTATCTATATAAATATATTCATTTGCAGAATATGGATAGATCTCTCTTCAAAATGAGAGCAAGAGCAATGGCTATTCTATGAAAGATCAGAAAGGAGAAAGGCTTCTTTGGGTTGATGAGGAGATGAGTTTGTCTCAAATTAGACCTAATATAAATGAGATTACCTGCAAAAGCACACACACACCTCGTTGAGTTTGTATACATACTTAAGGTACACATGTAAGAGGTTCATCTATATATTTTGGGAATTATTCATGTTCTTATGTAGCTGCATTTGCTCATGCAAATATTACTTCTGAAAATGTGGCTCAAAGAAAATATGTGGTTTATATACACATACAGAAACAGGAAGCCATCTCTGGGCAGGGTTGAAACTAGGCTTTATTTCACTGGGTCAAAGACCCAGTTTGGCACCCCTCCATGCACATTTGTGTACACACATGCATAGACTGAGACCCTCAATGGCACCCCTCTGGAGGCTTCACCCAAGGAAAAAACCTGGCTAGCGCCCCCTCCCCCGGAGGGGAAGCAGTCTCTGGGCATCCATTGCTGTGGATGTAGTGTGCGGTGTACAAAACAGCTCTTCCCCACCACCACCTTTGTACTTTGGGGTCACATATAATCTTTCTGCCTAACCCCATTATATTTGGAATACACGGAAACTCAGGCTTGCTACAAGTAGTCATCATCTTTGCTGCTTGTTTTTGTTATTAAGCAGTGAGCATAAAACACTTGATCTCAGGGTTGTGGGTTTGAGCCCCATGTTGGGCAAAAGATTCCTGCATTGCAGTGGGTTGGACTAGATGACCATTGGGGTCCCTTCCACCTCTACAATTCAATGATTCTATTATATACAACCTGAGTCTGCAGGGGAGGAGTTCATGGCATCAACACCCCAGAAGGTCTTGCTTCCAGCTTTGGCTTCCAGCAGAAGTCAAGCATGGCTCTCACTCCCTGGCTCTAGTCCAGCTCTCTCTCACCCCACTCTGGCCATTGCACTTCTCACTACCAGCCAGGTGAGTAGTGGCATGTGGTCAGGGAGCTAGAGGCTAGTCCCCTAAATGTTCTCGGTAAATTATAGTATTAAAGCGTGGTGCCTCCTTCCCAAACCTGGGAAGCTTCTGCCGGGCTTAGGGAGCGAGGTGCGTGTGGTGTCCTCATCCCATCGCCCTCGCAAGCTGGTGCCTCTGGCCCGAACTGTTTCCCTTCAAAAAATTTCACTGCACAGCACTGCAGGTGAGGGATGCAGGGGTGGGACCACCCATTGGTCCTTCCTTTGCCATACGAAGACATTTTGCTGCCTGAGGAGAAGAACAAGAGGAGGCTCCCCCTCCTCCCCACATGCAGAAGTCAACTGGACGGGGAATGTGAGCGGACACCGTCCCACCATATCTGGGGAGAGCAGGTTTGGTTAAGGGATATAGCTAAACTAGCTATACATTTTTGCAGTGTGCATTACTTACTACTTGCGTCTCAAGAAAGAGAAGCAAATTTCGCTATGTTTAGGAGGAGAGCGCGTGCACGCTTACGCCCCAGGCGCGCTCCCTGAGGTGCGGCACCTCGGACTCGGGGAACCGTCGGCTCTGGGCCCGAGTTCCCCAGGGAGCAAAAGAGCGCCTGCACCGCCTCGCTTTCAAAAGCGAGGGCGGAGGGCGGGAGAGGCTTCTTAGCTCCACCCCTCCTCCTCCCCCGCCCTCCGGAGAGGCCCCGCCCCTCGGGCACTTCCGCCTTCCCCTGGTAACCAAAGCACGGGGCTGCCCCGCTCTCCCCTCTCCGTCCCAAGGACCCCGCCAGCCAGAGCTGTCCTGGGCGATGCCTGGCAAGCGTCCGCCCCTGTTCTCAGCAGCCCGTCCCGGGAAGGGACCGCGTCCGCCGGTAGGTGAACCCTCAGACCAGTCTTTCCCATCACCCTTCGCCCTGGACCGAAAGGCGGGTGGCGGCGGGGTTGCTTCCGAGCAGGTGACGCCGAGGGCAGCCTGGGGGGGCGGGGTCCTCGTTTGCGTGGGGGGGGGGAGAAGAAGAAGAGGCTGGCGGAGCTGGAGCTGCAGAAGCTGGAACCGATGTTTACAGCGGGCCGAGGTAACCGCCCCTTCACCGTCCTCCGTCGGGGGAGACGGAGGGGGGCGGGGGGCTGCTCGGGGGGGGCGTCGAGATGGGGAGCCCCGGGCGGGACGGGCCTGGTCGGGGCGCCGCGGGACAGGGAGCCCGAGGACGGAGCCCTCCGCTGGGGCTGCCGGGGGAGGCCTCTGCCGCGCGAGGGGGGCGGCCGGGAAGGCGGCGCTTCTGGCTTCCTGCGGCGGCATCTTCACCTGCGCGGGGGGGGGGGTTTCCCGCTGCCTGAAAGTGACAGGTGTGGGGAAGCCGACCAGGAGGGCGGGGGTGTGTGTGGAATGGCGCCCCCTCTCTTGAGTCGGTCGTGGAAGAGGTCTCCTTTTAAATTAATAGTAATAATAATAATAGTAAAAATGTGTTAAAGAAGGTATTATCTGAATAAAAACGAAAGCGGAGAGAAAAGGAGACGCGGAGGCCTCTCTCCCAGAAAGTGGCGGAGCCTCCCCGCTCTCCCCGGGGAGCTCCGTGGAAGAAGAGGTCTTTGAGGGAGCAAAGCCGCCGCGCGGGGACGGGCAGGACGAACGTTATTGCCTTGTTTACTTGAAAGGAAAGGCCGGCCTTTCCATACTCGGGGAGGTTGCCCATGTCTGCAGACAGCCCGGCTGCTTCAGTCCTTGGCCGCTTCCTTTGCCAGTAGCCCTGCCATTGTGGAAGGTGAGCGGACCAAGATGCTCCCAGTGGTTGTGATGCTTCCCAGGGTGTGAAGTGGTGAGTGACAAAAGCTCATCTGGTGGGGCAGAAGTTTTGCACTTTGCCAAAGTTCAGTCTTCTCTTCTTCAGCTCTTGCTTGTTCTTAGGCTTGTCTAAAGCTGTCAAAAGCTTGGTCTAATTATTATTATTACAGAATTGTTCTCAATACTCTATTCCTTGCTGTTCTGAAATAAATCTGTAGGGCAAGCTGCTCTCTTCCTTGCTGTTTTGCCCATGGGCTCTCCCTTCACTTTCTCTTTCCAATAGCTTTAGATAGTTAACTCAAACATGTATAGTGCCATTCCTTCTTTCAAGTGTTTTCTGAAGCAATTCATTGTGATTTAGGATTAATAGTGTCCACAATTCACAGCAGTTTAGGATTGTTCTAAATTTAGGATTTTACTTACAAGCCTGGTTCAACTATGCTTTGTTTTGCTTTTAGTTCTTCACAAAGCAGCAGTTCTGGGCATGCGCACGGACTGAACACAGTAGGACTTAAAGCATTGTTTAAATATACATAATATCAGGCTGCTGTAGTTTGCTGATCTGTGATATTATCTCTGCCAGTTGTTTCAATAAGTTAAGTGACAAAGATAATGCAATTAGAATGTGTATGTAGACTTTCTTGTCTACTGTGACATGTGGTAAGCAACAGTGCAGTGTATGAGAGAGGTTGGGAAAGTTAGTGACACATTGCTTATTCTCAAAAAGCATGTACTTGTATTTAGAATGCTTTAACATGGCTTACTAGGAACCATGCAGGATTGCTGCTGTTGGGTCTCATGTACTTTATACCCTAGTGACAGTGTCTAAGTATGTACACAGCATTATGACCTGAAAGAAGAATTTTCATAGGATCATAGGGCTGTAAGCGATCTAAAGAGCATTCAGTCTGAACACTTGCCCCTAAGACAGGAAGCTCCTTATACATATCTTGGGTTAGTCATTTGGTGTGTGTTTTTTTAAACCACTTTGGTCAAATATTGAAAACAATTTGTTAGAATTCTTACAGAATTCTACAGACCTGTGCTTACTACAGCCCCTACCATTACCTGGGTGTTATAAGGGAATTAACAAATGGAATTAACAAATGTAATCAGTTGATAAAGTTATTGATGTTATGCAAATATGTTCATACTTCTACCCCTAAACCACAGTAAATAGTACAACTGTTGAACTTTTTGAAAATGGCATCAAACAAACAAAACATATGTAGTCCAAGATAAAATTCAGTTTTAAACTGAGTAGAGAGCAGGATGTCCCTACTCTTGAATGAAATTGCATATTTGGGAGTAATGGCCCATGTTTTCTACAGCTCCACATACCTTTTGTCTATCTTGTATCAGAGGATGTGAAAATGCTATTTAAAAGGTAGGACCTCTACTTACACTTGTTTGTGGCTTGACAGGATATTTGACATAGTCAAATAAAAGGCAATCAATAGACCAGCACCAGCCTGTCCGCGTCACATGCAGATTAATCCATCTCATCCATATTACTGTGCCACAAGCAGAGAGCAGAGGCACCCATATATATATATCTATATATATCTATATCTATCTATCTATCTATATCTACATCTATATATCTATCTGTATATATCTATATATCTGTTTGCCCCAGGACATATTTTTATAGAAAGGAAGGATAGAAATGCTGAAAATATATGTATATCTGAGGAGTCTATGAGGTTTGAGGAATTACTAGGTAAAATAATGTTCATGGCTCAGTTTAGTGAGCCAGGCTATATATTTTAGGGAAAGACATGCATTCATTCGGTCCCCTCCTTACAGTAGGGGCAAGATATTGAGGAAGAAATTTTGAAAGCTCATACAAAAAAGTCTTTTGTATTTAAAAATAATCCAGGAATCTAAAAAGTGTATAAAAATACTTTAGATGTAGTGTTTCTGAGCTGTTTGAATAATGAAACTTGACAGTACATACGTTGATGAAAGGTTTCAGAGGATGTTCTCAGTTGATCTTTAGCTAGCACAACTTAACTTCCTTGCAGGGCTCAACTTCTGCTATGTTTTCATTGTCTTCCTTCCTTGCATGCAAGCAAATAGTACACATTTCTTTGCCAGACTATGGAAAATCACTCTATGTGTGTGTGTTGTGGGAAAGAGCTTCTTGGTAATTAGCCATTAGATTCTTTTTATCCATCAGACTTCCTTTAGTTTGATTGTGTTCCAATATTACTCAAGTACAGGCAGCACCTGAGATTTGTCCAAAAAAGAAATGACTATGCATTGCTTTGGGGACAATTGCTGTTGTGCTGTAACTTAAAATACTGCACTGTAATTAATAGTGGTTTCAGAATTTTTTAAAGTGGTGTTGGTTTTAACCTGGTAATTCTTTAATCGAAAAACAAGCTTTTAACAGAAGTTATGTTACAGTTCATTTCTTTTCTAGATTTTCATATGCTTTCATTTGTGAACTTCAGTTTATCACCTAGTGATCAGCTTTGCTGGGAACTTGAAGTTTTGTTTGTAAAACTTTCTATCAGGATCTCCATAAAGGGGTGGCTTATTTATATAAAATGGACCAGATCAGGCCTGCACAACTATTTCAAGTGACGTGTGCACATAAATATGCATGCTTCCTACTGATAGTCACCTGAAAAGAATTAATTACAAATTTGATTTTAGATCAGATCAATATTGTAACCATTCCAGTTCTTAAATTTTGGGCTATTACTGTCTTCATTCATCATATTGCTAATTTTATGAAGCAATCCATTTTAAAAGTTGAAAACTTTCGATAGAGAAATAAAATAGTGGAACTCTTTTGGACAACATTTCAACCCATATCACTGCCTAGGACTAGCAATATAAAGCTTGGTTGTCAAAGAGTAAAGTACGAATGGGGAGAAAGCATTTATTAGAGGTCATGGAATGGGAATCGTTTTTGAAAAGATGGATGTGAATGCAGCTTTAAGTATAGTGCTTTTGTTTTGCACTAATAATACATCAATTTCAGTGAATATACAAGGGCTATTGTTTCATGCTTTGTATCTGGGTTGGGAAGAAATGGGTCTTGAGCTGAGTAAAAAGCCCTGGGTGCAAAAGAAACAGCCAAGGTGAGCAGAAGTTCTACTCCAAAGTTATTTGTATACAGTGGTGCCTCGCAAGACGAAATTAATCCGTTCCGCGAGTCTCTTCGTCTAGCGGTTTTTTCGTCTTGCAAAGCAACCCTATTAGCAGCTTAGCGCTATTAGCGGTTTAGCGGCTATTAAAGGCTTAGCGGCTTAGCGGCTAAAAGGCTATTAGCGGCTTAGCGGCTTAGAAAAAAGGGGGGGAAAGCGAAAAAAATCGCAAGACTCGCAAGACTTTTTTGTTTTGCGAAGCAAGCCCATAGGGAAATTCGTCTTGCGAAGCGCATCGAAAAACGGAAAACCCTTTCGTCTAGCAGGTTTTTCGTCTTGCGAGGCATTCGTCTTGCGGGGCACCACTGTACACTGTCGTAACAGCGGTAGAGTACTACTACTGCTTCTTCGGTGTTAAATTACAACTGATCAAGTGTTATAAATGCTGTAGGATTGTTAATGTTGCATTGGCAAGAATATGTTCAGTAGTAGATCCATCAATGAAGTAGTGTCAATGTTTAAAAACAACTGTTGTGGTAATTCTCACTGTTTTTCAGGTATGCTTAAGAGTAGACAGAGATTTGGAATGTAACTAATGGAGTGCAAAACTGACTGTAATACTTGCTTTTATCAAATAATTGTTAGGTGGTAAATATCCTGTTTGTTGTCTAGCAGTAACAACTAACTGATGTAGTCTTGGGTTTTTTCTTCTAGATTTTAATGGTGAACATTAAATTTAAAACATTTAATGTGTGTGCTGTAAGAATTCAGAGCTTAGTTTTGAAGGCACTTCAGTGTGCATTTTATTGGAATGTTGTGGTTTTAACCTATCTAATATTGAATTGCTCATTTTAAAGAATCTTAAAGAGCTAGTATTTGTAGCACTGGAATAAGAAAGTTCTATCAAAAATAGTTAGCAACTGTATCCCTCCTCCCAACAAAGGAGATGGTGCACCAGTCTAATGCGTTTACTTAAACTTCCTTAATTGTTTGCAGGTTTTGTTCTTTAATTGTCTCAGTGTGCAGCTTTAATTAGAGGATTCAATACACTACTGTAAAGGTGTACATAATACTCATACGTGCATGATGATTTGTTTAACTCGGAGGAGCTTACCAGGTCCATACAATGAGTTTGTAAGTTCCATAGCTTATTTGCTTGAAAGGAATTATGTGTATTTTCACGAACATGCTAGAAAATAAGTTATAGTTGTGTGTAAAGTTGTCAGTCCTTGACTGTTGGTCTACCACGAGTATATTACCCAAAATTTCCTTCTCTAATGATAAACCACTTATAAGCAGATATTTTGAAAATGTTTTCAAGCAAACAACTTTTTTGCTTATTTAATTGAAGTAACTTGGTTATAGTCAGGCATATAGAAAAAGCAATTGCTGGTATGCTATTGTAGTTCCCTTAGTTAAGCTGCTGTGACTTTAGTCCTCTGATTGTGACACTTGGTTAAAAAAAGGCAATCCAGTGTATATTATTGAGAGTGGAATTAACTGTTATGGGAGACAGGGCTTCCAGTGGACACAGTATCCTCATTTCAAGGTCTGCCCTTCCCCAGCAAGTAGAAAACTTCCTCTAGGTCATGGTTCTGTATTTTTCTTCACCACCAGAAGCCGGTGATGACAAACGGGAAGTCAAAACTCAAGATGCCACCATATGTAAGGGAAGGAATATAATTTATTACAGGAGTTTGTTTCTGGTGGTAGCTCGATGTTCTGCCCTCAGCTGTTCATGGTTTTGCTATTGTGTCAGAGGCCCCAAAACCCTGAGCTGAGTTGAGATGACTACTTTAGACAGCAGATTGGGGGTGTAAACTGTAGAGTGAGAAAGGGATGGACTCAATTGTGCAGCTTCTCATTTCAGTGGGATTTGTGTAGGAGAACTTTCTGTAGATTGTACCTCATGTTAATTAGTGAGAAGAAGGATACCGTTTGGATTTACTTTATCGGTTATCAAAATGTCTTGGGCTGCTTCTGTTATGTACTGTGGGCTGAAGGAAGGCATTTGTGCATTTAGCAGTACTTATCACCTTCCACTAATAATCAAGCCAGTTTGACAGCACATAGCTCTGGAAAAAATATCCATTTGTAGTTTAGAAACAACATTTTGAGGCCTTGATTATTAACTTGTGAATGCAATGACAATGTGTTGTTAATAATCTTTCAGATCTGCCTGGGTAACATAATGCCAGCAGAGCGTAAGAAGTCGGCAAGCATGGAAGAAAAAGAAACATCATTAAGTAATAAAGATAAGGAGTTCAACGAGAGGCGGTCAGGTAGCAGCCGGGACAAACCCAAAGAGGATGTCAGGCTTGGCATGAAGAGAGAAACGTTAAAACCACCTGAAGATAAAAAGAAAAAACTGGAGGAGGAGAAACGGAAAAAAGAAGACAAGGAGCGGAAGAAAAAAGATGATGAGAAGATAAAATCTGAAGAAGAGCAGAAGAAGAAAGAGGAGGAAGAAAAGCAAAAACTTGAAGAAGAGGAGAGAAAAAAGCAGGAAGAAGAAGTAAAGCGACAACAAGAAGAGGCAGCTGCCCAGCTGAAGTAAGACTTTATTATTTATTTGCTGCTAGTACCTAGGTTTTCACACTCTATAAGAGAGGGTGCTGGGACACAGATGGGGAAGCACAGGGAGCTAAGGATTGGGTGGGTTGAATAGCTCCATGGAAATTGTAAGGGAAGTTGCTCCATTTGAAAGAAGAGCTGCGTTTTCCCCTTGTGCAGAAGAAATGCTTGCTACTAGGTTGTTGGGCTATGGAAGTACAATACAAATAGACAAGCCCCACTTCAAAAAGCTTAAGAAATACTGATGCCCAGGAACCCAATATACCGTAACTAGTTCTGTGCACCCAAGGTAGCTTTCTCCTTGTGTTCCTCAAACTACAGATCTATTTTTCCACATCATAAGCCACTCTTGGAGCTTAGTAGACTTTGCTAAATGGTTTGTGATATGGGGGGTTTGCTGGTCAAATACAGTAGGAAATCCCACTGGAAATGCCCAACAGAGCTCTTTAGATGCTGGTCTGAGTATTTGTGGAAAATTTCTGACTGACAAGCTACTTCATTTTCAAAGGGTTGCTGGTTAGAAGCATCACTTCATTACAGTGGTACCTCTGGTTGTGAACGAGATCCGTTCCGGAGGCCCGTTTGCAACATGAGTAGAATGCAATCCGCGTATGCTCATGCACGGGTCGCGATTCACCGCTTCTGCACATGCGCATGACGTCATTTTGCATGTCTGTGAATGCACAAGCAGTGAAACCCGGAAATAACCCTTTCCGGTACTTGCGGGTTGCCGCGGGACGCAACCTGAAAACGCTCAACCTGAAGCAAACGTAATATGAGGTATGACTGTATAACAATAATGTCATTTTAAAATATTGCAGTACAGATAAAGGAAAAAGAAAGCAAGATTACTTGTTTAATGAATTTTGCAATTCATTAGGAAATTCATTTATCTGCACTTTACTGCTTTAAAATTAGTGCTATCACCAGACTGAATAAATTTGTTGATTACTCAGACTAGTTCCGATTTAAATTTGCATATATTGAAAGCATTTTAAATAACAAAAAACATACTCTTAGACGGTGAATGTATATGTTGCAGCTGGCACCATCTTAGTGAAATGGTCCCTTGCGAGAGTGAAAGAGGAAAGAGGAAATTTTCTAAGATGGCGCCTGCCATCTGTAATCTTCATACATTCATGGGTGAAATCCAGTGCTGCATCCACTTGACCAACAGGCGTTCACCCTCCTCGTCTCTCCCCTGCAACTGTCCAAGTCCACCCAAACCTCCTCTAGAGGGTCCCCTAAACTTCCAGAGCAGATTTTGGGAGGGCAGGTAGGAGAGAAAGGTGAAGTCTGTTCTGTTGCCACAAAGACGTCATTTATTGCAACCTTTAAATAAAAAATATGTTGCTCTGTTAATTAGGCTTGCCTTTTTAGTCTATTACAATGTTTAAAATTTCAGCCCTACTTAAACACAATATTCTTCATATTCTGTTTAGAGAGAAAGAAGAAGCCCATCAGCTCCACCAAGAAGCTTGGGAGCGCCACCAAGCAAGAAAGGAACTCCGAAGTAAAAACCAGAATGCATCAGACAGCCGCCCTGAAGAGAACTTCTTTAGCAGGCTGGATTCAAGTCTCAAGAAGAACACTGCCTTTGTTAAGAAGTTAAAAACTATCACAGAACAGCAGAGAGACTCCTTGTCCCATGACTTTAATGGCCTCAATTTAAGCAAGTACATTGCAGAGGCTGTTGCTTCTATAGTGGAAGCAAAACTGAAAATATCAGATGTGAATTGCGCTGTGCACTTGTGTTCTCTGTTCCATCAACGTTATGCTGATTTTGCTCCATCACTACTTCAAGTCTGGAAGAAACATTTTGAAGCCAGGAAAGAAGAGAAGACATCCAACATTACTAAACTAAGAACAGACTTGCGGTTTATTGCAGAATTGACAATAGTTGGGATTTTCACTGATAAGGAAGGCTTGTCTTTAATCTATGAACAAGTAAAAAACATTATTAATGCTGATCGCGAATCCCACACCCATGTCTCAGTGGTTATTAGCTTTTGTCGGCACTGTGGAGATGACATTGCTGGATTGGTACCAAGGAAGGTTAAAAGTGCATCAGATAAATTTAACTTGAGTTTTCCTCCCAGTGAAATCATTAGCCCAGAAAAACAACAGCCTTTCCAAAATCTGCTGAAAGAGTACTTTACATCTTTGACCAAACATCTGAAAAGGGACCACAGGGAACTGCAAAATATTGAAAGACAAAACAGGTAATATTTTAAATGCTCTTAAATGAATTGACAGGTTTCTAATACTGGCTAGAGTTTCAAAATGGATTGGGTAAAACTTTTTTCCGCCCCAAGAAACCACAAAGTATGATTTCATGCTTTGAGGTTTGAATTGGGGGGAAATGGACTAACATTACAATCCTACATGTCAGAAGCAAGTCCCAGCGAGTTCAGCGGGGCTTACTCCCAGGTAAATTCTCAGTAGACCCACTGAAATTAATGTGCCCAAAGTCATGTCTGTTAATTTAAATGGGTCTACTCTGACTATGATGTTGGATGCAACCCTTAGTCTTATAACCATCTTGTAGGTCTAACAGTGTCTTCTGCCTCTGATTTGGAATTATTCACATTGTAATTTAGGAATGTGCTAGCTTTTTTTTTTTTTAAAGCCCTAGCAGCTTCTGTTTTTCCATGTGGATGCACTCTAGTTTACAATATTAAGTATTTTACAGCCTCCTAAATTTCATTGTGCCTGCTTTCCCTTAGTAAGCTTTTGGTATATCGTAAAATATGGTAAATGGGGGTGGAGGAACAGCAGCTGCATTCCAAACTGGACCTACATCCAAAACATGAGTTTGAGGGAGATGTACATTAAAACCAAACAATCAATACAATCATTAATCTTTTTAAAAAAGTAAAATCAAAACATAGAGGTGGTAATTTGTCATGGATGCATTACTTGAGATTTCTGCATTGCAGGAAGTTGGACTAGATGACCCTCAGGGTCCCTTCCAGTACTACTATTCTATGTCTCTATAACAAAATCAAAGACACCAATAACAATTCAAAAACTTAAAACATAAATATTTAAAAACTGTGAGTGATACTCAGTATTATTCATACTCAAGAGTAGATATGTTAAAATCATTGGACTTGAAACTTTTGGTGGGTGGGTCTACACTAATGTACCATATATACTCGAGTATAAGCTGACTTTCAGCACATTTTTTATGCTGAAAAACCCCTCCTTGGCTTATACTCGAGTGAGGCGGGCAGCAGCAGAGGGACGAGCGGCCTAAAAGGAGCCCTTTCTCACCGCTGGTCCTGCCGCTGCCACCCGCCTCTCAAGGGCAGGCACAGGAGGTGCGGTTGGGAGAGGCACGCTGTGCCTCTCCCAACTGCGGCTCCTATGCCTGCTCTTGCGAGCGGCAGAGGCGGCAGGGACGAGGGGCCCGAAAGCAGCCCTTTTGGGTTGCTTTTTTTCCTCCACCGCTGCCGCCACCACCAGGTTTGTGGTGTGGTGAACCGGCTTATACTTGAGTCAATAAGTTATCCCAGTTTTTTGTGCTAAAATTAGGTGCCACGGCTTATATTTGGGTCGGCTTATACTCGAGTACATATGGTAGTTAGATATCGCTCTGCATTCCTTAAGAATTGTTTGCAGATTTGTATAGAAGAGAAGTGGATGGGGTAAGTGTGGGATAGGGCCACATAAATTTAGGGAAATGGGGCAATGAGAAAGGTAAGGGAAGTTATGTGTAACCAGAGAAGCAAGATACAATATCACATAAGTATGTGTATGGATGTTTAATTCTGCAGGAATGGTAAATCCATGTGTGTGATGGCTCATTCCAACACCTGTGTTTCCTGACTTGCCCCACCTCGACTATTTCATTATCTTCCTCTTGTGCATTACATTTAATGAATAAAATTGAGTTTTAAAATTGCTGACTTTGAAGCTATTACTTTAAGAGTACAGGTTCCCCATTGGCATGAAAGAATGTCTTCCTCACCCCTCAGATGAGTTTGTAATTTTGTGGATAGCATTGGGTGTATTGCCAGCATAGGTCTGCAAATAGTCTCGATCAAAATATTGAGGTGCACCTGCAAACTCTGGACTCATTGCACTGAAAGAACTTGCTCTTCTGCAACATTTCTCTGAATGAGCAGTTCTGTGTTGGCATCTGTCTGTCTCGAGAGACAATGAAGCAGTGCGCCTTTGGGGGTGAAGTCAAGCTGTTGAAAAGTTGTGGCGACTGCTGTGGCTGTGGAGACTGTTCTGGTAGAGACATGCTCATTTGCAGCTGGGGCAGATGGAAGCATCCGGTTGTGCTGCTGCAGGTGCACCATAGCATTTCTTCTCTCTGTGCTCCTGCCATAGGTCATTTCTACTTTGGTCACTATGGATACACGACTTGTCTGCCTGTCTCCAGGCACTGTGGTTGTCTGCAAGGGATTCCCACATGGCAGGGTTGGTGTTGCCAACCTTCATGTCATGTTTGCAGACATCTTTGTAACACAGAGTTGGTCTGCCAACGGGCCTGGTGCTTAAAACTAGCTCCCTGCAGAGCACGTCCTTGGGCATCCTGCCACCTTCTAGTCTGTGGACATGACCAAGCCAGTGTAGATGTCCCTGAGACAGGAGTGTGAACACACTGAGAATGTTGCTTAGGAGAGCACATCTTTCTTTGGAACTTTGTCCTGCCATGTGATACCCCAAATTCTCCTGATGCAGGTGTGGAAGGTGTTATGGTGTTGCTCCTGACAGTTATAAGTTGCCCCGACTCCCTTCTAGAAATCAATGTGTTCAGCACACAAGCCTGGTAGACCTTCATCTTAGTACTGGGCGTTAGCATCACATTCTTCCATACCGTTTTGGAGAGGCGACCCATTGTCATAGCTGTCTTGCCAATACGCTTGTTCAGCTCAGCATCGATTGAGAGATTGTTGGTGGCTGACCATAAGGCCTTTGTCAGGTCTATGAAGGTGCTTCTGCTGTTGGCATTTCTGCTGCAGGTGGTTCAGTGAGAAAATGACATCTACTGTTGAGCTCTGAGCTCTAAAGTCACATTGCAAGTGACTATAATATGTTGTGAACTACATGGGCGAAGGCTTTCCGCACATTACTCAGCAGAGAGATCCCACAGTAGCTGCTGCTTTTGTTCTTGCTGGAGTCACAAATGTCTTGTGGCATGGATCCTTGCTCCCATCACTGCAAGAGGAGGCTGTGGAGGTTTGTAATGAGGAAAGTATTTAAGCTGGCTTTCAGCACTTCTGTTGGGGTTCTATCCTGTCCTGGGGCTTTACCACATGCCTGAGAGTTGATAGCATCCTACAACTCGTCAAGGGAGGGAGGAACATCCAGCTCTTCCAAGACAGGCAGAATCTGGATACTTTTAATTGCAGAGCCCATGTTTTCCTGCGAGTACTATTCTTGATGGTGTTCTGCCCATTGCTTCATTTGCTTGCTGTGATCTGTGATGATATCTTCTGACAAGGTTTTCAGCAGTGCAGTTTTCTTGATTGTTGGTCCAAAGGCTTTCTTCATGCCTTCGTACATTTTGTGAGTGTTCCAGTGTCAGCAGCGTGTTGGATGCTGTGGCACAGCTTTAGCCAGTAGTCATTGGCACATCATCTACCAATCTGCTGGGCATCACTTCTTGTCTTTCTCACTGTAGAAAGTGTCTTTTCACAAGGAGCATGCTTGTAGTTCAGGAGAGCCTCACACTTTGCAGCAATAACAGGTTCCATGTCCTTTATCCTGGCCTCAAACCAGTCAAGGGTCTGTTGCTCTCTTTTGCCAAGGAAGACCTAGCTGTGCTGTAAATTGCTCGCTGTTGTGGTTTCACCTTGCTTTGACACTATTTCTGGGGCAGTTCAGTAGAGCTTGTTCAACAGAATCAGAGAAGCATTCACGAAGTTCAGATATGACTGTTCTAGCAGTGTTGATTTGAGGGCCACACTTAATGCTTTGTAATATAGGCCTTCTTTGGCTGGAGGTGGATCTTGCTCACTACCAGGGACTGATCCATGTTGCAATTGGCTCTGTGGTAGCTCTGTGTGACATGGAGTGTGTGACACCGATCGCTTGGTGACAATCAAGTTCAGTTGGTGCCAGTGGCCTGACCTTGGATGTCTCCAGGACACGAAGTATTTTGCCTTGGTAGTGAAGAACATGTTTGTGATGCAGAGGTTGTGATATGAGCACAGCTCAAGCAGCCTTTGTCCGTTCTCGTTCATGCTGCCAATACCAAAGTAGCCTATGCAGTTGTCACATGTGTGATATTGAAATATCCCAGCAGGAATAGGTGTTCACAATCTGGGACCCTCCTGACAGCCTGGTCTAGTTCCTCATAGAACTGGTCTTTGGTTTGTAAGGCTAAGGAGTAACTTCCTACACAAATCCGGAGTGGAGTCCCTAAGGCAGTTGGATGGTGTCCCGTATGCCTCCTTCCAACAACTCCTGCATCCAAGCTGGTGCCAGGCATATTGCTCTGCTTTTCTCTGGACCACATCAGCAACAACCCAGGACCTCCATACACACTGCCCTGGCTTGCGCCCCAGAGAGGTCACTTTGGTGCTGCAAACACAGAAAAACAAAACGAGGTGGCAGTCACGAGTTATAAGATCAACCTGATTGGTGTATGGTACAAGTGCTACTGGTTGCTCCCATTGGTGGGAGGGGAGAGATCATTATGTCAAGATTTCTGCATTTGTGAGAACTCATTTATGAGAAAGGCTTCAAGAGTAAACCTCAAGGAAAACTCAGTACCTGCTGCCTTGTGGGACATCTTCAGGAGAAGAAAAGGCAGTTCTGTAAAGCGGAGGTATTCGTTAGTGAACACTGTAAGCAAGTGTTTACAGAGCAGTTGCTTTCTGGAGCATAGTGCTTTGAGACGCCAACTGAGATACTGTGTTAACAGCTTTTTCATCCTAGCTGCATGCTACTGAATGTGTACAGGGTCACTTCCTAACTGCCAGTCTGAAGCAGAGGCAGAGCTTTGATGTCTAGCTACCAATATCCAGTGTTCACCCCTTGTGTTCATCCCTTGCTTTCCTTCCATTCTGGGTCTAAAAAGAATAGAATTGTGAATGTTTAGTCCTCTAATCACCTGCGCGAGTAACCCTACATTTGCATATTACTATTATTTATTATATTTATTAGTCAGTTTTCTTACCAAGTAATTCAAAGCAACTTACATAAAAATCAGTTAAAATCCTAAAGACACAATATATTGTATTTTTCTGTGTATAACACAACTCCATGTATATATTTTTTCTGGGTATAACATGACCCCTTTTGTAAGTTCACCGAGATGTTGAGAACTGGTGCTGTAACTCACCACGTATTGGCACTCACTGCGTACTCTTCCTAGGCCAGGAAGAGCAGGCAAGCAGTCTCCTCGCTGATGTTCCCTGCTACCGCCGTGGCTCCAGCTCTTGCTTGCTTACTGTATTTCCTTGTGTATAAGACAACCCCCAATTTATCACTAAAAAATTTCAGGGGAAAATGTCATCTTATACATGAGAAAATACAGTATGTAAAAAGAGTAAATACACAACTAAATAAAAAAGCATATCCGTAGGCCCTACCCACTAAAAGAGGCAATACCACTCTTAAAAGTTAAGGGCCAAAAGTCTGGGGGAAAAGAAAATTCTTTGCCTGGCACCTAAACCTGGTTACAGATGGAACCAGGTGCCTTAGGGAGAGCATTCCACAAGCAAGAGACCACTGCTGAAAAGGCCTGTTCTCATGTCCTCTCCCTCTGAACCTCCCATGGAGGGGAACACAAAGAAGGGTGATGACCACAGGATCCAGGTTGGTTCATGTGGGGAAAAGTGGTCCTTGAAGTAATGGGATCTTGAGCCACATAAGGCTTTATAGGTCAAAATCAGCTAGTGCAGTCCTGCCAGTATGGGTTTTATATATTCTGACTATCATACGCCAGTCAGCAGTCTGGCTGTCAAATTCTGGTAATGTGAGATGGGCCGCTTCAAGTGGCAAGTTTTGGGGGCACTGTTAAAGGATATCACATTGCCACCTGTTTAGTTTCTTCTCGTATTTTCCATCACTTTTGCGAATATGTGTTAGATTTGAATTTTCTTTTGTAAGCACTTTCTAATGACTTGCTATATGGTCAGATACGTTTGCTAATGTGCTCTTTGGCAATGACACCTGTAATAATTGCTTTGAGCTTAGAGCCCCTTTGGGTGCATTCAGGCTTTTGGAAATATTTAAATGAACCCTGAATTGTGGCACTCACTCACAAAATGCTTGTGTACTTTGCTCATTCTTGTCTGGCTGCTCATCTTTAAATTTAGAACCAATGGTGCTTTGAGTACATCTAAAAGAGGCCTGTTGAGATTGTTCATAGTACATTACAGTGGCACATTGGGATGCGAACAGCATCCGTTCTGCAGCCCCATTCGCATCCTGAACGGAATGTAAGATGCAACAGTGCGCATGCGCGGGTCGCGTTTCGCCACTTCCGTGCATGCACGTGACGTCATTTTGACTGCGCATGCGGGAGCGGCGAAACCCAGAAGTAATGTGCTCGGTTACTTCTGGGTTGCCACGGAGCGCAACCCGAAAATACTTATCCTGAAGCATATTTATTCCGAGGTATGACTATACTGTATTATTCTTTTTCGTATTGTGACTTCTCACTGTGCAAAAATGCTATTTTTTCCTTCTAGCACACTTAAAGAAAACATCACTGTCCAAAGTGGCTTTATTTAAAATTGAATAATCCCCTACATGTGCCTTGGTCTCCTTAATGAAAGGGAGGGATAGTAGTGTAATTGATTCTCAGCTGATTAACACTTACCAATCAGATGACTTATTCCCTTGTTCTGATTATCAGGAGATGATGTTATTCCTTGGTCCTGCTCCAATCCTCTTAATTAATCCAAGTACAGTGGTACCTCGGGTTAAGTACTTAATTCGTTCCGGAGGTCTGTTCTTAACCTGAAGCACCACTTTAACTAATGGGGCCTCCCGCTGCCGCCGTGCGATTTCTGTTCTCATCCTGAAGCAAAGTTCTTAACCTGAGGTACTATTTCTTGGTTAGCGGAGTCTGTAACCTGAGGTACCACTGTACAACACTTGCAATCTTAATCCTTTATTTTAACAGCCACTGGTGTGATGACTTTTGTTCGTATTTAGCTATTCCATATTCATTAATTTGCAAGCAGTTTATATCCTGTACCTTTCTGTGAAATATTTGTTTGCATTTGTCCTTCCCTTCATGTTGTAATCAATCAATCATATTCAGCATCCTCTCCACCCCCAAGGGCTGAATTCTCATTACGCCACAGCCTTATGCCATCTTGCCTTTTCAAACCAAAAGTGAACTGGCATCTGACCATGGCTCCAGGCAGACTTCCAATATTTTCTTCTTTCAACCTTCCTAATCTACTAACAAGCTGGTGTCTCACCAAAACCATAATAAATCAAAGTTAGAGCCCCCTTTAGAAGGTAATACCACCAATCCTCACAACATTTTCACACAGTCTATTCATTCAAATAATCCATAAAAAATTATGAAGTTCTTGTTAATTCCCTCTTCCATTCCATTAATAGTTCTAATTAGTGGTTTTTTTCTGGGGGAATGCGAGGGTGCGCATACCCCTAAACATTTTGTGAATCTAAGCTTGGCCTCATTGAGGGGCAGTATTTCAATATGAGTAGGAAAAGGAGAGTACCCCTAAACATTTTTTAAAAGAAAAAAGTACTGGTTGTAATCCATTGATAATTATATTCCATTAGTAATTCTTCTTCAGTGAAGATTTGCCGAATCATAAAACAACAAATATAATGTAGAGAGAGAACAAAGGCTCCCCTTCACTTACATTCCAATCCAGTTACGGCCAAAATCCTCTCCAGATCAAAACCGTGGCGGATTCATTTAGAAGGTTATCTTGTCTCCTTCATCCAGAACACACCTGTTTCTTTAGTCCAAATTCAAATCCATTTTAAGAGAACAGAAGGACCTCTGCTCATGGTGACCGTGTTGGAGAGTTTCCAATATGTGAAGTGCTATGCACTCAGCGTCCCTGCCCCCACATTCCGTTGGAACGAGAGGCAGATATTGGATGATCTGCAAGTGAGAGCTCACCCCCCGACCGGGGGGGGGGGGGCTTGCAAGGATAATTACTCTCAAATTATCCTTAATTGGTTGCATGGCCGGTGTCCACTATTGTGGGAGCCGCTGTTCACTCTGGCGGAAATTGAATTGAGTTTGATCCCTTCATCTCCGTTTGCATCCATGCACTCAGTCATCAAATTCATGCTGCCATCATTCAATATTAGCCGGGTGCCAGCCACATTTTGTGACTGGCAACCAACCTTTTGTGACTGGCTGGAGATGTCCAAGTGCCACCCTTCCCACCTAGCATCGGCAAGATAGGAAAACATTCATTCTTTGCTGCTGAGCTACTTTTCTAAAACACCTGATTTGCTTGGCAGCAAAATAAAATATTTTATTTATTTTTGCTGCTGCGCTGCTGGCTGAATCAGGTGTTTTGTGAAGTAGCGTGGCAGCGAAAGACATATCTAACCTACAGATCACCTGATTCTCCTGGCGGCTTTTTGTTTTGTTTTATTTTGCCAGGTTGCCTGATCTGGTAGCGTTGCAGCAAAATAATAATAGCAATAAACATAAAAAGGTGCCTAGACATTTTGTTTTGGTGCCCACAACCTAGGTTCCAGGAGCCACATGGCTCCTAGCTTTCATATCCCAGTTTCTAACACTGCTGATTTCCCTCCTAATTCACTAGCCTCTGTTTGAACAGCTTGCTTGCTTGCTTGTTTGTTTATTAAATTTGAATGCCACTTTTCATCCAAAGATCCCAGGATGGTTGCATAAAAATATCTTGCATAAAAATGCAAGATAGAAACACAAAATACATAATAAAAACAATAAGAACAAACCAAACTAATAACCTCCCCCCCCAAAAAACGACACATATAAAATAATATAGGATGTTAATCGGCTTAAGGCCTGGTTGAAGAGTAACCTTTTTGCCTGGTGCCTAAAGGTATATAATGGAGGCTCCAGATGCACCTCCTAGGGGAGAGTTTTACCCATTGTACCTTGCTGCCTCCTCCTGGAATTCCTTCCTAAAACCTCTCTGGTGTCACCACCCTTCAACATCTGCCTCTCTTGTGAAGCCCTTAGTTTAAACTTCATTATTCTGCATGAATATGTAGTTATATGTATGTAACTGGACTTGACACTCAATATGCCAGCAAGTTTGGAAAACTCAGCAGTGGCCAGAGGATTGGAGAAGATCAGTCTACATCCCAATCCCAAAGAAAGGCAGTGCCAAAGAATGCTCCAACTACCGCACAATTGCACTCATTTCACACGCTAGCAAGGTTATGCTTAAAATTCTACAAGGAAGGCTCAAGCAGTATGTGGACTGAGAACTCCCAGAAGTGCAAGCTGGATTTAGAAGAGGCAGAGGAACCAGAGACCAAATTGCAAACATGCACTGGATTATGGAGAAAGTTGGAGAGTTCCAGAAAGACATCTACTTCTGCTTCATTGACTATGCAAAAGCCTTTGACTGTGTTGACCACAGCAAATTATGGCAAGTTCTTAAAGAAATGGGAGTGCCTGATCACCTCATCTGTCTCCTGAGAAATCTCTATGTGGGACAAGAAGCTACAGTTAGAACTGGATATGGAACAACTGACTGGTTCAAAATTGGGAAAGGAGTACGGCAAGGCTGTATATTGTCTCCTTGCTTATTTAACTTATATGCAGAATTCATCATGTGAAAGGCTGGGCTGGATGAATCCCTAGCCAGAATTAGGATTGCCGGAAGAAATATCAACAACCTCAGATATGCAAATGACACAACCTTGATGACAGAAAGTGAGGAGGAATTAAAGAACCTTTTATTGAGGGTGAAAGAGGAGAGCGCAAAAAATGGTCTGAAGCTCAACGTCAAAAAAGCGAAGATCATGGCCACTGGTCCCATCACCTCCTGCCAAATAGAAGGGGAAGAAATGGAGGCAGTGAGAGATTTTACTTTCTTGGGCTCCATGATCACAGCAGATGGTGACAGTAGCCACGAAATTAAAAGACGCCTGCTTCTTGGGAGAAAAGCAGTGACAAACCTAGACAGCATCCTAAAAAGTAGAGACATCACCTTGCCAACAAAGGTCCGTATAGTAAAAGCTCTGGTTTTCCCAGTAGTGATGTATGGAAGTGAGAACTGGACCATAAAGAAGGCTGATCGCCGAAGAATTGATGCTTTTGAATTATGGTGCTGGAGGAGACTCTTGAGAGTCCCATGGACTGCCAGAATATCAAACTTCCCCATTCTGAAGGAAATCAGCCCTGAGTGCTCACTGGAAGGACAGACTGTGAAGCTGAGGCTCCAAGACTTTGGCCACCTCATGAGAAGAGAAGACTCCCTGGAAAAGACCCTGATGTTGGGAAAGATGGAGGGCACAAGGAGAAGGGGACGACAGAGGACGAGATGGTTGGACAGTGTTCTCGAAGCTACCAGCATGAGTTTGACCAAACTGTGGGAGGCAGTGGAAGACAGAAGTGCCTGGCGTGCTCTGGTCCATGGGGTCACGAAGAGTCGGACACGACTAAACAACAACAACAACAACAACAACAACAACAACAACAACTGGATTTGATCACATCCATTCCTTTTCTTCCCCATGTCTCCCTCCTATTATTTGTCCCATTATTGAAATTTATATTTCAGCCTTCAGGGTTCTAGCTATGCTTGCATAACTTTTAAGTACAATCATTGTTTTAGCCAAAATATGGGGTATAATTTGAAAATAAAAGCGAATCTATACTATAAGTAGTAATAGCTATGAGAAAGTGAAGAATGCGAATTTATTTTATTTCAAAGGTATTGATAATTATTTTTGGAGCAGCTTACAAATAGGTTGCTGCTGAAAATGTATGGCTTCAAAGAAAACATTTTTTCCTCTTACTGATCATATACTGATCTTTTTCTTTAAAGATTGCAAAGCAGCTTTATCCTCCCTTTTTATGGGCTCAGTAATACGATTTTTAATAGTCAAATATTTGTTGTTGTTTTTTAAAATAATATTTATTAATAATTTCAGAATTACAGAAAAGAAAGAAAAAATAAAAAAAACACTACAATGCATAAAAAGAGGAAAAAACGCAAAACATAAGACCAATACAACAATACAGCAAAAAAGGGGAAAAAACCACACACAAATCCCACATTACATATCTTTAACTTCCATTTGCTTGTTTCGCTGACCTCACACCTCCCTTTTTGTATTCTAGTTTAGTTAGTTATTTCAGCAAATTCGTTCCATCTTTCTCAATTATTATTAAATAATTTATCTTAACAATTTAACCTATTAATTAACTCGACAGATCCTTTCCATCTTTCCCCATATTCTGTTATTCAAATTACCTTAATTTATTTAACCTTATCTTACCATAAAATACCTTAAAGCTTGAAACTTAATACTCAGTTATACATAACTCCTGATATCATTTCTACTAGAGTCATATAGTTTCATTCCAACATTTTCCCTAATATTCATTAATTTTAGACTAATTCCCTAAATAAAAAAATTTTCTTTATAAATTTTCTTCCAATCTTCATCCAGCGTCTCTTCTTCCTGGTCTCGGGTCGTGTCAGTCCTTACTGTCCATTCCATCTAGTCCATCAACCTGGAAGTCTTATGTCCGAGGCCCTTAAGTCTCTTCCATGTCCCTTCTGCAGATCTTCTTCTTCTTGTTTATACTTGCACTTTTCCTTGTCTTTTGTTGGTCTCTTTCTTAATTTCTTTCCTTTCTCATTGAGGAGTAGGTCTCTGGGGGGTTCCAACCCAAAATTATCTCCGTCTCCCTTCATCAAACCAGCCCATTCCCCACAGTCCCACTCCCCACAGTCATCAATATAATCCAAATAATGTTTACGAGCATATTTCGAAATCTCTCCAAAGTTAAGAGCCTCCTCAGCTCCAGACTCCCCCTGGCCCACTCCAACTTCAATCTTCAAAAACAGCGGCTTATGCTTCTGTAGGACCTTGGGTCTCTCCATTTGTATTATTTGGGGTGCAGCCACAGCCTCCTCCATTATCTTCTGCACTTGCCCAATCAATACAGGTTCCTGAGTTGGACCCTGGATGGTTTCTATATCACTATTCACTATTTGTCCACAGTTATTGGCCACAACAGTCATCAAATCCATTTTTTCATTCATCAAATCCATCTTCTTGTGCATCTGTTCCAACAAAGCATTTGTCTTGCATAAAGCAAGCACCAAAACTTCCTTCCAGCTCATATTTAGTCAAGGTCAAAAGGACTAATCCCACAATCCTAATCTCACAGCTGTGGATTCCTCAAGTAGACTGCAGCAACAATTTAGCAAGCTCTCTCTAGAGGAGACAATTTCTATTTGTATCCATCTCTTTAAGGCAAGTCCAACAAAGGAAAATTACTTTCATTTTTCAGATATTTTGTTTCTTTAGAATGCAAAAGGCAACATTGGAATCAGTTTATTTCTCTTCTTTAGCTATCTGTCAAAGTATTCCATTCACAGTCAATGAACCTCTCAAACAATTTCTGTCTCTGACACCCCGTTCCCAGGTTAGAGACGGTGGAAACTTATCTTTCTTTACTCCCTCTCCTGCAGGCGTTACACAAAATCCCCCCCCCCCCCCAAATAGTCAAATATGTGTTGATGTTGAATATTCTTAATGGATTTTAACTCTGGATAATTCTAAGAAGAATTAAAATCTAGAGTTACAATTGTTTGTCCATACTTGGAATCTTCATTGCTCTCTTTTTTCTTGGTTTATATTTCTAGGCGTATTCTGCACTCTAAAGGAGAGTTGAGTGAAGATCGGCATAAGCAGTATGAAGAATTTGCTATGTCCTATCAAAAGTTGTTGGCAAACTCCCAGTCTTTAGCTGATCTCCTGGATGAAAATATGCCTGATCTCCCACAGGATAAACCAGTGCCTGAAGGTATGGAATTTCCTAGTTCAGAAGGCAAACTTTTTAGTTCTGATGGAAACACAAAAGCATATTAATAGCTATTCTCCCCCCCCCTTTTTTTTTGAGAATGAAAACAAAGCAAAGTGAGCAACTTCTTGTGATCATTTTGTTGCTTTCTTCCTAGTATTGCTTCTTGGTGTGTCTGCTCTTTACTTTGCAATCCTCACTGATTTCATCCTTGTGTATATTAGAAGGAATTATGTGACAAATTGATACAGATACTGAAATCTGCTGTAATACATAACATTCTGCTTTTTATATTCCAGAACATGGGCCTGGCATTGACATTTTTACCCCAGGCAAACCTGGTGAATATGATTTGGAGGGGGGCATCTGGGAGGATGAAGATGCTCGAAACTTCTATGAGAACCTAATTGATTTAAAAGCATTTGTGCCGGCTATTTTGTTCAAGGATAACGAAAAATGTTCCCAGATTAAGGACTCTGGTAAAGATGATTCTAGAGGTACATTTTTATTTTTTTGCAACATTGTTTTAGAAGTTGTGATAGAGAGGGTAGTCGCATTTTATCCTGATCCGTGTCTATGCCAGCTCTGCAGCACAAGTGTATCTTCTTAACAAATTGCACTTTGCTAGTACGATACCTATGCCTACTGAAAAATCACATGAAAACTTTATTTTCTTGGAGGAGTAAGAACAGTGCTTAAAACTTAGTGAAAAATGAAGCTGTTCTAAGAGGCAGTTTAAGTGTCAGTGATTAAAGAGACACTCGCTCTCTGTATTATATTTTCTTCAGAAACTGTAAACTATGAACATGGAGGGTCAAAGGGCCAGGTAAAAATTGTGAAAAGTATGTACATCTTACTATTTTTAAAACAGAGTTAAAGGAAACTAAGGAAAACAAAGATGTGTCTGGTGCTGATGATCTGGAGTTGGACCTGGAGAATCTGGACATTAATGATGATGCTCTTGAATTAGACTGTGGTGATGAAGCAGAAGATCTCACAAAAAAGCTTCTTGATGAACAAGGTAAAAATAATATGGAGAGGTATATTTTTGTCTTTATTAGTTTTCCTAAATTGAATTTATTACCGAGCCAATCTATAGCAATGCGTATAATTTTTTTCACAGTATTGACAAAACTGTGGATACGCTACTTCATTTTGGAAGCATTTGCGATTGTGCACAATAGTACTTTCATCCACTCTGTTACATGACTTCTTTTTAGTGTTTCCACGACCAAAGATGCTTCTATGCCTCAGCCAGGGAATTGCTTTCAGTGAACTAATCTTCATTACTACTAGGGCATGCTGTCAGTAATACTTGTTCCCTGTAATTTGATGTCATTGCCTGTCAGCAGAAAAATTGCTCCTTGGCAAGGGTTCATTAATAATGCCAAGGGAGCATGTTCTGCTTCCTTACACAACCCAGCGGTGGCATACCTAGATGGGGTAAACAGCTGTTGAAACTGGTGCAGGCTATTTTCTATATTATTGAATTGATGTGAGATTTTCCACTGAGAAGCATGGGAAATTTTGTTTCTAAACACAGTGAGGTAATGATTACTCAGCTGTTCAAAACAATATATCTTCTTGATGTAGAAAGCAATAAGATTTTGTTTGATCTTATCAAAGTGTTACCACATTTTCCCATTAGGATAGCCGTTTGCATGGCTTTTTATTAACATCCAGTTAGCATGGGACAGCAAACCAAACATGGCTAAGTATGGACGTACAAGTGTGCAGGTACTCAAAACAGAAATCCTGTCCACTTTGCTCCTCCCCTTCTCTTCCTCCTGCTGCTGCCATGCTTTCGGTCACTCCAGACAAACCACAAACTGCAGCCAAGGTTTCTTTTTGGATTACCAGTCTTGGTTTGTCTAAAGTGAAACAAACATCAAGCCTGGGTTCAGATGTACTGTTAAGCCAAGCCATGGCTTAGCTCCCGGTAACAGCAGCAGAAGGACCAGGGAGGAATAAAGTGTCTGGGATTTCTTCTGTGAGTACCTGCATGCTTCTATGTCCATGCTTAGCCATATTTTGGGTCAGTGCTACTTGTGAACCAAGCCACTATAAATCTTACTATAGAGAAAGCCTTTTTGGATTAAGTGAACTCCAATTCCAGTTTTGCTGTCAAAAGTTGTTTTCCTGAAATAGTTCTCTGCTAGCTATAGTCTCGTTTTCCAGGGTAAATGGCAATTGTTGAGGAACTTAATCATGTTTGGAGGATAGTATTCACAAACTTGCTGCCTAGCCTTGCACAAGTCACATTCTCTTAACTTTAGTTCTCCTGTGTATGGAATATGAATTATATAGTGACCTACCTTGCAAGGCTGTTAGGGTGAATGAGATTGGTTGTGAAGCACTTTGTGTGGTTAAAAGTGTAATGACATCTGTGTATGAGTGAGAGAAAGCAGGTGAGGGGCAGGGAGAGAACAATAATTCAATTCCGTTCATTGAATTCTCTCCCAAATTGTAAACTAATACTAAAAATCTACTAAATTGTGTGGATATTTGACCTGCTGATAATATGGTGGTGGTTGTCTTTAAATAAGAAGCAACCCATTGCTTGGAACACTTCTCAGTCTGTCTTAAGATTCAAATTTTAGGATATTCATCTCAGCACTGTTTATTTTTCACATAGTTTATTAGTGATAGTGAGATTAGAATATTAATATGCTTTATACCCCAATATACTTTAAACAAAAACCCTGACTGCATACTATTAATATGGAAAGTAACATGAACTTGGGGAGGGAACATCTACATAAAGGAAGAGGAAATTATTTCTTTCATAATAAAGATTTGCTTCTGTGTCATGTTTTGTTATGGGTGTGTTTAAATTTTTTTGTTCTATTTTTAATATGATTAGGCAAGAAACAGGGAGCAGATAGCACCGGAGCTGAAAATAGTGACGGAAGGCAAGCTGCACGAAGTGAGTTTATAGGTGGTGCCTAAGGAGAAGAAGCCGCTTAAAGCAGATAAGCTTATAGGGGGTAGGGAGCAGATAGAAGTTCTAGGCAGAGTGACTCATGCCAAATTATCTGTAACTAGAGGCGTTTTAGATAAGTGCTGTGTCAGGCTTCTATATGGGAGCAAAACAAAATACTTAAAATGGTTAAGAAAAATGGTTCAGACCCTGCTGATAATCAAATTAACTTAGGGGTGAACTTGAAATTAGTTCCTGTAGGTGATGATTTTGTGTTTTGGCTGCCACTTTGAACACATTCCTCTTGGAAAGCACCTAGAAGTTAATGTAAAGCTTAAGTGAAAACAGAAGGAAATTTTTCAGTGAGGACTAAGACAAACCTCACCCAAATGTAAATTGTGTTTTTGGTCACACCAACTAACTTGCCACATAAAAGGTAAACCTTTTAGACTCACCACATTTATCAGAAATGAAAACCTTACTTTTTAAAAGATTGCTTATGAATCTCCGTTCAGAAACCCAACCAGGGTCCCTAAAAATCCAGAGAGGGTAAAGATTTTCTTCTAAGACAATGAAATACCATATTTCACTGCATACTGGTTGCCACCGCATAAATAGTTGCGCCACCCTTTTTTGGACTCCGAAAATGGTCCCAGAGCATTCACTGCATAATGGTTGCAGGGTAACTTCTAAGGCTCCACTAAGCCTCAAGCCGCCCCTGCCCCGGCTTCCCTCCCACCTCGCCATCTCAGCCATGAGCTCCTAGGGGGAGCGGAGCAGGCGGGAATGTTTCTCCCCATTCTCCTGCTGCTGCTTTTTTATCGCTGTTTCAGCGGGAATTGATGCTGGGGACAACTGGGCCACGTGGGCTGAGGGGAGATGGTGGTGGCCCCCAGCAGGCCTGGCCACAGCTGCTGCCGTCGCCCCTCGTTTGCTGTTCCTATGGCATTCCTTACGAAACTTCCTGTCCGAATTTGAATGGCTGTTCCGCTTTTGCAATGCAAAGTATAGGGCGGTTTTGTTCACTGTACAGATTCTGATAGATGAGCGACACTGCTGCGTCTCAGTAGGCTGGACAAGAGAACATATGCACAAGGGAGGCTTCATTTTTACTGAAAGGTACACTAGTGTCTTTCTGTTTTCTCTCCCCATGGTCCCAATAACAACAGTGACTTTGTCTTTGGCTCTCCCTCGCTCTCCCTGCGCTGCCAGCCCGGCTCCTCAGATCCACCTGCTGTTGTCCCCACTTTATTCCTTGCATAATGGTCACACTTTCATATTTCCCCATGTAATAGTCGCACCCCCCTTTTTGAAAGGAAAAATCAGCACAAAAAATGCGACCATTACGCACTGAAATGCGGTTTCAGCAATGGTTCAGATAACATGTGAGGGTAATCTGGTTTTTAAAATGGCTAATTTAGTTTATTATAAAAAAACATTTTTAAAACATTGCAACCATTGTAAGTTTAATACGATGCAGGCAGCAAGACCTCTCCCCTCCCCTGAGTCAAGACAGGATTGGGGGAGGCAGGTTGGGTGATGACATATTTTGCCTGTCTAGTAAAGCAAACCAAAATTTGTGGGCCCCTCTTCATATCACATAAAGTTTGAAGGGGCAACTCTTTGTTTCAGTGTCTGCCTTAAAACTCCTAAATGCTTTTTTAAAATGCGGCCTAAATGCTGAAATAGTTCTACACATTAGTTAATTTTCCATCTTCCTTACCTGTGAGACCTATTTGCAGTCCAATCCATAGTGTATATAGTCTGACTAGGCGGCATTAGTTTTCATAACAGTAGGAGAAGTGTTGTGGATGAGCATGTAAGATCTGTCTGTATTAGATAGTATTTAGGTAATGGGAACCAAGTTTCTTTAAAAAATATATGCGCTGTCTGGAGGTGAGAGAATTGACTGTGGCTTAAACCTACTGAGAGTACAAATCGTTGCTCTAGGAAAGGAGACAGATTTCTGAATTCTCTGTAATCTAATCCTTTGCTATTGGAAAGTATAATGAAACAAGAGACTGGGAGCCACATAGAAAGCCTAGGCGGGCAACCCCTGCTGTAGAGGGTTGGTAATTGGGTTCATGGAAGAATCTTTCCCTTAGTGTTTAAAAGGCCACTTTCAATTTCAAACCTGAAACCAGAAACGGGTGGTGATATCAAAGCTTCCCAGGACTGGAACTCTGAGGAATCCACAAACCTAGATGCAAATGGGACTTTGGTTCCCAAAAAGTCTCTGTTGTCATTCTCAGTTCTACTAGGAGAGGACAAATATAGATCTCTTTGGTCTTCATAGGTTAGTTCTTCTTGCCTACTCGTGCCTCTTGTATGTGTCCTTCTTTGCTGTTGCTAATGAAAGTAGCACTGAACTTTGCTGTCTCTTCTATGTGCATTTCAAATCTACTTTGCCCCATTTCTATTTTATCTTTCCCTTCAAAGATGTTACTAGGGAATGGCCTATAGGGATTGACCATTTTTCTTATGTTTATTTCCTCATTGAAAAAGTGTGATTCACTTCCCTAAGGTGAGTGATTATATAGGACTTGCAAGCATACTTGAACAGTTAATGTATCATTACTACAGTGTGTGAGAGCTTTTGGTTTCTCTCGTTTGTTTATTGTTTATTTTTTTTAAAATGGCTAGAACAAGAAGATGAAGAAGCCAGTACCGGGTCACATTTGAAGCTTATAGTAGATGCTTTTCTTCAGCAGCTCCCAAACTGTGTAAATAGAGACCTAATAGACAAGGTACAGTAAACTTGTAGTGTTTCTCCTTTATATCCATAAGTTGGTTATTGGATGTTGATATAATCTGTTAGATAGTTTTACTGTTATATGCCACTCTTACACCCGCTGTTAATATGGTAAGATGCAAGTATACAGTATAGCAGAAATTCGGTCAATGTTGGCAGTAACAATCACAAATAAATTTTGTAAAAAATGTCCTAAAATTTGAGAGAGATTGGTGAACACTGCTAGCCATATACTTCAGTTTGTCAGCATTTCTTTCTTGGACTTAAACCAGTGAATTGTGTACCAATTAGCTCAGGTGCTCATAAATTGACCTGAATATTTGCCAGCAGTTACAGTTCTAATCTACAGAGCAGACACATTCTGACGTGGCTGTGGCTTTATTGGCAAATAAATGTGTATATAGACTATTCAAAAGCAATATTCTATCCTTCCAAGTGAACTGTGATTGACTTAATTAAAAAATGGTTGGACCACCAGAAGTCAAATGAAATGACATAACAGATGTGATCTTGCCCAGGAACTGCCAATTGGCCTTCTTAAGGATGAAAGAAACTATTGTTTCCCATGTGTAGAAGAGTATGTGACACTCTTTCTTTTCACCTTTTAAACAATCTGTGTATTGTCAGATTTAAGTGCCTTTCTTCTTGCAGGCAGCAATGGATTTTTGCATGAACATGAATACAAAAGCAAATAGGCGGAAGTTGGTTCGTGCTCTCTTCATAGTTCCTCGTCAAAGGTAAGTGTTGATGTAAATGTCATATTAATGGTCATGGCAGAGATACCTTAAGTAACAGAGACAGCAAACAATGGTTTAAGCTAAAATGACCTCCCAAAGCAGCAGGAGCATGGTAAACAAACACACGTAGATGCCTAATTAGTTCCAAAAAATATGTCATATCTAATACAAACAGATGCAACTGTTTAGTCATGAATTAACCCTAGCAAGAATAAAAGGCTTTCAAACATCATCTTCCAACAGGTAACTGGATTAAATATTGTCACATTTCATCCCTCCCTTATGAGAGTTTCATACCCCACCCTAGTATTTAGACAAATGTGGATTTTATGAAGTTAAATAGGCAGTGTTTTGTGGACTCTGTGAAGTTAAATAGGCAGTGGACTCTAGAAATGGCATTTCAATAGTGGCATTTGAATATTTTCAGAACAGGTGAGCAGATGTGATTCTATTCATTTCTTTTCCACCTTCATGCATGTAGTTCTGTATAGTCAAAGAAATATGATCAACATCTGTAGGTAAAAAAAAAAGATATTCCTTCCAAGAAGGTAGCTGAATGTACATGTATAAATATATCAGAAGTACACTTACAAAACAGAACAGTTAGAACTTTAATATTTTTCTATATAAAATAATGCTATATTGCATGTGTAACCTTTTGTTTGCAGGCTGGATTTGCTACCATTTTATGCACGGCTGGTTGGCACATTACATCCTTGTATGTCTGATGTAGCAGAGGATCTCTGTTCCATGCTAAAAGGCGACTTCAGATTCCATGTAAGTTTCTATTTGTTTTGCATCTCACAGATTCATTTAGGAAATGTTTTAAAATACAACAGTGTGAAAAATTAAAAGTAATAATGCTGACAGTGTCATAATGGAATATGATGATGCTGTTTTTATCGAGTAAGACTCAGTTTGTGAGAGTAAGTTTTCAAGGTATTACTCAATAAACTGATGTCTGACCAGCAATATGTATATTTGTGAACAGACATATAATAGTTGTACCTAACAAGAGACTGGGTTTTGTTATAGATGTTAATCTTCAGAATATCCTATGTCTTTTGTTACCTTCATCTAGTTCACCAGCTACGGCCTCAGCACTGTAGCCCATGCATTGGTAACCTTAAGGCTAGGTTACTGTAATGCTCTTTATGTGGGGCTGCCTTTGGGTCTGGTTTAGAAGCTCCAGCTGGTATAGAATGCTTCAGCCAGATTTCTAATGGGAGCTTTGAGAACATGCGACACAGTTCTTAAAACAGCTGCACTGGCTGCCAGTCTGCTACCAAGCCCAATTCAAAGTTCTTACATTGATTTACAAATCCCTGAACAACTTTGATCTAGAATACCCCAGGGACCACTTGAACCCATATACAAGCAACTCTCCCTTTGAGCGGGGGTTGCGTTCCAGGTCATTGCATGCCTGTTCTGCCCCCTTCCGGGGCTGAAAGTAACACACATGGTGGTGGTCGTGTGTCAATTGGACACATGCAAAATGATCACCGCCTGTATAGCAGCTTGATCACTGAGATAATCTGCAGGTGCTTCTTTGGTCATTCCCCAAGTTGGTGAGGCTTGTTTGACAACAACAAGAAATTGAGTCTTTAGTGTCGTCGGGCCAGTCTGTGGAATACTCAGCCTATAGAGACTCAGCAAGCGCCTTTTGTGCCAGCTATTAAACTCTTGCTGAAAACTTTTCTGCCAGGCTGAAGCATCCCCCACAATAGTCTGTTGATAGAATTGTAGAGTTGGAATGGACTGTGAGAGCCATCTAGTCCAACCCCCTGCAAATGCAGGAATCCTTTGTCCAATGTGGGGCTGGAACCCACAACCCTGTGTTTAAGAGTCTCATGCTTTACTGACTGAGCTGTTGATTTGAGCTGCTTTTAATTTATTTTTGCTTTTAATTTGTTTTTAACTTACTGCTATTTTATTATTTGGTTTCTTTGATTTGTTGTAAATCACTGTGATATATATTTATGATACAGTGATATATGTGTATATATTAGATATAGATATATGTGAGATTTCCATGAGGCAGTGTTTTTTACCTGTGGTCTGGAAACCTCCAGAGGTTCTCAGGAGCTCAGTGAAAATGCTACAGAGTTCTATGATGCGTGCACTGTATGCAGAAAATGCAACCTATCTGCTAGTTTAAATCTGGAAGTTTAAAATAGAAAAACCAGTTGCCTTTACAGCAGTTCATGTAACTGCAGTCCTCCGCTTCCAGCAAAGAGCTTCATTGGACCACGTCAACAAAGGAGATATGCAGCAGTTGCATTTCTAATCTGAAATATTCTCATGTATCCTCTCATGTGATACCCCAAAAGTATGACACCTCAAACTGGTACTAAAAAAAGAGAGATTTTGTTGAACAATGAATTCTTAGAAAACTCCAAGGATGATATATTTGAACAATTTAATAACATAAAAGTGTTGATGAATACAGAATGCTAAATCAAATCAATAAATGCCTCTGCTCTTGCGTGGTTTTGTAATTGTGCATTTTTGTATATCATAAAGCAGTCATTCTTCAAAAATACCCCCACCCCAAATAAACAGGTACGTAATAAAAATATAATTTGGCCAGAGAGAGTCATCTTTAATTTTTAGTGATTCACCTGGCCACTTCACTATAAGTTAAGAAGTAACTTAAGCAATTAAAAGTCTTGAGGATGTTATTACTGTTATAAAGAGTACCAATATGATGATAACTCTACTGATTAAATCTGCAGGCTAATCTTATAAAGATATTTGTCGCATTAACTTTTAGTACTAATGTGACTATTGGCTGGGACTCGGAGTACCAGGACCATCTCCTGCTCCTGGTGGTGCTTATTACCTATTTAAACAGCAAACTCCTGCGCCATATCTCAATCTGCTTTTGAAAGTCCACTTGATTTCTACTTAGCATAGAGAGCTACTGCTAATGAAGCACAAGCCCAATACTCCTGGGACATGTGAAACTCGATGTATACTTATTTGGATTCTGGCCATTGTGTTTCAATATCCCACCAATAAATTGGATTTAAAATTGGTTATTTTATGCAATCTTTTTCCTGTTCATGAACAAAGAGGCAGGACTATTTGCGCCTCGGCAGTCCTGCATGCATAGAATCTGGCACCGAGAGGGAAATCTTGAGAATGTCATCTGTCACTCAGAAACATTTGGGAAGAATGGAGGAGCATAATTCCATAGTTCCTGATGCAAATATATCCACATATCATTTGTTTGCCATCATTGTGAATTTTGAACCCATGTTTTTAGAAACGTCCAAACATTATTTATAGGACTCTTTCTTTGATTGTAATTCAGTTAACTCATTGAAATCCTCCAGGAAAAGAACTGAATCTTTTAGCCATATCCCTGAAAATATTATACTGATTTTATTATTTGCATCCTAAATACATCCAGTGTCAATTTTTATACCAAAAAACACTGTTTTAATTTTATTTTTTAAAACTGCCTTAACTGAAGTAATAAAGCCAGATTTCAATTTAACAATTAAGGCTATTCTCAAACCATTCTTCTGCTTCTCCTTGTACTGCACTCCCCCAGCCCCTTGTTGCACTCTGGCGAGTGTGCGTGCACGCACATGAACAATCAAATAGACAGCTGCATATCTGTTGTGGGCAATAACATATTAATTCATTGCATACTAAAAGTAAATCTTCCTGTATTCCTATGTTTAGGTGAGAAAGAAGGACCAGATCAACATTGAAACAAAGAATAAAACTGTGCGATTCATTGGTGAACTTACTAAGTTTAAAATGTTCTCCAAAAGTGACACTCTGCATTGCTTAAAGGTTGGTGCTCATGTACATTGAGGATCAGTTCACATCCCCTTTTTCTTTTATTTTCCTGGCATACTCAGAGGTTCTCTAGACAAAGCTTGTGTCGCAATATACTTTTTATAATGGCAGAGGGAATAATTGGGTGTGATCGACAGTGGGTGTGGTTGTATTACCATTCAGTGTATATTATCATTTAATGTATATTTTTAAGAATTGGAATTCCATCACTATAGATAAGATGTGATGAAGCTGTGCTGCCACTTTAAGAATTTCACATTTTACTTTAGCCCCAAACAAAGTTGATTTTGAGCCCACTCTGAATACTCTGATAAATTAGTATGAAAGGCATTCTAAATGTAATTTATTTCCACAGATGCTCTTGTCTGACTTCTCTCATCACCATATTGAAATGGCATGTACATTGTTGGAGACTTGTGGTCGATTCCTGTTCAGATCTCCAGAATCTCATTTGAGAACTAGTGTCCTTTTGGTAAGAATAATTTTTTTTAGAGAGCTGTTTTTAAAACATAAACGTAACAGCCTGCTGGGTGAGGCCAATGGCCCATCTAGTCCAGTCTCCTGTTCTTACTAAGTGGGCTAAGCACATGCAGTCCCTGAGCACGAGAGCACTCTCCCTCCTGCAGTTTCCAGTAGCTGGTGTCCAGAAGTATTGCTGCTTCAGAGCATAGCCATCGTAGCTAGTAGCCAAGTTTGTGGCCATCACTGCCTCCTGTGGGAGCAAGTTCTGTAGTTAAGTCCTGTGCTGTGTGAACAAGCACTTTCTTTTAGCTGTTCTGAATCTTCCAACATTCAGCTTCGTTGAATTTGTGAGAGGGAGAACAATGTTTTCTCTCCGTGCCATGCAAAAATTTATAAACTTCCATTATGTCACCTCTTATTCGTCTTTTCTCTAAACTAAAAAGTCCCCAAACACTTCTGCCTTTCCTCAAGTTGTTCTTTGACAACTCTTTCAAAGCCATAGTTACAATAAAATGTTCTAAGATATGATTCTAATGCTTAGCAGGTGGTGGGCCAGTTCCTGTGGCAGAAGAGACGCTTCCCTACCCAGTGTAACACATTTTATTTTATGCAGTCTGTCCTTGGGGGCAAAGTCACACAAATCAGCTTTCTCCTCCTACGAGTCTCTGCCTGGAACATCCCCATATATTACAGGATAAGGGTTTGTGTAGGGGTCGGCAACCTAAGGCCCATTGGCTGGAAGCAGCCCACAGAGGGGTCGGCAACCTTAGGCCCATGGGCCGGAAGCAGCCCCCGAGCCGCCCCTGAACCAAGTTGCCCGCTCAAGCGAGTCCCCGCTTGCAGTGATAAATGGGGACTCTCTTCCATGGCTCCGGAAATTGCTTCTGCGCATGCCCAGACACTGGAAATCGCGTCTTCACATGTCCGCGGCGCCGGAAATCGCTTGTGCGCAGGTGCGATTTTTTTTGGCATCTGGGCATGCGCAGAAGTGATTTCCGGTGTCGTGCTGCGCCAGTCTGGCCCACAGAGGATCTCCGTGGGAGTGATCCAGCCCATGCCCGGTAAGCCTTGCCGACCCCTGGGTTTGTGGGTTGAGATTTGTGGCAGTTGCTTACTGACAGTGAGAATTGGCTCCCCCCTTTGGTAGCCATCTGAACTGGCGCAAGAACTTCAGCGGAGAATTATATGCTTAGCTATCAGCAGCCTTGGTGGGCAGAAAGCACAAGGAGCAAGGATATGTGTCTTACCTTCCTACATTATCAAATTATAGTTAAAAATATAGGGCTGCACATTCAGCAATAGTTGTTAGAGGTGCAATGTAGGAAAGCTAAGTAGATTTTAGCTTGTGAGCCAGATCATATTTCACAGTATGATTTTCTTGGTAGAAAATAGGTTTTGGCTTTTGCTTTAGCGAGAAGAACAAAACAGATGGCTCTTATGAAAATTTAGTATGTCTGCACAGGGTGATTATTTCTCTTTGTTTCCAGGAACAAATGATGCGAAAGAAACAAGCAATGCACCTGGATGCACGCTATGTCACCATGGTGGAAAATGCCTACTACTACTGCAATCCTCCTCCCGCTGAGAAAACAGTGAAAAAGAAACGCCCTCCTCTCCAGGAGTATATTCGGAAGCTCCTTTATAAGGATCTCTCCAAAGTCACTACTGAGAAGGTGCGTTCTCTTCAAACTTGGTGGGTTTCCCCAAAAACCATTATCCAGGAATAGAACAACTTCTAAAGCATGAAATCTAAAGTACATAGGATTTTAAATTCAAATTTTCCTGTTTTATTTTTTTAAAATGAATGAGATTATCAGGGAAGTAAGCTGAAGGACGCTAAAATGAATGGGAAAGTGCAGATCAGATAGCTAACTTCAAACTAATACACCTGAATATTGTCTTGAATATTAAATTACATTAAAGTACTTAAGTCCTCAGGAGCAATATGTTGAGTATATCATGTAAATATTTACTTAAAGCAAAGATTCTTACATTTGTTAAGTTTAGCACCTAGACTTTGAAAATAAGCCTCCAAAAACTACTTGTCTGTAGCATTCTACAAGCCCGCCTGTTTCTCTGCAGCATACTAATGCGTTTGTGGCACATGTAACAGCATGATAGTTTTTAAAAAAGAACTTTTACAAATGTTCTGCCTGTGGAAACATATCAGCTTTCCCTCAGGTACTGTTCTGGGGGTTCTCTTGCTCTTCCCCAAGCAAATTTCAGGGGTGGGGAGAAGGGGGAAATCCTGTTGTGCAAGCAGAATCCCTTCCACAGGGCTGCTTCTGGTGGGGTTCTTTATGTGAATCCTCTCTTTACTCTCTTGGCAGTTTACAGTGAGTTGGGAGTCCTTTCTTGGCTTCAGTCCTTTCTTCAAGGGATGAATGGGACATCCTTTCCAGCATGACTAAAGACAGCAGTAGCACTTTTATATGATGGGTTCATATGTCGGCTCTGAGTGTGTGTGTGTTAAGATAACAGGTCACAATGAACTATGGGTACCCCAAAGTACTTTTTTCTTTGGGGGAGGGGGAGTAACTTTACTTAGTAGTCAACACATATGTATGTAAAGCATCCAACTTTGTTTTTTTTCTTTTTGAGTTAAGTTTCTTTAAAATCTTGTTCAGGTCCTGAGACAGATGCGCAAATTGCCCTGGCATGACCCTGAAGTGAAAGACTATGTTATATGTTGTATGATCAACATCTGGAATGTGAAATACAATAGTATTCACTGTGTAGCCAACCTTTTAGCAGGACTGGTACTTTACCAAGAGGATGTTGGAATTCATGTTGTGGATGGTGTCCTAGAGGATATTCGGCTAGGAATGGAGGTAAAAAACTTTTAGGTTTTTCTATGTGAAATAGAACATAGTACAAAACATTTAAAAAGAAGTTTAGAAATTATGTACGTTAACTTTTTTATAAACATTTGAGGCCCAAAGTTGAGGAAGGATGCACTAAGTAAAAAAGCACGGTAGGAGTTGACATGGTTGTTTTATAGCATCGTTGTCCTTGACATAAATGGCTAGACTGGATTGGTAGTTCTTAGGACAAGTTTTCTTTTTTAAAAAAAAATATTTATTGAGGATTTTAAGATTACAAAGAAACAAAGAAAAAAGTAGACAAAAAGAGAAATTAAACAATACAAGTCAATAAAAACAAAAGTCAAAGAAAAAAACAAATCACACAAATACATCAAAATCAAAAAGCAAAAATAAACAAAAAATTTAAAAACAAATCCAATATTCCCAAATCTTTATCTTTCATTAACTTGTTTCATGGACCTCCTCACACCTCCCTTTTTTGTATTCTAGTTATTAATTATCTCAGCAAATCCTTTCCATCTTTCATAATATTCTGTCATTAAATTACCTTAATCTATTTTAACCTTATCTTACCATAAAAAACCCTAAAACTTAAAGCTTAAATCTTATTTATACCAATTTCTCATAACCATAACATATTCTTACATAATTCTTTTTAACATTTCTGCTACAGCCAAATAATTTCGTTCCAACATTTTCTAATACTCATTAATTTTACAAAACTTTCCTAGATAAATTTTTTAAAACTTTCTTCCAATCTTCATCCAACGTCTCTTCCTCCTGGTCTCGGGTTTTGTCAGTCCTTTCTATCCCATCCATCTGGTTCATCAACCTGGTAATCTTATATCCGAGGCTCTTAAATCTCTTCCATGTCCCTTCCGCAGGTGTTCTTCATATTTATACCTGTACTTTACTTTGTCTTCTGCTCCTTTCACTTGAGGAGACTCCAGCTTGACAATATTTTTGTCCCTTCTCGACAGATCAGCCCCTTTTACATAGTCAACACTGAACTCCATGTGGTATTTAAAAGCATGTTTCAAGGTCCCTCTAAAGTTAAGGACCCCCACAACTCCGAACTCCTCCCGGCCCAAAGCCAGACTTGAAAGTTCAAAACATCCCTGCATAGGGGGGGTCTATCCAGCCCCCCATCTCCAAGCCAAACAAGACTCTATCTCTCCAAATCTGGCTTTTTCCAGGTTCATTCGTCAAATCCAACAACTCATGTTCCTGCTGGGCCACAGTTCCCTCCATCTCTGCCTCCCGGGGTCCAGCAACAACCTCCTCCCTCATCTGATCTGTCAGAGCACACTCCTGGATTAATTCCTGAGTGGGTTCTATATAGGTACCCACTGCCTGTCCAAAATTTCCGATCGCAACAGTCATCAAATCTGTCTTCTCATGTAACTGTTCCAATAAGGCACTTGTCTTGCAGAAGGCAAGCACCAGAGCCTCCGAGTACATTCTTGTTCAAGGTCAGAGTCTAATCCCACGATCTTAATCTATTGCAGCTGCACGGCTCCCAGTTCGGATTTAATAACAGTTTCGCAAGCTCCCTCTAGGGAGAAAGCTTCTATTTGTATCCATCTCTTTTTTTTTTTTAAAAGCAGATCTAACAACAAAGTTTCCTTTTTCAGATATTTTGTCAATATTTTGTTCCTTTTAGATGCGAAGGGGAACAATGGAATCAATATGTTTCTCTTCTTTTAACTATCTGTCAAAAACGTTTGTCTATAGTCAATGAACTTCCCTAGGACGTCTGTCCTGACACCCCGCTCCCAGGTTCAAGACGGTGGAAAATTGCTTTTCTTTACTCTCTCTTCTGCAGGTTTAAACAGTCCAGAAAAAATTCCCCCCTCTTCTCCTGCTTCCAAGGGGGGTTCAGTAATTTTAAATGATGAAAATTGATCCTTTACAGATGACTTTCTAAACTCTAGCTTACCATGTCTTTGCTTTAATCTATCTACAAAAGTGGAAGGCGGACTTCCTGTTTAGACCTTCCCGCTTCAGTGCCAAATTGAAAGAAATTTCTTAATCCAATTTTCCGTTCTACTCACAGGCAGTTATTTAAAATCCAATTGTCCACAGGAAAAAGTCAGTGCTCTCCGGCAACAGCAATGCGGCTTCACTCCGTGAAAGAAGCAGTCGATTCAAAGCACCGCGCCACTCACCCCCACGTCGCTCCGGATCCCCGAAACCGGGTTTCCCCGCAAGTGGGGGGGGGCGCAAAGGTGCCAGCCGAATCCCACGTCCACAGGCTTCTCCTGCCTGTGGTTTTTGATGGGTCTCCGCCTCGCCGTGGCGGTTCAGACCCTTTTTTCCACGGAGCGGATTCCTCCCGATCGGAGGAAGTCCGCCATTGCCAGAGGCGCCAACCCGGAAGTCCCCTTAGGACAAGTTTTCATTGGTTAACTGATAAAGTGAGATGCATGTGAGATACTGAGGGATGGAGAGGCCTGGATCAAAATTCTCTAATCTGCATGTTTACACTGCACTTCACTTAATTATGCTAATTTATCATGAACAGTAGTGCAGGCAGCCACACTGTTGCCTCCATCTTTACAGCTTTTGCTTAATCATAGTACATTATGAGGCCTCTGCAGGGTATTGAACTTCATCTAGTGTTTAAGAAGTGTATGATAACATGTCAGTGGTATTTTGTTTGCTGAAGGTTAATCAGCCAAAATTTAACCAGCGGAGGATCAGCAGTGCCAAGTTCCTGGGTGAACTGTACAATTACAGAATGGTAGAGTCGGCAGTAATATTTCGAACTCTGTACTCCTTTACATCATTTGGTGTGAATTCGGATGGTACATCTAGCCCACTTGATCCTCCAGAACATCTTTTCCGAATTCGACTGGTGTGTACCATCCTTGACACTTGTGGGCAATACTTTGACAGAGGATCCAGCAAACGGAAACTTGACTGCTTCTTGGTCTATTTCCAGGTAGGAACAAGCTTCATCTTTCCCTGTGACCAAATTTGTCTCTTACATATTATTTATTATTTTATTTGAAGTAGGCATACCCCTCACAAAGTAACATGTAGAAATGCGAGTACTATTAAGATGTATTTGGATGGTCAGCAGAAGAATGTTATTTATTAAATTTGTTAGGCGCTTTATCTTGCCCAGGGCAACCTAAAGCGACTTACAACCAACCAAACAGACAGCAACAACATAGATACATTAAAGCCAAGAAGAAAAAGAAATATATTAAAGACATATCATCCACTTCTAAAAGGTCACAGATAATTACAGACCAAAGGCCTAGCTATAGAGGAAAGTTTTTGCCTGGTGCCTAAAGCCTTATAATAATGGTGCTAGGCAAGCCTCCCTTCCACAATTGGGAGCCACTGCAGAAAAGGCCTGTTCTTGCGTTGCCACTCTCTGGACTTCTTGTTGAGGGAGATACTTGAAGAAGGGTCTCAAATGATGATTGGAGGGTCTGGGTCGGTCCACATGTGGAGAGGTGATCCTTGAAGTCTTGCAGTCCTGAACCATTTTAGGCTTTATAGGTCAAAACCAGCACTTAGAATTGGGCCCAGAAACTAATAGGCAGCCAGTGCAGGCAAGCCAGGATTGGCGTTATATGCTCAAACCATATTTCTCCAGTTAGCAACCTTGCCACTGAATTCTGCACCAGCTGAAGCTTCTGAACCGTCTTCAGAGGCAGCCCTATGTGTAATGCATAGACAAGAGAAGTTAGACTATTCCTGTCCAGATAGGAGCGCAGTTGGGTAACCAGCCGAAGTAAGAGTTGCAGAATAAAAAAGTTGAATGAAAAGGGTAGAAAGGAGTTAAACTATCAGGAGGAAAATAAAATTGTGTTAAATCTGACCGACACTAGGTGGTATTTATGCCACATTTGTTCAGCAGTGCAAATTAGGTGAAGAAGGCATGATTGAAGAGTAATCCCATGTTGAAAGGAGAAGAATTATAGGGACAAAACAAAATCAATGCGAGAGACAAGAGATGTTAATAAAACAATTAAATGAAGAAGAAACTGTAGTATCAACAGTGCATTCAGTCAATAGTTGGCAAAGTAAAACTGATCTCAAAAACACTGTAAAATGTTATTGAAAAGGGAAACAAAAGATGAATTGGTTAAATCAGCAACGATACACTGGGCTAAAGATTTTGGTCATAATATTGATATGACCCCATGGGAACTACTGTGGAGAGTGAATATGAAATATACAGCCTGTTTTACTTTAAAGGAAAATTACATGAAAATTATATGCAGGTGGCATTTAATGCCAAATAAATTGGTAAAGATGTTTAAGACTATGTCAAATAAATGCTGGAAGTGTAAAAATAATGAAGGGACGTTTCTTCATATGTGGCGGACATGTGAAAAAGCTAAAGGCTTTTGGGAAACTATACATAATAAAATGAAAAGATATTTAAGCTGGTTATTCCCCCCAAAGCCTGAAGTTTTTCTCCTAGGGATAATTTAGCCTTGTTCCTTGTTTTAGCTTTGTATGTTAAGATCCGAATTTCACTAGACTAATTCTAGTGGTTGCCTATCTGTTTTGCAATTATCTGTGTCTTTCCAGAGGTATGTTTGGTGGAAGAAAAGCCTGGATGTTTGGACAAAAGATCACCCGTTCCCTATAGACATTGACTATATGATCAGTGATACATTAGAATTACTGAGACCAAAGATAAAACTGTGCAATTCCCTGGAAGAATCTGTTAGGCAGGTACAAGAACTGGAAAGGGAATTCTTAATCAAACTAGGTAAGAATGTTACATCAAGAATGAAAGGAACTGAAATCATTGTTGTCTGTTTCTGCATTTTTTGGCTATATAGTACAGTACTTTCTGTAACTTGAATAAATTTTTAGGATAAGTGAGTATGTACTTGACTCATTCTAGAATTTTGAAATATGTTATGAGGACTGTAGCAACATACAGTGAGGATGGGGATGCAGGCTGGTCTGTGAATCTGTTCCTGGTATAAATTAGTATTTACAGTGGTATCTCGGGTTACAGACGCTTCAGGTTACAGACTCCTCTAACCCAGAAATAGTACCACAGGTTAAGAACTTTGCTTCAGGATGAGAACAGAAATTGTGCGGCGGCAGCAGGAGGCCCCATTAGCTAAAGTGGTACCTCAGGTTTAGAACAGTTTCAGGTTAAGAACAGACCTCCAGAATGAATTCAGTTCTTAACCTAAGGTACCACTGTACCGTCATTTGCATGGTCTGACCTGTGTGTTGTGCTACTTTCTAATGTGCAGAGATCTTTTGTTCCTTTCTCTTTCCCAGAAGGATTAAGTTCTCTGTAGAATCAGAATGTAACATAAATAATAACCTTGTAGATTGATAAAAACTACATTTAGCAAGAAACCGGAATAATTTTTACTAGGAATGGTTTCAGATAATATTCCCAAAAACAAAACTAGGCTATTTATGTATGCAACGTCAGCCGCAAGGGTTATAGTGGCAAAACAGTGGAAAGATAAAAATACACCCACTAAAGAGGAATGGGTAGTCAAATTGTGCGAGTACTTGGCGCTCGCAAAGCTGACAGATGCAATAAGAGATAAACCTTAAAAATTGGTGAAAGAAGAATGGGAATGTTTAAATAATTATTTAGGGGACAAGGGCTCAACAAGAAAGATCTGGCTATGTTTAGAATGATACCGCATAGAGAAATGCTCCCTGATACCAAGATGAGGGATTCCTTTGGAATGCAGATAGAGATAATTGATAAGAATAATGATCTGTTGTGAGCTTGACGGAAGTGTACAATAGATGAGCTTTCCTTCTTTGGCTCATCTTCCTTTTTCTTTTTTCCCCCTTCTATTTTTCTTTTTTCTTTTCTTTTATCTTTCCCATAGTTGCCTATGTTCTGTATCATGTACTTTGATATTTTTTGTAGTCTTTTTTGTTTTTTTCCATTACTATTAAGAAATTTTCCTTTGTAATTTTGGTTGTCTATATTTATATGTACCTGTTTAAAGCAAAAAAAAAAGTAAAAAAGAAAAGAAAAGGAAAAAAATAACCTTGCATTTAATATCAACTCTCACAACCCCTTTTTCTGTTAGATAATTGTGTAATTCCTTTGATGCATACCACATTTTGATCACATGCTTAGTGCTGGCAAAAAAACTATAAAAAGCAAGTAAAAATCAAGTAACAAAAGCCATTATTATTGTGGTTCTCTGTTAAAAAATTAGGGTAAGCATCTATCAAAAGAAAATAGTAATGTTGGTTGATGGGACAGTAAAATGTCCTGAGAATTGTTCGTAAACTTAGCTTGACCCTTTGCATGTATCTCCTAAGTAAAACTGCAGTCCTGACCTTAGTTACTTGGGAGTGAATAGCCACTGGTTTCAGTAGTCCTTACAAGTACATGTGTGTTGGATCTCAGACACGGTCAGAATTCTTTCTAATGCCACTCATTAATAATTCTTATTTCCTTTCTTAGGCCTTGTGAATGACAAGGACTCTAAAGAGTCAATTACTGAGGGAGAGAACCTTGAGGAAGATGATGAGGAGGAAGAAGGTGGAGTCGAGATAGAAGAGCAATCTGGAAATGAAAGTGAAATAAATGAGCCAGAGGAGGAGGTATTCTTTTTCCACCATTAATTTACTAAGCTACAATTTGAGGGGCTGTGCTGTGTAACTGTTGCCAATCATAATGAGTAATTACCAGTTGAGGCTCCAAATATCAAAGATGGAGGTAACCTGGCAGTTACTGGGCTCAAGGTCCTTCTGCTGCCGCCGATAAGTATGATTTTATTATGGGAACTGCAAAGTTGTGTTCTGTTTGCTGGACCCACTTGGAGTCTCTTGGAGCTCTGGTCATTTATTAAGTAGGGTAGAAGGGGGGTAAGTGAGTTTCTGAACTTGAATGAACATGTGCATGCCATGCACAGTGCAGCTGGTTCTGAGTGAGCTTCACTCACCATCAACAGGCTAAGCAGAACTGAAATGACCATGGAGGAGAGATTTCTGAGACAGTGTAAATTTAAGTGTGTGTATATGTTAATCAGTTTCATTAAAACATGGTTTATGATTATGCATTAAAACTCCAGTAAACATTTCAGGAGGGCTCTGATAATGACGACGAAGAGGGAGAAGAGGAGGAAGAAGAAAATACTGATTATCTCACAGACTCTAATAAGGAAAATGAAACTGATGAAGAAAATACTGTATGTATTGCTGTACTATTTATTTCTTTAAAACATTTCTTATGAACATTCATTAGAAAGTCAATTAGTGGTCTCAATCCACAGCAAGCCACATAAGTACTGTAGGCTTGATATTAATGACCAGCAAACGCCTGGATGAACAAAACAAATAAGTCTTTAGCAAGCACCAAAGCATCCAAGTTGGTGCTTGCCATATTCCAAAAGCTGAGTTCCACAACAGAAAACACCCTCCCCCAGATTACCGCAAGATGAATTTCAGCAGACTGACTCATCTGAAGGTCTCTATGAACAGCTACATCTATTGAGAGAAGGCTTTCTCTCAGATAACCTAGTCCTAAGTTGTTAAGGCAACAACCACCACCACCACCTTAAACTTGGCCAGGTGGATTGGCAGCCACTTCAGTTCTTCTTGAAATGGGTAGCAACCTCCCCACTTCATCCTACATTCTGGAGCGGATTCCAACTTTAAGATGAAACTCGCATACCAAAAGCACTGTGCACACTGCATTCAAGTGTGGCTCGTGCCACACCACACATCATGGTTTACTGTTTCAGCAGTATTACATGGACAAGAGTCCACAAGCCCAAGCAAAACATTGGACTTGAACTCTTTCCCCCTCTGTTCTCTTACTCTTGTGCTGCCAGGAAAAGGACTTCCATTGAATTTAGTGTTCATTCAAAAAATCTTGCTGAGCATTACATAGAACCAGGAGTTCTGCTTTAAAACGGTGGTTGGTTACTAAATGAGTCAATTTCAAATCATGGGTTATGAAGCTGGCTTTTTAAACCACTGCTTGTTGTAAGCCAAAATCCCTGGCTCTTAGATAAGCTGAGATTCTTTACAGGTAGGTAGCCGTGTTGGTTTGCTGTAGTTGAAACAAAATAAAAAAAATTCTTCCAGTAGCACCTTAGAGACCAACTAAGTTTGTTATTGGTATGAGCTTTCGTGTGCATGCACACTTCTTCACACAAAAGCTCATACCAATATGGTCTCTAAGGTGCTACTGGAAGAATTTTTTTATTCTGAGATTCTTTGCAAGTGAATCTAAACTTGGCAGAACCCCTGTACACCACAGTGCAGAGAAGAACTCAAGCACATGTCAAACAGGTGCATGCAAACTTAGTGCATGCAAACCAGGCCATTAAGTACGTAGGTGTTAATATTAATTAGTTTACTTTGGATTATCAATTCACACAAATTCATATGAATATCAAGTTACAAAGATGTAACTGATGTTTGGCTCTAGACTGGATTTATCAGAAACCTACAGAATGCCTACCGTAGAAGTCTTGTGTTATGGAAGAGCATTGTTGTTGTTGTTGTTGTTTAGTCGTGTCCAACTCTTCGTGACCCCATGGACCAGAGCATTAATGAAAACAAATAGTACCTCATAGAATTGGTCACATTACCCTGCAACGAAATTTACTGTTGTATTGCCAGCTGTTGTATTGGCAACATCTATGCATAGGATCTGAAGCTAAGACTTTATGAGAACAAATACATAGTGCAGCTCCTTTATTTGTAATTTAAAAGAAGGGGCAGCTAAAGGAAACTTACAATTGTGCTTCAACTAACTCAACTTCCTGTATTAGAAACTAATCTGCAAAGTAGCCTTGTTTTCTGAGAGATACAAGTGGTGTCCCTTTTATAAAGCAAGCATATTTCCTCCCCTATCTGAAGCCAAGTGTGTGTTGTGGAGAAAGCCCAATATGAAACCTACGTAACTAAAAGTAAGAATTTAGCATTAAACCTAATAGTTAGAACTAGAAAGCCTTAATTATAGTGAGAGCTTGTAATTGTACTAATTCCCTCTGACCGGCAGTTGGAATAATTTTAAGACTGTTGACCCGTCCAAAAACCCTGCTCCCTGGTCTTCCATTTAGCCTGAGTGAGAGAGGCCCATACTCCAGCCACCTTCTAATTTTTGCCACCTATCCAACTCTTCAGGTGGCTTGGTTCCAAAGAATACAGCCAGCTGCATGGAGCAGTAAGGAGTTAATGGAGCACGTGCACTTAAGTACATGCCTGAGCTGCATTACATACAAATCGCAAAGCATTAAAACATGGACTATTTTCTACTTCTCTCTACCTTTTTGAAAACATTTTGTCCTAATGACTGAAATTATCCCACATTTTTCTTTTAAAATTTTGTATGGCCATTGGGGGCCAGATATTGCTTCACAGGCAAGATTCAGCCTGTTGGCCAACCCTAATTGAGGGATAACTTATGCACATTAATCTAGAGAACATAATAATGTTGTTTCCCTACCCTCCCTTATTTAACAGGAAGTCATGATTAAAGGAGGTGGACTTAAGCGTGTCCCATGTGCTGAAGATGAAGACTTCATTCAGGCATTGGACAAAATGATGCTTGAAAATTTACAGGTATTAATGGGATTTTTAATCAGTCACTCATATGTCTTACTCTTATTGGTATCCATTATACACAATGACATTTAGCATGGAGGGATTACACTGGGCAACAATTTTTTACTTTTTGAATGTTGTCTAGATTTCTACAACTGATTTAGGGTCTTTTTGCACTGCTGAATCAGGAAATGGCATCCGTTTCTCTCCATTAGGTCAGGTTTTTGTGCTGTGTTGATTTGAAAAAAATCAGATCTTGTGACAAAATCGATTACATTTTTGTGGCATTATCAGCTGATTTTTGTCAACGCATATCATCCTAAATATGTTTTTAAGAGAAAAAAATGTTTTTCCAACAACATATATTGATTATCTGATAGAAACATCAATTACTGTAAACTGAATGGTGGGCATTGATAAAGGTAAGTACACGTAAATTGCATGTTGCTTCACCATTTTTCAAACTTCAGGGCTTGAACTTCCGTTTCTTGGAACTCCTGGAATGCTCAGTGGCAGGGAGGTCTCTCTTCAGAGTCCAACAGTAGTCAGCCATCATGACTGCGTCCCAGCGACCCTGATACCTGGTCTCCATCTCTTTCATGTCCTGATGGAATCTCTCCCCCTGCTCGTCACTCATTGAGCCCAGGTTCTCAGGAAACCGGTCCATATGTGAAAATAGGTAGTGCATCTTGACGCTCATGTTGCAGCTCAGGTTTCTGAAAGCAGTCAGCATGTTGTTGACAAGTTCTGCGTAGTTTCTGGCTTTATTGTTGCCAAGAAAGTTCTTCACTACCAGAACAAATGCCTTCCACGCTTCCAGTTCCACTTTGTTCATTGAGTTTCTGAACTCTGGATCTCTGATGAGCTGACGGATCTGAGGACCGTCAAAGATGCCAGCTTTCAACTTCTCCATGGTCAATCCTGGAAAAGCCTGGCTCAAGTAAGTGAAGCACTCACCATCCTTGTCCAGAGCCTTGGTGAACTGCTTGATTAAGCCGAGCTTGATGTGCAGCGGTGGGAAGAGTATTCTGTCTCTGTCCACCAGAGGGTCGTTGATGACGTTCCTTTCTTTGCAAGGCACCAATTCCTCCCGCACAAGCCAGTCCTTTTTTGTGTAATGCTGAGCACGGTCCCTACTATCCCACATGCACAGAAAACACGGGTACTTGGTGAAGCCAGACTGTTGTCCCAACAAAAAGTTCACCATCTTCAGGTCAACACAAATAAACCACTTATGCTGATCATAACCAATTTTCTCCAGCACATACTTCACCGCTTCATAGTTCTCCTTCAGTGTAGTCAAGTGAGCCAGGGGTATAGAGGCAAACTGGTTGCCGTTGTGTAGCAGAACACATTTCAGTGATCGCTTGCTGCTCTCAATGAACAGTCTCCAATCTTTGGGTTCGTACTGTGGCACTCCAAGCTTGAGCAGAAGCTGCGCAATATCTGCACAGTACACCAAGTCCTTCTCTTCTGAGAAAAAACGGAGGTACTCTTGATGCCTGTTGCAGAAGAAGCTGATGCGAGCACTGTCAGAGAGGAGGTTTTTTCCCTTCAATCTGGATGCCAACAGTTTGGCAGAGTCCTTTGACAATTCTTCGTGGGGCAGCTGCCCCATTAACTTAGTTTTGATCCCCCAACTTTATGCTTTGCCGCACCAATTTATGGAAGATTTCGAGGTTTTATGACTTCAAACTGACCCCTTTTCGACATAATCACCCAGAACTATCGGACCTGAATACTTCTTGTCATTAAAATAATCATTTCCAATCAAAACAATTATTCGGCATGGCATTTTACCCCCACCAACTTCTTCTAAAATGCTCCACACAAGCGTACATGTGAACAAAAACGTAAAAAAAAGACATGTGGCCATAGCTCAAAAACTTGACCTGATTGAGCAAAATCAATGTGATTTTTGGATTCAGCGCATCAGATTCGTCCTAAATCAACTGAAAAAACGCAGACAACAAATTTGTTGTTGACCAGTGTTATTTTACAATTCTTCCTTGTATATCAAGCCCCCCACCCCCCAAGCTGGCTTGTGTGCTTATCTTCTCTGATGTGGCTGCAAAGAGGAATTCAGAAGCTCGCAAACATTAATTCTGGTTTGTTTGAAACAAGCTAAATTTGAAACCATTCATGCCATAATATGGACATAAATCAGCTGAGAGAAACCAAAGTATTTTACTTTGGGGGACCCATTTCACATATTAGCATTCTTAGATGTGCTATTGGTTGTACTTCTGGCATAGAGCTATGACCATAGCACAGGGGCAACTCCCTGAATAATGCACCTGCTTACAACATTCATGCAAATCATGGGTATATCTCCTTTAAAATGTAGTGTGTGAAGCAAAAAATGGGAGCCCCCAAAACTCAGCTGGAAACAAAGCAAAAACAGCAGCAGGCCTTTTGGTCCTTGCTGTTCCTTTTTCATGGTATTCTAAAATCAGTTTAAAAATTCATAGTTAAAGAGCTGAATAATATACTGTATAGAAAAGATAAACAATAAATGCTGTATTTAAAGATAATTACAAACTGGAAAAGGAGAGCAGTTTATTTCCCACATTCAGAACAAATTTGGGAGAATAAAATTTACATCTTTCAGACATTAACTTTTATGTCAAAGCTTTCTAATAGATCAATCAGAACTCCAGCTCTAAATATATATATATATATGTACCCAGGTTTTTTAATATAAAAATGTACATATGCATGCTAAATTATGTACATATAGAATATCAAAAATTAAACTTTTTTTTACTTAGAACAGTAATTCAAAGTTTCTCTCCTATTTTTATGCTATACCAAACAACTGAGATATCCACCTACCATTCCTTTTTTAATTTTTTTGGTTTGTTTGTTTGTTTGTGTTTCTGATACATTTCAATACAAACATCAAGAATAATACATGAAAAACCTCAAAAATAATAAAAAGCAGAAATTTAAAAATAGCAGAAAAACAGAAAACAATCATTTACAGACTTCCCTTCATCTTCTTCCATGGTTCTTTTTGTCTTCTCCTTGCGTTTTCTTGGCTCCCTCATTCTATCTCAACTCCTCACATTAATCTAGTTATTGCTTACACTGCTGAGAATATTGCCATCCTGCTACTTTTTCATATAATCAGTAAAAAATATCCAGTCCTCCTTATATCTTTTATCATTTTGATTTCTTATTCCAGTGGTCATCCCTGCTAGCTCCGCATATTCCAACAGTTTCTTCTTTTGTTGGTACCTGATCTGTTTTTCAATTTTGTGCTGTTAACACACATGCGGCAGTTGTCACATACAGAAAAAAGTTTGTCTCTGTTTGAACAACTTCTGTTGTAATTAATCCCAGCAGAGGACACCTTCACCCCAGTATGGCTCCCTTTGTCACATACACAGCCCAACAAGACAACAAGAAGAGCCCAGGACAGCATTCGAATCAGCCTGTCTTTCTTGCCCCAACAAGCCCTCCTGCCCCTCTCACAAAGGCAAACAAACCCCATCACAGCCAGCCACAGACAACCAGTCATACCTCGGGCCCCCAACTCCTCTCACTACCAAGAAACGTAACAAGCAAATAGAAAGAGAACCTATCTAGTTGACGCTGTCATGAAACCCCATGCGTACACTGCAAAAAATATATATTTCACCCCCTTCTTGACCTTATACTGTAACTCAACACTAATGTCTCGTAACAATTGTAGCTGATCTGTAGAAAAGACTGTACAACTTGAAGAAAGAGGCAAGGAATGTACTTTTGTAAACCAAGAAAATCTTTTTTTGAAAAAAAGAAATGCTTCTGGGTTTTTAGAAAAGGCTTTTTTGGACATTTTTTAACGTTCATTATAAATCATTTCTCAGTAATTTTTAATTATACTGCATGACCACCACACATGGTAGAATGTTCCTTCTGCTACCTTACATTTCCGGCAGTTACCCTTTATTGATTTTGACACTTTTGCTGGTCTGTTTGGTGTTAAATACTTCATGAAGGAAAACTTCATGAAGGTGATCCATACTCTTTTAATTTGTATTCCTCCCCAGTGACAGTCAGCAAATCTCTATATGTGCTCCAGTTTGTCTGTGTATTAATTTTTTCCTTGTGAGGGCTTCTATTGGTGGCAACCACATCAGTGTTTTCCTTTTTAATAAGTTTTTATATTTTTCCCATACCCTATACAAGTGTTTTCTAATCATGTGGTTTGAGAACCTCTTATATAGGTTAGCCTTCCTATACCGCAAGCATGCATGCCACCCGAATTTTAGGTCATGCCCTTCCAGATCCAATAAGTAATTATTATTTAATAAAATCCATTCTTTTAACCAACATAAACATGATGCATCAAAATATAATTGTAAGTCTGGAAGGGAAAAGCCACCTCTCTTCTTAGTATCAATCAGGACCTTATGTTTTATCCTGGGCTTCTTTCCCTGCCATATAAACCTAGATAGATCTTTTTGTGACTCCTTCAAGCTTCAGATGTCATTAACTGTAGGTACTGTCTGAAACAGGAATAGCATCTTTGGGAGTATATTCATTTTTATAACCGAAATTTTACCCAACAATGACAATTGCATTCTACGCCAAATTTCCAGATCTTTCTTGATTTCTTTCCAAACCTTTACATAGTTATCATTAATAATATTATGATTGTTTGTCATTAACCATATCCCCAAGTACTTCACTTTTTTTCACTCTTCAAACCACTGACTCTTTCTAAACCCTTCATAAGTTGACTATCCAGGTTTTTAACTATCATTTTTGTTTTATCTTTGTTCAGTTTAAAACCTGTCAATTTACCAAACTCCATAATTCCTTCCAGTACTGGCGCACACTTTCTAGTTGGCTTTCTAATGTTAAAACCACATTGTCGGCATATGCCTTTAATTTATAATTTTGCTGACCCACCTACCAGTTCTAATTCCAAACATTTGAACCTGGAAGTAATGCTGAAAGGCCTAGATTCTCATTATGACTTATAGGAGCCTTAAAAGCCACCTGGTGGTGTGTGAGGCAGCCCTGGAATTAACTTGTTTTTCTAAATTAAAGAATGGTATCCTAGTTTTGTTGTTACCTCCGTTTCTTGCCTTTTCAGCAAAGGAGTGGGGAATCGGTGAAAGTGCATCAGTTAGACGTTGCAATTCCCTTGCATCTCAAGAGCCAGCTCAAGAAGGGTCCACCCCTGGGTGGCGGGGAAGGAGAGTCTGAATCTGGAGACACCATGCCTTTTGTCATGTTAACTCGAAAAGGCAACAAGCAACAGGTGAGGCCTTGTGTACAAGGGAGTTATTTTTGTCTTTTTCAATATTAATTTCATTCATAATTTTTGTCATCCTGTATACTTCACTGACTGCTGCCTTGGGAAGTGTGGCTCAGTGACACTACTACATTGTTTTGGAAAGGTGCTGCCTAGTTGTCATCACCTCCTTTTGAAACTGGTTTGTTTTTGGAGGGCAGATAGGAATGCCAGCTGTGGCTCTCACATGTCTTAGTCAGACTATCATAAGGAACTGAAGCGTCAAATGGACTTTCTGTTTGCCTTCCTTCCTTTGGGAGAACTTTTTAAAAAAATACCATTAATCCTTTCCCATCTCATAAATATGGGCCTAAAGCAAGAAACTCCTTCTAAAAAATACACGGAGAGTGGTATATGTTTGAATATTTTTTATCTAGCTGTGATTCATGAAAATGGTGAAACTGCTGTTAAAATAGAATAATGTATTTCCAGAATATTTTCACTTTTAAAGGATATCACTTAGCTTAATTACATTACAGCCATTATAGCACAGCAGTAGTCACATGTTAAACTGGGTCAAGAGCTGATGTTAACATGGGAGCTGAAACCAAAAACTATGAATCATGAAGCATCTACTTCAAATCTTTCCTCTCCTATGATCTTGCTAGATGGCCCTGGGGTGCCACTGTCTCTGCTGGGCCACCCATCTGCAATATGGGAATCGTAATGATCTACCTGGCAGGATAGTTGTAAGGAATGGAACAAATGAATGTATGTGAAAGGCTCTGAGTGCATTCTGAAGCTCTGTGTGAATGATTGGCATGATAATATATGAAATACTTTAAAGTAGCAAAGTTCTGTAGCCAATGGCACATTTCTTTCCTAAGTATTCACCTTTTTCACTTTAGAAGTTCTGTTCTGTTGAAATCTGTAGGATTAGCTCAGTGTTTTGTCATCTTTAACCTGACTGACATTCCACTGTCCATTCAAAACCCACTTCTGGAAATAGTTTGGACTTACAGAGTTGCAAGTATTGGTGCAAATAAAAACCAGTAACATTTGTGCACTTTTCTTCCATCTAGAACATGTTGAGTCATACATTTGTTCCTTTCATTGATCTTACATATAAGACACCACATAAAATAAATTGTACAAAAAATCTTCCCCATAACTATACAATGGTACAATAAAAAACTACAATAAGTTTAAAAATGCAGCCAGAATAAAAATCTAATGCAATATGCAAGCAATAAAAGAATAAGCACAAGTTCTCAGAAGTGTCTTGTCTGTCTTCAGTTTAAGATCCTAAATGTGCCAATGTCGTCTCAATTGGCTGCAAATCACTGGAATCAACAACAAGCTGAGCAAGAGGAGAGGATGAGAATGAAAAAATTGACACTGGATATCAATGAACGGCAGGAACAAGAGGACTATCAAGGTATGAGTTACTCTTCCAAAGGGCCTTCATATAGATGAGGTTATTGCTGAGGTTCAACCTTCTACCACATAGGACCATTTGACTGGTTTTGTGTGGGCCTGCTCCAAATTCCTGCAAAGGAATTGACAGATCATTTATTCTCTTGACTACCAAATTAAAGAAAAACATATTAAACAAAATTAAAAGATTCAATCTTCCAAATAAATGTCAGTTAAATAGACATTTGTCATCATTTGAAGTGGCTTTTTCACCCAGCCTGTAGGGCTGGTTGCCTGGATAAGGAATCATAGGTGAAAACCTTCCATCAAGCATAGTGGAAACATGGTTTGCTCATTTAATAACCAATCAGTTACTACGGTTTCTGACTGGCAGAAAAAATATTGGTAAATAATGTGCACATAAAAAACATCTTAAATACCAGTGTTTTGCCTTTAAAAATGTATTTTGTCAAAAATAGGAAAATTGTGAAAAATGTGTTTTATTTATTGTTCATGTGTTTCAGGTGTGTCACAGTCTAACTCTTTCACAAAAGAACATTTCCCAGGATTCTTCCATTGAAAGATTAAAAAAATGAGAGCCATCCCTGAAACTCCTTTGAATTTGCAATGTAGCTATACCCTCTGTTGCCTTCTTTGCTTTTAATATTTATATCTATATATGTGTATATTTAATATGCAGAGATGATGCAATCCTTGGCTCAGCGGCCAGCTCCAGCAAATACCAACAGGGAACGGCGGCCTCGTTATCAGCATCCAAAGGGAGCACCTAATGCCGATCTAATCTTTAAAACTGGTGGAAGGTAGGTATTCTAGAAACAGGATGATTATTGCATTGTTTTCAACTTCTTGCAGCTTTCACTATTTCAAACATAAAAAACCCTTAGGATAGAAGTGATAATATCCTAAGGTAAGAGGGAATTCTTTCAGAGGTTAAGTGCTTCATGTCTCTGCTTAGAATCTTGGGTTGATAGGACCACCGCCTTGTTATCATTGGTTACAGCTAGCTACATTCTAAATAGATTATATACCTCTGTAACTAACACTACTCCTTATAAGTTGCTTCATGCTGTAAAACCCAAGTTGGGACATTTGCGTGTGTTTGGATGTAAATGTTTTGTGCATGTTCAAGCAGAGACATGCAGGAAACTCTTCAAGGGGGTTAGAATGTGCATTTCCTGGTTATGATTCTCAAACAAAAGGGTATATAGACTGTGGGTCTCTAAAAAGCAAAAATGTAATAGTGAGTAGAGATAGCATTTTTCATGAGCGCAAGTACAAGGTAGACAAAATACTTCTGTAGTGTGTCTTCCTTCAAGTCAGAGATTATCTCAAAGTGAGACACAGAAACAAACTGAAAAATCAAACAGGCGGTTAAGAGACAAACCGCAATGAGTGAAGAAACTTTTCAGGATAGAGAAACTGATGTTAAGGTAGAACCTGAAACAGTGAGTACTCCTATTTTAAGATGTTCTGAAAGAGGAAGGAGAGCACCTGTACATTATCAGAGTGAATTTCAAAATTATCAGACTACACATAAAGCAGTGATGGCCAAACTCAACCCTCCAGCTGTTTTGGGACTACAATTCCCATCACCCCTGACCATTGGTCCTGTTAGCTAGGGATGATAGAAGTTGTAGTCCAGAAACAGCTGTAGGGCCAAGTTTGGCCATCACTGACATAAAGCAATGAAAGTAGCTTATTGTCAGGCCTGGTCGTTGTCCTCTTCAGATCACCACACAAACGCTTCTTGTTCTTTTATAACTTTTTATTGTGTGTTAACAAAATAATCTTATAAACAGTTCTTAACTATTCTTCCTCAGAGTCACTTATTTCAGATACCTTCTGAGCTCTGCTTCTCCATGACCAGCCACTCTCAAAATGGCGAAGGCACCTTTCCCTTCGCTTTCCCGCTCTTTTTCCTAACCTCCTGGCTAGAGCTGGCCTGTATCTCCCCTCCTCCGAATCTGAGCTAGAACTGAACCCTTGCCTTTCCTGTGAACAGCCGGTCCCTCCCTGTTGTTCCTCTTGCTCTCTTCTGTTAGATTCACTGCTCTCCTTCCCCCCTTGGCGAATGCTTTCTCCCTCTGATAAACTGGAAACTTCTAACTCTTCCCTGACACTTATGAACCAGAATGTTTTGAAAAAAATGATGATATGGAACCAAAATTAGCAAAGTGTTGGTTTAATGCTATGTCAGAGGTAATGGAAGCTATGCATAAAAATGAAACTTGAGAACTTGTACCTTTATCTGAAGGGAGAAAACTCATCAGTACCAAATGGGTGTTTACAGTGCCCAAATCTACCCTGGACATTTATGCTACCCAGGTGTCTGATTCTGGCAGACGGGCAGTCCTAACCTCAGCTGATGGATAGGGAGTCAGAGGACATCGTTATTAAACTTATTCAAGATACCCACCAAAATGGAAATCCAGTTCTTTTTTTCTACCTTTTTATTTCAGTTTGTCTGTGTTGCTGTTGGTGGTGGAACTGAAATGGTGACTTATCCAATGAAATTTGAACTGGGAGCTTCCTGGTTTTTACACTCAGCCTTGGCAGCAGCACGCACCATTTACTGCTTTCTGTTCACTTCAATTCTTTCTCTTGAATTGGTCCCTTTGCCCAGCAATTCCTGTCCAGAGGAGCAGCAATAGCTGTTATAGGGCTCAATTCAGGTCACCTTGGGGGTTATTCCTTACCAGTCTCTGTATTGGGGGGAGAAATGAAATCACATTAATGTCTCCAAAAATACGCAATGTCTGTTTTACTTCATGATCATAATTGTGAATCCATTGTCTAACCATAGTCATTATCTATGGTGTAACAGACCAGTTGCAGTGTAACATTACAGTGGGGAGGGGGATTTGGAAATTAAAATTAACCTTTGTGTCTATTGTATTTCCCACTTACGAAAAAGGTACTACTTTGAGCCTCAAAAAAGATGAAATAGGATAACTTTAAGTTGCTTTGGTAGCCTCTTGGCTGAAGAGCAGGGTATAAAATGCTTTAACTAAATAAGTATATTGCAGAAGAATGCAGTTCATAAAGAAACTAGAGCACTTCTCAATTTCATTATCATTCCTATTTTTTTAATATGATCAGGCGAGAGAGAGGGAACAGACAGCGCCGAAGCTGAGATTAGTCACGGAAACAGAAAGAAAAGTGAGTTTTGGGGGAGGAGGGTTCCAGGTATAGGTCCAGTTCCCATGTCACATTAAACCATTTAATGTGAAAGAGCAGCATGTTGGTGCACACTGCTCAAAAGTTCCTGCTGCATATCTACCCTGCTCCTGCCATGCCATGAATGCAACAAGCCAGTGTGGCCCATTGTTTTGTCTGAACCTAGGGTTGTGGTTTATTTCCTCCAACCAACCATGAACAGTAACCACAGTTAGTTTGCGGGGGGGCGGGGGGAACCAACCACAAGTCCAGATTTGAACAACATGACTGGCCAGACTTGGCCTTGCTTGACTGATAGCAAGGGGCATGTGCTGTAGGAGGTTTTGAGCAGCATGCACTAGCATGTTTCTTGTTGACATTAAACCATTGCACTACGGTTTAATGTGCCATAGAGTATAAAAGGTTACTCTAGTAGTCAACGTGGCATTTTAAGGTAAGGGATACAGGCAGAGAGGCTACAGTAGACCACACAAGACACCAAAAATAATCAGTTCACCCAAATATACCTTTTTCAAAATATGTCTGTGTAGGTTTGAACTTCATATTTGAAAGATCAGCTCCTATTCAGCTTTGAATGTTAGATATACTTGCAGGAAAAAATGTGACTTGGGAACAACAGCATCTAAGCCTTGGATTCTAATGGTGGAAGTCAACTTCCAGCTGTTCCTTCTATACAAGCATTGCAGCTTGTCAGATGAAATTCTCCCCCCTCCTGCCTAGGTATGCTGTTCTGAGGGAGCTCCCAACCCCATGTCAGTTTCAGGAGGAGGGAGCTCTTGTGCAGGACTTCCACTGATGGGACTGGTTAGCTGACTCCTGTCCTAAGGACTGAATCAGCGAACTGTGGGTTAGGGTTGATTTTATAAATGCCACACTAACACAGTTTTGTTCTGTTATTTAAAAAAATGGGAATGCAAAAAAAAAAAAAAAAAGACCCATGGAGGGCTGGTCAAATCCAGCTCCCCACCTCTGACATAGATTGTGGAGTGCTGAGGAAGAACAATTGTCAGGTTGCACATGCCTAAGAATGTTATTAGATCCCGGTCCTTGAAGAACCTTGCAGTAAAACCTCATTATTGTAGTCAGTTCTGAGACTACACTGTAAAATAATAAATAAATCTATTGCATTGAGAAGCTGTATTCTGCCCCATGTATAAATTATGCAGATTTGCAACATTTATCCTGTTTCTTTCAGTCATGGGGGTAATCACAGAGTCCTGGAGAGAGAAGCTCCAGCCTGACTACTTGAAATTTTATTGAGCTCCTCTTCTGGGCGTCTGATATTTTCACCAGAAGTTCTTTGTTGTTGATATGCATTTCCTTTGTCTTTTCTCTTCTTTGTTAGGAGACGTTGATCCAGCAGCAAGCGTCATTTCATTAGGCCCTGTATCTCCAATGTTGTGGATTAGTGGAGTCCTCCAGCAATTAAACGAGAGCAGCAGACACATCTGAGCATGTCGGTCTAGAGAGTTCAGAATCGAAAATCTGGGACAGGCTGGAGCCATAGAGCAAATACACCAGCCTCCACTAAAAACAGAAAAAGCGGAAGCTCCCAGTCACAGCCTACCAAACAAACAAAAAGCATCTTGTTATGGAACCATGTGAGGATTAATCTTCTCATGAGAATGGAAGCAAATAAATGAGATGGTTAACTTTACCAGTGAGCAGTTCAGTTACAACAAAGCGCAACTTAAAAAAGATGGATTACGCTGGAATGGAGACGGTCTTGATGGCAAAGTATGGGGGAAAGCAAACCTAATAGGAGTGGCATTTTCTCTGAATTGGGCATGGCATGTCAGGAGAATATTAATCTGGGGCTCCAGTCTGCATTAGAGAAGTGGTAGAGCAAGAGGTAATTATCGTATAGTAAACCCCAACATGCAGGGTAAAATAGACAGCACCTGATTTACCAAAACACCAAATATTCCACGAGAAAGAGGATTTTGTTTCAAGGGGGAAACCCTTTCTCTGCATGTGTTGCGGGAGGGGGAAAGTGATGAAGGGAGCAGATCCAGGGAAGTGGGATGGTCTACTGAAGGTCAGAGTGGATGGGAAGGTAAGAGAGCATTGATCCAAAGTTGCTTCAAACAGCCTGATGCCAGCCTAAGAAAGGATCTAGAGGAGCTCGTTAAAGCATCATTGAAAACCAAAATGTGCCAGTCAGCATGACAGACAGATGCCGAGAAGTGGAGTTGAACGTTCTGTTGACTTTCATGGGTTGATAAGCCTCTGTGTCTATATTTTAAAACACAAGGAAAAATTAGCTGGCAGCAAGTAGAATTTTTATTTTTCTAAATGGAAATGAGGTTTCTGGGTCAGTTTCTGACAATCTTGTTTGTTAATATAGTTCTGGGGATTTTTTTGTTTGTTTGCTTTCACGTAGGTCTAGTACATTCAGTTAAAGAGCACATCTGTATGCTAAAAATTCTGAACTATTTTAAAATTCTTTTTACCTCTGTTGAGTTCTGCATGTAGAATTTAAAACAAAACTTGTACAACTTGTTACATTTCACACTTGTGTACACACAGTCAGAAATGCCGCCCGATCTTCACCAGCTTCAGAAAACTGATCTTTGCCGATGCTGCAATAAAGTGTTGTAATTTAGAATTGGGGTGGTGTTTTTTGTCTTTGTGTCCCGTTTTATGACTGGTGCTTTAGTATCTGGTTCATCGTTGAAATATTTTTACAGGAAATTGATGTGCATCTCCGTCCCCTTAAACGTGAAAAGCCAGCTAGCAGCTGGAGATTTCTGGATTCCCTCCTTCTGCACAATTCCCATCTTAGGGGTTTGGGGATAGTTCTATCTTCTCTAGATGGTACATAGGACCATTAATATGGATTAATGCCCCAAATTCTGCTGCTGGAGAGCTGTCTTTATCTTAAAACATAGCAGAACCTCTTGGGTAAGTTTTGCAATTAATAGTTTCTGCCCCTGCTTGAATTTACTTTGCACTGTATTTTGATTCCTAATACTACTTTCCTTGCTGAAACTGATTCGGCTGTTTAACAATGAGAGGAAGCCTGTGTGCTGCTCATGCACTGGCCTCTATGTTTGAATTCAGAGAACCTAATGAAACCATTGACTCAAAGGTACAAGGTTGTATTTCTCAATTTAGGAAATTTTCCTGAAAGTGTTGTGTGGTAGCATTGGCTGGAACTGAAGATTACTTAGAAGCTTAGAAATAGCAAATCCAAGTGTGGAAATTCTCAAAACCTGACCATATATTGTTCTGTGGGGTTTAAGCAATGTGTTCAGTTAGTGTTCTGTGAGACTTAAAAGAATAGGAGGAGGTGTATCTCTGTGGCTGGAACCACAAATGGAGGTAAGGTGTAGGAGGAGAAAGGTTCAGCGCCATTTTCCTGTAGCTCCTTACTGTTAAAGACACCAGATTACCTGCTTTTTGTATGCATAGGGTGACCATTTTGAAAATAGTGCTTGGCACAGTTGCATCTTTGGGCCCTAACTTTCTCTACCATCTTCCCTAGCATGACCGTTGAACGTAGCTGGTGGTTGGAATCTCATTCTTGCCAACTGACTTACCACCACTAGGCAGGCCTCTGAGCTCCTAACTGCTTGATCACAAAAGGAGGTGAGGGTGTCTGTGATTCTGCATAATTCCAAGCAGGCGTCTATTAAAAGCAGGTGGCATTTAATTGGCACAACTGATCTTTGCTGGATAAATTATTCCCCTTGTTTAAGCCAGTTGGGCAACTAGCTAATCTCAGTTTGCAAGACTTTCCTCTAACACAGTCTAGTTGAACATCTTGGCAGCAGTTTCCGCTTGTCGTGCTTTTCATAATTAGCCTCTCTGCTGTCCCTTCCCAGAGTCACATTTGAGTAAAATGTTGTGTGAAGTCATTCCTGAGGCCAAGTTCAAACATGGTGCATTTCCAGTTGACAGGAATCTTGTGCACACTGAGATCCAGTGATGCTGCAGTTGGTTTTTCCAAGTGTATGTTCCTGGTGTTATGGAAATGGCAAGAGGCTTTGGCGTGGCTGCTTTGATTGCTGTGTTCAAAAGATTTCTGCGTTCAGATAAACTTTGGCAAAGGTCACCTTTAAGAGAACTACTTGCAAACTTGTGGGATTTTTTTTAACGTGATTGCATAAATAATAAAAGTTCTAAGAATCACTCCTAATAGGGAAATCAACAGTTGAGTGCTTCCAGGCTTGCTGCCCAAAATGAGGCCACTAAGAAGCAAGGGAGGTATCAGGCATGCTAGGAGGGGACCCTCAGGGTTTGCAGAAATACAGAATACACTGCAAAAACAATGAAGGTACAAAACAAAACTCCTAGCCTGAGAACATGCTCCTTCATGGAATGTAGGGTGATAATGATTAGGAAAGAAAAATGGTACATGGGGTAGGTGGGAAAGGAGAAGAAGGGAGTCCTTTTAAAAGCAAAGATACATGGCAACATGTCTCATTACTGTATGCATAACTAATGTGCACATAAGAGCCATGTATGATGTGCTGTGCGTATGCCTGCTTGATGACCATATATAAACACACACACACATACTGTAGACAAGCTTGCTTGTCATTTCTAGAGGCTGAATCTCGGAGAATCTTAACCTGGGTGCACATGTGTGCAAAGACACATGCATAAACACTCTGTGCTGCAAGCTGGCTAGGAGTTACTGTTGCTTGCTGCTGTTGCTTGCTGTTCAAAAGTACAGAGGAAATCTTAGCCTTTCCAAGTGAGAAATAAAGGCTACATTGCTATGCCACACCTCCCTACCCTCTTGGCTTCCTCCTTTTTACCACCCTTCTTTGATGAAGTATACAGTGGTATCCTGGGTTAAGAACTTAATTCGTTCCGGAGGTCCGTTCTTAACCTGAAACTGTTCTTAACCTGAGGTACCACTTTAGCTAATGGGGCCTCCCGCTGCCGCTGCCACCTGATTTCTGTTCTCATCCTGGGGCAAAGTTCTTAACCCAAGGTACTATTTCTGGGTTAGCGGAGTCTGTAACCTGAAGCGTCTGTAACCCAAGGTACCACTGTAGTTGAAATCCCATGATGAGGTCTGAATCCCGATTGGAAGGGATCCAAATGGTCCGCATCCTCCAGGTTGTTCAGCAACCACCATCTCAATCACCTTCCCCAAGAATGGAAGATTTGAGACTGGGCGATAGTTCACCAAATTGGCCGGGTCCAAAGATGTTTTTTTAAGAAATGGTTTAATAGGCACTTCTTTCAGTGGGTTTGGGAAGACTCCCTCACAAGAGGGAAGCATTCACCACCTCGCAGAGCCCATCGCCCAGACCTTCTCGGCTCACTTTTATTGGCCAGGATGGGCAAGAATCAAGGTCAGTTTCACTCGTCCAAGCAGCCTGTCCACATCCTCATGTGGACCACATTTGCTCTGACCAATTGAACCCATAGTCTTAGCATATCGGCTTGGGATAAAAGCAACTGTCTAATGCTGAAACATATTTTTACACTTTCCCCCACCAGGATTACAATTGGTTTCAGAATGCTGCTCAGACTCTTCAGAGATAAGTTCTCAAAAAGGAAAAAAGTGAACAAATGTTGAAGTTTTAACATTGCCAATTCAAATTATTTCCACAGAGTTGCTAACTGCTCAGAAAGAACAAGGCCAGACATGTTCTTAGGCTGTTGACAGCATCTCTGATATGCAGAAATCAGCAGATGAGGTGTTTCTCAGCAATCGGGTAAATATTATTGCCTGCTAATATTTACATAACAAAGTGTTACGGCACACAGTAGAAAACCTGAGGTACTGCTAGCTTTAAAAAAAATAAAAAAATGTTGAAACAACTTGTTTGCCCTCCTTTCCCCTGTCCAAATCTGGGATTAGCCTTGAGCTATGTTTCTTGAGTATAAATTTCTCTAAATTTTTGAATGAATTGGAACATGAAAGCCATTACTCATATTTTGGCTTTACTGGTCTTTGACCCTATAGATGCAAACCACTGGACCATGCTGGTCCTGCCTTGGAATGTATGACATATGTAACATAAGCTGTCTGCTGATGAATCATAACTGAGTGTTAGTGCTAACTTTCTTTAAAACAGAATATATAGTTACAACATAAGACAAAGCAGGAAATGCAGAGCCCGTCCCCAGTGATGTTTTATTACTGATGCTGCAGTAATAGTGCATTCATGGTGGAATTATGCAAGACTGTCGAGACATCATTCTACTTTATTAGTTCTGTGATGGTTCCCCAATGCTGCCATATTACCACCCTTGGTGGGGGGGGGGCGTGATACACCTGCGTTGTAGTGCAATGAAAGCAGGACAAAAAACCAAACCCAGAACATTTCTGGTCTGAAAAGTTGCAGGATTTCAGCAGGATATTACGAGACATGCACAAACAAACAAACGAGACATGTCCACCACAAACAATACTGCATCTATGCCCCAAGACCATCTCCATGAATGCACAATTACAAAGGACCTTTGGAGGGACCTGTCACTGCAACAGGGGCACCACAAATTTAAGAGGAGTTCCCTACCAGGACAGACTTTGCTCGTGTGCTCAAGACATTGATTCCATAAAACATATTTTGTTGCACTGTGCAAAATATGAGCAGGCTGAACTGATACTACCCTTGCTGGTACCTTTCCCGGGAAAATCAGAGGCTCACTATGTCAGGTTCCTATTGGAAGACCGGACAAACGCTAAAACATTAGCAGTGGCAAAGTTTTTATCAGTGGTTGCAAGAACCAATGATCCCTATATTCTGAACAAAATGCTTGTTTAACCTGGAGGTAGGCTGTATGAATTGTGTATTGCTTTGTAACGATTTGTTGGGTCTCTGTTGTTGTTGTATTTAAATCAGCTTTGTACTGGGGGAAGCTAAAAGGCCTGTATTAGTTTTGTTAAGGACTCGCCCCCTCCATCAAGAGCTTTTAGTTAGGCTAGGAAAGAAGCAATGGCCAAGAAAAGCTGTCCCTCTTAAAGCAGCACACATGGATTATTTGTCAGACTTGCAGGAAAATTATACCACAGCCCTGGCACAGAGGCACATTTCTTTTCTTTCCCCCCCTTGCCAAATTGTAAATCCAATCACAAGCAGGAAGCGTGAAAGTTCACATATTCCTGCAATTTAGAAGGACAGAAGAAACAGATGCTACAGACTGAAGTGCAACCAGATGCACATAAAATACAGCTCTTTTGCTGTGATGTGTCCGGATCTAACTACCAAGGGGCAGTCTTGCTAGAGAAATGATGGCCAGGCAAGATTTATGTTCTCAGGGCTAATGAAGGTCTGCACAGTATCAGGCAATCTTGATAGCACTTTTTCTTGGAGTCTTCCGCTTTCCTGCCCTGGCAGCCATGCAACAATCCCAAAGATTCTGCGCTCTCTGCCACCTTTCCTCTACCCAGAAAGGAAGTCATAGTAATATTTGAACAAATGGCACTTTTCTTATATTTTCCTGTTCTTCTCCCAAACACCTCAGCCTTTTACTGTTTTCCGCCCTCCTGCTTTGCCTCCTTGCCTAATGAAGCAGAAACCCAAGACCAGAAGCAAACCATTGGTGGTGGTAGTAAGCTAATGAGGGCAAATATGTGAAAGGAATGGGCCTGGGATGTTATTTAAACTGTGCTCTGACTAAATTTAGTCCTTAACGCCTTAGT